TGAGCCAGAATATCGGATGCTCTGAATCAGAGAATGGGAACCCGTGACTCTCCACTTGCGCTTGGACTCCCCATCTCCCCACGTGAACCTGGTCAGAGATGATGGGATTCGGAGTCCAACAGTATCTGGAGGGTCACAGGTTCTCCATCTCTGATTCTGACAGAGCCATTTCCTCACCAGGCAGTTTTATCTTGTTCCACATTTGCGGAATCTACCGTATTTTTCGCTCTATAAGACGCACCAGACCACAAGACGCACCTAGTTTTTGGAGGAGGAAAACAAGAAAAAAAATATTCTGAATCTCAGAAGCCAGAACAGCAAGAGGGATCGCTGCGCAGTGAAAGCAGCAATCCCTCTTGCTGTTCTGGCTTCCGGGATAGCTGCGCAGCCTGTATTCGCTCCATAAGACGCACACACATTTCCCCTTACTTTTTAGGAGGGGAAAAGTGAGTCTTATAGAGCAAAAAATACGGTAATTCTTTTCTTTATGGTCTTCACTGGGCTGACCTGGATTTCATGACACAGGATTTTACCCCAGTTGGCGCATTGATCACCCCTGCTTATTTTGGCGGCTCTTGCCACAGCATACACAGACTTTGTCACCAATATACTGATGTCACCCTTTCCCCTTCCATGTTTATATGTACAGAGTTGTGAAGTCCTTCCTCCTCAGGTACCTTCGCTTTCTCATCATCAAAATCTCTTGCAGCGATTCAGGTTCACAAGGGAGAATAAGACAGAAGTTTGAGGCAGGGGAGGTGGGAAGCAAATTGTTCGATTCGTTCAAAAGCCGCATAGCCTATCAGGAGGTAAGTTCCAGGTGTAAGGTGGGGTGGCTGCTTTTGAAAGCACTTCAATCTCATCCCAAAGACTATGTCATCATGTAGATAGATTGTGGCGTTGTTGTTTGTTGTCTGTCCTTGCACAGGAAAAAAAGGGTTAGGAGTGAAACTGTATATCTAACTTTACAGATCCAGCCCTTAAGCAGATCTCTGAAGCTGGTGTGAAACTGGATTAACAGTTGCACCTTCCTGCCAAGAAGTTGGGGAAGTGGCGGTTTTGCATATCTGGGAAACCTAAAATTACAGATCCTTAATTGTCCACACAACTACAGTTCCCAGGTTACTGCAGCCAGGGCAGGGGGGGGAACCCATATTGAAAGTTGTTTAAATTCACAATGCAGACATGCTCACAGATCTAACAGCTAGAAGGGACCAAAGAGCCATTTAGTGTCTTGCTGCACCCAAAAGGAAAAGCCACCAGACTTTCCACTACGGGCCACACTCACGATCTTTCTTGGCACATTATTATTATTTTGCTGCCCAGCTACTGCTGAGGCTGTGACTCTCTTACTTTGCAAAATGAGTGCTCTCACTCCCTCTCCCCCCCCCCCAAATAGATAGCAAGAGACAAGTTCTGGGGTTCTTTTTTATCTTGTTGTCCACATGGTGCATAGGGAAACCAATAGCTTTGGGTACAAAAGTGTCTTCTTTGCATTCTGAGGCTAGAATACAGGGCTGGTGGACCTTTTTGTGAGCCCGAGGGCCACATTCCCCCCTGGGAAACCTTCCAAGGGCCACATGGCAGCGGCGACGGGGGCCACAGGCAAAAGTGAGCAGAGCATAAATTTTATTTTGTACGTTATATATTAGGTTAGTTTCTCTACACAACACACACACCCTCCCTCTCTACTATCCAGACAAGCAAGAGGCATAACGGAGAGTTCCGAGGGCCAGACCCAAGAAGCCCAGGGGCCACATTTGGCCTGATATTCCCCACCCTGGCTGCCACATAACCAGGAGCAAGATGGCCTCCTCTGAGACACCTATAAATAATTGTACTGGGTGAAATCCAACTTAACTTGTGATTGCTTAGTTCCATTGACTTCAGTGGGTCTGCAGTATGACTAACACGGATTCTTACCCATTATTTTGTGGGGAGCGGGGGAATATTAAAGCCTGTTAGGAATGAGGTTTAATTAAAAGGGAAAACAATGTATTCAGTTCTGAAGCTTGAAATGTGAACGAATGCCTTTCAGAACAGGACTGCTCGTGCAGTTTAATGTAATATATGGATATGCAATATAGGGATATGCACTCATTTCTAGAAACAAGTGTTCTCGAACTTCAGCGTTGAAAACTGGACGAGTGAGACAGTTATGAGGTTAATTTTTGGACTCAAGTTGAGGAAAAAATGAAGTATCCATCCATTTCCATTTGTTTGCGTCTGAGCTAAGGGGAGGAAGAGGCTTTTAAAGGGTCTCAAGCACTTGAAGAGAAATTAGCTTGCAGAATGCCAATATCCCCTTTGCGCTGTTCATGCACTCAACAGGTGGATCCCAGTTCAAAAGATCCCATCGCATCCAGATCCGTTTGCACATAAGAAGGGTCACATTGTCCCACAAAGCAATGGGGCATCACACACTGCCAAACCGTAGCGTGAACGAGGCATGGGCTGCGTGCTGAATCCTGGTTGTAAAACTGCCCACTTTGCAAACCTTTATCATAGTATAAATACCACTGTTAAAGCGCTTTATCCTCGAGATATGTTCATACTCTACATGGTATGGATAATTTTAAATATTGTAAATTATTAGTTCTAGAAGGATTTGTTGATAGGAAGAAAAAAGAGATACTGCTGTTTTGGCATGTGGGGCACATTGTTGAATGTACTTTGTTAAATGCTGTTATCTTCTCTCCCTCCCCAAATGCATGAAATAAAATATTTTTAAATTTTGTGGTAACAGGAGGGCAGATTTCTGATTTTTTTTAAAGAGGGGAGGGAATAAGAAACACACTGATTGCAGTCTGGTGAAATGTTTCATTCTGGAAAAGCATCACACGTCTGATCATATCTTTTCACCCACGCTTGGAAAAATCAGAGCTTAATTTTTATTTATTTAGTAAGGAACATAAAGCTACCCCTTTATACCAGCAAAGGCTGTAGGTGTTTGGTGTTTCAAGTCTGCCAGTTGACATTCTTGGATGATGCACTGACTGTCAGATCAGTAGCTTCTGGTCTTTTTTGTGTGTGGTCATGATAGTTCGTGAGAACTTCTTTCAGGAAGAATGACGAAGAGTCTCGTGGTCCCTTAAATATATATATATTTTAAAAAAACCCTAAAGATTCTGTGGCACCTTAAGCAAACACTATCAAATATATTACGGCATAAGCATAATGTGTCTGATGAAGCTGACTGTAGCCTATTTAAGCTTGTGCCATGATGAATCTAATCATAGAGTTCGGAGGGACCCCAGAGTCATCTAGTCCAACCTTTGAAGTGCAGGAATCTCAACAAAATCACACTAAATTTGTTAGCTGTTAAGGTACCACAATTGTTAAGTTGTGGGTGAACATATCAGACGACACAGCGATTCTTCAAACAGCTCTTGTTTATTCACAGGCCAGGACAGAACTGAACTGAAGGGCTCAGTCAGCCTGCTTATATAGAGCTCCAGTACCACGTTACTGTAACAACTTTCTAAAACTATCCAATCACTGAACGTCACTTTTGATCCTTCATTTGCATAACTATCTACAGTATCCCCCTGCTGGCCCAGGGTGAGAACTTCAGTACATAACAACAATAGTCTCCATTGCTTTTGCTGCAGCAGACTAACACAGCTGCCCTTCTGGAAGTTTTCTGTGGTAAGTATAAGCCTTTGTAGACTGGAGTTCAATTTCTCAAGATACATGGCAGATCATCCACAAGTCCACAGAGGTCTACACACAATATACGTTCTGGATGCAAGCAGTGGGATGCTGAAAACCGTGGAACGCAAAGGGTTATGGTAGGTCAGAGGTTTTCTACACAGAGCCAAATGGACCCTGAGGATCATCCAGTCCAAACCCCTGCAATGCAGGATATACTCGGCTAAAGCATCCAATGACAGATGGCCATCCAACCTCTGCTTAAAAACCTCCAAGGAAGGAGAGTCCATCACCTCTTGTGGGAGTCTGTTCCACTGTCAAACAGCTCTTACTGTCACAAAGCTTTTCCAAATGTTTAGTCAGAATCTCCTTTCTTGCAACTTGAAGCCATTGGTTCGAGTCCTACCCTCAAGAGCAGGAGAAAATAAGCTTGCTCCATCCTCCATGTGACAGCGCTTGAGATATTGGAAAATGGTTCTCATAGCTCCTCTCAGTCGCCTCTTTTCCAGGCTAAACATATCCAGATCCTTCAACCGTTCCTTATAAGGCTTGGTTTGCAGACCCTTGATCACCTTGCTCATCTGCACACATTCCAGCTTGTCAACATCCTTCTTAAACTGTGGCGCCTAGAATTGTACACAGTATTCCAGGTGTGGTCTGAGCAAGGCAGGATAGAGTGGTCCTATGACTTTCCTTGTTCTGGACACTAAGACTTCTGTTGATGCAGCCTAGAATAGCATTAGCTTTTTTTGCTGCTGCATCACACTGCTGGCTTATGTTAAGCCTGTGGTCCACCAAGACCTCTAGATCCTTTTCACATGTACTGCGCATGCCAGGTGTCCGCCCCTCCTATATTTGTGCATCTGCTTCTCCCTGACCCTTGCATCCGCCCCTACTGAAACTCATTTTGGTTAACTTCAGCCCAGTCCTCCAATCTGTCAAGCTCCCCATTCTGCCTTCAGCGACGTAGATTGAGAGAATGGTTCAGGTCCCCGCGCGACTCTTGACGTTTTCCTACTTCTATAGCGCTGCTCTCACGCTGCCTGTGGCAAGATGGCGCCCAGAGCCGGCGGGTGATTGGGAAGCCGCGAGGCTCCTCCCGGCATGCAATACGTGCGCAAAGGGGGCGTGGCATCTCTGCCTCTCTCACAAGCCCGCTCAGCTGAGAGGAGGAAAGAGGCGCCTCCCGGCATGCATCGCGCAGGGGGCGTGGCTCCGCGGGGCTGCCTCAGAGGAGGGGCAACGAGGCGCCTCCCGGCATGCAGCGCGCAGGGGGGGGTGTTCTCTGCCTCTCATCTTGCCCTCCCAGCTGAGGGGAGCAGCGGGGCGCCTCCCGGCATGCAGCGCGCAGGGGGCGTGGTGTTCTCTGCCTCTCATCTTGCCCTCCCAGCTGAGGGGAGGAACAAGGCGCTTCCCGGCATGCAGCGCGCAGGGGGCGCGGCGTTCTCTGCCTCTCACCCGCCCACCCAGCAGAGGGGAGGAGCGAGACGCCTCCCGGCATGCAGCGCGCAGGGGGGCGTGGCTCTCTGGGGCTGCCTCACCTGCCCAGTCGAGGGGCGCCGCAGTTCGGAGGAGGATGCAGCGCCTGCAGGTGGTTATCGGGCACCTGGCCGGGGCCGGGGGCGGCCGGCCTGCCTCGTTGCGGCCCAGCCCTTGCCTGGGCTTCTCTGGGGCCGCCCTCTCGACGGCGGCTGCCCCGGAGGATGTGGTGGTGGTCCACGGGCGGAGGACGCCTATCGCCAAGGCCAAGAGGGGCGGCTTCAAGGTAGTGGAAGCGAGCAGGTGTTGGGGGGGGAGAGGGAGGCGCAGGTGGAGGCGGCTGAGGCAATGCTGCGATGCTTTCAAGTTCTCTGCATTTTCAAAACCTATTTTTCCTTTTTAAATCGTTAATGAACAGTTCAGTTCATTAATTAATATCATTAGTTCAAAAACCATTCCCTTTTTATGAGCTTTTAGGGGGGTTTTTTGCCTTTTATCTTAGAAGCATAAAATAGAGGTGGTAGGGTCATCTAGTACAACCCCCTGCAATGCAGGAACCTCAACTAGATCCGACGTGATAGGCGTAAACTACTTTTTGTGGCTGGGAAAAGGAGATTGGGAGGGGTGTGTGGAAAAAAGAGAAATAGAATTGTAGAGGTAGAAGGGGCCACGAGGGTCATTTAGTCCAACCCTTTTTTCTCCAGTGTGGGGCTCGAACCCACAGCCCTAAGGTTAAGAGTTTCACATTCTTATTCTTAATGACTGAGCTATCCCAGCAAAAATGAACTAACTCCCAGAGCAAACACAGTGTCCGAAGTGGTTCCTTGACTGGCTTTCTCTTTACTAAGCTACCCAACAGATTACAGATTAATTTGTTGCAAGCCACCTTGAGGCCTGGTTCAGGGGTGCAGGTGGTGGTGGAAGGTGGGATATAAGTAAACATTTGACAGATTTAGTGTACTTATATGCTGCTTTTCCGCAACGAACTATGCCCAAACAACAGAATACAGCTCATTGGAAATACAATTGTGCAAAATACATGACATGCCAGTAAACTCAAAAGTGGCAAAAATTAGCAATTTGGCAGATGCCGAATGAATTCAGTGCTACGAAAAGTAATTTTTAAAAAGAATAAAGGTTTAAGTACATAGTTACATAGCAAAGCCCTTAGTGTGGGAAACACGCAAGAGAACAGTTTTCTGTTTCTTCCCCATCTAGGAAACTACACCTGATGAGCTTCTTGCTGCGGTCATGACAGCTGTCCTTAAAGACCTAAATCTAAGCCCTGAGAAGCTGGGAGATATCTGTGTAGGTGAGTAATTTATTTTGAAGTTGCATCGCTGTACATATTTCTGTTTCTGCCCCAGTTGTAACTGTAAATTTGCTAACCTTGTGCTATGGAATGATTGAGACTTCCTGTCTGGGAAATGGGCTGTCATCTTCTTATTAAATGCTGAATTGCGCCTTCTTAAAAAATAAATCTGGAGATGGCATTTAAACTGCAGATAACAAATGCAGATTAATCTCTTTGCACCTAGGAAATGTTCTTCAACCTGGAGCTGGAGCTTTAGTGGCGAGGATTGGACAATTTCTAAGGTGAACTTCGCTATTTAACACTCTTGATACCAGATAAGAAACAGGATAGAGATTGGGGCTGCCAGCTTTGGCTAATGTTTGAGTGCGCAGAAGGAGTATTGCTGGTTTGTCCTACTTTTGTGAACTTTGTCATGCGTTGTGGGGCAGATAGGAGGTGTGGTGATAACTATCTCAGGTTCTCCACACACCAAGAGGAAAATAGCAAGGCAGGGGAGGAGGAATACTGGATGAGATGAAACTTGATAGTCACTCCACTGGCTAAGGAACAAGTGTTAGTAACTTAAGTAATTCCAAGCTGGCTTGAAAGAGGCCAAGGAAAAGTGGTGTAATGGTTTAGGGATGTGCTGTTGTCTGTTTTGCCACACACCCCCACCACCACAGGTGAGGCCTTTGTTGTGTACTTCACCTGTCTTTAAGAGGTTGGGCTATGAAACTGAGGTTGTACTTTAGAAAGATACGAGCAAATGGCTTTTCACTTACTCAACACATCACTAGAATAAAAGAATTGTGCATGTGTGCAGAAAGGCGTTTGGTAATATTTTGGAAAATACTTTGCAAATTGGTTCAGTCAGGACATGGTGAGTAAGTCAGAATCACATTCTGCAAGCTGGTTTGCTATGCTTCCCCACCTCCCGAAGGCAGTTTGTGGTGGATCAGTGCTCTTCACTTTCTAGGGGCTTTTGAGTCTTTCAGCTGTAGCAGTTTGAGAAAGAGCTCAGCAGCAGACCATGTGCATTGCATGCCAAAGGTTCAGTCCTACACATCTCTAGATAGGGCTGGAAAAGACACCTGTCACCCTGAAAATCTGCTGCCCATCAGATGTGGGGAGCATTTGGCCCTCCAGGTGTCACACATGAATGCCAGCAAGCATGGGTAATGGCCAGGGATGGTGGGAATTGTATTTCAGCAACATCTGGAAGGCCAAAGGTTCTACACATCTGGCATAGACGACCCAAAGCTAGATGGTCCAGTAGTCTGATTTACTACGTCAGCTTTCTTGAACTATAACGTATAGACTGTAATCCCCAAAACTACACCAGATCCTTAGTCCTACTATCTTCATTGAGAATAAGGAGTCTTAAGTGGCTAGAATAGCTTATGTATCTTGCATTATCTTACTCTCAGCATAAACAGACCCTCAAAAGAATGACTCCATCCCTCTAAATTGACATCTCTGAGATGGGCTTCCAACTTTGTTTCTGTGCTAATGAATCATCTTGCTTGTGTCTTGTTTCAGTGGCATTCCAGAGACTGTACCAATATCATGCGTTAACAGGCAGTGCTCATCTGGGTTGCAAGCTCTGATCAATATAGCTGGTAAGAAGGGAGCTGGTGACTGGGCTTGATGGCAAAAAGCTCATGAAAATTCTGCATTCAAAGTAAATTCTGCATTTCAGTAATTCTGACATATTCCTGTTAAGCATGGGGTATGCCTATTTTGTATCTTTGATTAATAGTTTAAGTTTTGCAGAGTCTGGATGTGTGGTGTAATGTGATTGATGTGTATAAAGGAATATATTGAGGCTGGGAGGAGAGGCACTGGTAGCAATACAGGATAGAGAAGTTGTCTCCTTCCCCCACAAATGTTTTTGCAGGCATTGCATGCACACTTTCAAATACAATTTCACATTTAAGAACTTAAGACACCCCCCCAGATTCTCAGGAATGTGTATATTGTAGCACATAAGGAGCTTGCCTCAAAATTCTGCACTTGTGGCTTTTCAGAGGCCTGGTTAATCTTAGTGCTTTTGAAAATCCTGATCAAAGCAAGTGTCAGCTTGGCATGTGAAGACTTAAATTCCTGGAGCTGAACTTCCTGTGCAGTTTGTATATTGACTCGTGTTGCTAGATGGAGTTAATATTCCTAGACCAATAAGTTTCTTTCCATGAAGATCTGGGTGTGTTCATTATTATTTTTTACATTTCTATACTGCCCTTCAGTCTATACTGCCCTTCACGGGGCAGTTTAGAATACAAACACAAAAATACATACCATAAAAACAAACACACACACACACACACACACACACCCGTTTAAAAGGATATAGATTGTGTACTTAGCCAAAGGCCTGGGAGAAGAGGAATGTTTTTGCCTGGTGCCTAAAGATATGTAATGAAGGCAACAGAAGAGGCTCCTTGTAGTTAGTAGCTAAAGGAATCAACTTTACTGAGATTTGTAAATTCTTAATAATATTAATCAGGTTGGAGAATAAGTGAAGTGTTTTAGTTCCCAGAATATGTAATCCCCTCTGTCTGTGCAATATTGGTGAGAGGGGTGCTCATCAAGGTTGATCTTAAATTATTGCTTGTTTTATTTGTAGGTGGCATCAGAAATGGAGCTTACGACATGGGCTTGGCCTGTGGGTAAGGCGAGTCTTTTCACGAACTTCCCTTGCTAGTCTGTAACCTCAGTCACGTTCTCTTCACAGATCATATAGTATTTTATCGAGTGAGGCAGCCGGTACAGAAGGGGGAGCTTTTTCCATTCTGGCATTTTAGGAATGTAAAAACACCCTCCGTGTTTCATGCTAGCAATGGCAAAGCAATGTTTGCACTAGACTAAAACACCCGAATCCATTATGGAAACTTGTGGGTCTGATGCAACTTCCACTTAAATTTGATTTATAATTTACTTAGGGCGGTTCTACTTAATCCAATTGACATTCCTCCCCATTGAAACTTGTGATTTGAAGCCTGGCCTTATAGGTGTTACGTTTCACTGTGTGTTTTATGAAAATCAGTAGGATAGTCAGTAGCACAGATATCTTCCACCTGCTAATCCTGTTCCTAGGATTAAGTCCTAGGTTTTTCCAGGATGTTGTAGAGCACAGGTTGCTATTCATTGGCTCTCAAGTACCTGTAGCAGTTCATAGCAGGGATAATGAGTCTGTGTCGTCTTCCAAGTCATGTGGCTACCAGTAGTAGTTTGTGAGACAGTCAACTTGCAGCACCTCTTTCCTCTCCCATTATTTCTGTGACTACCTGTTCAAACAGTCCCACAATGGTAGCCTACAGAGAGAGTCTTCCAGAAAGCTAGAGGTATCTGTGTATCCTTCCAGCCTCCACTCATTCCACATGTGGTGTGGCTGAAGTTTTTTAGCAGTAACAGGCAGACGTTTTAAGTCCACGTGGTTTTACAACCTCTGTAAAAAACCATTTAAGTCAGACTGCAATAAACTTGCGTGCTCTTGAACTGTGTGCATCTGTATTGTGCACCGTGACTTGCAAGACGAATGCCTCGCAAGACAAAAAACTCGCTAGACGAAAGGGTTTTTTGTTTTTTGAGCTGCTTCGCAAGACGATTTTCGCTATGGGCTTGCTTCGCAAGACGGAAACGTCTTGCAAGTTTGTTTCCTTTTCTTAACACCGTTAATACAGTTGCGACTTGACTTCGAGGAGCAACTCATAGAACGCAGTGTGGTAGCCTTTTTTGAGGTTTTTAAAGACTTTGGTGATTTTTGAAGCTTTTCCAAAACTTTCCCGACACCGTGCTTCGCAAGACGAAAAAAATCGCAAGACGACAAAACTCGTGGAACGAATTAATTTTGTCTTGCGAGGCACCACTGTAACTCTCTTCTTCAGTTCCACTTCTGTGAAATGGCAGGCCTCACAGGATGACTGGTTGTTACAGGGTCAAAACGCCCCTTATGCTAGTGTAAGAGATGAACCCATGAAGCGCTGTACTCAAGCTCCTTAGGTTTTACTCTCTGAAAATAAGTGTTGGGGTGATCAAGTGGGTGTGGTATTCAGACCTAGTGTAGTCCTCCTAGTCCTGAGCTTGCTGGTTGAGGTCATTCTTCAGACTCAGTTTTCAGTCCAGTTTTGCAGGGCCTTTTGAAAGTGGGCTGCTTGCATTCTTTGGAGGTCCAAGTGCTGCCACACACAATTTCCTGATTATAGCATAAAAGCCATTCCTGTGGGAGGGGATGTTTACATGTTTCAGCTTTATACTGCTTAGGATCACACCCTTGTTATAATCTAGGCTTCGTAGCTTGGTCTTAATTTTGCAATGACATGTGTTGCGAAAGCATAGCTTGCAAATGCTAGGCCAGAAAAATGTAGGACAAAGGCTGATCTGGGATTCCGAAACTGAGCACTTTGACCTTCAGTTCCTGTTGAGCAGTGCAGGCCAAGAGTTGCCACTTGTGAGTGGCTTTGTATTGATTTCTCCGGGAAAGACTCGCTAAGCCCACTTTTAAAAACTATGTAGAGAATTGCTGTAGTTAACCTACCAGCCTCCCTGGCAACATTGATCTGTTGTTTAATGCTATCAAGAGTTTAAAGTGTAGCCAGGAACTGCTCTTGCATCTGTACAGATTTCAGAACTGTTGACTTGGCAGATATGCTGCCCTTACAAATAAAAAGTGGTAGTTGATTCTTGTGAGCTGTAAACCTTTTGGTATCTTCTGGTCTGGGGCTGAAAACTGACACTGCAGACATTAAAAACCTGCTCTTTGGAAAATCCATGGCTTCATTGGGTGGCTTATTAGTTTTGTGGAGGCTGTTTGGCAACCAACCTTGCGCCATGGACTATTCAGTCTGACTGCTAAGACTCTGGGCTGATGGCTGTCATAAAATCAGGGTATGATGACATGCACAGCTTCTCTTGCTAAACATGTATTTTAAGACTGCATGTAGGAGCATTTCAGAAAATAATGCAAACAGTCTACCAGCTGGTGCAGAGTAAGATCTGAAGGCACCTAAGATCTTTAATGCTATCCTTCAACACACTGTTGCTTGGGAATGATTTCAATAGGATACTTCAGAGTTAATATAAATATAACTGAGGCGTCACAGTCTTTTTCAGAGTTCTGACCTGGTAGCACAGGACAGCTTTCCTCAACCTGGTTGCTCCCCTGATGTTTTGGACTTTGGCTCCCATCAGGTCCAGCAAGATTGTTTAATGAGTCAGGGATGTTATGAGTTATAGTCCAAAATGTTTAGAGGGCACCAATCCAAGGAAGGCTGGCAGAAATTGATACCGTTAGAGTGGAGAAGTAGCATCTTATACATGTCTACCTGGAAGTAGTCCAGTTGAGTTCAGTGGGGTTTACTCTCTGGTAAGTGGGTATAAGATTGCTGCTTCAAGTGATTTTTTCCAACAGGAAAAATATATGTAGGCAGCGAGTTTATATTTTGGTTATGTGCTCTCTTTATTTACTGTATTTTTCGCTCTATAAGACGCACTTTCCCCCTCCTAAATAGTAAGGGGAAATGTGTGTGTGTCTTATGGAGCGAATGCAGGCTGTGCAGCTATCCCTGAAGTCAGGAGAGTGAGAGGGATCAGTGCACACCAATCCCTCTCGCTCTCCTGGCTTCAGGGATAGCCGCCGAAAGCCTCCAGAGCGCAGGGATCGGTGCGCAGCGATACCTCTTGCTGTTCTGACCGCCTTGCTGGAGAGGTGCTGCACAGAGAGGGAGAGCTGTGCAGTGCCCCTTCAGCAAAGCGGGAGCGGAAACAGAGCCCCTTCCATTTCTCCTCCCACTTTACTGGAGAGCCGCTGCGCAGAGAGGGAGAGAAATTTTTTTTCCCCTTATTCTCCTCCTCTAAAACTAGGTGCGTCTTATGGTCAGGTGTGTCTTACAGAGCGAAAAATACGGTAATTCTTTTTTAGCGTTCCTATGAAAGCAGTTAGGTACTTGTCTCTTTTACTGATCCCTATATGGTTCTTTCATACATATGATATTTGCAAAAGCATTTCTGTCTCTCTGTTTTCCCTCCAGAGTAGAAAGCATGTCTCTGCGTACCGTCGGCAATCCTGGGGACGTCAGTTCTCGTATGATGGACAACAGCAACGCCAGAGATTGTCTTATCCCAATGGGGTAGGCGTTTTTATCTCTTCTTATGGTTTTAGGGGGGCTTTCTTGATGCTACAAGTGAGTTTCTGAGAAATTGTTAATTGTCAGGTTCCTGGTAAAGCTGATGAATGATGAAAGAGGCAAGTAAAAGGCATACAGCAAACATAACAGCAACTTGTGTACAGTAAAAAGTCAAAGTTTGCATGGAAGTTATGCATTTTGTATAAGTTGAGCAAACTCATCTGTTTTGTACGTGCTTGCCACTGGAGTAAGTTGTTTAAAGAAAGCAAAGACATGGTTGGTATTTTCCCAACATTTTGGCAACTATGTTTAGGCTACTCCAGTTCTTCTTTTTGCTATTGTTTTGTTGACTATAATTATTTTATTGCTGTGATTTTTACTTGCAATTTAAGAATTTGTATTGTTTTCATTGCTTTATGCAGACTGTTTTGAGGTCACTTTTGTTACAGAAAGCAGTACTATAAAAGTGTTTAATAAATATGTCTTCTTCAGCCAGTTGGTCTATTTTCCCTCCCCACTTCTTTTGATGTTTTTCATTGGGCATCGCTCACATATTTATAAGCTTAGTCTATGGACTGAAAACTTGCTTTTTTAGTAATGAAAGTTGTGATTCTTGGCGTGGCAGATCCTGAACATGCATGATTCTGGACCCCCTGGTTCTTTCGAAAGTCACATTGGTTCCACTCTTCCTTCACTTTCCTTAGAGAGACAAATATGCTCTGAACCAGTGGATTAATCCACCTGATAACTAATCTTGTTTTTCAGAATAACCTCAGAGAATGTAGCCGAAAGGTTTAACGTCACCCGGAAAAAGCAAGATGCCTTTGCCTTGGCTTCTCAGCAAAAGTAAGTGGTTGCTTTTCTCCTCCAGCTCCCAAAGAAATGGACTTTGGTTCTTTCCCACTTAGAAGCTGCCTGCATTCTGTGTCCTGCTTTCCACAGCCACTGCTTACGGTTCACCTGTGTCTATGCAAACACCAGCATCCCAAAGACAGAGCAGCTTACTGAATCCAGCATTTCTTAGTACATTCGTACCTTGGAAGTCGAACGGAATCTGTTCCCGAAGTCCATTCGACTTACGAAATGTTCAGAAACCAAAGCGTGGCTTCTGATTGGCTGCAGGGAGCTCCTGCAGCCAACTGGAAGTTGTGGAAGCCCCGTCAGACGTTTGGCTTCCAAAAACCGTTCACAAACCGGAACCACTCACTTCCTAAGCTGTTCGAAAACCATGGTATGACTATATTATGTGGCTGGGGAAACCCAGCCAGATGGATGGATTATAAATAATAAATTATTATTATTCTTATTATTATGTTTTGGCTAAGACAGCATTAAATCATGCTGTGTCATTCCTACAAAATGACCTGTTTGGTTCAGTGGTTTATCCAGGTTGCCCTGATTATATAACATAGTGGCTCACAGCAGGGACTTTGCTTTTTGGTTGCGTTCCTAGTGCGTAGTTGGAGAAGTCGCTTCCAAGCCAAATGCCCTTTAGAACTTGGCCTTCCTCCCAGGGAATTCAAGGTTCAAGCCTTTCTCCTTGCCATTGCGATGGCACCACCAATCATAGCAGTTCGTGCATTCACACCCTCCCTCTTGCTTGCTTGTGCCTGGGGGGCTAGTCCTGATATGCATAGAGGGGAAATAATGTCTTCTTGCCCACCCCTTTCTCCTCAGTTTGACTTGTGCTCTGGTAGGAACTCCAGAAACTGCATTCACACCAATTCATGCCATTGGTCCTGCCAGCTCAGTAATAGCTACAATGAATCTGGCGCTCTCGGGCTTCAAGCATAGCTCTTTCCCAGCTGTCCCATGGACTTGGTAGGGACCTGGGCTTTGCTGCTGATCTATGGCCTTTTCTGGTGTGTGTCAAACGTTGTGTAGCTTAGCTGGCTCGATTCATGCGGTGCTGCTTGCTCTGCAGGCACAGGAATGCAGTGCACCTACTTTCCAAATGAAAGATATTGTCGCTTGGGTTCTGCAGCTCGATCTGACTGTGCCTTTGAGCCAGTTAATTGAAGTCTTTCAGTTCTGCTTAGGAAGACAAATGTTTTGTATTTTGCCTGGCATGAGCAGACGCTATGGTGCTAGCTTTGGCTTGTATGCAGAACATGGAAGGCAGTAATCTTAACGGATCAGTCTTTGCTGCAGTGTAGGGCTGTAAAAGTTTGTAGACCTGTTTGTGTTTGTCTTAGGTTTGTGTTTGTCATCCTGTCGGATGGAAGAGCTTTGTGGAACCTGTGCAGGCTCGAATGGTCAAGGATCATCTAATAAATTGCCATAGTTTAGCATCTCAAGTGCCAGTGTTTGAGACTAGGAATAGAGTGTTTGTATAAAGTCAGATCTATAAAGCCGTCTCACATAAACATCCTCACAAAACACCATTGAAATGAGTGGAAACCTTGCAGTCAAATGGAAGGGGTCCCAGACCAGCAAACATTGCTTGGACTCCTCTTAGAGCAAGCATGGACAACAACTCCTGCTCCCTTCCTGTGCTAACATAGGTGATGTTATTTAAATGTCTTTCATACAGCTTTAGGAGCACACATTCTTATTTTGTGCCTTCACCCTGTGCTTAGTACACAGCAATGTTCTGAAAAATGTGCAAAAAAGTACATTTGTGCTTCCAGAGCAGCTCGAGCCCAGCAGATGGGGTGGTTTAAAGATGAGATTGTCCCTGTCACCACCACCTTCACGGATGACCAGGGCCAAGAGAAGACGATCACTGTGCTCCAAGATGAAGGGGTCAGGCCAAGCACCACGCTGGAGGGGTTGGCGAAGCTAAAGCCGGCCTTCAAGGAGAATGGCACCACGACTGCTGGTAAGTACCAGGAGCAGAGGCCAAATTAACAGGAGATGAAGCAACTGGAGGCATTTGTAACTTGTGCCAAGGAGTCTTCTCTATTTGCAGTTATGCACGTTGGTGAAACGTGCCAGTTCAGTCTCATTGGTTTGGCTGTTATTTACGTAATGCTTAGTAGCTGCAAGATGCAAAGTGCTGTTAACAGCAGAGGAAGAAAAACCTGTTTGAAATAATGAAGCCAGTGGTGACTTGCGTTTGGAAGGAGCCATAGCTCAGTGGTGGAATGCATAATTTACACTCTAGAGCAGGCATTCCCAAACTTGGGTTTCCAGCTGTTTTGGGGCTACAACTCCCATCATCCCTAGTTAGCCGGACCAGTGGTCAGGGATGATGGGAATTGTAGCTCAGAACAGCTGGACACCCCAGCATCTCCATCTTAATAGGAAGGGCCACTGCCAGTCAGAGTAGACAATACTGGGTTCTATGGACAGATCATCTGACCTGGTATAAAGCACCTTTCCACCCATAATATGGACTAGGTTGTTTCTTTTATTATGTTTAAGGAAACAGATAAAATTGCTCTAAAAGGGTTATTAACGGTGGAAGCTTGTGTGCGTGTTTGAAGCGGGGTTGTGGGAAAGAAATAGTGATACATTAGATGGGAAGGCATAGGCAACAATTCCTGAACATTGCAGAGTTTTGCAGCCAATGCAATTCTCAGTCAGTATCAGATTCTATACAAAATAAAGAGACCAACTAAGTTTGTTATTGGCGCTTTCGTCTGCATGCACACTTTTTCAGAAGTGTGAAGAAGTGTGCATGCACATGAAAGCTCCAATAACAAACTTAGTTGGTCTCTAAGGTGCTACTGGAAGGAATTTTTTAATTTTGTTTCGACTACGGCAGAACAACACAGCTACCTACCTGTATCAGATTCTATGATTCCCACATTTGGAGGCCAGCAAAAAAAGAAGTAAACAGTATATTGATCCTCTCTGAAGGCTGTTGGTTAGTTCTGCTCTGAATAGCTGCCAGCAGCACTGGTCACAGTAGCTGCAAATGAATCCTGATGTTGCTGGATTTCTGTGTCAAAGATCACCACTACAGGCAACAGAAACTCCTGTGACCACATTAACTTAGGCCTGCAAATGGCTGGGAACAGACATAGTCTTAATCTCCCCCCAACCTTTGGTAGAGTTGTGTCATAACTAACAGGTTTGTGCTGGGCTTGCCAGCATTCTGTGTAACTAAACTTGCCTCACAGTGCTGAAACCTTGCCCTGGCGTGGGAAATCTCTCGCCACAGGTAATTCCAGCCAAGTTAGTGACGGTGCTGCTGCGGTTCTCCTGGCCAGACGTTCCAGAGCTTCCCAGCTGGGCCTTCCCATCCTCGGGGTGCTGAGGTCGTGTGCAATCGTTGGCGTTCCACCTGATGTCATGGGCATAGGACCAGCCTATGCCATTCCAGTGGCGTTGGAAAAGGCTGGTAAGTTAACCTCGGGCCAGGGGATGCCAGCCTTTTAGGACCAATGGGCACATTTTGGATTTTGAGTAAGTGCTGTGGGTACCAGTCACAAAAGGGCTGCCATGGAGCATGGCATGATAAACAAAATGGAGAGGGTATGGTTTTTGCCGCTGTCCACCCCCCACCCAGAAAACCCGAGGCTTACAGTAGGAAGTCCACTATGTCCTACCGGTGGGGATCACAAATATTAATTTCATCAACACAAACTGTGATGCCACTGATACCTAGTAACAGGGAGAATTTACCAGTAGCAGGAAAAATACAGAAGGTGACTGTTCTTCACTCACTCTCGTGCACATACCTCACACACACAAACAAACCACGGACACACAAGCATCTCTAACTCTTGCACAGACACTTCAGATATTTCTCCCTCTTTCTGCCCAAGTTCATTTTCTCTCCCCCTCTCTCTCCCACCCTATATTCATATTTCCCTCCCATATCTTGGGGGGATGAGTCAAACACTGAAAGGGTGGAGCAGGCTAATTTCACAATGAATTGCAACAGTGGTGTTACGAATATTAACTGGAAAGGTTTACTTTGGCATCTTCTCTCTCTCTAACCTGCAGGTTTGACTGTGAAAGATATTGACGTATTTGAAATCAACGAGGCCTTTGCTAGTCAGGTGAGATTTGCCCATTCTGTTCCACTTCATTTTTAGGGTGGGGTAGGGAGAAGCCCTTTTCTCTGTATTGGGACCAAATGGATTTAGGTTTTTCCAGAGGTGATGGACTTAGGTGAAAGCAAAAGGGCTCATTACTTCTCTTGCAATGCATCTGTATTAAAAGCATCTTGGATAGATGAAAAATGCAAAAAAAGGGCTTTCTAGTCGCAATAATTAAGAGGTAGACCGCATTTAAGGTTCTTGTAGCCCCTGGATAATGGGCGTCCAGTCCCTCAGGCCCACACATAACAGTTCCTGTATGCCCCATTCTACACACAGCCTGGGCTGAAAACGTGTGCACCTATCCTTTATCAGGCTATTCGTTCTTCCTTGCAGCCTCCCCTGCCATGGTCTCCCTTGATCTTACCCAACCGATTTGGCTTGAACTGGACTACGGGGCTTTAAGCAGTAGCGTTTCAGGGATGTGTGAAACCAGTTTGCACAGCGTTGCTGCAATTCATCCACCCTTCCCCATGGAACCCTTTTCAAGGCCCTGGAAGTGGCAGAGGCAGCAGCAGCAGCACTGTGATGAGGGTGCAAGAATGGGTTTCACGCAAGAGCTCTTTGCTGCCGTCAGAGTTTTAATTGAAGGTCCACCTTCAGCAGGGACGCGGGTGGCGCTGTGGGTAAAACCTCAGCGCCTAGGACTTGCCGATCGCATGGTCGGCGGTTCGAATCCCCGCAGTGGGGTGAGCTCCCGTCGTTCAGTCCCAGCTCCTGCCCACCTAGCAGTTTGAAAGCACCCCTAAGTGCAAGTAGATAAATAGGTACCGCTTTATAGCGGGAAGGTAAACGGCGTTTCCGTGTGCTGCGCTGGTGCCGGCTCGCCAGAGCAGCTTCGTCACGCTGGGCACGTGACCCGGAAGTGTCTGAGGACAGCGCTGGCTCCTGGCCTCTAGAATGAGATGAGCGCACAACCCTAGAGTCTGTCAAGACTGGCCCGTACGGGCAGGGGTACCTTTACCTTTACCTTTACCACCTTCAGCATTGGGAACTGAACATCCTACTTCCAATTAAACATGCTCCCCACTTTTAATATTGTTAATTTGCACCAGGACTTGCAAGAAGAAGAATACCGTTCCCTGTGGTGTTCACTTGGCAAATGAAAGGAGGAGTTGGACAGAACCCACATTCCCCTTCTCCCAGCTTTCTGTTTTGAGGAGACTGTGGAATTGCTTAGTAGCAGCTGGTCCTCTAAGTCGGGAGCTTCTTGGAACTGCATTTATTTTTGCCACTCCAGGGATGTTTCTCCTAGTCGGGCTGGAGGAATAGGGTTAGAGCGTCCCTTCCTCACCACTCCTTGCACATCCCTCCCAAAGCTTCGATATTTATAATGTGTGAGTAGTAGAAATCCAGCACATACCATAGGGGTGCTCATATTCCTTGGCCATGCGTTTATTCAGGTAATTCTCGTGTTCACCTAGCTTGCTTCGTTATATGCAGAGACGGAGAAAACAGGAAGAGGCGACTTGCGTAACTCTATTCAGTTGCTTTAAAATGTTGAATCTCCTTAAGAAGTCTTAAGGTGGGAGATTCAGATGTTGAGACCCCTGGCTAAGTGGAGGTAACACTGACTGGTGTTTCTGCAGGCTGTCTACTGTGTGGAGAAGCTTGGCATCCCCATGGAGAAGGTCAATCCCCTTGGTGGGGCCATTGCTTTGGGGCACCCTCTGGGCTGCACTGGGGCACGGCAGGTGGTCACTCTGCTCAACGAGCTGAAGCGTAGGGGGAAGAGGTGAGTGTGGAGTCACTTGCATTAACTCTTAACTTTGAAGTATGTATTGATGCTGCATGTTGCTAAAGAAAGACGTACTTTTTTATGCCCCTGGTGCTGGAGGGGTTTGTGTAGGTGGTTTCCCAACTGGTGAAACTTGTTCAGGAGTTACAACTATCGCAAAGCTTTCTTACGCAAGTTCTAACTGGCAGGAAGAAATGTAAGACACATCAAAGGACTTTGTTATTGCATGTGTCAACAGTTTGTGGAGCTGTTGGTGTTAGTGCCTTTTGGGGCAGACTTTTTGATTGGTCCCTGCCACTTCTCCTTAAACTTGCAATCCAAGTGTACTGTTAGGTTCTACTGCAGTAAACACCTATTTCTCTCTCCCTCCCCAAATCTCAGTAACTGAAATGATTTTGAAAGCAACTTCCCCCAATCTTTGGATAGCCAAGATGTGCATGCTCTAGTTTTCTCTCGTACACTGCTTTGGGTATGTCCAAGCAGTAAATCATACAGAGACACATCAGGCAGCCTCTGGGCTGAGTACTTCTGAATAAATCTAGCTCTTGCAGCACACAGTTTAGGAATATTGGGCTGAAGTATCTCAGGTGGCAGGAACTGCATTCAGCTGCCATTGTGCCACTTATTCCAGTTGTCACGTAGGGCAGAAGAGTTAGCTGGTTTTAGTCTGTGTTGCAAATTCTGACCTGTGTGACCATGAATCGGAGTATGAGTTCAAAAGTAGTCAGTTTCTAAAACCATGTCCGATGAAACTAGAGAATGCAAACAGAGTTAGGCACTAACTTGTGTCCTTCTTTCAGAGGATATGGCGTGGTCTCCATGTGCATTGGAACAGGGATGGGAGCAGCTGCGGTGTTCGAGTACCCTGGAAAGTGAACAGAACTCTGGCCTGCTTAACAGCTGGAAGTTTCCAGCACCTCCCCCCAAATGATTCATGAATCGGTCCAATGAAAAGATGCTCAGGTAGCCTGCAGGTGGGATACATGCCACAGCGCTCTAGTTCAGTCGTCCCTCTTTGCAGCCTTCCAGCTAAATCTTGCACAGGGATGGCATGACAAGAGAGGCTTTGGGTAGGCAGGATGGGACTCAGTGTCATAAATCTTGACCTGTGCGGCAGAACAAGTTGAGTACCCATTCCTGAGGGGAATTCTGCCTAAAGGGACTAATTATGTATTTGGGAGCAGGCTCCAGTAGCACTGGCTTCTTCAGTTAGCCAGCCTAACTCTGCGACACAAGCATCAGTCAGTAGAGGTCCTCTTAGGACTGACTGATAAAAGGTACAGGTTGATATAGCACTGTTGAAACAGAGGAGGGCTGTGGCTTTCCTTTCCTTAGGGAACGTCTACGGGAAGGTGACTTAATAATTAGAGTTCAAAAGCTTACTTTTGGTGGCTCCAAGTGCCCCCCCCAATATGCTAATACAGTGGTACCTCGGGTTAAGAGCTTAATTCGTTCCAGAGGTCCGTACTTAACCTGAAACTGTTCTTAACCAGAAGCACCGCTTTAGCTAATGGGGCCTCCCACTGCTGCCGGAGCACGATTTCTGTTCTCATCCTGAAGCAAAGTTCTTAACCTGAAGCACTATTTCTGGGTTAGCAGAGTCTTCAACCTGAAGCGTATGTAACCCGAGGTACCACTGTAACTCCTAAAACATTCCTGCCAATATTATGCCAGGTCAGAAGTTTACACTGATCATTAAGGATTTTAACCAATTAATGAAATTTCATTAATGAAAACCTCAGTATGGCTGCCTTTGCGAGACACCTAGTGTCAGAACCTGCGCCTTTAATAGCAACTAAATAATAAAGTTTTCTAATAACTACTGTTTTCTAGTCCTGATTTATAAAAATGCAACAGCTCGCCTCTCTTAGGATCTTACTAACATTCTGTTTTAAATTTGAAGGCTCGGCTTCTTAGTTCAGAAATCAAGCCTTCACACTCAAGTCAACAGAAATAATGGCCTTTTATTTTCTACTATACATCACCAAAAACCAGGTAAACCTACTGGAAAACTGGTTGGGCACTTTACGTTTTGCGCATTTCTTCATACTTCTCATCATACGATCCTTTTCCCCGGACGTAGAGCAGGCAGGGTGCCTCTCCCAGCATCCCAACAACTGTGATTATGGTTTGATATTCCACATCCTCCCTGTTTAAAGGGAAAGAAACACAATCCAGGAAGGCGGGTGGAAGCCTGCTAGTCTTAGAGCTGCCTACTAGTGGCGATGTCACGCCACGTACATTTAAACTCCTCTCCCAGAGGGATTTCCAGCCACAGACACTGATGGCAGCATGCGAGCAAGCCCTGAATGTATGCAGTTACTCTATACTTTGGAAGGTAGAAGTAGCAGGATCAAGCTCTTGCTTACTTAATTTATGTGGTACTCTGCCAGTTAAAATCTTGCAACTGTATGCTAGCTGTGTTGCACTCCTGATTTTAAACCCCCCATGCCCAAGTGGATAAAGAAAACTTGCTGCTGTATCTGCCTCAAGTCTTTTAGGGCAGCGCTAACTCACCCTCCAGCCTTCCAGAGGTTGCTGGAAACTGGACTTCAGAATCCAACATCTGGAGGGGGCAAAGGTTAGTAACCCTTGTTTTGGGAGGTTACTGGAAGTGGTGAATTTAGCTTTATAATGTGCCCTAATTCTAGCTCCTTGACACAATTTATATTTAATACGCAAGTATTGCTCTCTGAGCTAGAGAGCCCATCTGCCCTAAGATACTTCTGCAGCTACTGCTTTCTTGTACACTGAAGACTCATAGGTTACCCTTTTGTATGGAAAACAGGTCTGCTCCAGCTACCTCCCCACTGTCAGTGTGAACTGCAAAAGTTATCAGAGGAGGCGCTTAGGAATGCAGTCACTGCAGCCAATACACAAGGAAACATGGTTTCATAAAGCCCCCCTAATTTACCAACAGGTTGGCAGCTTTGGTGGTAACCCTACAAAAGCCATGCAGAACATTAACTCGCTTCATGTCCTACCTTGGGGTGAAGCGAACCACCAGAAGTGTTTTGGTAGGCACGCTACTTTGATGTGCTTCAAGAACGCCGTTATTTGGGGAGATGGAAAACACTTCAGGTTCTTTGTGCCGCTCATTTTTATCTGTAAGAGGAAGTGAAAGAGCAAAAGGTATATTGACATTCTTAATGAAAAGAAAGCCTCACTAACGTCTACTCGCATCTTTACCAGTTGAATAAAATGGCCACTCGGCTTCTGAGAAAGTTGCTAACAGTTGTCCTGGCTTCCAGTCTACTGAATTCATTACTCTAATTTATCCAAAATTGTTTTGAAAATACACTGCAGTTTGCAAATGTGTGTCCTTCATTCTAATGCACCATTAACACAATGAGCTCCCACCTTTTTTTGGCAGAAAGGAGATCTACACATGTTCTAAATTAAACAGATTCTATGATTTTGTTAAAAAATAAATGGACATTCTCACAATGCAGCTTCCAAGCATATGAGCCTTCTTAACAGAGTGGGAGATGTCAACCTCCCAATTTCTCTTACCTAGCAAAGCTGTCCAGTAGCTCCTGCATCCACTTGTATTCATCACAAGGACAGCTTCGGACCTCGTTTGATTAACAAGGCAGATTTCAAAATCAATCGTGTCACAAGAGAGCCCAAGTACTGGGACAGTGAGGTATGCAGCCATGGGCAGTGCCTGCAAAGGTATAAAACAGGGCAAGAGCCTTTGATAAAGGAGGAATTGTGCATTGACAAGGCAAAGCAGACTGGGAAGACGATAGGCCAGAGCTGATCTATGGTAATTGCCCATATACATAAGATGTTAAGCTAGCTTGGTGCAAGCATCCCAGAGCATTTCTAGTGCAGCTTCTAGGTGTGGACACCAGATCTCTTTGGATGCTTAAAAAATAACAGCTAAAATTCTGGGGGTGAGTTGTGGGATTACACACACTCTCCCCTGTCTAAGTATAACTCTCCCAAGCTGGGTAAGCATTTCTGCCAGCGCCAGTGGTTAACCAGGATCCAACCTACCCATAAAGTACATTCAGATGGACCTCCACACAGGAGCCAGTGTTTTCTGCGGTTTTGTTTGTTTCTGCTGCAGGGTAAGAGCAGAAATCTTAAGATTGCTGCTCTGGGCAACAGCTTCCTAACCGCCAATCGGCTCTACGCACAACCAGACACTGCTGCGGTCAGGGAGACCTTGTTGCTCTTGCAATTCAGTTTGGCAGTCCATATTTCTGGCCAAAAAAAGAAGTGGGTACGGCAAGGAAGACATGTCTGCTCAGCCACCCACCCCTCTTAAAGATCAAACTTGTACTTAAAAACTAATAAGCTTTGGAAGACTAGTAACTGGTCTGGGGGTTAATAAATCTGTCCTGCCAAAGGTTGTGTATAAAATAACTTTAAAATATGAAAGAAGGTTGCAACAATATGTGGTAAAGTGGGCTTAAGCAGGTAGAGGCAGTAAATCAATATATTCCCATACTTGCATTGGCATATTTCAAAGTACAGGTGATAAGCAAAATGTGTGTAAGTGGGTAGCCCTGTTGCAGTAAATACAGCTTCTTGCCCAACAGCAGCTGACCAGGGTAGCTCCCATATGCCATTGTGAAGCCCTTGCGAGTCTTTTTTTCTGGACTTTTGGCTCACTGACATCAATCTGCATACCTGGGTTGCTTTGTTACTGTATTCAATGATGAGATTTTGCTTAAACTCTAGGATTTTGTCTCCGTTCTCAAGCTGTAGCACTTGAAGCCCAGGCAGGAACTGGTCTTCCGGGAGATGTTGGTAGGTTAGTAACTCCAGAGATGTGTGGAATGACACCTTTACCTGTGTGTAAGCCAGGCCAAATATGTTAATGACAGAACCATGTTTGCAGGAAAAATGATGTGCTGTACATTATTATTATTATTAAAATTTGTATACTGCCCTATACCCGCAGATCTCAGAGTGGTTCACAGAATAAAATCACAATATAAAAACACAAAATACATAATCAAAATAAAAACAAACAACCCACTAAACCCCCCAAAAAACATTTTTAAAGGGTATTTGATGTCAATCAACCAAAGGCCTGGTTAAAGAGGAACGTTTTTGCCTGGCACCTAAAGGTGTACAATGAAGGTGCCAGGCAAACCTCCCTGAGGAGAGCATTCCACAGACAGGGAGCCACTGCAGAGAAGGCCCCGTTTTCGTGTTGCTGCCCTCCGGACCTCTCATGGAGGAGGCACACGAATAAGGGCCTCAGAGGATGATCTCAGGGGTCGGGTTGGTTCATATGGAATATGAGGTATTGCAGTCCAGTAAAACACAATGTCGTTATCTTTTACTGGATGAACTTCTCTCGGTGATCAGATAAGCAGGCTCTTGAATTACACAGAACTCTTGTTCACATAGAAGACAACAGAAGAAGCCAAGCCAGTCGTTCTGCATAGGGGAGTGGCTTGTTCAATTACCATATCGATGCTAATCAACCAGTACAAACAGGTTCCTACTTTTAAAAAAGGGGCCCTCTTTTGACCTGCAACACCAGTTCTCTTAATGATTATACTGAGTTTGAACTGAAGGGACTAAATGCAATTAAAAAATTTAAATGCAAAAAATGAGAAGGAGGGTGCTTCAGTGCGGTGACATTTATCTTTTAGCACTCCCTGCCACTGCGTATCAGACATGACATGCACCTTCTCTGTTGCCTTTCTGATGCCTGCTAAAGACATTCCTCTTTCAACACACCTTCTGAAGACTTTATCCCAATCGGGATCTTGGATTTGAACTGATTCTATGTGTGTGCTGCCTCTGTTTTAAACTGTTTTTATCTAATGAAAATAGTATTAAGTAATAATAATGACTTAAATAGACACTGGATAGTTTTCTCCTTTTCTTTGACAGAGTTCCTACTTCGAGATAGTAGTTTAAATGTTAAAACTTCATTGCAAAACGGCTTATGCTTCTAATCTGAAGCCCTGGTCTCCTTCCCTGGTCCGTGTCACTTTATTTCTTTATACTAGAACTTCGGTACCAGTGAAAGCAATGGGGCGTAAGTTTTACTTAGTCCGCATCCAATCCACTGCTGGTTAAGGCTTGAAGATGAACCTACCAGCATATTTTCCAGAGGATAGAGTAAAAGGTGCTGCTCCCCATTTTCACTGTCACTGTGGGGTATCTTCAGGTTCTTCTTGGGGTCAACGCCAGACACGGAGAAGGGCGTCGTCAAAACCAGCTTGAAGGACAGAGGAGTCTCTGTGTTGTTGGTGAGCTTCAGGTTAAGGGTTGTGGCTGACTGTGTCAGTACCTAAAGGATTGAGAGGGAGCATATACATAAAAGGGCATACATACCATCTATTAATTAATTAACTGCCCTATACCCAGGGGTCTCAGGGCGGTTCACAGAATAAAATCAATATATAAAATCAGCAATGGATTTTAAGTTTAAAAGTGTGATAGGCATATAAACATATAAAAACTTTAGACTAAGAAAAATGGCCCAAAGTCACCCATGGACCACGGTTTGGGAATTTTCTTAACAAACTAGATTGAATCGGGGGATGGTCTGTACCTATAGATCTGTGCGAGAATCTGGCGATAATACAGGTCGTCTTATGGTCTTTGCCTTATATTGTATATTGTATATTGTTTTAAATGTTTATTTTGCTATTGGGATTGTAGTTCCATTTGTGTATCTCATGCTGGTCTCTGACCGTAATAAATTTCATGTTCATATATAAAATCACAAAATACATAATAAAATTAAAATTAATTAATTAATATTATACTCATGCGATTCCCCACATATGTGCATTCAGCTCATGCACGGCTGCATATATCTGCAGGTGCTGGGAAATAAATAATTTCAAACTGTAAGAAAGGGCAAAAACAGCCCGAAAGCAATTTTTGTTGTTGCATGGCAGTGCTTAATTGTTGCCAGTCGCTAAGTGATTTGCGGGGAAGTGTTGAGAAACAAATGATCAAAATCAAACCCGCTTCCCATCCCCAGGTGACTCCATTTCCCTTACAATGCATCCCCGCACTGGATTCTCAGTGTGACTGTTTTCATGGTGCACTTTCAAAGCCTTGTTCCGTGAGGAGGAAAGACACAACTTTTCGAGGATCTCAAAAGTAGGAAAGGAATCGGGACTACTTACGCCCATGAGGGGCTCGTCTGGGATAAGGGCGCTGGCCAGAGCGTGAAACACCAATCCGCTCTCATGATCCATCTCAGCAGTTAGCCTGCAGGAAGAAAACCAAAGGCCGTTCAGTCTTGTCTAAGCAGGAGCGTAACCCACTAATGGGATTATATGTGGCACCTTCAGTGTAGAGCATGCCCACCGAGCTTGGCTCTGGACTGCTTTCAACAAGCTCTTAGAGCGGAATTATGAACAAGTCCATAAACTTTGCACTAGGCTGTAACGTCACGCACAGCTGTCTCAGTCATTGTGGCCTATAGGAGGAGGAAAGAGCCAACTTTTGTGTATCTTCTACTTGAGGTTTTAAAGTCAGAGCTGAGGAATCTCTGGCTTGGGGTTGAAGGAGACTCCCCAGTTTGTCCCGTCCCCCCCTTGGACTACAACTCCCATCACCCCTGCCCTTCTACTGTAGCCATAATTTTATTCATTGCTTGTATTTAGTACGGGTGTAATTTTATGACAGTAATTTGTTTACCACCTTTTAATAATAATAGAGCAGTTTATGAATGAAACGCAGTTCATTTCTCCTTTAGCTAAAGCAACTATAAAATGAATAAAGCAGTAAAACTCAAAGCTGCGTAAAGTAGCAAAGGAGTTCATAAAAGGCAAAATAAGATTGAGATTTTATTGTTGTTGTTTTTAAAAAAGGTATTTGCCTAGCAGAAAGAACCCCACCTCCATTTTGGGAAAGCTTTGGGCTCTGCTCAAGTTCCCTCTGGTCCATCACCTCTGTAGATTCCCAGGGTTCAAGGTGAGCTATCGCCACTCTCTTTCAGGAAATGGAGGCACGAAACCAGGTTTCCAGTCCCTGAAGGAACCGGACTTGTCCAACTCATTTGGGGTTGGGGGGGTAGCATTAATCCAAAAACAGTGACGAGAGTTCCTTCTCTGTTTCTGGATGATCAGAGTATCATCCCGGTCGTGAGGCATAGTGGCCATTCCAGGAGGTGCCCTTCTGGAAGAGAGCCAGTGTGGTGTAGTGGTTAAGAGCGGTAGTCTCGTAATCTGGGGAAATGGGTTCGCTTCCCCGCTCCTCCACATGCAGCTGCTGGGTGACCTTGGGCTAGTCACACTTCTCTGAAGTCTCTCAGCCCCACTCACCTCACATAGTGTTTGTTGTAGGGGAGGAAGGGAAAGGAGGATGTTAGCCGCTTTGAGACTCCTTTGGGTAGTGATAAAGCGGGATATCAAATCCAAACTCTTCTTCTTCACCACTCAACTTTTGCTTGTGCAGCTGTGAGCACCCAGCCCTCATTCTGTCCCAAAAGCCACCCCATCGCTTCAGATATGGCACTTACAAAGCTGGCTTGACAAACGCTTGCAGGTCAATCCGCAGAGGCGCGACGGCATAGCCGTCTCCACGAGTCACTTTCCCAGGGACGTTCCGAACAATCTGGTGGAGGGGAATAAAAACGTATCAATGGGGGTCCGTTGTGGACACTTAGAGCCGTGCTGAGCCTCCTCCGAGTGATGGGATGGGACGGGGCTGGGCTTAATTTGGGTTGCAGCTCAATTTGTGTTAAGGCCATTCTCGGGAGCGGGGGACAGGCAGGACCTGCCACGACCAGAGCACTTTGGATGGCAAGGTGTGGCTTCCCAAGATGGTTTCCATTTGAAAGAAAATGGCTTTGTTTGCACTGCAAGGTTGCCAGGGATCCTAGGTTACCATCTCAGTTTGTGCAAAGAGCTGGCCATGGAGCAGCGATGCAAGAAACTGGACCCATGCGAGGCTTCTGACCTGATAGGAGGTGATGGGGCTGTGTCACCATGAGTCTAACCTGCGTATCTGGTTGGGGCACCCGCTGGGGAAGACTCAGGGAATGAATCTGGCTTATGCTCATGGGCTGTCCTGAAAAACAGCACCATTCCTCAGCACACCTCTCTACTTCGGGAGGACTAGGTAGGATGACACATGGTGGTGGCAAGTGGGTGTTAGTTTGGGTAGGGCGGTGAGAGCAGGGTGCTGGACAAAGCCTAAGGAACACAACAAAGCTGGAAAAGAGAGGAGTCAGATGAGATGGGATGGATAAGGAGGGAAAGGAAAGGAAAGGCATTATTCTCTTATCCATACCCTGCTATCCAGGCTCATGAAGCCAAGGGCAAAACCTTCGCATTCAAACTTATTGATGATCTCTGGCAGCATCAGCGGAGTGAAGGAAATGTGGATGGCAGCAGAACCACCTGCAGGGACCACCTGGGCACAAACAGCTGATTAGGAACACTGAGACGGCAGGTGGTTCTGCATATCCAGGGGGGCTTGAGGTTTGTATTTCGGAAACAGCCGTCCCCTCCTCCACCCCCACATGTGGCAAACAACTTGTGAAGCTAGGGAGACTTCAAAAATATTCTGATTTTTGGGGAGAGAGGAAAGGTTGTGTTTTGAACCCCAGCTGCCTAGGATCAACCTCGTGTCCTGTTCCTGATGAGAGCCAGTTTTCTAAATATACGGAGCCCTCAGAGCTGAGATTGTAGGAGGTGGAGGGACCGCATTCTTAAATGCTCCGCCACATAGTGTGAAGTAGACTATTATGGGGAGTGTTTTCTACGGAGAAGCATTCAAAACAAGTAACTCTCCCCCGCACTTGTGATATCCTGAACCCGCATTGTAATCCAGAATCCAACCACTTCAGTCCATCACCTTGTTTTGAATAATATAATAATAAACAAAAAGCCAGCCCTGTGGAACGCTCTCCCATTAGATTTCAAGGAAATAAACAACTATCTGACTTTTAGAAGACATCTGAAGGCAGCCCTGTTTCGGGAAGCTTTTAATGTTTGATGTTTTGTTATGTTTTTATATTCTGTTGAAAGCTGCCCAGAGTGGCTGGGGGAACCCAGTCAGATGGGTAGCATATTATTATTATTATTATTATTATTATTATTATTATTAACTACTGTGGGTTAAACCACAGAGCCTAGGACTTGCTGATCAGAAGGTCAGCGGTTCAAATCCCCGCGGTCCCTGCTCCTGCCAACCTAACAGTTCGAAAGCACGTCAAAGTGCAAGTAGATAAATAGGTACCGCTCTGGTGGGAAGGTAAACGGCATTTCCGTGTGCTGCTCTGGTTCGCCAGAAGTGGCTTAGTCATGCTGGCCACATGACCCGGAAGCTGTATGCCGGCTCCCTCGGCCAGTAGAGCAAGATGAGCGCCGCAACCCCAGAGTCGGCCACGACTGGACCTAATGGTCAGGGGTCCCCTTACCTTATTATTCTATTCTATTTGGAGAACACAGGAAAGGATTCATAAATACATGAACCCGCCCCCCCCCAAAGTTTAGCCCTTTCTTGTGTTGAAATCTCTCCTCCCTCCCTCTCTCCCATCTTTTCACCCCTTGGCTTCCAAGGTCACAGGAGGGAAGCTAGAACATACCACTTGCTTGGGAGTGATGCAGAAAGGGTAGTCGGAGGGCACCCCCTCGTGGGGCCGGATAACCACCGAGATTATTTTCTTGAGGACGGTCGGTTGCCAAGAGTCATCATCACTGCTGCTGCTGCTGCTTCCTCCTCCTCCTCCTTCATCGTCCTCCAAAATTGCATCTAGACTCTATGGCAATGAAAAACATGGGTTGTGAAGGATCAGAGAGGGAGGAAACTACAGTGGTACCTCGGGTTACATACGCTGCAGGTTACATATGCTTCAGGTTACAGACTCCACTAACTCAGAAATAGTACCTTGGGTTAAGAACTTTGCTTCAGGATAAGAATAGAAATCGTGCTCCGGCGGTGCAGCAGCAGCAGGAGGCCCCATTAGCTAAAGTGGTGCTTCAGGTTAAGAACAGTTTCAGCTTAAGAACGGACCTCTGGAACGAATTAAGTTCTTAACGCGAGGTACCGCTGTACATAAGAATAGCTTGCTGGAACAGGCCAGTGGCCCATGCAGCCCAGCATCCTGTTCTCATAGTGGCCAACTGGTATTCAGAACCACACCATTAAGTGTGACGATAGAAGGCCAGTAGCCACCAGAGTGGCATGTTATTCAGAATGGCAAAAGGGGCTTCTTCTACTTTTTAAACAGAATGGAAATCTAGGAAGGAAAGAAGGCCCTAGAGCAGCAGTTCTCAACCTGTGGGTCCCCAGATGATGTTGGACTACAACTCCCATCACCCCTAGCTAGCAAGGCCAGAGCTCAGGGATGATGGGAGTTGTAGTCCAACGACATCTGGGGAAGCACAGGTTGAGAAAGGCTGCCCTGGAGCATGAGGACATCCAATGAAGGTTCAGGATAGATAAAGGAAAGGACTTCTTCACTAGGGAACTTGGTCCTCCAGGAGGCAGTGATGCTCACCAACTTGGATGGCTTTAAAAGAGGATTGGACAAATTCACGGACGGCTATTGATGGCTACTAGTCAGGATGGCTGTGCTCTGCCTCCATCCTGGAGGCAGCAATGCTTCTGAACACCAGTTGCTGGAAGCCACAGGAGGGAAGAGTTGCTCTTGAGCTCAGGTCCTGCTTGCTGTTTTCCCACTGGCCACTGTGAGAACAGGAAGCTGGACTAGATGGGCCACTGGCCTGACCCAGCAGGCTCTTCTTAAGTTCAGAGGGAAAGCTAAACTCGTGAAGAGACACAGACGTCAAGACCAAGATGAACCACCTCGAATCAAGGCAGGAAATGGGCTGGGGCTGAGGAGGGCCGAGTCATGCCAACTGCCTTCAGGTGCATGTTCTGCCTCTGGACGACAGATGGAGCCATAACCCACACAATGGGCCTTCATCCCAGGAGAAAAAGTTGATTCTCTGCAATTCCACCCAGGTTGGCCTGGTCCACATGGAACATTAAACCACAGCTCAAAACAAACTATGGTGTCTCCTTTGCTCCTACGGTATCTGCTGCTCTTGCTGCACCTCCAGGATGTCTGAACCTGGGCTCGTGGTTTGCTCCTCTTAAAGAAAAACAACAATTGGAAGTGCAACCCCAGCCCTATGCAAAACTCTAGGTCCGGCATTTCCCAACCTGGTTTCCCTCCGGATGTTTTCAACTGCAACATTCCTCTGAGCCCTAACCAGCAAGGAGAACCCGGAGGCTGAGAGGGAGAGTGTGTCAGAAGGGAAATGAATTGATACTGACTTATAAAAGGTTTGGTGGTCACAGAAATCGGACAGTGAGAAATACATAAAGGTAAAGGTAAAGGTACCCCTGCCTGTACAGGCCAGTCTTGTCAGACTCTAGGGTTGTGCACTCATCTCACTTAAGAGGCCGGGAGCCGGCGCCATCCGAAGACACTTCCGGGTCACATGGCCAGCGTGATGAAGCTGCAACTGGCGAGCCAGCACCAGCGCAGCACACGGAAACGCTGTTTACCTTCCCGCTATAAAGCGGTACCTATTTATCTACTTGCACTTAGGGGTGCTTTCGAACTGCTAGGTGGGCAGGAGCTGGGACCGAAAGACGGGAGCTCACCCCGCCGCGGGGATTCGAACTGCCGACCATACGATCGGCAAGTCCTAGGCACTGAGGTTTTACCCACAGCGCCACCCGCGTCCCTCGAGAAATACATACAGGCCTTCAAAATAGCCCCCCCCCCGATACAATGCACGATTGACAACGTTTGTAGAACTGTTGGAAACTTCTGGAGAAGTCCTCTTCGTACTGCTTTCAGTTCCCTTGTCACAGCAGCTTGGACATGTGAAATGTTGGAAAATTAGTGCCCTTTCAGGGCAGATTTCCGTTTTGGAAAAAGAAATAAATCCGGTGGGGCCAGATCAGGAGAGTGGGACAACTCAGTAACCGCAGTAACGATTTCAAGCGGAATATGCAATTCTTCCACCATCATTCGGATGGACAAACGCCGATCCCACACCAATAACTCACGAACTCTGTCGACATCTGAAGCCGCCAGTCTTCCAGACCGAGGGTCATCTTCACTGGTTTGCCACCCTTCATGGAAACGCTTAAACCACTCATACACTGTCTTTCAAGTTACAGCTTCATCTCCATACACAATTGTGAGCATTTCGTGGGTTTCTGATGCCAACTGTATATTCAAATATTTCTTGCTGTCTGATTTCTGTGACCATCCACCGAACTTTCTGGTCACACATTGTATATATTACTAACTTTGTATTAATATAGCATTTTTATATGCAGCTGTGTCTTTTTGTAATATTTTAAGTCTGTCTGTTGTTGCTTCAGTTTTTTGTCCACCACTTAGATATATATTTTAATATATTAAGCAGCATAAAGGTAAAGGGACGCCTGATCATTAGGTCCAGTCGCGGACGACTCTGGGGTTGTGTGCTCATCTCGCTCTATAGGCCGAGGGAGCTGGCGTTTGTTCGCAGACAGCTTCCGGGTCATGTGGCCAGCATGACTAAGCCGCTTCTGGCGAACCAGAGCAGCGCACAGAAACGCTGTTTACCTTCCCTGCCGGAGTGGTACCTATTTATCTACTTGCACTTTGACGTGCTTTCAAACTGCTAGGTTGGCAGGAGCAGGGACCGAGTAATGGGAGCTCACCCCATCGTGGGGATTCGAACCGCCGACCTTCTGATCAGCAAGTCCTAGGCTCTGTGGTTTAACCCACAGCGCCACCCGCGTCCCTTTTATTAAGCAGTATAGAAATCAAATAATCTAATCGCAACAACATCTAGTGCTCACTAGGATGGAGAAGCCTGCTCTAGTTTCAAGCCTGGAAAGCAACACCACTGAAATGCAACTGGAAGGAAGGAGAGTTGTAAAGAACATTTGTGTTGAATTGCACGCACTCATGTGAGCATTCTTGCTTGTTTGACATTCATATCCAAGAGCTGCATGCAAGGCGCCTTCCTGCCTTTAAGGAAAACACTGCACAATAGATCCCTACCGGCACTTTCTCTGGGGGTGTTTCAGTCTCCCAGAGGACTTCAATCTCGTTGCCATCAAGGTCTCTAACAGGAAAAGGAGCTCCGTAGAAAACCAAGAGGTCCACCAGCTTGTCGTCATCTTTATCCTGGTTATAACTTTCCCAGTCCATTCGAATGTCTGGATTGAGAAAGAGGGGGGGGGATGCAGAAAGAAACTCAGAGTTGCTAAGGTTTTATAACCAAGGTTGAGCTTGTATTTGCATGCTCATCCTTCAGCAACGGCAACGTCAGAAGATGTCTTGCACGCGTGAAATAACTGTGACCAGGCAAGCGCCACAGACGAGAAAACTTGCATACTGCTCAACAGCATGTCTCAGTCAAAGCTGTGTGCAATGCTACAATGCACTGGGACTGGTGTAGAACAAAGCGACCTAAAGACCTCAGCTTTCTTTCCTTTTCATCAGGGGGTTTGGGCTGGGTGTCCATCAATATGCGGATGATACCCAGCTCTACCTCTCTTTTAAATTGGAACCAGTGAACACGGTGAAGGTCCTGTGTGAGTGTCTGGAGGTGGTTGGAGGATGGATGGCAGCTAACAGATTGAGGTTGAATTCTGACAAAACAGAAGTACTGTTTTGGGGGGGACAGCGCGCGGGTAGGTGTCGGGGACTCCCTGGTCCTGAATGGGGCAACTGTGCCTCTGAAGGAGCAGGTGCGCAGCCTGGGAGTCATTTTGGACTCGCAGCTGTCCATGGAGGCACAGGTCAATTCTGTGTCCAGGGCAGCTGTTTATCAGCTCCATCTGGTATGCAGGCTGAGACCCTATCTACTCGATTGTCTTGCCAGAGCGCATGCTCTGGTGCATGCTCTGGTTATCTCCTGCTTGGACTACTGCAATGCGCTCTATGTGGGGCTACCTTTGAAGGTGACCTGGGAACTACAACTAATCCAAAATGTGGCAGCTAGACTGGTGACTGGGAGCGGCCGCCGAAACCACATAACACCGGTCTTGAAAGACCTACTTTGTCTCCCAGTACGTTTCCAAGCACAATTCAAAGTGTTGGTGCTGATCTTTAAAGCCCTAAAAAGCCTCAGCCCAGTATACCTGAAGGAGCGTCTCCACACCCATTGTTCAACCCAGACACTGAGGTCCAGTGCCGAGGGCCTTTTGGTGGTTCCCTTACTGCAAGAAGCAAAGTTCCAAGGAACCAGGCAGAGGGCCTTCTTGGTAGTGGTGCCAGCTCTATGGAACACCCTCCCATCAGATGTTAAAGAAATTAACAACTATCTGATGTTCAGAAGACACCAGATGGGTGGGGTACAAATATTATTATTATTATTATTATTAAGCAGGTTTCTAATCCTCAAGGATGCAAAGACAACATTGGAAGTGGGCGAGCAGGGAAAAGTTCTCAGACCACAAAAATGCCCTTGGGATGTTCACCACAAAACCTCAGCCTATGGGACAGCATGGAGCCTTGAACCGCTGTTGGTTAACATGGAAATTCCAAAACTGCCGGGATTGTAGCTCATTCAGTATCCCCACAAAGGCAAGGAGAGCTCAGTGAAAGATGCTCAAAAGCTTCCTACTGGAACTGGTTGCTACTGGGCCTTTGCCATCGTCGCAGCAACAAAAACACTGTAATGCAGAAGTGGGGAAACTCAGGCCCATGAGACAAATATAAGCTGCTCCAAGTGTCTGCCTGGCGCCTGGAACTCCCCTCCCTTGCCCAAGTGTTTTGCTGAAAAGTGTCCTTGGACTCTGATAATGCTCCTTGCTTGGCTGGATGAAAAGAGAGGGGTGCATTAATATTTGCACAGCAGAAAGCAGCCTGCTGTGCAAAGGAACCACCGTATTTTTCACTCTATAGCAGTGTTCCCCAACCTTGGGCCTCCAGCTGTTTTTGGACTACAACTCCCATCATCCCTCGCTAGCAAGACCAGTCAGTGGTCAAGGATGATGGGAATTGTAGTCCAAAAACAGCTGGAGGCCCAAGGTTGGGGAACACTGCTCTATAGGACACGCCCGACCATAGGATGCACCTTGTTTTAGAGGGGGAGAACAAGAAAAATAAATCTCCCCCTCTGTTCAGCGCCCCTTCAGCGAAGCGGCAGGAGAAACACAGCCCCTTCCATTTCTCCTATCACTTAGCTGAAGGGGCGCTGCGCAGAGAGGGAAAGCTGTGCAGCGCCTCTCCAGCGAAGCAAAGCCAGGAGAGCAAGAGGGATCGGTGTGCACCGATCCGTCTCGCTCTCCTGGCTTCAGCGAAGCAACCTGAAGCCTCCTGCTCGGGCGGCTATCCCTGATGCCTGGAGAGCAAGAGGGATCGGTGTGCACCGATCCGTCTCGCTCTCCTGGCTTCAGCGAAGGCAACCCAAAGCCTTCGGAGTGCAGCGGGACTTTCCGCTGCGCTCCAGGGGCTTCAGGTTCCTTTCGCTGAATCCAGTAGAGTCTTGCTCTCCTGGCTTCAGTGAAAGCAACCCGAAGCCTCCGGAGCACGGAGGGAGTGCTCCCTCTGCGCTTCAGAGGTTTTGTGGTTGCTCTCGCTGAAGCCAAGGAGCCTGCATTCGCTCCATAAGACACACACACATTTCCCCTTAATTTTTGGAGGGGGAAAAGCGTGTCTTATAGAGCGAATAATACGGTAATGTACATTTATTGCTCTGCCTCTGGCCCCACTCAGGCCCCACTCGGTGCTGGGTTGGAAACAGGACCCCTGCTGTGGCCATAATGCTTCTCACAAAGGGCAAACATCCTCTTCGCTTACCAAAGGGGGTGGGGTTGTTGAGCCGGACGTATCGCGAGACTGTATCCCCTCCGGAGATGTGGGCCCCAAACCTGGAGAAGAAAAATGGGGTCACCTGGGTATGCATCACTTAAGTCTACGTTCTGGGTCTTTCTGTTGAAGGGGACATGCCTCTGCCACAAGGCTCTGCTCTCCTCCGGGGCAGCTGGGAACTGCCGCTGGGTCAGAAGGGCTTGGGAATCCTGACAGAGAATCCCCTTTAAAGGTGAACCTCCTTAAGTCGCACTTTTGGAAACAGAACGCAAATAGAAAACGCAGCTGTTCTTCAAAATAATCCCTGCTCCAAATTCTGCAGTGTGGTTCTTCAGCCAAGTAATGTATACAAAATTCAAACGCTAGGGCAAAGTGTGCATCAAAATGCACGTTACTGAAAATTACATACAAAAAATGCATTACATTAGGGAGAATCGAGATTAAAAAGAAACGTATGCTAGGCACAGAAAAATGTGCATACTAGAGAGAAATTCACAGAATGCTGGTGAATTTTCATACTTTTGACAATTTACAAACCAATGTGGAGAAGTGCACTTAAGATCTGAAAATGAGAAACTGAACGGGTTTTGCCCATCCTGAACGCAGACACAGCCTCAACTGCCTTGTGAAGAGCAGGTAGGTTTTTATCAGGCAGAGAGCCTTCTTGGTAGTGGTACCCACCCTGTGGAATCCCCTTCCACCAGATGTTAAACAGATAAAACAACTGCTCGAATTTCTGAAGGCAGCCCTGTATCGGGAAGTTTTTAATGTTTAATGTGTTTTTATATTATGTTGGAAAGCCTTCTAGAGGGGCTGGGGCAACCCAGTTAGATGGGTGGAGTGTAAGTAATATATTACTATTATTATTATACCTGATTACAGGCGTTGGCATTGGATGGCTGGGTCCTGTCATCTGCAAGAAGATTGGGCAGCCCTTCACAGTCATTTGGATGGGGATCAACATCGGCTCCGATTCCCCCACCTGTACAGAGAAATATTGTGCATGTAAGCAATGGAACCCAGCTGCTAAATCCTGAGGCCTCCTGGGAGACAAATGATTCACAGGCATTCTTTCCTTTTACATGCAAGAAAAGACTTGCTTATTGCAGGTAACTGACTGCGCTGAAGGGAATGTGCACACCTTCAGATGTCTGCCGCTTGTCACAACCTTGTGAACAAGGCTCAGTATACAGTTCCTCTTCCCACATCCAGACAAAGCCCAAGCAAACCACAAAGTGTCCGTCATTCTGAGCTCCAAACTCCTTGGGTGCGAACTAGGCCACCCATCAGCGACTCATACACCCATTTCCTTGGAAGTTAAGCTCCTCTTAGTACAGTGGGGGGCTCATCCTCTAGTAAGTGGAACACTCTGCCACAAGAGATCAGGGCCCTGCGGGATTTGACATCTTTCCGCAGGGCCTACAAGACGGAGTTGTCCCACCAGGCCTTTGGTCAGGGCTCAGCCTGACTCCCCTTCTCCTTTTGTATAAGAACTAGTATGAAAGAGGCCTCCCAGCATTCTCACAGGCCCATATAAGAACAGCGTAAACAGTTGGGCCTGATGAGCATTTCCTGTTCCCAACCCCAATCTTGCGGAAAGCCATCTAATTAGATTTTAATTTGATCCTGACTTGTTTTTGGGAGGTAATTTAATTATTGTTTGATTTTATACCAATGTTATATATTTGATGTTAGCCGCTCAGAGCCCAGTTTTGGCCAGGGAGGGTGGGATACAAATAAAAGTTTATTATTATTTATTATTAAGTTGGGGGTGGGCGCATTCCTATGCATGCTTACTCGAAAGCAAGCCCCACTCTGCTTAATGATGCTGAACTCTCAGTTAAGCTTCGGTCTTCCCAACCTCCAGGTCAGAGCTGCAACCCCTGGACCACGCACCTTACAGATGAGGGTGTCCTGGTATTGCCCCCACATGTTGTTATAAGCCGTTATATTGACCACAAGCTCCTCGAAGGCCTTCAGGATCCCCTCAGAGGGGTGTACATGGAAAGTCGCTCCCCTTCCGTGAGATAGCATGGCAGCTCTGAAGGCTGTAAGACCAGAGCAGATGAACAGTTTGGCAGCAAGGCAATGGGACTGGAATAGGAGAGCCTCTTGTTGGATCACATCCAGTGGCACTTTTTTCAATTTATCCCTGCATTCCCGCCACCCCCCGCCACTTACTCACAATGCATCTGAAAATATAGCAATGCCAGACTCTGCCTACCTGATTGTTTCCTCTTTGCAGCCTGCCTCGTTATTCGCCTTGTGGTTTCCACGACAGCTTTGGAGGAGCTTGGAAAAAGATGTCTCAGTGAGAACTCTGAAGGGTGCAGGGATTTCTTAAAATGTCATGCTTTAAGTTTTCAAGAGCCCGGTGCCCTCCATAGCTTGCTCCAACCAGGACAGCTGTGTTAGCCACTTGCCTGAGGCCAGCCAGGTGAATCAATATTTACTACTGAAAATGATTATCGTTCAGACTTAGCTAAAGGTAAATGTAAAGGGACCCCTGACCATTAGGTCCAGTCGTGACCGACTCTGGGGTTGGGGCGCTCATCTCGCTTTATTGGCCGAGGGAGCTGGCGTACAGCTCCCGGGTCATGTGGCCAGCATGACTAAGCCGCTTCTGGCGAACCAGAGCATTCTTTCTACTCACCGCTAATCAGGTTAAATGGAAGAAAAGGAGGCTTACACTTACAACAGAAAATATTTCTCCATCAAAAAACAATCCCCCGCAAACAGACTCTTGCATATAGGATCTAAGACTTACCCATCTTGTCCCTGTTCATCTGAGGGACGTGGACCTGGTTGGCTGAAATACTCAACCTCTACTGAGAACAGAGCAGCTAACTCAGAGTGATTGGTAATTATTAGCTGGTGTTTTATAACACTTTTCAATGCCACTTCCGAGCCAAAGTCTAGCATCAGATCTTGAGAAGATTCCGAATTATGCTCCTCAACACTGCAGAGAAACAGCAACAGACGCTAAATGGACTCCCTCGTTTGCCAGTGAGACACTTTCAGAGACATAACGGTTGTCAAAAGAAAGATGAATGTGAAAATGAGTGATTATATTGGGCTTCCATGAACAGTTTAGTGGAAATACAAGTAAAATGCTTCTTTATACCCTAGCTAATATAATCCGAAGAAAGCGTCATTTTGAGCCACTAGTAATTAATAGCTATATTTTACTAAGCTATTAACTGTAAGTTTCCTTCACCTGTCAGAAGGTATGGAGTAGGTGATTCTGAGCCCCTTAACTTCACCAGAAATTGCCAGAAATAGGGGGTCCAACATGTCTTCGATGCAACAGCAGAGGGCAAGGTCACTCAGTTTCTCCTGGCAGAAAAAGAATTAGACCTTCGTGTAAGAATCATCAACAGCAGGTCAGAGAGCAAATGTCATCAGGAGGACTAAATCTGGAGGGAACACTTCCAAGTCAGAAGCAAAAAGACACACCCATTTACTATGACAGACATATTGGAATGCAATGAACGAAGAAGAAAAAGGGAGAAAGGTTTTACCAAAACCAATTTTGCCATAGAAAAGAAAATGAATCGTAGTTTATTTGGCTACTGTTATGAGTTTGGGATGTTAACCTGTGTGCCAGGCCCTTCTAATCCATGTTTCCAGCAAGTCTTAAAATCTAACCAAGTCTCTAATTCCTGGAATAGCCGGGCTAGCCTCCTGGTGAAATGTAAGGAGAACGAAGGAAGGGGCTCTGTGGGACGTGGGAAATGGAAGAGGACCTTCCCTCAACTCAGGGATCGTTAGAAAGACAGAGCCAGAGTTGAAAGCAGAGAGCGGCAGTGACATGAGCCAGAGGAAAAAGCAGCAAGCTGGGAGGAGAGAGAGAGAGGCAGGGCAAGGTTTGACGTCTGTCTGAATCCAAGGCTACTGCTATGGGAGAAACAAGGGCCTTTTGGGGTGTTGATGCTGTGAACCCCTCTGTTGTAGGCTTAGGTTGTATGTGTATGTAAATAAACCATATACCATAGAGACACTACAGCCTCCACTGTGCCTCATCCCCAAAAGGAAAGATGGGTGAGTGCTTGGAATCTTGCACTGTTTTGAGATTGGGGCGACTATTATTCAACACACTTATCTGCCTCTCCCCCCCCCCCATGACATCTGCAGAGCTCACGGCAGCTTTTAATTGTTTAAACGCACACAGTAAAAATCCAACGAAGATTATTTGAACGATCAACAATAGCAGAAAAATTAATAGGACAGCAGTTAAAATACAGAAGCAGCAGATAAAATCAGTTGTAGGAAAGAAGGAGCTCCTGTTTCTTTGAGTGCATCATTGCTTCCCTGCAGGTGGTTGCGTGGAGGGGGAGGTTGGCAAAGTTGGTATGGTGCAATTATTATTATTACGATTACTATCATTATTATCATTATTATTATTTTAAAAATACATACACCGTCCTTTATCTGAATCTCAGGGTAAAAATATAAGATAAAAGCACAAAATACTTAAAACAAAAACAAAACAATAACCCCTTTTCCGGCTTTCCTCCTCTCCATTTCCTCCTCACAACAATCCTGTGAGGTAGGTTAGGCAGAGAGGCAGTGACTGGTGAGCTTTGTGGCCAAGTGAGGATTCGAACCCTGGTCTCCCGAGTCCTAGTCCAGCACTCTAACCGCTACACCACAGTGATGGTCCCAGGGGTCATCAACACCAACATCCCACCCCATTGTGGGGGTTGTAGACAAGGGGGTTGTCTACAAACAAATGAAGCAGCAATCGCAATGTTATTCTGCATTTTGAAAGCCAAGTACTTCTAAAACAAAAACCCTAACCTTAACATTAGTAGTTATCACCACACGCAATTCCTTCGTTTCGTTGGGACCCAAAGTGCCACTTTCCGGAGAGATGCTGAGCTCGCAGGAAGAAGCTTGGCTTCCAAGGAGCTGTCGGACAAATCAGGAAGGCTGGTCAGTTAACAGGAGGCAGTGGGGCGCTCTTCTGACTAATCAGGAGTAGGAGCACCACTGACCTCGCCCCACTGGAAGCGTGATGGGAGCAGCGTCTGGTTAAAAAGATGAACGGTTGCTTCCGCGGGGATTCCAACCGAGAGGTCAAAATGCAAATGACTCGACAGCAAGCAGACGTGGGGAGTCTGGACCTCCACAAAAACTAAGATGTGACTGAAAACAGAAAAAAGTACAGCTCCAGCAGCAGGCAGTGAATAAACACTTATCTTCCATAGAAGGGCAGTTTGGATTAGCATGTGAAATTCAGCCCCCTCTCTGCTGTAAGTGTCCCTTTAAGATTGCCAAGGCTGCAATGATGGCAGCCTGGGCATTATTCATCCAAAGGTACAGGAGTCCCTCTTTTGAGAGCACACAAACTTTCCTGTTCCTAACTCCTTTTGATACAGGGAAGAGGGGGTGAAGTTCTCCACTACAGTAAGTACCGTATTTTTCGCCCTATAGGACGCACCGTCCCATAAGGCGCACCTAGTTTTTTGGGGGGAAATAAAGGGGGGAATTATTTTCCCCCCAGGCACGGGGCTGGGGCGGGGGAAGCCCGAGCTTCCCCCGACCCCAGCCCCCAAACAGGCAGCTCTCTGCAAGCCGTGGGAGCCCAGCGCTGGCTCCCGCTGCTTGCTGAGAGGTCCGCGAAGCCTGGACGCGCTGAGCTCAGCGCGGGCAGGCTTCAGCATGCAGGCAACTCTCCGCAAGCAGCGGGAGCCCAGCGCTGGGCTCCCGCTGCTTGCGGAGAGGTGCACGAAGCCTGCATTTGCCCCATAGGACGCACACACATTTCCCCTTCATTTTTGGAGGGGAAAAAGTGCGTCCTATAGGGCGAAAAATACGGTATTTTTCTCAACAGGTCCAACACGTGTCCCAATGGCCACATGTGGCCCTCAAGGTCTTTTTTGGCAGTCCATGACAACATCTGACGCCCTGCAGTCCTTGCGCTGCCTTCCCAGAGCCGGGTAAGCGAGGCGCTGGGCTTTGGGAAGGAGGCATGAGGGCTCTGACAAGGTCCTAGAGCCCTCCAACCTCCTTCCCAAAGCCTAGTTAGCACTTAGCCAGCTTTGGGAGGGATCTAGGACTCTGCCAGAGCCTCGTGCCTCCTTCCCAAAGCCTGGTACCTTGCTTATCTGGCTTTTGGAAGGCAGCATGAGGGCTGGGGTGCCCTCCAATTCTGACCTAAACCCCCACACCCTTGCGCAACGAAGCAATGTGCAGTCTGTGGGGTCTGTATCAAACGAAGTACTCTTGTGGCCCACTCGGTATGAAAAGTCGGACTGCCCAGTTCTAAAAGGAGCAGCAACACTGCTGATTCTACTGCAAAACAGCAGGCACCCTGCTATGTGACAGGGCTGGTCTGGGGGAGAGGGGAGACAGGGCAGCCCCTCCCTCTGGGCCACCCATACTCCTATTATTATTATTATTATTATTTCAATTCATATACCTCCCTTTATCAAAAGATCCCAGGGCAGTGCATAACATTAAGATCACAGTTTAAGGAGCACAATAATAAAAACATAATAAAAGCACAACAGACAGCGTAATAATATAATAATCATAATAACAGTCCCACCCACCCCCCAGCTTTAACAAACCATAGATTATTTAATGGCCAAAGGCCTGGGTAAATAGGACGGTTTCTGCCTGGCGCCACATGACTAACTGCCACATGCCCAACGCTATAGGACCCTTTCTGCAGCAGAGATGGAAACGTTCTCTTGAAATGCCCTCTGGGAGACTGAGGAGAGATTACCAGATTAGTCTCTAACCCATTTCATGTCCTCACCTTCCAACTCCATTTTCCACCTCCATCTCTAACACGGTCTTAAGACGTTGACACATGTATGATGTAAACAAAACAGAGACCTTGCACTTGCCAAGAGGATACAATTCTCCACTACGTGGCTGAAATTTGAATGGAGAGGTCTGCAGGGGGGAAACCCAAGAGTCACTGTAATTCCATGAACAGAGGTCTGGGCATCAAAAGTCTTCCATTCAATGCCCTGCCTTTGGACAAGGCACAAGAAGGGAAAGGGCCAAATTCTGATCTCTGAGCAACACACCTCTTCATTTCTTTCAGTTAAGCAAGCAGGGCTTTCCTGAATTTTCCACTTCCCTGGCAGCTGACTGAGATTTTCTATCTGAAACGTGAACCGCACTTTTTCTCCCAGTTTAAGCAGGCCCAGGTCAAAGGATGGGACGTCGATGGAAAGAACAGGTCCCTGAGAAAAGCGAACCACATAAAACAGGTCAGCTGCCACCACAGAAGTCTCAGTGAAAAGCATCCAAAAGACAAGGATATGCATGCTCAAACTGACTAACACAACAGCACTGAGTGAAACACTGGGGTGGAGACTGTGGAACTCTCTGCTGGGGGGCAGCCGAGTCCGATGGAAGGCCGCAAGCACTGTGTGGGGAGGGGGGCATCCCTCTGGAACAAAGGACATGGCTCCACTCACCCCAAGGGCCAAGACAATAAGGCAGCTTCGTAGGTTCAGATATTCCCACCTTAAAGTCAGCTTCCACGTGCAATACCACGGGGTCTTTGGAGTGAGTGATTTTGCACTTCAGATCATGGCAGGAATGCCCAGGTTTCCCTCCGGTAATGGTGAACTCAAACTCTTGGAATTCATTTACCCCTAGAGAAAACAAATCTGTTACTTCCATCTGGGAAAAAAATAAGCATAGGTGTTGCTTTTTCAAAGCCGAATGGTTTCCCAAACCCAACATCATTATCCAAAACATATATCATGGCCTTCTCATGATAGTGGCATATGCACTTATGCGTACAGTGGTACCTCGGGTTAAGAACTCAATTTGTTCTGGAGGTCCGTTCTTAACCTGAAACTGTTCTTAACCTGAGGTACCATTTTAGCTAATGGGGCCTCCTGCTTCCGCTGCACCATTTCTGTTCTCATCCTGAAGCAAAGTTTTTAACCCGACGTACTATTTCTGGGTTAGCGGAGTCTGTAACCTGAAGCATCTGTAACCTGAAGCATCTGTAACCCGAGGTACCACTGTATAATCTTTCCTCCCCACCCTGTTCTCCAAGGTCTTATGATGGGCCTAGGGAGTATCAAGAACATACATATCCAATGATATGTAAGAAGCCCTGGCAAAAGCTTTCTAGCCTGGTGCTGCTGCTTTTTAATGCCAGGCCAGTCCTCACTCATTCATGCTTTGATCACGAATGGGGAGATAAGGCCCAGGTGCATATTCCTGAGACCTGGGCAGGTGAGATGGGTGGGGTTTGAATGGCCCACCTGTGTCTGTCCAGGTTCTCAGCACAGCACCAGGCTTCCCCTTTCTCGCCAGGAAGCCCCTCTGCCCAGATTAATGCAGTGTGCGCCACACAGATGCAACAGACAGAAAAAGCGTTACCTAATTTTCCGGAATAAGGTTCAACTTCAACTATGTCGCAATCACTTATTTTCTCCCATGTAAACCTGATGGACGATTTGCTGTTATTGTACATCTGGAGATTCATAAAGGAACAGACAGTCAATGCCGTTATATGACCAAATCACCATTTCCAGACTACTGAAGTAACCAACAGCAGGTGCGCCAGGTAGATACGAAACACAGACCCACAGATTAATACTTATTAAGTATTAATATTATTAATACTTAATATTAATTAGTATTCTTATATGAATATGAGACTATTTAGAACTGAATGGTGGTAGTGGAGATTAAAGGGGTAAGAAAAAGTAATACATTTTTCTTATATACAGGGTGTAAGGGGCGGTGATCCTACCCATGATAACATACAAGTGGGTTCTTACACCTAGAAATATAAAGCCAAAGCCTAGCTCTGCACGGGAGCAATTTAATCTGCTTGCATTGTTCAATTTGCAGAGTTTAGAATTATTTTCTGACATGTGTGAAGGTGAAGGAAGACACAGAAGACTATGGACAAGAATCAGGCTTCCTTCCCAGGCACTGGGGCTTCTTCCAGACTACAAAAGAAATAGATTTCACACTTGTATAGGAGGCCTCCAAGCGCGCAGAACAGACACGGCCTCCAAGCAGCACAACCCAGTATAGGAGGGCTGTTTGCTGCCTTCCAGGTTACAGAGGCCTGACTGCCTCAACTCGAAACTGGGGATTTAGTGTCACTGGTCCCCCACCTGACAGGACACACTTGTAGCAGAGATTTGGCAGGTGTCTTTTGAAGACCTTATCTATGCCAACAGGACTTTGCAGCCAGTTATTTTTCATTAGCCTGTCATTTTAAGGTTTAAATGCATTTTTAATCCTGAGTGGTGTTTTATGTTCTTACGTTGTACACCACACTATTGATACAGCGATACAGAAATACTTTTCGGCAGTCGAGCAACGCATACATATACTGGCTGAAGTAAAAGTAGACTTACGCTAAATGTTCTCCTAACATTTACACCAATGTAGTTTTCTCCTGGGATGATCATTGCATACGGCTCCAAAAGGATCTGGAAGGGTTCCGTATCGCCTTTGACGTCTATTTCCAAAGCAATCACGTCTTCTTGCCGCCTTTCTCCACTTTCGTACTGCTCCCGTTTTTGAGGGCTGCGTGAGGGACGGCGTTAGAATTGCTGCTGTTGTGGATATTTAGAATGGCATAAAGGATGTGATTCCCATCCCAGGAGGGGGAAAAAGGACTGCTCTTCCTTCTCTTGGCACATTCAGGTCTACGCCTCTCTGTTTCTTATGCTTTGCCCCCTCGCTTGGGAGAAAACCCCTCTGAATGTGATGGGATAGAGACTGACTAAACATGCAGAGGAACGGGATTCAGGAAGCAGGGTGGATAAAAACCAGTATTTTTTTTAATTAAAAAAACCCAGATTTTTAAAATTTAAATCAGATTTTTTTATTTAATTAGATTTTTTAAAATTTAAATTGGATTTTTAAAATAAAATGCTTTTGGAGGAAAAATCTTTCTAAAGATAGTTTCTCTTATAAGTTAACATTATAGTTCAAAGGCTATTCATCTGCAAATAAGGATTTGTTTTAGGTTTTTCATGCGTGCTAAAACTCAGTCAAAGTTTTTTTTTTAGTTGTTTAACAACATCAGTTAACAAACATGGATACATATGCTAAAATGTTATTGTTTTAGTTAAATAAATTGTTTAAGTTGTTATTAAGGAAATGATTATTTTTTACCTTCCAATAAAGTAGAGAAGAAAGTTGTCCAAATAAATTAAACCTCACAATAATTTCATAATTATCTATGTATTTCTAATAGTATAACCAAATCAGCAATTTTTGATATAACTGTAAAAAATTACTCTGAAAATATTTATTATTCCAAAAATGAAACCTTCATCTGGTTGTAAATATTAAGATTATACAAGCAAGAATGAGTCTTTCTGTAAAAAAACCGATTTAAATCAAGTCTTACTGACTACTGATTTAAATCGTGATTTAAATCAATTTCATTTAAATAAAATCCACGCTGTACGGAAGTAAACCTGCCTCACACCTTTTGCCATGAATGCAAAGGACCTGTGAGGTGCCTGGCACTCCCAGCACAATCCACCGAAATTAAGCACAGCTAAAGGGCTAAAGTCGTCATGAGACCAGGGAAGCCCCCAAATCTGCTATTAGGTGGGGGTGGAGTGGGACCAGGGTTGAGTGGGAAACAAATGCAACATGTGTGTATCCATGCTTGTGTTTGTGTGGCAGCGCGCACACAGTTCAGCAATAAGGTGCTAAATCAGGCAAAGGAGGAAGATGCCATTAAGACAATAAATTTGTCTCTCGGACTGACACAGTAACAAGAATGCCAACCATCTCCGGCACAATTTAAGAACATTTTCACGTGCCCCTGACGCATCACTTACTCCGGTAGCTCTGGGATATCTTCCAGCACAATCTGAAGCACGCTGTGATACGACTTTGGCTGCAAGGAGAACGAAAACCCAGAACGGCAATCAACTAATGTACATCAAAATAACTCCCAAAATAATCTATGGCTTACATTAACTGCATTTGACTCTGGGCTGCAAGAGATCAAAGCCTCTTGTAGTTTAAACAGCTGAGGCTTCAGGTAAGACTGAGAGCCATTTTGCACCAAGTGTTCTCTCGCCATGGAGCTGGAAGCAGCCACACCCACCCTGGCATGTGCCCCAAGTCAAGGCTGAAGGTGGGATTGGGCCCTAAACAGCCACCCCAGACCCACACAATCTCAGCTTAGTAGCCAGGTGTGGAAGCCCACCAGGAACGCAAGGGATTTCTTGGTTTTGCTGACTGTCTCACACCAAAATCGGTGCCAAGAATGTGTCTGGCCACAGCAAATGGGGAGAGAGAGCTTGGCTTGGCAGGTAACAAGTTTGGAAGGCAAATTTTCAATGAAGTTTGGAAGAAGAAGTAGTAGTTAGCCAGGCCTGATTCATACCAGCCTACAGAGCACATATGGGACGCGGGTAGCACTGTGGTCTAAACCACAGAGCCTAGGGCTTGATGACCAGAAGGTCGGTGGTTCAAATCCCTGCGACGGGGTGAGCTCCCATTGCTCGGTCCCAGCTCTTGCCCACCTAGCAGTTCGAAAGCTTGTCAAACTGCAAGTAGATAAATAGGTACGGCTCCGGCGGGAAAGCAAACGGCGTTTCCATGCGCTGCTCTGGTTCGCCAGAAGCGGCTTAGTCATGTTGCGGACAAACACTGGCTCCCTCAGCCTATAGAGCGAGATGAGCGCGCAACCCCAGAGTCGTCCGCGACTGGACCTAATGGCAGTGGCGTAGCGTGGGGGGTGCAGGGGGGGCCGACCGCAACGGGCGCAACATCTGGGGGTTAGGGTTAGGGGGCGCAAATCCACGGGTTAGGGGGCGCAAATTACTTGCCTTGCCCCGGGTGCTGACAACCCACGCTACGCCACTGCCTAATGGTCAGGGGTATCTTTACCTTTACTGAGCACATACATAATGTAATCTAAGAATGACTTTTAGCGTGGAAAGCAATAAACTCATTTGCTTTTGAGTTTCATTCAGACCCTTTAGTAGCTGCTGGTTAAACTTTTGTCCAACAAATTGCACAGTATAGATGGCAAATATTGAATCAACCAAGCACAAGCAAGACTGTACCTCCTTTGGATGGTAAGAGAGAGTAAACGAGTGATTGCTATGGGGGCGCAGAACCCCCAAGGCAGGAGTCACAGAGAAAGCGGACTCCGTCTCCAAGTTGTACTTTATCTTTGTCAGGTCCGCTTTTCCTTCCAACATTGATGCCTGCAGATTAGGCTTCATTATCTGCCAGAAAAAAGGGAAATCCACGTGGCTGAGCAAAGAGAAGGGAAAAAGAAGGCATTCAATTCTGCAGTTTTGGGAAAATTACATTTTTAGGGAACCTTTTAATTAGCCCCCCCCCACCACCAAAATAAGGGACTTAAGTATTTGCCTTTGTTAGTCCCCATCCCCACCTCAAGGATATAGAACCAGAGCATCTGGTCCAAGAGAAATGGCTCAACTCCCATGTATTGTCTATTTTAATAGAAGTTTGGCATCAGAAATTGTACCTCCGTCATTCCATGCCCCCCCTCCCCATCCTAATTTTCTAGTTTTCACAAACCATAATTTACCTTCAAACCAGAATGAGAATTCCGAATCATGTGATTTTCTCCCTCAGTGTGTGTTTGGAGGTAAATTTTTCAAAACCACAGTTTACCCAATTCAGAGGTCACAACAAACCGTTGCTTGTTCAAACCAGGAAGTCAGGGACACAGTTGGAGCACAAGGGGTGGGGGACAAGATGGAACATATGAGCGCAATGTGTCGTCCCTCAGCAGCTAGCCCTATGGGAGGTGAACTAAACCTCTAAGAAACTTGTCGTTAAAGCGCTGTGTACGCAATAATTGTAATGTATTATCCTAAAATAAATATTGTTCAGTGCAAAGACAACTGGCTTCTGCCCAGAAAAATGCCCCCCATACAGTTTTAGCATCATACATACGTCAGATTTCTTAGAACCAGAGTTTTCTCTGCCTTAGATTTGGGATTCAAAGAACCAAAGCGCACAAGGTGTTGAGCTGTCACATCGACAAGCTCGCCGGGCATAGGGCTGCTTTCTCCTCCAGTAACAGACAAAAGCTTCAGAGCTATCAGCTGCCCAAGTCCTGGAAACAAAAGTGAATGCAAACATCCTGCGGCAAATGCACATGACTGAGTTATGCCCTTCCAATGCGACTACCCAGTTGCATTATGGGTATAACACATGACCCCCATCAGACCATAGGAAACTGCAGTAGTGTCTCTCCCAGAGAGAAGGAGCCTGTGGCTCTCCAGATGTGGTTGGACTCCAGCCCAAGCCAAATGACCAATAATCAGGGTTGATGGGAGCTGTAGTCCAGCTACGTCTGCAAAGTCATAGATTTCCCCCATCCCACCCTAGTTGGCGGCAGCTCTCCAAAGTCTCAGAACGTGATCTGTTTTGAAAGCTACTGTGGGGTAGCAGCTAGAGCATCACACCAGGGACCTAGGAGACCAGGGTTCGAATGCCTACTTGGCCATGAAGCTCACTGGGCAACCCGGGCCAGTCACTGTCTCTTAGCCTCATCTACCTCACAGGGTTGTTGTGAGGATGAAATGGGGAGGAGGAGAACTATGCATGCCACCTTGGGCAGAAAGCTCTGTCGGTTAGAGCGTGGTGCTGACAACACCAAGGCTGCAGGTTTGATCCCCACATGGGGAAGCTGCATATTCCTGCATTGCAGGGGGTTGGACTAGAGCAGTGGTTCTCAACCTGTGGGTCCCCAGATGTTGTTGGACTACAACTCCCATCATTCCTAGCCAGCATGACCAGTGGTCAGGGATGATGGGAGTTGTAGTCCAACATTCATCTGGGGACCCACAGGTTGAGAACCACTGGACTAGAGGATCCTCGGGGCCCCTTCCAACTCTATAAGAAATAAATGAACAGGCTCGCCATACGGAGGTGAGGCAAGATTTCAATGGACGCCAACAGCAGAGTTCAAAGCCGTTTCAGGAGCAGGAATCCTCAGATTGGGCCATACGTATCTCAGCTGTTAGCTCGCTAATCTCCTGATTTAACAGGGACCCAGCCTGCTTTGGCAGCTGTTGGTTCCGATGGAACAGAGAAGGTTATGATTCCAACAGGGCATCAAAGCTAGGACCCTCAGAGGACAGCAACACAACTTCCTTGGGCCCGAGAGGCGCTGTGCAACAGGCTACCCGTCCACCAATAGCTTAGGGTCTGTATGCACATCTGGGGTTGGCTAGGAGGGCCATTTCCTGCCCTACCTCGAAACCCCAACCTCATCTCTGAATAAGTGGTGCCTGTCTCCAGAGTCATGATCAAGGTCTTTTGCCAGAGCTACCACCTGAGAATCTTGCTGGCAACAGCAAATGCTAAACTGCATTCGTAGCACGTGCTATGCCATGGAGATACTGGATTTTCCAGAAGGCTTGATTTGCATTCAGGTGTCATCTAAGCTGACAACAGACTGCACAACTGCCCTCCAATCACTGTGAATTAAGAGGACCTTCCAAGAGGACCATTAGGGATGGGCAAATCTGTCAATTTTCATTTCTCTTGCTCAGTTCTTCACTTTTCCACTTCAGTTCGTGATATATATATATATATTTAAAGCCCTAGTGAAAAATCACCAGTGCTTTAGTTTGACTGTCTCCCAACACACATTTTTCTATGCAATTTCACCCAATATAATGCATTGCTTTCACTGATTATATGTATTTCCACACACACTTAACCTCAGTATATGTTGTTGTTTTTTTGCACGCACAGCTTGGTTGGAGAACCACACTGCAAAATACAGAGAAAAGTGTGGTTTTGAAAAGGATGGTTTCGTTTCAGTTGGGGCACAATTTCAGGCAGCGTGAATTAGGTAGATCCAGGTGTTGCTGAACACTGGATTGAATTTGACCCCCATCCCTAGTTAAGAGGTCCTGCTTATGAGAGCTTGCCTGCACGGTCCCCAAATCCTGGCGCTAAACTCGTTTGCATTTGAATGCTAAAGATGCGAACGTGGCAAACCTGTCACTGTAAGGTCGTTGATTTGGCAATTGTCGCAAATGAGGATATACTTCACTGACACCACTTCGGGCACAGTGGGCATGAACACAACCTGTAAGAGAAGTTTCTGCATCATGAAAAGAACAATGTTTCGCAGGCTACACTACAAATGGGCATGAGTGTTGTGCTAAGTTACAGCTTCATCATTGCCTTCCAAAAGAATCTTGGGAAGTTTTGCACAATGAGGGGACTGCTGATAATTCTCCAAAAGGTCTTAATGATGTCTAAAACCTAAAACAGTTCAAACACAGACCAGCAATCCACAGAGAACAAAATACAATGGTACCTTGGTACTCGAATGGCTTGGCTCCTGAACAAATTGACTCCTGAATGCTGCAAACCCGGAATTGAGTGTTCCAGTTTGCGAACGTTTTTGAGAAGCCGAATGTCCGACGCGGCTTCTACGGCTACCGATTGAGTGCAGGAAGCTCCTGCAGCCAATTGGAAGCCGCGCCTTGGTTTTCAAACTGTTTCGGGAGTCGAACGGACTCCCAAAACGGATTAAGTTCAAGAACCAAGGTACCACTGTATAAAACAACAAGTGGCAACAAACACCTCCTTTTAATGTTACATCTGTCTTCAAGATCAGTGGAGAAGACAGATTCGCATCACAAGCAAAACACTGACTCTGATCGCCATATCATTCTAAATCTGTCCTCAGTGTCACAACAACCCAGTCTTATGTATCAGTAGTAGTCCATGTGGGGCTGTTCAGGAGAGGGATGCAGTTATTAGGCCCAGCAAGCAAGGCCCTTGGGAAAGGATGATTTATTTAGTTGGCATATTTGTTACCAGCCCATCGCTAAAGATCCCAGGGCAGGTTACGGCACAGTAAAAACTATAAAACACAGATCATAAACAATTAAAACAGCAATCACTGATAAAATCACATGCAGAAAGCAAGGAATAATTGCAGAATTCCAAGTCTGAAGTCTGCCTTTGTGTGTTTTCTGATCATCCCCAATGCTGGGGCTGGGAATCCGTTGCAGAGAAGCGAATGCCAACATTTGGGGGCCACCACAGAAACGGAAGAAAACAACAGGAGCTAGAGTTCTTAGGGCATTACGTTGCTACCCCTGCTTTCATTTTTTTCTCAAATGAATGAACCACCCACTGAATCCTGCTTCAGATTTCCTAATAATTGTGCATCTATTTTGAGTGTATGCTTGAAATGTGAGCTAGAGCGGCAACAACTGACCTCAATTAGAGTAGACTGGCCTGGAGCTAGCTCAAAAACGGCAGGTCTGATCCCGAACGGCTCTTGCTCCACGTAACCTAAAGTGGCAACGGCCTTCGTATAAGAAAGGAGAATGGTCACTGCATGGCTGTATGCAATCTGTGCCGCAACCGAACGTTCCAGATGGGATTGAGGGCATGGCAGTGGGGGCGGGACTTCCTCTTCTTACTTACCCGGAAGTGAGGAGGTGGCCAGATTTGCTTTGGCATTATGCAGAACTTCCCAATGCTGGACCCTTCATTTTTGCACAGGAATTCTGTAAATTTCACTCCGCCCACAAGGCAAGGTCCGCAGTCCAAAATATGAGGCACTATAATAAAAGAAGAAAAGGGAGCGGGGGGAGCAAGAGCAGGAAAGGGGCTTTAAAAAAAAAGCACTCTCAATCCAGGACAATACATTCTATTATGTCTAGAGGTAGTAGTCAGGGATGGTGGTTCACTGTGTTCTGCAGTTGGCATGGTGTGAAATTCTTCTTCTCCTCCTTCTCCTTCTCCATTAAATCTATATACCACCCTTCATCCGAGAATGGAGCTAGAAGGACCAATGGTCTGATACACCACAAGACACCTTTCTATGCTCCCAATTCCATTGTTTTCCAGCTTCCACTCCACAGCATCAGCTGCTGAGAAATGCGAGGCTGAACGGGATGGACCTATGACATCCTAAGAACGTCCCAGAAGCTCACATACTTGCCCCACAAATAGTCAGTGCTTTTTTAAAAAAAGAAAACTCACACGTTAGGATGGGAGGTGGCCTTCGGCCTTCCAAAGGGACCAGCAGCGGGTAGGTTGTTTGCGACTCTACTAGTATGTAATCCTTGTAATCTGACAGGTATTCTGGAATAAACTGGACCACGTAGTAGCAACTCATTCCGGGGGCGACAAGTCCTCCTTGGCCTGGAAAGTGTCCTAGAGAAGGAGCACAGGCGTCCTTTGAAAAATTCGTTATCACAGATGCATCTGGTGCCGCAAGAGAATTCTGCCCTGAGCATGTTGTTGTTGATAATAAGATAGTGCCAGCAATGTGCAAAGGCACTTTTGAGAGTACTAGATGACAGGTTGCTGCCCCACTGAGCAACCAGTCTAAATTCACCACAAATGAGAAACCAGGAGAGGAGCGATATGCACCCAGAGGTTAAAACAAAAAACCAGAACAAATTGCATTTTGACCCACAGTGCTTTGGCCTCTCTGAATTGCTATCTTGTGCTCCTGCACTCACAATGCCTATTTCTATGCCTCTCCATTTAAATTGTCATTAATTCTATCATCCTCACCCCTGGAGCATTCCAATCCAGGTCCTCCTCAGCTCCTGAACTGCCTTTTTATACACGTTTATTGGAAATAAAGCTCCACTGATTTCAATAGGTTTTCTCCTAGGTTTGCAACTTTAGGATTACACTTCCATCGTAAGATTTTCATAGGAATTTGGCAACCAGCGCTGCCTTGGCACCTACATGCAGGTCCTGCTTTCTGAACGCTCCCAGGAAATTGTTTATTAGGCAAACATTTGCATAATGAGCTGGTGGTTTCCATTATTTCTGATGGGATCATTTCTCATTAATAATTGCCTGTTCTCCCTCCCTCCCTGCTTTCTGCTTGCAACTGCTGCAGCCACTCAGCAAAAACCAAACAAAGGAACAAGTGATTTAAAAAGGCAAAGGTAAAGGACCCCTGGACGGTTAAGTCCAGTCAAAGGAGACTATGGGGTTGTGACGTTCCTCTTGCTTTCAGGCCGAGGGAGCTGGCGTTTGTCCACAGACAGTTTTCTGGGTCATGTGGCCAGCATGACTAAATAGCTACTGGCACATGGAGGACCATGACAAGTGCCAGAGTGCACAGAAACGCCGTTTACCTTCCCGCTGGAGCAGTACCTATTTATCTACTCACACTGGCATGCTTTCGAACTGCTAGGTTGGCAGGAGCTGGGACAGAGCAACAGGAGCTCACCCTGCTGAAGGGATTCGGACCGCTGACCTTCTGATTGGCAAGCCCAAGAGGCTCAGTGGTTTAAATCACAGTGCCACACATGTCCCACTAACAAGTGATTTATCTGACTTTCCTCCATGATTTTTGCCAGAAATGGCTGCAACTGACCAGCAAAACACAACCAAGTAAGGAAGTATTGGGCAAACTCTGGCTGTTTGGATATCTGAATTAGCCATTCCTGTAGCGAAGTTTGGGTATAATTCTTTGCACTTTGATAACTGATATTTCTGATAATGAGCCTCTCAAAGTGGGACCTGGGTGCCCTGAGCTTGTCCAAATGACAGCCAAATTATGTCTGTGAATAATTTAAAATATGGGGATCAGCAGCATGGCTCACTCAACATTTGCAGTTCTCAGGACAAGTGTTTTCCTGTTCTTTCAGGAAAAGAAGCAAATTTCTAGCCATCAGGAGGCATTTTAAAAGTGCCAATTTCTGCAGAAAAGCAACCAACAAGTAAACTTGCATCCCTGAACCTCACCCAGCCCAATGGAAAAGGCATCGGTAGCTGGAGGAATTATTCTAAGACACTGAGACGTTGAAGTCATGTTCTGTAACTCTACAGTCATCTGCAAAGAGAGAAAGGTCAAAAAATATGGCAGCATATATACATCCTGTGAGGCATTTCCAGCCTTTGGAAATGATGTTATTATTATTCCAGGCAATAAAATGAATAAATAATAGTAATTGTAACAACCTGCCCCTGAAGGTTTTCCTAAACACGGTGGAACTGGGCATTATTCAATCAACAAAGAATCGTTCCCACTATTTCCAGAGTTTGGGCTGTAAGTGATGTTCCTGAGATGGTAAAAACGGCATCATCCCCCGCACAAGATGCAAAGTATCAGCAGGTGTGGGGTAACGCAAAGGTTGCAGAAGTACATAGACGCTTTAGAAAGAAAAAGATTAAGGGAGGAAGGACCAAACAACAACGCCATGACTACTAAGTGTGCTCAGTTTCCACTCAATGTTGACTAACGGTTTCTGGGAGGTGGGGGGGGGGGGGATACCTGGAGGAACGGGTGAACAGAACAGAGTGGCTGGAATCCCAAACTCCACACTGCAACATTTTGTTGCAGGTTCCACATTTTATGAAATGTTTCATAGAAAATGGAAGCTTATTATTGAGGCTCCAACATACAAGAGTTGGAAGAGATAAATGCAGAGCCTTAAGAGGCAAAGGAAATAACAGAGACTGGGGTTGGGCGGGGTGGGAGATAAGAGAGAGAGAGAGAATTAACACTTTTGCAGAGCAAAACTCACGTCCTGAACAGCAAGAAGCTCTTACCTCATAAACCTGCCCAACTTCATAATAAGAAAACACAACAGCCGGTGGGTTTGCTAGAAAGACGGGCACAGACTGGGAGTCGCTGAAATGAAGTGAGACAATAAGAAAAACCAGGGAGTGATTACAGCCTGCACATAGCAGGTAAGAACAGTGGCAGCGCCAATTCCTTTTCTTTGAGAGGCATGGAGCTGCCATGTCCTTCCCATCACACCCAGAACAGATGCTGGTTCGACAACAGCTGTATTCACTGTCCACGAAGGTGTTAAAAACTACAGCAAACTATCTCCTTAGTTGGTTTGGGGGGGGTCACCCCTGGTTCTGGTGCAGGTGAAATAAATGCAGACACATGCAACTGTAGAAGCCTGGCTGAAAAGCTTAAAGCCCGCTGCCACTACATGGAGACGGATTAAAGAAAAGAAAATACGAATTGACTCCACCCTGTAGCTTGACCCATTGCAGCTAGGAACTAGTTGGAGTCATAGAACTTTAAAAAAAAAAGTGGAGACTTGCACACACTGGCCAGTTTCAGTTTTGTCCTGAAATGTTTGTTTTGGGCTTCTCAGAAGTATGTAAAAGCAAGAAGCTCCAGCCCACAATGGCACCCACCTGAGAGGTGTCGGAACTGTGCTCTGGCACACGCCAGCTGGCAAGAAGCACTGGCTAAGGCCCTTGACACATGGGCACAGATAAAATTCTACTGTATATAATGGAAGGCAAAGTAAAAGTGAGGCAGGCACACAGGTAGGCCTGTGTTGTGCGTCACATTCAGTTTGGCCCTCAACTGCAAACTCAGCCCTCAGAGCAAATGATTTATCCCCCAAGCCTCCACCTGCAACACAATGACGACAACATTACCTGACATTACCCGAATTGTTTAAGAGCTGTAGGGGGAATGAAGACGATGGCTTTGAATGCTTGAAAGGGTGATGTAAATGCTCAGTATAATTATCGCTGTTGGGAATGCTTTGATTTGTTTTCATCTGTTCTGAAAAGAAAAGCACAGTTACCTTTCCACCATGGTCCTTTTCTTTCCTGCGATCATTCGCTGCACCTTCTTCTGAGGCAAGATCAAGGACTTGCCGCCACAAAGAGAGTTAGGCGGGAAAAAGCGGGGGTTCTTCAGGAAGTTGTGGCGGTCCTCCAGCCTCTGGAGGTAAGCGCGGTCTTTTTGTCTTTGGGGTCGGGACATGTCATTCTTCCAAGCTGATTTTTGCAAGGGACGATCCTTCTTCTGGCAGCAGGCGTGATGGAAAAGAAAAAATCCCGCTTTCAGATACAGTGGTACCTCGGGTTAAGTACTTAATTCGTTCCAGAGGTCCGTACTTAACCTGAAACTGTTCTTAATCTGAAGCACCACTTTAGCTAATGGGACCTCCAGCTGCTGCCACGCTGCCGGAGCACAATTTCTGTTCTATCCTGAAGCAAAGTTCTTAACCCGAGGTACTATTTCTGGGTTAGCGGAGTCTGTAACCTGAAGCGTATGTAACCTGAAGCGTATGTAACCCAAGGTACCACTGTATAGATTTACAATGGATTCGCTCACATTATACTCATTAAGACTGAGCATAAACACCCCAAATCACAACATATATGCTGACCTCATTTTGCAGAGGGAAGCACAGCGTTCTCTGTCGGAAAGAGGAAGATCACTACTTTTGCTTTAGACGTTTACACCCAACAGAACAAGTCTCTGGTGCTCATGAATGCCAAGAAAGACATGGAAATGGAACGGACAGGAAATTTCTGGTAAAGGCTGTAATCCTACGAGTACTCTTCAATCCATAGAACTGAACGGGACATATTGTGAAGACATGCATAGGATCAAGTTCCACAGTTCATAGTTGGGGTTGGGTAGGGCTCGAGTTCAGCCGGTTGGATCTTTGAATCCCAGAACCTTCTCTCCCCGACTGATCACTCCGGTTCTTATAAATCTTACAAACCTATCGCTTCTAAAGATTCTATGTATATTCTATTATATGCATCAGTTCTACTATCCATTGATTCAGTGACCATTATTATTATAAAAATTTGTATACCGCAGTGCAGCCATATAGATCTTAGGACAGTTCACAACCACTTAACATCCCAAATCAAAATGGTTGGAGTTGGTTTTTTTTAAAGTACACAACTGTTTAGATTACATAACTTATACACATATTTATCTAATTAGCAGAACTATGCCCCTTATGGTTACAGAATTTGCTTTTCCTGCTACAAATATCTGTTATAGTTGCAATATTAAAAGAAAGAGACCCTTGTCCCACTGGCTACATACCTTTACTCCAGCTCCAAAAGCTGAGGCCAGAGAAAATCTTGGCTGTGGGTCCTGGAAGACCTGCTACTTGCCTTACAGGCTTTTTCCCACCTGGCCTGGGAGGGCGAGGCCAGGACTGACTCCAGCTGCAGAAGCTGAAGCTGCTGAACAGACACTTAGGCTGGGGTACTGTTTTAGGGGGGTTTGTTGCAGGGGGGTTGTTGCAGTTATTGAGATTTTATTAAAATCTTTATTTCAGACCTTATTGTGATTTGTGTGGAAATTGTTTCAGTTTGGTTGTGTGCTTTTTGATGTTTAATTTATTGTTCATGACTACTTTTGTTATGTTTGTAATTATGTAATTTTTTCATGTTGTAAGCCGCCATGAGCACAGTTTCAACTATGAAAAGGCAGCATACAAATAAACTGATGTATACCCAAAATTCAAATAAAACACTGCTCTTTCCTGTTGTTCTGCAACTAGATAGAAAACGGCAGGTGGAAACACTTTTAAAAGTCAAGGCAAATAAGGAAGAAACAAACAGGACAGAAGGCACTCTGATAGGATGGAAGAATGGGGCTGTTTAAGGAGCCTTTAGCGGTGGGAGGGGGAGAGATACAAAAATGAGGGTGAGGTTTTCAGCTTGTCTACATGTGCAATAGGGCAATGAAATACATACAGATACCTTAGAAAGTGTTTTCTTCAATTTATCCGGAACAGCAGAAGGTGAAGACTCAAACGTAATGCTGGATAATGATACTTCTGGTAGATTTTCCAGAATCTTGTTAACACGCTGGCTTTCCCCAACTCCAGGAGAATTTGGTTTGTTAGAAATATGCTGCTTGAAGCTAAGTATCTCTTGCAAGTAGCCAGGCTCGGATGATTCTGCAATTAAAAGGGAAAGTCTGAAAGCACTGAAAAGAGGCAGTGGTCTGGTCAACCTTTTTCTTGCAAATTCCACTGTGATTTGGAAGACCTTTCCAGGTGATGCCTCTTCACCACAAAGAGGGCTAGCTCAGACTTGTAAAATGTGATTGCCCTCCAAATGGCCAGCTCTGGCTTTCTGCAGGGCAGCCAAGGAATATTGCATAGGAAATACTAGACTAGTACCCATGTACTATTTTGTGACCCTTTTTATTTTTTAATTTTTGCTTCTTTGGGCGGGGAGCTGAGTGCTCCCTTAAAAAACCCAAAGGTTTTAAAAGCAGCCAACACTACATTTGGAGCTTAGATACCTAAAAGGCCATCTCCAGTCATGTGTACCTGCCTACAATATTTAGAGAGAGTCTTAATGTGTCAGATGGGGCCTTCTTGCTGGTGGCATCTAAGCCTCAGAACTATCTGTTGCAAACCTGATGTGTCTTTGTGTCTCTAGGCGGCAGCTGAAAACCATTATATCTAGATGTGCTTGTCAGCATGGTGTTCAGCCTGTTTATTATTACTGCAGCTGTTCATTCTTGGGCTTTTCATCTTAGCCCACTCACTGTTGTTTTAGAATGGTTATTACTTGCCTTGAGGGTCTAATTTTTGGATAAAAAGGCAGGGAATACTTTAATTAATAAATAAAGACACAGAGCATGCATTTCCCCCTACCTTTGTCAGCATGCCCCATCAAGCACCTAGAAGGTTAAAAAATGCAAATAAAAAATTGAGCACATTCTTCTTAAGGGGAAAAAAGAGTTTTGAACCTGGCCATTTCTCTCCTCTCTGGCCCAATATTTACCCTGAGTGTAGATAAATATATAGATACGTTCAGATAGATATAGATAGGTTACAGCTAAAGCTTTGCAGCATGGCGGCACCACTCAGGGTTGTGGGTTCAAGTCTCACATTGGGCAAAAGAATCTCAGGATCATGAATGGACAGAAGATTCCTGCATTGCTGGGGGTTAGACTACATGACCCTTGTGTTCTCTTCCAACTCTACAATTCTATTATCTAGGATCTACCTATCTAGCTTGCTCTCTGTCACAGGCATAGAACAGCCTCCCTCCTCAGGGAAGTCTGAAAACTCAATGAGCGGAGGTTGAGATTCCTAAGAATTATCAACACCCTCAGCAAACTACAATTCCCAGGATTCTTTGGGCAACAGCCAAACAGCTATAAAATGGATGTAGGCTAATATAATATAACTTGAGAGGGGTAACTTCAAAGAAGTCACTCTGTGATGCTTGGAGGGAACAGGGAGTACAAACAGAAATCTCAAACAATGTAGTTATTTCATGTGATTCCTAAATCATATTCTTTGCAAGCTGTATTAGCCTCGCTTGGAAAGCTTACCTTTAGGTGCTCGGGAAATTATTTCTGGGTCCGTGATATAATCTTCAGGGCAGATTAAATTATGGTCTTTAAGAAGCTTGCTATCCACACACCATCTGAAGGTAGATCTCACTATGGCATGCACATTTAAAGAGAGGTTAATGTTAGAGAAAGACAGCAGTCCATCAGACAGTTATTTATTGTTTATAGTGACCATTTCAATATAACTCACACAAACACATACAAAAAAGGACTATCAATCCAGGAAGACATTAATACATAAATATTCAGAAATGCAGATTGTTCAACACTTAAAATGGTTAAACGTTAAAATCATTAACTTGAAAATTAAAATCATTATCTTGAAAATCCCCTTAGTGCTATTTTGGGTCAAATAAGTAGTTTGTAATGCTGCAATTTAAATTTGTCTCAAATCCGTAACTTTGCTGAATCAAATTAACCCTTTCCCTGTGAACCAGAAGGAAGATTTTCCCTTTGCCTGTTGACATAAAATAGGAGGCTGCATAATGCTTGATTTCATATTCCTATCTCTTTATGCAGTGCAGGACACAAAGTGGCTCTCAGCACAAACTAAAACAGACACAACGAAAAACGCAATAAATACAAATATTAAAAAAACAAACAAGCAATCCTATTAAAAATAGCACCAAAAATACTTAAAACCACTGGAGGTTTTTAAGCAGAGGTTGGATGGCCATCTGTCACGGATGCTCTAGTTGAGATTCCTGCATTTCAGGGGGTTGGACTGGATGACCCCGGTGTCCCTTCCAACTCTACAATTCTATGATTCTAAAAGCACACAACCCCTGACCCTTAGAAGTCCCTGCCACAACAGCCATTTAGTGGCCACAGGCCTGCCAGAGACAAAAAATGCCTTTGCTTTCTGGAGAATGTAAAGCCAAGAAGGGTCCAGTCTAGCCTCCCAGGCAAGGGATTTCTATAACCGGAAACAGTCAGCAAGAAGGCTTTCTCTTGTACTCTCACCAAAGATGCCTGTGAACATGGCAGGACCAAGGGAAAAGCCTCCCCAGAAGATCTCAAACTTTCACTTCCCTCACCTGGTGGCATTTTAATATGAGAGTAGTTCTCTGGAACCTCCATTTGACATAAGTTCACGATCCTTTCCTCTTCCGCTGCGGCTCGGGCCCTTGCCTGGATGATGTGCCTTTCTAGCATGTCTGCTTCCGTCAGCCGGCCATCATATTCCTTGTGGACCTGAAGCGGCAACCAGATAATTGCTGATTTACTAATGTAAAGCAGCCTTCCTCTGCCCAGTGGCACTACAGATGTACTGGGCTACAGCTCCCATCAACCTCAGCCAGCACAGCCTGATGGGAAATGTAGTCCAAAATGTTTGGAGAACTGCAGAAGGTGGGCATAAACCTTCAAAAGGTTCCCAGAGGAATCTGTAAAGCAATCAAAGCATTTTTTTAACAGCGCTCAATCGTAATTTGCCTTGATGGAGGCAATAGATACAAACACCTGTTTTACAAAATTGGCAGCAGTGGGTGGGTGGGAAGAGCTTTGCAATGTTCATGTAAGTCTGTACCAACAGCCAATCTGAAGAATTAAAAATTACTGAGTGTGTGCATGTGTAGAGGCTTGTTAAGTTATTTCTTCTTCTTTTTTAAATGAGGCTTGTTAAATTATGATCAAAGTGGAAAGAGGGAATCGCAAGACATTACTCTTTCATTACTAGACATTACTAGCATTCAGGCCCTTTTCAATCACGCTAACCAGGAAACAGACTGAGAGCAAACAGAAATAAGTGCTATGCACCAAACATTTAACCTGTGGGACTTATTGCCACAAGATGATCTCACAGCCACTAGCTTCAACAGCTTTTTAAAAGGGTTAATGGAGGATAGGTCCATGAAAGAACATGATAGGTATAGACTGTGAGGGGAATGAGACTTTGTGCAGACAACTAGGCAGTGGCTTTTTCCGCCTGCCTTGCCCCACCCTCCAGCCCTAGCAGCCTTCAGAATGGAGTTGCTGCCAAAAGCATTATTACGTGTGTCTTTTGATGAACTGAGGGGAAATTTAAGTCATGGGGGTGGAGTATGTGTGTGTGTGTGTGTGTGTGTGTGTGTGTGTGTGAGTTCCACAGTGTTGCTAGGTTTGTTTTCAGCTGTTAGTTTATTAATGATGTTAATACAGTGGTACCTCTGGTTACAAACTTAATTCATTCCAGAAGTCCGTTCTTAAGCTGAAACCATTCTTATCCTGAGGCACACTTTCGCTAATGGGGCCTCAGCGTGCGATTTCTGTTTGCATCCCGGGGCAAAGTTTGCAACCAGGAGCTGCTACTTCTGGGTTAGCGGAGTTTGTAACCCGAAGCGTGTGTAACTAGAAGCGTTCGTAAACAGAGGTACCACTGTATTGTTTTTGTGGATTATGAGTGCTGTAACACTTTGTGGATATGACATTTGTCGTGGCCGCACTGTTCGGCTTATTTTTAAAGTTGTTTTGTTAACAGTGTTTTATAGAAGGTGGTTGTTTTACTGGCGATTTGTTAATTATTCCGTATGATTTATGCTGTGATCTTCTAGTACGTTGTCCTTTATTGTTTGTAAGCCTCTTTGTGGCATAGAAATTCAATAGATTAAATGAAAGGAATAGACTGAAGCTCCATTTCAAGAGGCAGTGAGTGCCCTTTGCTGATGACGACATGCTCAGAGCAAACTCAAACATGTCCTGTTTCCAACCCTGGCATATGAGTTTCCTTCCAAGGTACGTCTGACTCTTACTGAGTTTTTGCTGCCAGCTTAAGACCCATTTTGCCACCATAGCTCAGTGGCAGAGCATCTTTGCTTGCAGAATTCACTGGTTCAATCCCCGGCATCTCCAGCTAGGGCTGGGAAAGAGCCTTGCTTTGTGGCTGAGTGAGGCTTTTGTTTATCACTTTTATATCCAGCCTTTCTTCTAAGGAGTTCCAGTCAGAGTACATGATTCCTCTCCATTTTATCTTCACAAGATAAGGTAGGTCGGGTGTGATGAAAGTAATAAATAATATTGGTCTCTCTCTTTCTCTCTCTATATATATATTTCTTCGAGATACAGTGGTACCTCGGGTTACAGACGCTTCAGGTTACATACTCCGCTAACCCAGAAATAGTGCTTCAGGTTAAGAACTTTGCTTCAGGATGAGAACAGAAATCATGCTCCGGCGGCACGGCAGCAGCAGGAGGCCCCATTAGCTAAAGTGGTGCTTCAGGTTAAGTACAGTTTCAGGTTAAGTACGGACCTCCGGAACGAATTAAGTACTTAATCTGAGGTACCACTGTACTTCCATTTTGAACAGGCACAAAACAACCCATTTTTCTGATTCAAATCATAGCACTGAGTCTACAGGACTGAATGGAGAGATTACCTTTTGCAACTCTTTCACAAACTGCTCATGGTGGGAATTGTCTCCTCCACGGGATTTGATCATATTTTCCACTGTGTTTGCTGCTATGAACTCTGAAGTATACATCTGCTTAAAGACACTTGCCAGCAGATGGGAAATGTCCTACAGAGAAAGAAAATGAAGATTTTTTTAAAAAGCTTTGGAGACTGGATGTGATTTTGAGAATATTTCAGAAGGGTCCCAGAGTGTGGAGGACTAGGCATTTAAATAAAATGTCGTAAAAATGGGGAAATAATTACTAAAGACTTTATCTCATCACCATAACTGCAGCTGACTCAGAAGAGGTCAAACAATACCACAGTCTGCAATGATGACCCATCACCTTGATAGGCGGGATGAATAGCAAACTTCCATAAAAAGTTGAGATTCAGCTAAAAACAACTGTTTAGGGTCAACGTGGAATTAAAAAAATTGCTGGACAGAATGAAAAAGTTTATTTAGGTATTTGTATAAACCACTTCATTTAAAAAAACAAATAAAAACAAAGCAGTGTACATTTACAAACAAAACAAAACCATGCAATACATAAAACAACATAAAGCTTCATATCAAAATCTGCTGCAAACCAAAGCAGCTCCCAAAGTACTCTGCTAACATTTTTTACTCTGGAAAGCAGGTGGCAGTAATGATTTTCAGATTGAATACATTTTGGTTTACACAAGTCTTTTCACATGCAAATACACCAGAATAAAAAAGCACACGGGATAACCCTTCCCCACCTTCAAAATTAAATCTCGGCTGTGTTACGGAAGGAAAGGCACTCTGCACATCCTCAGAGAAGCTCTAGTCTGTGTGTATGCGCGTGTGTCCAGGCGCAACCTTTTAAACACACGCCAATGCAGCCGAGTTAACATGCATATAAGGGACGTTTTCCACTCCACCCTCAAAATCAAATTTTGGATATGCTGTGGGTGAGAGCGAGAAAGAAAGGCACTCTGCACATGCTCAGAGAAGCCTCTGCCCCCCATGCAAGCGCGTGGCAGTCGAAACTTCCTGCTCTCAAAAAACCAAACTCCTCAACGCAAATGACTGGCAGAATCCGTGACCAGGGAGAAGAGGCGATGGAAGAAGATTGGAAGAAATTCAAAGACTTCTTACAGAAATATTGCAAAATTAAGGAATGTTAGAGTGATGTTGGATTGAAAATAAGTGGTTTCCAGCTGTACAGGATAAAAGTATAAGACAGACTAAGATTAAAGATCAGGATTAAAGAAGTTTAAGGAAACGGAAATTTGGTACTTAAGAGGTAAAATTTTAATGCTATATTACATTAAGATTAAAGATTAGGAGTAAATAAGTTAAAGGAAAGGGAAATTTGGTACTTAAGAGGTAAATTTTTAATGCTATATTACACTAAGAATAAAGATTGGGGTTAAAAAAGTGGAAAAGAAACTGCTGGAGGAACAATTTGGATTGGAATACAAAAGAGGGAGGTATGAGGAAGTCCAGAAAACAAGTAAATTTAAAAAAGGGAAATGAAAAGGTGATATTGTTTTTAATTGTTCTGTTTCTTTTTTTTGTTGTTTTTGTTTTTGTTTTTGTTTTTTTTTGGAATTTGTATTGCGTATTTGTGTATTTCTTTTTTATGTTATTTCTGTTCAACTTTTTATTGAAACTTTAATAAAAATTATTAAAAAAAAACAAAAACCAAACTCCTCAGATATAATAATAATAATAATAATAATAATAATTTTTATTTATACCCCGCCCTCCCCAGCCAAGGCCGGGCTCAGATATGAGAATGAAGGGCTCTCTGCACATGCCCAGAGAAGCTCTAGCCTATGACGCGCGAGTTTTGTGGAAGGGACTCGGGGCGGCGAGTCATTAACTCGGAAGGGACCCCCGAAGGTCATCCAGCCGAGCCCCCCTGCAATGCCGGAAACTTCTGACCCAACGAGGGGTCTCGAACCCACGACTCCGGGAGGCTTCGCTTCCCTCACCTGAGTCAGCTCCGAGGCCGGCCTGTGCCTGCCCATGGAGGGCTCGGGGCTCTGGCCAGCCATGGCGCCTCCGCCGCTCCCTCCCGGCTCGCCGGGCGAAGCGTCTCCCCGTTGCTAAGGGCCCGCTTCTCTCGGCCCTTAGCAACGGCGGCTTCCGGCCTCACTTCCGCTCTTCCTCCTCCTCCGCCCCCTCCCACCCAGAGAGGGGCGTGGCCGAGCAGGCTCCCTAACGTTCTCTCCCGGAGTCCCCGTTTGTTCCTCTGCAGCGGGAATGCCTCTGAGCATGCGCAGAGTGCCTTTCGTCTCCCCGCTGCACCGCCCTCCGCGGTTTTATCTTAAACGGTTCAGCCCAGCGCTTTGCAATGAGTACTCAGCCCGGATCTGATCTAGGGGGCTTCCTCCCCTAGGTGAATGTGCACGGGGCTGTGCGCTTCTTTTTTTCATTTTTAGGCTGAGGAGCAGAGGGTGGGTGGCGAGAAGGGAAAGAATTAGCCGCCCCTATGAGCCTTTCAGTGCACACAAGGAGGATATATAGTCCAAGAAATGGAAGGGAACCCAGAGGGTCGTCTAGTCCAACCCTTGCAACACAAGAATATCAACACACCTTTTGTAATCCTCATAGAACTCTAGCCCAATGGTTGCCATTAATTGGACTCTGAATTGATTTTAGAATGAATTGATTTTAGAATGTATTTCAATTAAATGATTATGATTTTATGTAAACTGTGTTATTTTTACTGTTGTTAGCCGCTCTGAGCCCGGTTTCAGCTGGGGAGGGCGGGATATAAATAATAATAATAATATTAATAATTATTATTATTGTTAACACTCAGTCCCACATTCAGTTCGAAACCATACCAGACCTTGCTTAGCTTTGCAAATGTGGTAGCAGTTATATGTATCGGTATATGTGTGTGTGTGTGTGTGTGTGAAATTTCATAAAATATATATACCACTTGATTGTAGGAAAAAACCCTCAGAGATCATGCCCTTTGTTTATTTTGATTTAATTTTAAATGCAAGTGCAAGGTCCTCAATCCAAAACAAATCCGGTCCCTGTGCCTACTACTCTGAGCTGTTAAATGCCAGTTCCATCACTGAAATCATCCACAGAAGCTTCTTTGGTTGTACTCTAAGTTGGCATAGCTGATGTGACGGTCAACACAAAACTGAACTTTCAATGTCAGCCGCCCGGTCTTGTGGCATGCTCTCCCGATGGAAATCCAGTAGGCGTTTTTGTATTAATTTTTAAGTGTTTTTTTTAAAAAAAACAAAAACAAAAGAATAGCAACAAATGTTTGCTGGAAACCTTTCTGTGCCACCAGGCTTATGCAGACAATTAAAGAAAAGAAAAATCTGTTATGGTTGGCAGTGATCTGTAGCTTGTATTGTATGCACACATTGTACATTGCTTTGATATGTTTTAGGAAACAGCGGCATGCATTTTTAAAAAAATAAACAGTGCAATTGCAACATGGGCTGCCACTGCAATTCAGGGGTCGGCAAACATTTTCAGCACTGTCCCTCAGATCTTGCAGGGGGCCAGACAATATTTTTTTAGGGGGGGGGGAATGAACGAATTCCTATGCCCCGCAAATAACCCAGAGATGTATTTTAAATAAAAGGGCACATTCTACTCATGTAAAAACATGCTGATTCCCAGACCCGTGGGCCGGATTGAGAAGGTGATTGGGCCGGATCCGGCCCTGGGGCCTTAGTTTGCCTACCCATGCAATAAAGCATTGCTCATCACTCGGCAGTTGTGCAGCTGGAAATTCATGCCTCCACTTCCTCAGTTCCCTGTTCTTGCACATAGTGTTGCAGAGAATAAGATACTTGGGACCTTAGCATCCGATTCCCTTGTTTGAGTCTGCTAGGACTTTACACTATCCAGCCAGTTATTTGGTTGTGGGCTTAATATAACAACAACAACCTTGCAATTTTACTTTTGAAAAGCAGTCGGTCCTGATTAATGCACAGACGCACCCACTAAACTGCTTTTAAATCATCCATTCCATTGGTCCAATAAAACCCAAGGGAGCACATTGTTTCATCATCTCAAAGGAATGTCACTGTTCAGGATCCTGGGGGGAATTCCTCCCCAGAAGATGTTCCCTGCTGGGTGAACTTCCACACACCCTTCAAGAACAAGATTGTCAACATTTCTCTAATTGCAAAGAAAACTCTTAAATGTTGCAATTTTTCACTGGCTTTCTCTGCACAAAGAGGAAAGCAAGGAGGGCGATGGAACCCGGGGAGGGAGCTAACATAATGGCTTCGATTGATGGGTTGCGACATTATCCTATTCTGCCAACCTTTGGAATGTGGCCTGCCTTCTCAAATTCCCACCCTCTCTTCCATTGCAAATCTCCAAAATTACAAAGCTGACATCCAGAATTATTTTTGTGTCCTGTTTAGGCACCCTCAAACCTTTGAAGTTTCAAGTCTCTAATCTGAGTGTGTTTCATGTCTATTTCTGAAGCTCTGGGGTTTTTTTTTCTGGCAAGGCTCCTACATTTTTCTCAGCTGCATGGCATAAATCTGCTTGCTGGTCAGTTTTTCTTTTTACCAGCTTGAAGATACAATGAGTGAGAGATGTTGTACCTCTTTGTGCTGCTTCCTTTAATGCAGTAATAAGAACTAAGACAGCACTGATTTCAAGTCTGGTCTGGTACGGCTCAGCTGGAAATAGCACCCCGTGTCAAACTATCTGAAGAGCAATTATAATCAACAAATTACGCAAGTAGGACTACAAGAAGTTTTGTAAGGAGAAATATATGAAACGTTACAAAGTAGATAAAGAATAAAGATATCAGTTATGAGATTTAAATGTAATAGGGAAAGTAAGAAATTAGATTAGATTGGAAAATTTCCAGACAGGATTGATGGAAGTCAAAAAATTGTATAAGATGTAAAAGTACGTTTAATTACTGTTGAAAATGGTATGTTAAAAAACTAATAAAAATTTACATACATAAAAAAAGGAAATAGCACCCCATGTCTTTCATAGGGAAGGGCGATCGACTATAGAACATCTTGGAACTGCTTGCTTGTCTAAAAAAGCAAGTGAGATAGCAAAACTGTTTCTGTTTTTAGAGTTTTCCACGCATGCATATATTTTGGGACTCCCCCCCCCCCCCTCAGTTTGGGAATATTGCCCTTTGACCCTCTTCTCTGCTGTGTCGCTCCTTTTTGTCCCTCCCCGCCCCATGGCCTTTAAATATCCCTGTCAATGCCAAAAGGCCCAACTAGCAGAGACTTTCATTCCAGCTGCCAAATGACTGGGTTGTGATGAGCAATTGGGCGGAGGCTCGGTTTGCTTTCCCCTGCACAGCTGCCAGCAGAGACGTCAGTATCAGAGGAGGGCCTTCTTTGCCTGAAAAAGTGAGACACGCTGCTGTGGCCTGGACTCCTCCTTCGGAGAACCCTTCTCTGCACTCCGAGGACCTATGGTGCTGCAAAAAGAGTGAGTCACTGGACAGAAGAGACGAGGAGCCAAGGCTGTGCCTGGATTGCAGAATTATTTGCAGGAACCGGTCCGCTCGGCTCGCTTCCAACATCTGGGCAACCACATCTGCCGCAGCTGCAGAAGTGCCTTTTCCGGTGGGCTTTCCTAGAGAATGGAGCACAACGGCAGCCCCTTGGCCTCTAATGGTGAGTCGAGACTTGCAGTGATTTATGGCAGGCGTGTGTACGGTTGAACGCTGCTGAGAAATGCTCCCTTGCCTCTGGCTTCAGGGTGCGCAAAGTCCCCATGCGCAGCCACGCTGAATTTTTGAGTCGACCATTGCTAGTGCGGCATGCTCCAGATGTTTCGGACAGTCCTCAACCAGCATGGCCGTTGTATTCCAAAACACTTTTGAGGGCACCAGGTTGGCAAAGGCAGATCTGGGCGATGTGTTGCCCAGGCATCGCGCCACTTATTGATCAGTGTTTTTGCTCCGGGAAGAAAAATAGTTCATCCCAGCGGAATATTTTATTTGTTCCCGTTTGTGGCTCCGCTTTGGAGAAACGTTTATTTAAGGATAGTAAAAGAGACCGCTCCAATTGAACCTCTTTTAAACCAGCAACTTTTTAATTGCATTTTTGTCAAAGAAAAAGTAATTCTTTGTTACGGTATTGAAATACCATCTGATATTTCGTGAAGCTAGATTGCAATTTAGTACACTGGCTCTCTGCCGTTCTTTTAGTCCACAACTCTGTATAACCTCTTTCACAGGAGAAGTGTTTTTATTCTTTGTGTACTCAACAGTATCTTGGCGTGTAATGAATGGAGACCTAAAATTAGCACCATAACAAGGTCATTGTATCTGTTTCATCGAAACCTGGGAGCTGTTTGGGATTTGGACCATTGCAACTTTGCAAATGTTGGTTAATTGCTATACCTTTTTTTTTCAAAGCAACTAATTGGAGAGTACAATTTCTGGGATAACACAATCAAAGCATTATTTACAAAGCCAAATCTGAAAATGCGTTTTATGGATTGTAGGCAAATCTGTATTTGTTTGGAATGTGCAAGAACAGCTCAATCTGTAGACCACGAGACTCTTAATCTCACGGTTGTGAGTTCGAGTCTCACATTAGGCAAAAGATTCCTGCATTGCAGGGGGTTGGACTAGATGACCCTTGCGGTCCCTTCGCACGCTACAATTCTGTGTTTCTATATGAAGTTGCCTTTTGCGGTCCTGCCTCCCTAGACGCCGGCGGATGAATGTGGGACCTTTTGCATGCAGAGCAGATGTTCTGGCACTAAGCTACAGCCCTTCCCAAGACGTTCTCAGTGCTGAAGTGATTTTCAAAGTTTTGACTGGCAATGGCACCAGTTGACAGCCAGTATTGGTCATACTCAGAGCAGGCTAAGCCCAAGGGGTAGAAAAGGCTTCTTTTTAAGATTTGTTAATCACCATACTTGCTCTTGTTTTTCACTTAAGGTAAATTACTTTTGTTGTTACACCGCACGCTATTATGTCATCAGCGTGCATGGTATTTTACAAAATACAAGAAAACAGGTTTCTTCCTTGAGGGCTAGGCAGTCTGAAATTCAGTAGAAGGAGGCGGGTAAAACATCTCCACTCAAGGCCAGTTCTTTGCAATTTTGTGCCAAAGCTCCAGAGTCATCCGTCCTCCACACAAAAACAATTGATGTAAAACGAGTTAAGCCCAATGAAGACTAAATTAAAACTCTGCTATCTGGGAGCTCTGCGACTGGCTGCCTGCCTCAATGCCATATTGACCAGAGGTACAGTCTAAAATTAGAATGGGGACACTAAATATTTGTGTAGCATTCCACCCCAGTACTCTACGGCCTTTGCAAACACCAGCTTAAGCGATCCTTAAAACATTTCTGTAAGGTAGGCTTGTATAAGGTAGGCAGCCCTGTTTAGGGAAGTTTTTAATGTTTGATGCTTTATTGCTTTATTATTATTATTAATATTCTGTTGGGAGCTGCTCAGAGTGACTGGGGAAACCCAGCCAGATGGGCTGGGTATTATTATTATTATTATTATTATTAATAATAATAATAATAGACTCCATTTTGCAACTGTGTTGTCTGAGGTTGGCAAAGTGGGGTTTCTCTGAAACCACCTGTGGAGTTTATGGGTGGTAGGATTTGAACTGGGGACTTCTCCTGCCTCATATTCTTATTGTCATTCTACTAGCTCTCATAATGGTCCAGTAGTACTTGGAAGTAAGTCCCATTTAGTTCCATGGGACTTACTCCCAGGGAAGCATACATACGATTGCAGCCTTAGTCTAATTATTCCTGCTTGCTGAATATATGAGGATGTAGTTATAAGTACAGTGGTACCTCAGGTTAAGTACTTAATTCATTCCAGAGATCCATTCTTAACCTGAAACTGTTCTTAACCTGAAGCACCACTTTAGCTAATGGGGCCTCCCGCTGCTGCCGCGCTGCTGGAGCACGATTTCTGTTCTCATCCTGAAGCAAAGTTCTTAACCTGAAGCACCCTACAGCGGAGGCTGTAACCTGAAGCGTATGTAACCTGAAGCGTATGTAACCCGAGGTACCACTGTATGTAAAGAATTTGTACTGAAGGATTGAAAAGAAGTGATAGAGTATACACGCACCACCAAGCACATTATCAGATTCTTGCGACACACGAATGGAGGAGTGTGAGGTTGTTTCATTCTTCAATAGTTGCAAAAATGGAATTTGCTGTGTGCGGGTTTTGCCCCTCTGAGTGAAATGATTCCCTCCCCCCCAAAGTTCCATACTGTGTAATAGCCGAAAAAGGACAGAAGACCCCCCACACGAAAGGGGCAGGAGGTTAAGTAAATAGATAAAGAGATATCTTTCATTGGGACAACCCATGCAGTCTTCCAGATTCTGCAGAACTGTATGTCAAGCAACATCACTGTTAGAGACCTGTGAAGCTTGCAGGCCTCTCTCTCCCACACCAACACAGGCTGGTCCAATAAAAACTATCGTTATATATACGTATGGTTTTTCAGCAGCGTAGAGATACGATCTTACAGCCGGAACCACCGAAGATGAAACTGTACCCAAAATGAAGGTGTGTCTCCCCACCAACTTCCTTTCAATGTTTCCACTTCCTCCAGAGAGAGAGAAAAATAAGCTTGTTGCTTCTTCAAGAGTCCAGAAGGATGTCATAAGCAAATAAAAACAAACACACACCCTTTAAAACCATCTAGAATAGACAATACAGACCTTGATGGAGCAATCAATGGTTTGATTCAGTAAAAGTCATCTTCCGGTGTTCCTAATTATGTACGCTTAAATGAATAAGTGCATAGTTTGTAATTAAATAATTGATTTTTTAGATTTTTTTATTAAGGATCACTTGGTTGTCGTTTTTAAATGACTTCCTCAGTGAACTAGACTTCCCCCAGCTGCAGCAACGGTGACGCTCCCACTGATACGGAAAGAACATAGAAGGATGTACACACACAAAAAGCACAACACCCCCAATAGTGTGGAAACTCTGTTGCAATTCTGCTTTTAGCTGGGAGCATTAGAAGAATATAATTAGTAGGAGTCACTAATACTACCCTTTGTGTACACACATTTTAGAGTTGTTCTGAGGTGTTCCATCCCTGCTCAAATTAAGGTTACCATATTTTTTTCAATGAATCCGGGGACACTTTCAATAAATAAATAAATAAATAAATAAATAAATAAATGTTCGGGACTTTGGTGCTGCAGCGATGGCGGTGGCAGAGAGGCAGCCGCCATCTTGACCTCAACCGCCACGTTTCCCCTTCCTCCGAGGTTTCTATCTCCTTTCTCCATGAGCCTGGGCAGCCCCTGAGTTGCTGGTTCTTCGACGGTGGTGGTGGTGGTGGGGAAGCCCATCGGAGCAGCCCCAATCCCATTCCTACTTTCGTGCAAGCAAGAGGGGGGCAGGGATCTCTCAGGCAGCGCAATGGTTCCCATCAGAGCAGCCCCAATCCCATTCCTACTTGCATGCAAGCAGGAGAGGGTGGGGATTCCTCAGCTGGAAAAGGAGGCTTCCTGTTGCCTAACTGAGAGATCCCTGCCCCCTCCTGCTTGCACACAAGCTCTGATAGGCAGCTTGAAGCCTCCCTTCACAGCTGAGAGATCCTTGCCCTGCTCCTGCTTGCATGCAAGTAGGAGTTGGGAGGCTGCTCCGATAGGCAGCATGAAGCCTCTCTTCACAGCTTTGCTGCTGGTGTCAGGGAAGGTGGAGGCAGCCTGGAAGCTTCACCACCATCATATGGGGACTTCCAAGCAGCTCCTGAAGCCAGCCAGAGCCAGCTGCTCCAGGCTGCTGAGACTGCCGCTGCTGCGTTTCCCGGGGACGTTAGATGAAATCCCGGGACATTCGGGGATGGAATTTGTCCGGGGACCTAATCACAAATCCGGGGACTGTCCCTGGGAAACGGGGACGTCTGGGAACTTAGCTCAAATAGGATTTGCAGGTGTTGAAACAATGCCAAAAACCTGCACAACCTTTTTATCGAAAAGCAGTAGCTAGATTGTACGTATTCAGAAGGACGTTTGACCTCATACTGCCTTGTTATGGCTGCTAGAAATACGCTGGTTTCTGCCTTCGTAGTGAGTTGTTTTATCAGTTTTAGCTGCCTTGGACTTGCTGATTATTTTGTCTTTTACTGCTTGAGCACCATTTGGTGGAAAGGTTGCATGAAAATTTAAACCAACAAACAAGATAGGCAACCATGTCGCCTTCACACCCCCTTCAATATTTAGAATAGTAGTCTGGCCATCAGTCTAACCTCCAAACAAATTCAAAGGCTACAGTCTTTATTCAGTTGTTGTTTAGTTGTTTAGTCCGACTCTTTGTGACCCCCTGGACCACAGCACACCAGGTACTCCTGTCTTCCACTGCCTCCCGCAGTTTGGTCAAACTCATGTTCGTAGCTTGAATACTGTCCGAGCCATCTCGTCCAGTGTCAGCCCTTCTCCTGGGCCTCCATCGTGCCCAGCATCAGGATCTTTCCAGGAGTCTCTCTTCCTGAGGTGAGCCAGTATTGGAGCCTCAGCATCAGGATCTGTCCTTCCAGTGAGCACTTCAGGGCTGATTCCTGAGAATGGTACCTAGGTTTGATCTACTTGCAGTCTGATGTGACTCTCAGAGTCTGCTTCCAGCACCATAGTTCAGGAGCATCGATTCTTCGGCAATCAGCCTCTTTATGGTCCAGCTCACTCCATACGTCACTACTGGGAATACCATAGCTTTAACTATACGGACCTTCTGATCGGCAAGTCCTAGGCTCTGTGGTTTAACCCACAGCGCCACCCGCGTCCCCTTTAGTCAGTTACCCAGGAGTAAATCCCCATCGAAATTAATGGGACTTACTTCTGAGTAGACATACCTGCAATGGCTCTTTGGGAGCCAACCTGCACTTCATGTTTTACATGTTATTGAAAACACACAATTAGGACTTTGCATTTATTTGGTAAGAAAGGGGTGGGGAGCCAACCACGTGTGTGTGGGGGAATGTAATGTTTGTGTGCCAAATCTGGATCCGGGCTGTGCTGCAAAAAAGAGGAGGCGGGGGCAGTTGTTAAAACTTGTTTTCCTGCCCCGCCCCGCTGAATTTCGCACACAACCCTGACAAAATTCCTGTTTTCCCATCAACAAACTACCAGCCAATTTCACCTTTGAGCGGAGAGCGCAGGATGGGGTGGGTTATTTCTGGCAGGAAAATGGCACGAGGGAAAGGGTTAAATGTCCCTTAAACCCACATCACGGTCCCAATCCGGATCAGGGGTCTCTCCCTCCCTCCCTCCCTGGGCTACTTGGTGTTAAGGATTGCGTCCCCGTCGCTTTTATTATTATCATCATTATTTAAGTGGCACAGCTATTAACACAACACGCAGTTTGGTCCCATTTCTCTTTCCAAAACGCACACTGGACTGAAGTTTAATCCCGATTTGCGGGGACACAGAGGGATTTCCTCCTGAGTCAACAGCCTTAGGATCGGCCTGCAAGCGAGTTTGCAAACACACAAGGGTTCAAAAACCCAAGATGCGCCTCTGCTGCGAGGACGCATCGCTCCTGTTTTCCGTGCTGCAGCTTTTGGCGCAATTCGTTTTTCACTGCCACTGAACTTGAATTTCTTTTATGATCTCTGAAACGGGGATTTTTAGGCCGACAGGGCTTGACTCAGCCTCCTGCTGATTTCATAGTCTCTCTCCTCCTCCCCTTCCCCGTCTCCAAGAGTTCAGATTCTTTGTTTTCATCGGAAAGTGACGCGTTTCCCCCCTTAGGTCAGGGCGGGGACCTTGGAGGAAGCTGGCCTGCTCTGAGCAGCCTCATATGGAAACACTGACTTAGCTGGGAAGGGTGGCCCGGAGGGGCTGGGAAAAGCTTTGAAAATCTTTGAGCCAGAAACTTTCCAGGCATGAGAGGAAGAGAGAGAGGGATACCCGGGCGGAAGTTTAGGGGGAGCAGGAAGGGGGGGGGGAAATAACTATGAAGAGGAATTGAAGAGTATATGGGCGAATCTGCAACTCTCTCATTTTTCTGTTTCCCATTTTTTCAGCCATTAAATTCAGTTCTCCACAATGCTTTGCACTTTTTTGAACTTGTGAAAATCCATCAACATCAAAGTGCACATTTCTCCTAATGCACACATCTTCACATGCGATTGTGCCCAGCTGACACATTTGTGTAAAGCAGTCTTTTCCCCTAATAACAGTGCATTTCTTCTGGATGTGGTTTTTCAGCAATCTATGAATTTGGAGGCATCGAATTTATCATCATCATTTTTAATTTGTAGACCGTCTTTCTGTCTTACAATACTCAAGGCGGTTTACAAGCTGAAGAAACAAAAAATGTACATCTTACAACAATCTAATGCGATACAAAAATGTGATAATAAAACATAACTTTAAAATAGGCAACCTACATCAAAAAGTAACATTCAACAATCATTAGAATATTACTAAATAGTAATAACATTTATGATCTCTTTGCAAATGTGCTAGCAGTTTTGTCGCCGCACCACTAGGAGGACGTACTTAGAGCCATTGCGCTTATTTCGTGGGAAGCGAGAATGCCTTAATAATGGGGCAGGGCTCAAGTTGTCGCGCAACCAGTGGCGTAGCGTGGGTTGTCAGCACCCGGGGCAAGGCAAGTAATTTGCGCCCCCTAACCCGTGGATTTTAGTAGGGGCAGAGAGCTGCGAGTGCCAGCTCGCCCCCCCCAGATGTTGCGCCCGGTGCGCCCGGCCCCCCCTGCACCCCCCACGCTACGCCACTGCGCGCAACTGCGGTTGTATTTTTGTTTGTTTGTTATTTATTGCAGTTATATCCAATTAATCACAACACGTGTTAGACTCTCCCAATTAAAATCCAGGCAGCATTTAATTCTGGTAACTTATCAATAAGCAATCTGCCTGGGGTTTTAAAAGCCACTCAGGGTTGCTTCCCAAATCAAGAGTACAGTGGTACCTTGGGTTACATACGCTTCAGGTTACATACGCTTCAGGTTACAGCCTCCGCTGTAGGGTGCTTCAGGTTAAGAACTTTGCTTCAGGATGAGAACAGAAATCGTGCTCCAGCAATGAGGCAGCAGCGGGAGGCCCCATTAGCTAAAGTGGTGCTTCAGGTTAAGAACAGTTTCAGGTTAAGAACGGACCTCCGGAACGAATTAAGTACTTAATCTGAGGTACCACTGTATTTCTAAACATTGCAAGCAGTGCATTTGAAATAACATAGCCAAGGCGCCGAATTCATTTGGGCAGTGATGCTGAAGCAAGCACAATTCTGCATGTGCGCCAGAAGGAGCTTCGGGTGTGACTAATCACATTTTTGCTTTCGGCCTTCACCAGAGAACTCCAGTAACACAGCCGTCCTCTGTGATTCACCCCTCAAATTACGCATTGCCTGTCCTCCTTCTCAAGACCTGTTTTCTCATGTGCAACAGCCACACACAATGAAAACTATGCTTCTGATCCCATGATGGCTGTTATTATCCCATTAACACATTGTCTGTCATTATGATGGGCCAGGTTTCAACGTATCTGCTGGATGGCAACGACTCCTGTAGGCCGGTAAAGGGAGAAGCCATGTCCCTCCTGGTGGTGTTAGTAATACAAATCCCATGCTTCTTGTCTGTTGCCCATTCTGGCTGAGGCTGACAGGGCAGTGTGGAAGGGTCAGGGTAGTTTAGAAGCTGAGGATCTCCTACCAAGTGTGGCAACAGGGGCATCATGGGAATCAGAGTCCTTCTCATGCCAGCTGTGGGACTAAGGGCAGAATAATAGAATCATGATCACTGCAGATGGTGACAGCAGTCATGAAATTAAAAGACGTCACTGCAGATGGTGACAGCAGTCACGAAATTAAAAGACGCCTGCTTCTTGGGAGAAAGGCGATGAAAAACCTAGACAGCATCTTAAAAAGCAGAGACATCACCTTGCCGACAAAGGTCCGTATAGTTCAAGCTATGGTTTTCCCAGTAGTGATGTATGGAAGTGAGAGCTGGACCATAAAGAAGGCTGATCACCGAAGAATGGATGCTTTTGGATTATGGTGCTGGGGGAGACTCTTGAGAGTCCCATGGACTGCAAGAAGATCAGACCTATCCATTCTGAAGGAAATCAGCCCTGAGTGCTCACCGGAAGGACAGATCGTGAAGCTGAGGTTCCAGTACTTTGGCCACCTCATGAGAAGAGAAGACTCCCTGGAAAAGACCCTGATGTTGGGAAAGATGGAGGGCACAAGGAGAAGGGGACGAGAGAGGACGAGAAGGTTGGATAGTGTTCTCGAAGCTACCAGCATGAGTTTGACCAAACTGTGGGAGGCAGTGGAAGACAGGAGTGCATGGCGTGCTCTGGTCCATGGGGTCACGAAGAGTCAGACACGACTAAATGACTAAACAACAACAACAACAAATAGAATCATGGAATTGCAGAGTTGGAAGGGACCTCCAGAGTCATCAAGTTCAACCCCCTGCAATGCAGGAATCTCAGCCAAAGCATCCATGGCAGATGGCCATCCAACCTCTGCTTAAAAACCTCCAGGGAAGGAGAGTCCATAACCTCCTGAAGGAGACTGTTCCACTGTTGAACATGGTGCCCATGCAAAGGTGCCCAGAACCGCTATCCTTCCTATTGCAACACCTCAGTGTGACTAAGACAACATTCACACCAAATGTTCAAAATACAGTGGCACCTTGGTTCTCAAACTTAATCCATTCCGGAAGTCCGTTCCAAAACCAAAGCATTCCAAAACCAAGGCGCGCTTCCCCTAGAAAGTAATGCAAAACGGATTAATGCCGTTTACCTTCCCGCTGGAGCGGTACCTATTTATCTACTTTCACTTTGATGTGCTTTCGAACTGCTAGGTGGGTAGGAGCAGGGACCGAGCAACGGAAGCTCACCCCGTTGCGAGGATTCGAACCGCCAACCTTCTGATCGGCAAGTCCTAGGCTCTGTGGTTTAACCCACAGCGCCACCTGTGTCCATCTTGGTTTTTACTTTTTGAAATATGGCAACCCTAGTTTAAGGTAGCTTCCTATGCTCCAACATTCAGATCAAAGCTGAATGTGCTGTTGTTTTCAACTGTGCTTTAACTGGATGTGTCGCAAGCTATTGGGGGTAGGGGTAGGGGTTGAAGGCAAAAGAAATGGATGAGTTGAGGCAACCCCGCCTCAAACTCTCAGCTTGCGTTAAAAGCACATTGGCACAGAGCTAAAGCAACGACTGCAGATCTGCCTTGCTGATTCCTAACGCTTCCACAAGGTGGAACATTTAGATTACGAAGCAAGGGCGACGGGTGAAAGAAGCGAATCGCAGAAGGATCATAACTCTAATCTGGTCATGTTGCTTTCTAGGATTATCACTCAAATTACTATCAGCAGGGGCATTCAGTTGGGGGAATACAGGTAGCATAGACTGCTATTTTTCAGGTGGGATTTAGTCTCATTGAAGCAAATTCAGGTTGTGCAGTTGGAGTGCATTTGGTGCAACAAACTTGCTTCCCCAAAAACCCAGACTTTGCAGAGCGACACTCCTGCGAGGAAGGCTTGCAGCATTTGGGACATAGTTTAGAGAAAAGGTGACTTGGGGATAGGGATGATGGAGGTGTATACAACCCTAGAAATCACGGACATTCAGTGAAGCAGAATGCTGGAAGATTCAGGACAGAAAAAAGAAAACAGTTCTTCATGCAATGCAGAGTTAAAGGTAAAGGTAAAGGGACCCCTGACCGTTAGGTCCAGTCGCGGACGACTCTGGGGTTGCAGGGCTTATCTCGCTTTACTGGCCGAGGGAGCCGGCGTACAGCTTCTGGGTCATGTGGCCAGCATGACTAAGCCACTTCTGGCAAACCAGAGCAGCGCACGGAAATGCCGTTTACCTTCCCGCCGGAGTGGTACCTATTTATCTACTTGCACTTTGACGTGCTTTCGAACTGCTAGGTTGGCAGGAGCTGGGACCGAGCAACGGGAGCTCATGCCGTCGCGGGGATTCGAACCACCAACCTTCTGATCGGCAAGCCCTAGGCTCTGTGGTTTAGACCACAGCGCCACCCGTGTCCCGCAATGCAGAGGTAAGGTCTTCTTAGTGTTGTTCAGAAAAGAAAGTGGCAGCGAAAACGCACTGGCAAACGCGACATAACAAGTGCTGTATGCAGCATCTTATATTCTCCCCGCAAGTAAGTAAGAATGAATGCTCAATAAACAGCAGGCATCATATATGTAACCTCCCTGAGAGATTAGATGAGTGCTCAGTAAACAGGTCATCTGGGAATACAGCCAGATCCATACGGCTGCAATCCTATACGCCGGAGGTCACCAATGGGCACGTTTTTGGGACAATGGTCGCATTTGGAATTTTGAGAAAGTGCCGTGGGCACCAGTCACAAAATGGCTGCCATGGTACACAACATGATTGCTTCTGGGATGTGTCACACCACAAAACAGCTGCCCTGGCTAAAAGAGGCAGAATTTCAGGGACTGGGCAGAGGAGAAGAAGAAGAAGAAGAAGAAGAAGAAGAAGAAGAAGAAGAAGAAGAAGAAGAAGAGTTTGGATTTGATATCCCACTTTATCACTACCCTAAGGAGTCTCAAAAAAGGGACGCAGGTGGCGCTGTGGGTTAAACCACAGAGCCTAGGGCTTGCCGATCAGAAGGTTGGCGGTTCGAATCCCCAGGACGGGGTAAGCTCCCGTTGTTCGGTCCCTGCTCCTGCCAACCTAGCAGTTCAAAAGCACGTCAAAGTGCAAGTAGATAAATAGGTACCGCTCTGGCAGGAAGGTAAACGACGTTTCCATGCGCTGCTCTGGTTCGCCAGAAGCGGCTTAGTCATGCTGGCCACATGACCCGGAAGCTGTACACCGGCTTCCTCGGCCAATAAAGCGAGATGAGCGCCGCAACCCCAGAGTCGGTCACGACTGGACCTAATGGTCAGGAGTCCCTTTACCTTTACCTTTAAGGAGTCTCAAAGCAGCTAACTTTTCCCTTCCGCTCCCACAACAAACACTCTGTGAGGTGAGTGGGGCTGAGAGACTTCAGAGAAGTGTGACTAGCCCAAGGTCACCCAGCAGCTGCGTGTGGAGAAGCGGGGAATCGAACCCGGTTCACCAGATTACAAGTCCATCGTTCTTAACCACTACACCACACTGGTGTAGTGTGACCGTCTCCCCATCCTGACCCTTCCAGCAAGGAGGAAGACAGTATAAATTTACAACAGGGGTTTGAGGGAGGTCGCAGCTCAGAGGCAGATGAGGGGAAAAGCTGGGAAATCTTGGGAGAGCCGGAATAACACTTGGCTGACACGTTGTCATTAGAAAGCATCCCAGACCCTCCATCTCCCAGAAGCTGGCGAGCCTTGAAAGTAGGAGAGCAAAGAGCTCAAAGACAGAGAGCACATAGCAGCACCCGTAGAAGTGATGAATGAGGAAGTGGGAGAGACGGGGCGTGGAAATTCACTCGGGACAACGCCATTATTCAAGAGGCTGGGTTCTATAGCCTCTCTCTGTGAAGATTGAAATAAAAAAGGACAGTGGTCCTTTATACAGTGGTACCTCGGCTTACAGACGCTTCAGGTTATAGATGCTTCAGGTTACAGACTCCGCTAACCCAGAAATAGTATCTTGGGTTAAGAACTTTGCTTCAGGATGAGAACAGAAATCCCGTGGCGGTGACAGCGGGAGGCCCCATTATCTAAAGTGGTACCTCAGGTTAAGAACAGTTTCAGGTTAAGAACGGACCTCCAGAATGAATTAAGTTCTTAACCTGAGGTACTACTGTACTTTCCTGGGCATCCATCTGGGAGCCGCTGACAGCATCCTGACACCAGAAAATGTTGTGGGAAAGGCTTTCCCCTTTCCTATCAGCAGCTGGACAAATGGGGAAACGGCCCCTGTGCCCGCTCACTCACAGAGAGAGGCTTTTGCCTTCTTTCTGGTTAGAATCACAGAATTGTCGAATTGGAAGGGAGGGGTCCCTGAAGATCATCCAGCCCAACCCCCTTGCAATGCAGGAATATGCAGCTCTCCCGTACGGAGGGGGTGGTGGTGTATGCGGGCAGGTTCAAGGGGGCAAGTTCAATGTAGGAGAAAAGCTGAGCCAGCGCAGACAGGGACTGAGCAGGAACAGCAAGCCGTGTCCCCTCACACATTGGATTTTTGAGGGCAACGTCTTCCAAGGCCTTTCATGGATGCCATAGGAGGGACTGGCAGACCCAAAGGCCCCACATTGGCCACCCCTGCTCTATGCACAATTTTTTCTTCTTTTAGAAGCAGGAAACGGCCACAGCCTGTTTACTCTCCCTGTTTCACTTCCACCCCATATTTGCTTCCCCATTTTTGCCACCCTTCACGTCCAGCCTTTCCCACATCTCTTTTCTGCCCCTCTTCCCCTGTTTTGCTTAGACTCCTTTCCTTGTTCTCCTCCATTAGGGGGGCCTTCTACACACAGAGCAACTGCACTGCTACCCTGTTTCAACAAGGAGTCTGGCGAAGGAAAGCACCCTCCTTATTTCAGTCTTCTCTTTTGGGTAGAGTTCAGGGCAAACCTGTTCCCACCATTTGTAGCAGAGGCCAGATTTGCATGGGGCAGATTGACTAGGCTTTGTGTCACTCATGGATTCACCTCCTGCCCCCTTTTAATTGTTATAAAAAGCATGTCTGTCTGTCTGTTTGTCTGTCTGTCTATCTACAGTGGTACCTCGGGTTAAGGACTTAATTTGTTCCAGAGATCCATACTTAACCTGAAACTGTTCTTAACCTGAAGCACCACTTTAGCTAATGGGGCCTCCCGCTGCTGCCGCGCCGCTGCAGCCCGATTTCTGTTCTCATCCTGAAGCAAAGTTCTTAACCTGAAGCACTATTTCTGGGTTAGCGGAGTCTGTAATCTGAAGCGTATGTAACCTGAAGCGTATGTAACCCATCTATCTATCATCATCTGTCTATCTATCTATCTATCTATCTATCTATCTATCTATCTATCATAGGGCTGCCATACGTCCAGGCTAGAAAATGTCCAGGAAAACCCATGGCAAGCCGTTTCGGAAGTGTTGGGGGTGGGTTTTTTGGCAAATTTCCTAAAAGATAGCTGAAAAACTTCTCTCTTTTTTGGGGGGGGGGAGATTTTGCAAAAAGAAGCTCAACAACTCCCTCCCCCTGCAAAGAAAAAAGCCCAACAACTTTGCCCTCCCCCCAATAAAAGCTCAACAGCTTTGCCAAGAAAATCTCAACTTTTTAAAATGTGGCAACCCTAATCTACCACACTGGAAAAACATAATAAGAAACACTTGGAAAACATTGTACACTGGTATCTCTGGTTAAGAACTTAATTCATTCTGGAGGTCCATTCTTAACCTGAAACCGTTCTTAACCTGAGGTACCACTTTAGCTAACGGGGCCTCCTGCTGCCGCCGCTGTGCGATTTCTGTTCTCATCCTGAAGCAAAGTTCTTAACCCGAGGTACTACTTCCGGGTTAGCAGAGACTGTAACCTGAAGTTTGTAACCCGAGGTACCACTGTAGTGTCTCTGAAACATGCAGGGAGGGCTGACAACCCACAATAATTCATAATCCACTTTGTGTTCTTGAACAGGGAATATGATGCGAGCAGATCTCACCCCTCTGAGGAAAAACATAATAATGAAAGCCCGAACCCACACCTGTGGGCAGCCTTTAAGAATATACTGGAGATCAGCCTCCAGCAGTACAAAACGTTCTGTTAAAAAAAGGAAAGGGCTGAGGTTATATCAGTGAGTCTTTTTCCCGTTAAAGTTAAGTAATTGCTGACCGAGTCACTGACACTACAGGTCCTCTGATTTTTCAGAAAGTTATTCACCTGAGTTCCTCAGCGAGGTGACTTGGCATGAGGTAAAGAGAGGAGGATTAGGCCCTTAGTGTACGCAGGGAACATTTTCATATCCACTTAAGTGCACATGTGCTACATCATATGATCTCTGTGTAACGTGGAATGTCAGCAGGAAGAATGCTGAGACATCAAAATGGCATATTATGTTACCCGTTCACACCCCAACGAATGCTAAGTCATACTCCTGCCAACCTAGCAGTTTGAAAGCACATCAAAGTGCAAGTAGATAAATAGGTACCTCTCCAGCGGGAAGGTAAACGGCATTTCCCTGTGCTGCTCTGGTTCGCCAGAAGCGGCTTAGTCATGCTGGCCACATGACCCGGAAGCTGTACGCCGGCTCCCTCGGCCAATAAAGCGAGATGAGTGCCGCAACCCCAGAGTTGTCCGCGACTGGACCTAACGATCAGGGGTCCCTTTACCTTTCAGTAAGCAAAAATGTATAGAACGAGTACAAATACCTGCTGGAAATGTAAAAAAAAGAAGAAGGTAACTTTTGCCACATGTGGTGATAGTGTAAGGTAATAAAAGCTTTCTGGAAGATGATATATAATGAAATGAAAAAAAAAATGTTTAAAATAACTTTTGTTAAAAAACCAGAAGCTTTTCTATTAGGAATTATAGGTACAGACGTTCCAAAGGAGCATAAAAGATTTTTTATGTATGCGACAACAGCTGCACGGGATGGAAAGAAGCCCAGGGATGGAAAGAAGAAAGAGTCCCTACCAGAGAGGAATGGCAAACTAAGCAGATAGACTACAGTGGTGCCTCGCAAGACGAAAATAATCCGTTCCGCCAGTCTCTTCGTCTAGCGGTTTTTCGTCTTGCGAAGCAACCCTGTTAGCGGCTTAGCGGATTAGTGCTATTAGCGGTTTAGCTGATTAGCGCTATTAAAGGCTTAGCGGCTTAGCGGCTAAAAGGCTATTAGCGGGTTAGCGGCTTAGAAAAAGGGGGGGGAAAGGCGAAAAAAAATCGGAACACCCGCAAGACGTTTTCGTCTTGCGAAGCAAGCCCATAGGGAAATTCGTCTTGCGAAGCAGCTCAAAAACGGAAAACCCTTTCGTCTAGCGGGTTTTCCGTCTTGCGAGGCATTCGTCTTGCGGGGCACCACTGTACATTGAAATGGCAAAGCTGACTAGAAAGCTGAGGAATTGAGGGCAAAAATTTTAAAAAAGAATGGGGAAAAATTATAATTTACCTAGGAGGCCACTGCAAGCAGATGGAAACATTAGCAGGATTTTAATCTCACTTGTCATGCAACATATATTATGGACAATATGGACTGATATAAAATATAGATTATAGAATAATATGCAGTTGTAAATGTTGACAATAGGACCCATGGAGGGGGTGGGGGGGAGTTTTGAGATTCAGAGTACAGTGGTACCTCGGGTTAAGAACTGAATTTGTTCTGGAGGTCTGTTCAGAACCTGAAACTGTTCTTAACCTGAGGTACCACTTTAGCTAATTTATGGAAGGTACAGCTATCAATATTAGGGACGCGGGTGGCGCTGTGGGTTAAACCACAGAGCCTAGGGCTTGCCGATCAGAAGGTTGGCGGTTCGAATCCCCGCAACAGGGTGAGCTCCTGTTGCTCGATCCCTGCTCCTGCCCATCTAGCAGTTCGAAAGCACGGCAAAGTGCAAGTAGATAAATAGGTACCACTCTGGTGGGAAGGCAAACGGCGTTTCTGTGCGCTGCTCTGGTTCGCCAGAAGCAGTGTAGTCATGCTGGCCACATGACCCGGAAGCTGTACGCTGGCTCCCTCGGCCAATAAAGCGAGATGAGTGCCGCAACCCCAGAGTCAGTCACGACTGGACCTAACGGTCAGGGGTACCTTTACCTTTACCTTTTACAGCTATCAATGGTTACTGACCACAATGCCTTCATGGTCAGAGGTAGTAATGGTTCTAAATTCCAGTTTCTGGAAGGGAGAGAGCTCTTCTGCTCAGGTTCTGCTTCTGGGTTTCCTACAGGCATCTGGTTGGTCACTGTGAGAACAGGATTTTGGACTAGATGAGCCATTGGCCTGATCCAGCAGGCTCTTCTTTATGTTCTTAATTTGTCAGTGTTGTATCAGTACTGAGCCTAAGTTCCAGAGCATCGGTTATTAAAGGCCGCCACTGCTGCTTTGGGTTTAATCAGGGAGTTATTATGAGGCAAGGGTTTTTCAAACTGTGCTGGGGAGCCCTGGATTCTTCAACGGCAGCCTTCCCAAACTTGGTGCTCTCCCTCAAGGTGTTTTGCACTACAACTCCCATCAGCCCCAACCAGAATGGCCCCATGAGCCACAGCTAGGGATATCATAGAATCATAGAATCATAGAGTTGGAAGAGACCACAAGGGCCATTGAGTCCAACCCCCTGCCAAGCAGGAAACACCATCAGAGCACTCCTGACATATGGTTGTCAAGCCTCTGCTTAAAGACCTCCAAAGAAGGAGACTCCACCACACTCCTTGGCAGCAAATTCCACTGTCGAACAGCTCATACTGTCAGGAAGTTCTTCCTAATGTTTAGGTGGAATCTTCTTTCTTGTAGTTTGGATCCATTGCTCCGTGTCCGCTTCTCTGGAGCAGCAGAAAACAACCTTTCTCCCTCCTCTATGTGACATCCTTTTATATATTTGAACATGGCTATCATATCACCCCTTAACCTCCTCTTCTCCAGGCTAAACATGCCCAGCTCCCTTAGCCGTTCCTCATAAGGCATCGTTTCCAGGCCTTTGACCATTTTGGTCAAAGGTCCTCTGGACACGTTCCAGTTTGTCAGTGTCCTTCTTGAACTGTGGTGCCCAGAACTGGACACAGTACTCCAGGTGAGGTCTGACCAGAGCAGAATACAGTGGCACTATTACTTCCCTTGATCTAGATGCTATACTCCTATTGATGCAGCCCAGAATTGCATTGGCTTTTTTAGCTGCCGCGGTTTCCGTTCCATCCTGGATGGGTCACAATCAGCTCTGTTTTCGTTCTGCTGCAGTTCGGCTTCTGTGAAATACATCATCCGTGTCCCTGTCCACTATAGCTGAAACCTACTTAATAAATTTTATTTCAGTTGAAGGGAAACATAATAAAGAATGCAGGAAAAAACACAATAATTTACATTAGCAGACTAACGAAAGGATAGCAAATACTGCTCTAGTTATCTCCCGCTTGGACTACTGCAACACGCTCTAGTGGGGCTACCTTTGAAGGTGACCCGGAAACTGCAATTAATCCAGAATGCAGCAGCTAGACTGGTGACTGGGAGTGGCCGCTGGGACCACATAACACTGGTCCTGAGAGATCTGCATTGGCTCCCAGTACGTTTCCGAGCACAATTCAAAGTGTTGGTGCTGACCTTTCAAGCCCTAAACGGACTCGGTCCTGTATGCCTGAGGGAGCGTCTCCACCCCCATCATTCAGCCCGGACACTGAGGTCCAGCGCTGAGGGCCTTCTGGCGGTTCCTTCATTGCGAGAAGTGAGGTTACAGGGAACCAGACAGAGGGCCTTCTCAGTAGTGGCACCCACCCTGTGGAACACCCTCCCTTCAGATGTGAAGGAAATAAGCAGCTATCCTATCTTTAAAAGACATCTGAAGACAGCCCTGTTCAGGGCAGTTTTTAATATTTAACGCTGTACTGTTTTTAACACTTGATTGGAAGCTGCCCAGAGTGGCTGGGGAAACTCAGCTAGATGGGCGGGGTATAAATAATAAATTTTAATTATTATTATATTATTATTGTTCAAGATCGCTTGTGTGATTTCTGTTCCCGACCTCGGACGGACGTGCGAATTGCGGGAAATACTGCTCCCATCCCCGATAGAATTATGCAACACCTTTACCCACAGCCCCACAGCTTTTGCAAGAGAATTTCCCCAGGCAAAGTAATTTTCATTCCCCTTGCAAAACCTGTACTGCTTGTCACTATTCTATTTTTTAAATAAATAAATAAATAAATAAATAAACAACCCCACATCCTGTATGAGAAGTTCGAATGTCGGTGAACATTCCGTGACCTCAGAGCAGTTTGGCCAATAGGGAAATGGGTCTTGAAGACAGGAAGGCACAGGCAACCTTTTATAGCCTAATTACATGTGAGAGGCATTAAAGGAGACAAAACAGTTGGGCACTGAGGAGAAAGGAGGAGAAGAAGGGAAAAGAAAAGACAATGCCATAAATGCCCTTCCAGTGCTATGTCACATGCCAGGCAATCAAGTTTTAATTGCTGGGGAACTTTGTCCCTCCCTTGCCTGGGGATTGGAGCAACACAAGTGCAGTGTAACTCAGTCTGTTGCATCCTCCTGTGCTGGCCTGACTAGTGCAAGAGAACAGCGATTGCCTCACGTCGCACTCCTTCGTTTGAAGCCAGCCTCCTCCTGTGTTTCTGTTTCGGCTGTTGCCGGAGTGTCTTTTGCGCCAGTTGTTTAACCACAAGGACTTTGCGGCAGCCCCAGGGTGACCAGGGAGCCGGCTGGGCTGGGGACTGACTCCCCAATGCTTGTCCTTGCCTCTCTCTGGGGCCATGCAGTGTTTCCGAAGGCAGCCCAAGCTCAGCAAATCCCAGGAAAACCTCTTGCTGGAAGAGAGCAGGAAAGTGGCAGCTCTGAATGGGAAGAGACTGGGTAAGGGGCTGGTGTCTCAGCCAAATAAATGCCTCCTTAGGCTCCTGGCAGCTCTCTGACAGCAGTGGCGGATGTTTGAATCTCTGCCGCACCTTTAAAGTAAACCAAAGTTGTTTCTGTGCCTTTTTAAACGTGTGTGTTTATATATATATCCAGTTCAGCACTTATTGAAGATCTACCCTTTCCAAGTATTATTTTTATCAAAAAGTGGAGATCTTCTTTATCTCAATCTGTAGCTCGATTGGATTTAAAAAACGGGTTTTTTAAAATCGTAGATACATGCGTTTTAAAAACAGTCCATCACTTTGAGATGTGTTCATAGGAAGTGATTTATAATCTACGTGTCTATGCAATTTCTCCGCTTCAATCTACTTGATGCAGTGGAGGTTTTTGTTATGTTTTGGGCCAAATAATGCTTGGAGAAACGTTATTTTGAGAATAACATTTTGAGAAACTGCTTGGATCCTTTTGTTATTGTTTTTAAGGAAATGCTCCCCCCAACGAGTTTCCCGCGGTCTGCCTGTGGTAGTTTATTGATTGCAATGTTGTTGTTGTTGTGTTGGTGGTTGTTATCACGACTACTGCAAAACTCAGCGTCTCATCTACTGCTCTGAAATACTGTAAACTGAAAAAGAAAGAAACAGGAACTTTGTTTCCTTCTCTCCCGTGTTGTTGTGGCTTCAGTAAATGGCTCTTGCAAGGGGCTGTAACACTAAGGCTCCAGACTTAGCCATATACTGTATTAAAAGAATTGTGGCTCTTAGAATGATAAGAGCTCAAAGGAGCCCTCCAAAGGTCATCTGGCCCAACCCCATTGATGGGTAGCCGTTCAGTTGTTGCTGCTGCTGCTGCTGGTTTATACAGAATTATCAATGCGCACGATGCTTCATAAGGAACTAAATACATGAATAAGTTGACGCAAGCAGGCCAGTGCCCCAAGAAGCTTGCAGTCTATGTTTTGATGGTAAGGAAAACGGCACAGAGATGGTTTCTAGAAAGTCCAGGGATGAGCTCAGATTGTGCCTCTTCCATGGAACAGTTGGGGTGTCATTTCCAGGAATAAGCAGCACTCAGATTTTATAGGGGGCAAGAAGTGGTCTGTTCCCTATGGTTACTGTATTTAAGGGACTCTGGTGTGTGTGAATATGTGGGTGGGTTCCAAGGAAGGCTCCTTTATATATTCCCCCCACCTCTGGCAAAAATAATTTGGGAAGGATGAAATGGGGAGGAAGAGGACCGCGTATGCCACCTTGAGCTCCTTGAAGGAAAAGGTGGAATTGAAATGCAATAAATAAAATTTATAAAGGAAAAATAAACCTAGGTCTAGTTCTCAATGCAGAAGTATAACCACCTGTATCACTGGGATATACTATACTATAGATGGTGACTCAAATACCTGAATGTTCTCTCCCTCTTTGCTTTGGGCTATGAAACGAAAGATTGGCCTCTAGGGCTCATTCTTGGGTCTTCTCGGCTGGATCCTAGTTTTCTAAGGTGGAGAAAATCTTGAAGCAAACCTGATCAAACCCAGGCTAGTGCCTTCTTCTGTGGCAGTGATGCTGGTGAAAAAAAGAGAGATTTCTCCCCTGATAACTGCTTCCACTCAGTTCTACCCGGGAAACATTTTTGGCAGAGTGAAAAGTCTCTTGTTGTTTTTTTTTGGAGCCTTGGGTTATAACTTTTGGAAGGCCACCGTGGCAGATAAAATCACTTGCACCCATTTAAACTTGAACTCCTGAAAAAATGCAGTTCAGCGGCAGGCTGTTCCTGCAATAACTTATTTGTCATAATTGCTCAGATGAGCTATGACCCTTCCTCGCTTGACCCTTGCTCCTGGCAGCTTCTATAAATCTGCCTGTCTGGTTGCAAGAATGGGCTAATGCCTCTTTAAGAGTGAAGGGGTGGTCCCCCATTTGAAGGAAGTGGTGGAGAGTCCACTCCTGAAGTGCTCTCAAGTGTGTGGTGATAGTTCACCTCCGCACATCCCTGGCTGACTTCTGTGATGTAGACGCTTTTGGTCCATTTTGGGAACTAAAACTACCTTGGTTGCTCTGGCTGAGGACTTTTTTTCTGGGAGAGAGACAGGAGGAGTGTGACTCTGTTTTGTTTTGTTTCTAAGATAAATTTAAAAGGTTTACTTACATTTCAATGCAGGCAGCAAATTCATCAAAGTCATATGCAGGCAAAAATACTTCTATGTTACAAAATACAAAATCACCGTATTTTTCGCTCTATAAGACGCACCAGACCACAAGACGCACCTAGTTTTTGGAGGAGGAAAACAAGAAAAAAAATATTCTGAATCCCAGAAGCCAGAACAGCAAGAGGGATCGCTGCGCAGCGAAAGCAGCAATCCCTCTTGCTTTTCTGGCTTCTGGGATAGCTGCATAGCCTGCATTTGCTCCATAAGACGCACACACATTTCCCCTTACTTTTTAGGAAGGAAAAAGTGAGTCTTATAGAGCAAAAAATATGGTAGTTTCCAAAATGGAGTCTGGGTTCTGAGCTGAGCCCAGGCATGGACATCTGCTCACATTGCTGGCTTGAAAGAAGAGAGCCAGTGTGACTCTGCTGATTTTGGTAAACCTCTTGTCTAGGGATGGGATTTATTGAACATCTGAATGTTGAGCTTATTTGCACAGATTTCCCTCCCTAATTCCGTGCCTTGCTCCTTAGTCTCAAAGTGAGAATCAAGGTTTCCCCCTGCCCCAACTCTCCGGTTCTACTGAAAATGCAAAAAAATAATAATAATCTAGCAAATTATATGCATTATTTCAGGAATAGGCAAACTCAGCCCTCCAGATGTTTTGGGACTACAATTCCCATCATCCCTGACCACTGGTCCTGTTAGCTAGGGATCATGGGAGTTTTAGTCCCAAAACATCTGGAGGGCCGAGTTTGCCGATGCCTGCATTATTTTATGTATATACTTTGCCCTGTGCGTCCCAGGTTTCCTAAAGTAACCATCACATAACTAGATATAGTCATCGATAAATATATTAAAAAACATATGCATTATTTATAAATTTATGCTGTGGAAGTATGTTACAGCATGGGACTTGATTTCTTTTGCATATTATTATTAGCTGAACTTATATGCATGAATGACTCAGACATCAGACAATATAAGAGACGTCAGATACAAGCAAAGCTCAATTGGGTTGGAACCGCCACCAAATTCTGTGTATAAATCCATTTAAAATAGATCCCTCTTCCATTCTAATGACTTAACTGTTGTTGCTGCTATTGATAACGGTGTTGTCCTGAATTTCCCTTTGAGATTAGATATAAGAGACCCTTCTCCATGTTTCATCTTCTGGAGAAGTGGGAGCTGCCTTGGTAGTGGCGCCGTGAGAAATGCTCTCTGAAAGCAGTTAGGTCTGGTTCTGACACTGTATTCCTCACCCGTATATTCCTCTTTTTGCCCAGACATTTTATATTGGGGTGGAAAGAAGGTAGATCTCTGGGTGATTTGCAGTGTGGTGTAGTGGTTAAGAGCGGTGGACTCGTAATCTGGTGCACCGGGTTCGATTCCCTGCTCCACATGCAGCTGCTGGGTGACCTTGGGCTAGTCACACTTCTCTGAAGTCTCTCAGCCCCACTCACCTCACAGAGTGTTTGTTGTAGGGGAGGAAGGGAAAGGAGAATGTTAGCTGCTTTGAGACTCCTTTGGGTAGTGATAAAGCGGGATATCAAATCCAAACTCCTCCTCCTCCTCCTCCTCCTCCTCTTCTTCTTCTTCAGGAATCAGCAATGATTTCTGGGGTGCTTACAGATGGTTGTTCTTTGGTAGGAGGAAATCATTTGCAACAAACCCATTTCCCATCCCCAAATCAGGACTTCCTGTGGTAAGGAAAGCTATGGGAAAGTCCACTCGAAAAAGTGGGATAACGCTTCCTTGCCACATCTATTGTATAACCTCCCTGCAAACAAACCAGGATGAATGCTCAGTAATAGGTGATGTCATCTGACTTCCCCATAAGCTTTGTGCAAGCAGAGGAGGATGAATACTAGGCAGACAGGCCACCTGGAAGCAACCTGATACCCAATTGTTTAACAATTGAAGCAACAATATGACTCCTCTCGCCCTAAATTATATTGCTGAAATAAATAGTGCTGGCAGGGGAACCAGGAATGGGGTTCTCTGTATGAGCGCCATTCCTTTCTGTTGATCGGAACAAACGCCTGGTTGTTTGCAATAGGCAATGGATGGGGAATCTAGCAAAAACTCCACCATCGTTGCAGGAGATCCCATAAGCCTGAAGTGTTCCCAGCTCTGTTTTAGATAATAATAATAATAATAATAATAATAATAATAATAATAATTTATTATTTATACCCCGCCCATCTGGCTGGGCTTCCCCGGCCACTCTGGGCGGCTTCCAAAAGAATATTAAAATACTATAATACATCAAACATTAAAAGCTTCCCGAAACAGGGCTGCCTTCAGATGTCTTCTAAAAGCCTGGTAGTTGTTGTTCTCTTTGACATCTGGTGGGAGGGTGTTCCACAGGGAAGGCGCCACTACCGAGAAGGCCCTCTGCCTGGTTCACTGTAACTTGGCTTCTCGCAGTGAGGGAACCGCCAGAAGGCCCTTGGTGCTGGACCTCAGTGTCCGGGTAGAACGATGGGGGTGGAGACGCTCCTTCAGATATACTGGACCAAGTATGATGTTTTGAGCTGGATGTATGGCTTCACCAGACCTTCCAAGTATCCCTATTTTCCAGGGACTGTCCCTGATTTACAGAAGCCGTCCCGGTTTATGATCTGATCCCAGAATGTCCTGCTTTTACTTAGGAAGTCCCTGTTTTCACAGGAGAAATGTTGGAGGGCATGGAGTTATGTGACCGCCGAGCCGTTTGCAGGCAATCCTGAATAGGGAAGGTTCTTTTAATGTTCAATAATATGTTTTTATATATGTTGGAAGCTGCCCAGCATGGCTTGGACAGCTCAGTCAGATGGGTGGGATATTATTATTATTATTATTTGAATAGGCTGTCCCTATTTTCATCAGAGCAATGTTGGGAGGGCATGGTTTCATTCCTCTACGCTTTGCTTATTTATTTATGAAGGATATTTACAGCAGAATCGAGCCAAAGTTTACGTTACTGATTAATCAAAGAGCCAAGGATCTTGTCAACTGTCTCAAAGGCATGGATTGTTTAGGAACAACAAGTTCAATGATAATAAATTATTATTATTATTATTATTATTATTATTATGCCCAACCTTATGCTGCTTCCAACCTGCAGCAATAGCATTTCTTTATGCTCTTTTATCTTTGCTTTATTTTGTTTAATAAAATAAAAATAAAAATGGGTTATTAGCAGCAGGGGCCCATTAATAACAAGACACCTATCACCAATGGTTGATAGAGTTTGGGGCAGTTCCTACATAGTTCATAGTAGCATCTCATCAGTGCTGTTTGTTATATTCTTTGTTTATGTTATTTTAATGACAATATATTATTGTTATTAAAATATATGACCTATCCTTCACCCTAAGGTCTCAGTGTGGGTTGCAACAATAACCATTAATATTAAAGCACAATATTAAAACAAATTTGAACAACTTGTAATTTTAAATTTCTTTGTATCCTTTTTGAATGGAGGGTGGTCAGCGCATTTAAAAAAACGAATAAATGGCTGGCTGATCCAGTGTTTCTGCTCCTGTTTGACGGCTCAGTTGCAGAAGGAGCGCTGGGGAATTTATTCCTCTCAGGATGACAGGATCTGTCCTCTTCTCTAAGCTACTTAACACCTGCAAGCAGTGGCGTAGCCTGGGGGGTGCAGGGGGGGCCGGCCGCACCGGGCGCAACATCTGGGGGGGGCGCGCTCGCACTCGCAGCTCTCTGCCCCTACCTGGCTCACTCACTCTCTCTCACTGCAGTGCTGGCTGTGCGAATCCGATCTGAGCCGCTGGGTCGCCGCCCACTGTGGAGGGGGTGGGTGCCAGGCGTGCGGTGCGGAGAGAGAGCGAGGGGCTATCTGGAGGAGGGACAGTGCAGCGGCCGCCCAGCGCAGCGCTGAGCGCGGGAGAGAACCACACCAGACCAGCCCAGGCAGCAGCAAGAAGAAGCTGGCAGCGGCGGCAGGTTAGGGGTTAGGGGGCGCAAATTACTTGCCTTGCCCCGGGTGCTGACAACCCACGCTATGCCGCTGCCTGCAAGTTTGGGCTGCTTTGTCATCGCTATGCAGATGACACCCAGCTCTACCTGTCTTTTTCATCTAGCCCAGGTGAGGTAGTGGGTGTTCTGAACAGGTATCTTGGCTGAGTCATTCAGATGGCTGATTTCACCACCTGCAGCCTAAGGGATGCAGCCTCTTCCTAAAGTTTGGTTTTGAGCTTCCGTAAAGCAAAAGGTTTGTGTATTCTGCCATTTTGACTGTAGAAAGACCAGCACGCAGAGAACGGAGATTGTCACACATGCTAATAGCAGTCTGGCCAGTGTATCTGAAGGAGCGTCTCCATCCTCATTGTCCAGCCCGGACACTGAGGTCCAGCTCCGAGAGCCTTCTGGTGGTTCCCTCCCTGCGAGAAGTGAGGTTACAGGGAACCAGGCAGAGGGCCTTCTCGGTGGTGGCACCCACTCTGTGGAACGCCCTCCCATCAGATGTCAAGGAAATAAACAACTATCTGACTTTTAGAAGACATCTGAAGGCAGCCCTGTACAGTGGTACCCTGGGTTACATGCGCTTCAGGTTACAGACTGCGCTAACCCAGAAATAGTACCTCGGGTTAAAAACTTTGCTTCAGGATGAGAACAGAAATCGGGCTCTGGCAGCGCGACAGCAGCAGGAGGCCCCATTAGTTAAAGTTGTACTTCAGGTTAAGAACAGTTTCAGGTTAAGAACAGACCTCCAGAATGAATTTACTTAACTCGAGGTACCACTGTATAGGGAAGTTTTTAATGACTGATGTTTTAATATATTTTTACTCTTTTGTTGGAAGCTGCCTAGGGTGGCCTGGGAAACCCAGCCAGATGGGTGGGGTATAAATAAATTATTATTATTATTATTATTATTATTATTATTATGGCAATAGTGACGCAGCAGCTTGTGAGTTGCATGGCGCAGGGACTGTTCATACAGTGAACACCTGCTTTCCCCCCTCCATTGATTATTATTATTATTTTGTGGTCTTGATTGCTGTGATCTTCTCACTCAGCCATTTCTCTTTCTCTTTTGCCTTTCCCCTCTTAGAGCAGGGAGCTGGAAGGATATTTGTGGTGCTGTTCCAAAACTGCCTGGAGAACACATTTTCCCCAGTCCTTTCCTGCTGGGGACCAAGAGCACTTCATTGGCTCTGGTCTGGACTTCTCCCTGACATGTTACTTATCTGTCTGCAGGGATTCCCAGCAGCCCTTATGGTTAATCACCCGGGCTAGGTTTGCACGGTCAGACAAACCATAGTTAGGGTCAACAAACCGTGGTTTGCATTCTGTGCAAACTGGGTCAATTTCTTTGCTTCACGAGGCTCTCTCTGTTTAAACTGGCCGCGGGGTGAAGTTATTTGAAAAGTCGCCATACGGAAGAGAGAGCAGGAGCTACTGCGTTGTAGTTTATAGGAAGCAGATGAGCAGAGATGGAATGGAAAGCAGAACTTGGGGTTAGCCTACGTGCATAGCTAGACAAAAACTGAAAGTCCAGTTCACCGATTTAGTTTTGACCCGGGATCCAGCGACTTCATTTATAGGAAGGACAATTTGCGTGCAAATAAGGGCACTTTCAGGTGGGTGAGTGTTGTGGGATCATTGCTTCTCACGCACGCACGTAACATCACTGGCGTCCAACTGCTTGCCTGTGTTACTTTTCCTGTTTAGTGGGAGTTGTTGTCTGAAACATCTGGAGGGCACCAGGTTGACAAAGGCTGGATTCACAGAAGAGAATTCCATCAGGGTCTACTAGCAATGATGGCTCAGTAGAACGTCTATGTTGAGAGGCAGTCTGGCCCCGAGTGCCGGTGTCACGGTCCGGGTTACAGGCAGTCAGAGTCCTGGCTTGGTACAGTGGTACCTCGGGTTAAGAACTTAATTCGTTCTGGAGGTCAGTTCTTAACCTGAAACTGTTCTTAACCTGAGGTACCACTTTAGCTAATGGGGCCTCCCGCTGCCGCCATGCGATTTCTGTTCTCATCCTGAAGCAAAGTTCTTAACCCGAGGTACTATTTCTGGGATAGCGGAGTCTGTAACATGAAGCGTCTGTAACCCGAGGTACCACTGTACGTCGGGACCGGGGTAGAGGTCAGGAAACAGGAATCAGCAGTCCAGGGGTCAGGAAGCCAAGAGTCCACGAATCAGGAAACCAGGAGTCAGGAAGCCAAGGGTCCGAGGGTCAGGATACCAGGAGTCATGAAGACAAAGCACAGCTAGGTGGGTAGTGTGTTGCTGTGGCAAATACCCAGAGGAAATGCTGGTCTTATATACCCCTCCTGGCCCTTGCCACCAGGTGCTACCAGTCTTCTGTCAAGCTTCACCTGTGTGGGCCTTGCCCTTCCGGGCCAAACTCAGGAAGGCCCCAGTCCTGCGAGGCCCTACCGGTCACAGGGCCTGGCTCCTGCACGCACTCCTGACAGCGGTTGCTGGGAATTGATGCCAATCGATGGGAATCGCAAGTGGGGAGTGGGCTGCTTCACTCAGCTCCTCTAGCTGGGCTTCTCATAATGGGCACCTGGTTGAACACTGAGGGGAATAGGGCGCTAGACTAGGTGGGCTTTGACCAGTCCCTGAAAGTTCCTTGCACGGACCAATCCCTCTTTCCAGAGTCCTTTGGGAATTTCAGCTTTGCGAGGAGAATAGGGGTCTCGTAACGACTCTGGGCAGGTTCCCAGGATCCTTTGTGGGGAGACACGATGGTTCAAAGCGGTACATGCTGTTTCCAAAGTAAGGTGCAAATGTGGCCATAGTCGCGCTGGTTTCTGCCGTGCCTGTTTTGCTCATCTTGCATCACAGAAGATGTACCGGCTGTAATTATAGCTCTTCACGTGCCCTGAGTGACACATGCAGGCACTGCTGTCTTAGCAGCAGCTTAACTCTGAGAAAGCGCCATTTAAATTGCAATAAGAGGAGGTTGGGCGCAGAGGCAAATTCCTGTTGCGTTTGGCAGATGGTCTGAATTCCTTCTGTGTGCATTACAGGAATGATGTACCTGCTCCTTCTCTGTGTCACAGTGATGCGAAACCACATCACCATACTGTGTGACGAGAAGGGGTTTAGTAATGGATGCACCACATGACAGGGCATTCCACTTCATCAGGTACAGGTGTGGGGATCTCATGGCTCCCCAGGTGTGGTTGGACTCCAGTTCCCATCAGCCCCAATGGCCAGGGATGATGGGAGTTGTAGTCCAACAACATCTGGAGCAACACTGATTTATTTAGTCTGGCAGTTATATCCAACCCCAAAATTGTTGAGTTTTTTAAAGGAAACCCTCCAAATTGTTGAGCTTCTTTAAGGAAAACCCAAAAGTTGTTGAGCTCCCCCCCAACACCATTAATATTATTATTATTATTTTATTTTATTTCGACACTCCAGCCACTACATCTCACTGGCTGGTTCTCCTCTCTTCTCCCTTATAGATTCCAAGCTGGTTTCTTCTACCTGATCTTGGAGAGTAAATTGGAATGTTATCAGCACAGGTCAAAGAGTCACTCATTAAAAAAAAGCACAAATTGGGAGGGTGTCTGTTTCTTTGGCAGGCATATCTAGCACTCAGTCCCATTTAATTATTCAAAACAATAGTCACTTGACATGTGGAATCTGAGAGTCAGTCATCGGTGGGGGTGAATGCAAGGAATAAGCCATCAAGTATGGTATAAAACCGGGGTCAGCAAACTTTTTCAGCAGGGGGCCGGTCCACTGTTCCTCAGACCTTGTGGGGGGGCAGACTATATTTTTTTGGGGGGGAATGAACGAATTCCTATGCCCCACAAATAACCCAGAGGTACATTTTAAATAAAAGGACACATTCTACTCATGTAGAAACACGCTGATTCCCGGACCGTCTGCAGGCCGGATTTAGAAGGCGATTGAGCCAGGTCCGGCCCCCGGGCCTTCGTTTGCCTACCCATGGTATAAAACAGGGGTAGGCAACCTAAGGCCCGTGGGCCAGATACGGCCTAATCACCTTCTCAATCCGGCCTGCAGACGGTCCGGGAATCAGCGTGTTTTTAAATGAGTAGAATGTGTCCTTTTATTTAAACTGCATCTATGGATTATTTGTGGGGCATAGGAATTCGTTCATTCCCCCCCCCAAAAAAAAATAGTCCGGCCCACCACATGGTCTAAGGGACAGTGGACCCACAGCTGGAAAAGGTTGCTGACCCCTGGTATAAAATCTCTGGGTGGGGAGTGAGGGAGACCTCCCATCCATCATCAACCAAGAAAACTCAGTAGAGCATGAGATTCCTAACTCTGGTTCAAGGTTGGACAAAAGTTTCCTGCGTTGCAGGGGGTTGGACTAGATGACCCTGGTGGTGCCTTCCAGCTCTTATGATTTTGTGATCTCTAAATGGCACCCTGGAATAGCCTTTTTGCTTTAGGCCAAATATGGTAGTCAACACCCCGGAATTGCTACCACTGTTCTAATTGTCCACTAGCCGTGGCTGCTAGTCATGAGGATAGCTTTGTAATGATTCCAGATGTTCTACCCCTGGACACTTGTCATGGGATTCCCATCAGTGCCTGGGCACCGTGAGATTCAGGATGCTGGGTGAGATGGGCCTTGGGTCAGATCCACCAGAATGCCTGCTTAGGTTCTTACGGGTGCCTCAAGGACAGCTAAAGGCCAGTAGCATCAGGGATTATGTGCATGTTGTTGTTGTTTAGTCATTTAGTCGCGTCCAACTCTTCGTGACCTCATGGACCAGAGCATGCCAGGCACTCCTGTCTTCCACTGCCTCCCGCAGTTTGGTCAAACTCCCCCTGGTAGCTTCGAGAACTCTGTCCAACCATCTTGTCCTTTGTCATCCCCTTCTCCTTGTGCCCTCCATCTTTCCCAACATCAGGATCTTTTCCAGGGAGTCTTCTCAGGGATTATGTGCATACAATGGTCCAAAAGAGTCTTGTGCACAACGAGAACATTGGATGCTACCTTTTACCAAGCGCCATCTAGCTCCTTGTTGTCTACATCAACTGGCGATGGCTCTGTAGGGTTTCAGACAGGGGGCACTCCGACCCCTACCTGGAGATGCTGGGGATTGAACCCAGGACCTCCTGAGTGCAACGCAGGTTCTGTACCACTGAGCTATGGCCCTTCCCACTAATTATCCTACCTTTCTGGTGCCCCCTAGGTCTGCAAGATGACAAGGACCTCAAGTTTCTCCTGCGTGGAGGCCACCTGCTGAAGGTCAAGTCCAACTCCTGGAGGAGAGAGAGGTTCTACAAACTCCAGGAAGACTGCAAGACCATCTGGCAGGAGTCCAAGAAGATGCTGAGGTCTCCTGAATCGCAGCTCTGTAAGTCTGCGTCCATCTTTAATGCAGTACGTTCCGCCTATGAACAAAACATAGTTAGGGGCTGGTTCCTGGATGGGTGGGGCAAGAAGAACTCAGGTAAGCCCCCTCCTCTGTCAGTAGATCCCTTTGGACTGCACTGTTACATCACCCCAAGCAGCAGTGTTTGGCTGTGAGTCCAGCTACCATTTTAATTTCCCACAATGCCAGGCGGGCAGCTGACTACGCCATACATACACCAAAAAAGAGAGGATGAAATCGGGCACAGATGTGCCTCTAATTTGCACTTGCTAGTTTAGATGTGCAGCTGCTGCCTTGCAGGATATCTTCGGTAGAAGAAAAAGCTAAAGCGTAAACCCTGCACAAATCCAGAGTGGAGTCCCTAAGATGGTTGGATGGTGCCTTGTACACCTCCTTCTGGCAACCCCTGCAGCCAAGCTGGTGCCAAACATATTACTCTGCTTTCCTTTGAACCACACCAGCCACACCAAGAGGGGGATCTTGTTATCTGGGCAGCCCAGGACCTCCATACACACTGCCCAGACTTCTGCCCTGGGGAGGTCACTTCGGTACTGCAAACACAGTGGTTTTGCTTCACCCCCAGAGGCGCACTCCATTGTCTCTCAAGACATATGGATGCCCACATATGGATAATATATCCTCTTTACTGTGCATTTAGGGACGCAGGTGGCGCTGTGGGTTAAACCACAGAGCCTAGGGCTTGCCGATCGGAAGGTCTGTGGTTCGAATCCCCGCGACGGGGTGAGCTCCCGTTGCTCGGTCCCTGCTCCTGCCAACCTAGCAGTTTGGAAGCACGTCAAAGTGCAAGTAGATAAATAGGTACCGCTCTGGCAGGAAGGTAAACGGCGTTTCCGTGCGCTGCTCTGGTTCTCCAGAAGCGGCTTAGTCCTGCTGGCCACATGACCCAGAAGCTGAACTCTGGCTCCCTCAGCCATTAAAGCGAGATGAGTGCCGCAACCCCAGAGTCGGCCGCGACTGGACCTAATGGTCAGGGGTCCCTTTACCTTTACTTTACTGTGCATTTACTGTATGATTTTGGCTCTTGATGGAGCAGTTATTTGTAATCCCTCTTTCGGGGTGGTCACGCTGCTTGGTTTCCAACCAGTGCACATCCTATAGCTTCCTGCTGAAATCCTGCAGTTTTCGGGATGTGGGGGTTTGCTGTTTTTGTTGCACTGCAGTGCAAGACTTGGGGTGCGGGTGGCGCTGTGGTCTAAACCACTGAGCCTCTTGGGCTTGCTGATCAGAAGGTTGGCAGTTCGAATCCCCATGACGAGGTGAGCTCCTGTTGCTCTGTCCCAGCTCCTGCCAACCTAGCAGTTCGAAAGCACACCAGTTCAAGTAGATAAATAGGTACCACTGAAGCGGGAAGGTAAACAGCATTTCTGTGAGCTCTGGTTTCTGTCACGGTGTTCTGTTGTGCCGGAAGCGGTTTAGTCATGCTGGCTACCCAGAAAGCTGTCTGTGGAGAAACGCCAGCTCCCTCAGCCTGAAAGCAAGATGAGTGCCGCAACCCCATAGTCGCCTTTGACTGGATTTAACCGTCCAGGGGTCCTTGACCTTGACCTAACCTAGTGCAAGAGTGCCCTGTTATGGCAACGATGCCGTAACATTTGGGAAGCATCGCCAAACAACTAATAAAGCAGGTAAATGTGGGGACAGTCCAGTATAAACCCATCATGAATGCGCAAGTACAGTGGTACCTCGGGTTAAGTACTTAATTCGTTCCAGAGGTCCGTACTTAACCTGAAACTGTTCTTAACCTGAAGCACCACTTTAGCTAATGGGGCCTCCTGCTGCTACTGCGCCGCCGGAGCACGATTTCAGTTCTCATCCTGAAGCAAAGTTCTTAACCTGAAGCACTGTTTCTGGGTTAGCGGAGTCTGTAACCTGAACCATACGTAACCCGAGGTACCACTGTATTTCATCAGTGACACAATGCCCAATACACCTGCAAAATGACACCTGTCTGGAGCAGCCCTGAGCCCACGACGAACTGCCACACAGAAGTGCCCTGCATCTTAAGAAATATCAGCAGAGTCTTGGCTACCTTTCCAGTTAACACCCAGTTCCCTCTGCTCGTTTAGTGCCCAGCCTTGAAGCGAAAACAAAGTCCTAGATAACATCTAGCTGCTAAAAGCAAATAAGGGTGTGTGTGTGTATGTGTGGGACTTTGGAAAGGAAACCAACCTTAATATATCTTCTGTTGCAAGAAACAGGAATCCGACACATACAGTACATGAAAGGCTTTCTTGAGTCCGACCTAAACTGGATTTTCAAGTATTCTGTGGAATTGCTTGTGCTTGGAATTGTTTCTGCTTGTTTGCTATTTCGAAGTCCTGGCCAAAGTTAGGTGCACCAAGGCAGGGGAGGGCTTCCTGAGAAGCAAATTCCCACATAATGTTACAGTGCAAATGCAGGTTTCTTAGTCTAAAAATAAATCGTGATTCACAGTCAAAGTGTAAGGATTCCAGCTCTCCTTTACTTCAAAAGAAAGTTTTTTTTTCTCCCTCTTCAAAATAGTTCTGTATTTCAAGTTGCTAGTTCCCACTGCTCCCTGGGAAAGATCACATAGGAAGCTTATATTGCATCAAACGAATGAACCATCTATCCCTGTATAGGGAAGTTGTTTTTTAATGTTTTATGTTTTATTATGTGTTTATATATGCTGGAAGCCACCCAGAGTAGCTGGGGCAACCCAGTCAGATGGGCAAAGTGCATATAATAAAATTCTTCTTCTTCTTCTTCTTCTTCTTCTTCTTCTCCTCCTCCTCCTCCTCCTCCTCCTCCTCCTCCTCCTCCTCTCAGTGTTGTCTACACTGACTGCCAGCAGCTCTCTAAAGTTTCAGGCAGGGAATGATAATAAGGATTTATTCCATTCAGGCTCCTAATCTGTGCACCAGTCTCGTGATTATGTATGCTGTAAAAGCATCTCAAAGGTATTTGTTTAATATCTGCAGCTCGCTTTAACTTGATCCATCAAAGCTCTCAGAAGATACTGTATATCCAAAAGACTTTTTGATTACTTGGCATATAAAACATGTTTGGAAACCTCAGTGAGTTTCACATGTTTGCAGCCTCAGCAAAACAGATGCATATGTTCCAACTACCAGGAACAATCTTTATTTGGCTATCCTTGGTAAATTCTCTAATTTGCTCCCATGCTTGCCTTTTACATTTTATTCATAGAAGTGGGGCCTGCAGAAAAATGTGCCTAAAGGCCCTTTAAAGCCAGTGCTCCTGTTTCGGGGGGGGGGGGCAGCCAGCCATGCCCACCTCCACAACACTCCATTGCTTTCCCCCTCCCTACTAAAGATGGATTTCATTTTGTTCAGAGTCCTCAACAGCATTTTGGTGCAAATTTTGGCTAATATATTCATCTTTGTATGCAATTTTGCCTAATATATTCATCTTTGTATGCAATTTTGCCTAATGAACACATTGCTACAAAGCAATTTCCCCCAATGTAATACTATATTGTATGTTATTTTCACTAATCTATGAATTCTTGGGACACGGGTGGCGCTGTGGGTTAAACCACAGAGCCTAGGACTCGCCGATCACAAGGTTGGCAGTTCAAATCCCCGCAACAGGGTGAGCTCCCATTGCTCAGTCCCTTCTCCTGCCAACCTAGCAGTTCGAAAGCACGCCAAAGTGCAAGTAGATAAATAGGTACTGCTCCGGCGGGAAGGTAAACGGCATTTCCGTGCGCTGCTCTGGTTCACCAGAAGCGGCTTAGTCATGCTGGCCACATGACCCGGAAGCTGTACGCCGGCTCCCTCGGCCAATAAAGCGAGATGAGCGCCGCAGCCCCAGAGTCAGTCACGACTGGACCTAACGGTCAGGGGTCCCTTTACCTTTCCCTATGAATTCTTGGGCACATTTTCCCCAAGTATACACATTACTTGGCTGGAAAGTGACATTGCACTGTGAATTTTGACGGACGGATGGGTTTCAGTCATCATACTGTTTTGCAAAGTGCAAATTAAATGACCTGAATCAAGTTCCTCCCCCATCCCTTTCCTCCACCCATTTCCCCATTTTTGCATTCTCCATATCTGCTTAATTGCCTCCACAGTTTCCTTGCTAACTTTCTTGATAGATTCCCAATTGACTTCCTTTTTTAAAAAACAAAAGCGAACAACCTGGGTCTCCTGCTGAGGGCAGAATGACTATGAAGATGAACTAGAAAACATACAATTTCCTACCCCAAATGAACTTAATTCACCTTTCGTTTACTTGGCAATTATGGGAACTACTGTCAGGTGTCATTCAGCTTTTTTCTTTTAACTTGTTTAGTGAGCTTTGTTCAACTGAACTAATTCATGCCAGGCACTGGGATGCATTGTAGATCCTGCAGTGAGCAAGAGGGGTTGGGCTAGAAAACCTCTTATGGTCCCTTCCAGCTCTATGTGTCTGCAGTGAGGGTGTCATAGGCTAGGAGGTATAGCAACGCAAAGTTGCCCTTGGGATGGTACAAGTTTTCATCCGGGAAGTGCTGGAGAGCAGGAGGACGCCCAAAGAATGATTTTCACACTTGACAGGATAAGGAAAATGTCGGGCACAAAATCAGCCTGATTAAAGCTGTGCAGAATGTCCTGGCTAGCTTGGCGGGAGCAGCAGTCAAGTTTAATTCATTAGATGCAGAGAAAACAATGGATTATGTCTGGCTGCTGTTTTTTTATCATACCCAGGAATCCACAGTGTGTGCGTAGAGCTAAGGGCGCACTGGAAATAGCCAGCGGTCTGTTACAGGCAGGGAGATCTGACTTGGGCAAAAGACAAGTTGGACCCTTTTGTGTACACCACATAAAGCTGTGTGGGTGTCCCGCCCTGTGTGGACAGTGAGCAGCAGCAACCTTTCCCCGTGGCACTGCAAGGTAGCTTCCCTGCTGATGTTTGCGTGGACAGGCGGAGTCCCCCAGACCCTGGGCGGCCCCCCCCCGTCATGTGGAATAATGACTCAAGATAACGTGCTATGGGATTAAATTGGCCACAACTTTATTATATTTCAGATGTGGGTAGACCTTGGCTCAGGCATTGGGTGCTTATCCCTCCTAGTCCCCAGCCGGAGACCTAGGGAACATCAGGGTTATCCAGTGTGTGTGTAGGGGATGGGCCGGCTCTGGAGAACATATGTTCAAGCAGAGATAGCCACCCCCGTTATGCTGCCGTCGCAGGGGAGAGCAATGATGATTGCTCTGTATTCTGCTCTGGTCAGACCTCACCTGGAGTACTGTGTCCAGTTCTGGGCACCACAGTTCAAGAAGGACACTGACAAACTGGAAAGTGTCCAGAGGAGGGCAACCAAAATGGTCAAAGGCCTGGAAACGATGCCTTATGAGGAACGGCTAAGGGAGCTGGGAACGTTTAGCCTGGAGAAGAGGAGGTTAAGGGGTGATATGATAGCCATGTTCAAATATATAAAAGGATGTCACATAGAGGAGGGAGAAAGGTTGTTTTCTGCTGCTCCAGAGAAGCGGACACGGAGCAATGGATCCAAACTACAAGAAAGAAGATTCCACCTAAACATTAGGAAGAACTTCCTGACAGTAAGAGCTGTTCAACAGTGGAATTTGCTGCCAAGGAGTGTGGTGGAGTCTCCTTCTTTGGAGGTCTTTAAGCAGAGGCTTGACAACCATATGTCGGGAGTGCTCTGATGGTGTTTCCTGCTTGGCAGGGGGTTGGACTCGATGGCCCTTGTGGTCTCTTCCAACTCTATGATTCTATGATTCTATAATGATGACCTCTTGGTGTACGGTCAAAGCCTCCCCTCAGGAACCCCTTTAACGGGGAACCCTGGTATCCCCGCTGCAAAGAGGGAAGATAGACTAAAGGATTCCACCCAAGGCCTGATACCACCAAAGTTGTGACGTTTAGCTATGGGAAAGGCAAAATCTGCCAATGCAGTGGAATTCCTTTCCGGCCCTGTAACAGCAACCTTGACGTAGCAGCGCCTGCATACCTGTGAAGAAAAGTTAACCTGCAAAATGAGACTTAACTGAGGGTGGGTAGGGTGGGAGAAGCTCTGGAGCCAAGTGAGGATTCCCAGGTAAGATCCTCCCTCTATAGTGTGGGCAGGTAGTCCCTCCCCTACCTGGCCTCGTCTCCTTGCCAACGCTTCCCCCAGGCGGGATTGGACAACTGACTGAGGTAGGCGGAGACCTCCAGGTATCCCACCTGGGGGAAGGCGAAGCCAAGCCTGTGCTGATGGAGCCACTTCAGATCCAGGGGCTGCACGCGTCCACACAAAGGGCACCCCCTGTTTTATGCGGGGAGCGGTCATTGCACAAAAAGGGGCCATGGCAAAAATGCAGGGCAAGTCTAAGACTCCATCCCAGGCAAAGTACGTCAAACCAAAGCCCCAGGAGGTAGCTTCTTTCCCCTAGTGCCCTTCTGGAGACTTCTTATCTGCACCGACAGACTGTCACTATCATAGTGGATGAAAGGTTTCTTTTGTAGGAAAACTTGTTTTTTTATAAAGAAAAAGCTCTTATCCAGTTTGCTTCTCGATTCCTCCGTCCACTTGCTGAGGAAGTGGCTGAGAGAGATTAATTTGTGGGCTAGATAACAGCTCTGAGGTTTGAGCTATCCATGTCGCCATCGGAGTGGCAGACCTAACAGATATCTCTGAATGGGAAAGCGATTGTGGGGATGGGCTGCCCATTGAAATAACACGCACAGACATTCTGGTTTTTAGCATGTTCTTATCAGCGCTGCCACATCCATTAACGGGGGAACAGAGACGTTAAGTGGCTCTCTTCAAATCAGGACTGCGGAGGTGGGAAAGTATTTGGCCTTCGTAACGTCTCACGCTCAAGAATAAAATCTGTTTTTAGGCAAACGGCCTGCCCCAGATCTGAAATTTATTGTAATCGATGCAACCCCTGTTTAAGTTTTACATTGTTTTAAAGAACAACTGTCACAACAATTGTAAGAATGTAAGAAGTGGCTAGGGACGAGGGTGGCGCTGTGGGTTAAACCACAGAGCCTAGGACTTGACGATCAGAAGGCTGGCCATTTGAATCCCCGTGACGGGGTGAGCTCCCGTTGCTCGGTCCCTGCTCCTGTTTGAAAGGACGTCAAAGTGCAAGTAGATAAATAGGTACCGCTCTGGCGGGAAGGTAAACGGCGTTTCCGTGCGCTGCTCCGGTTCGCCAGAAGCGGCTTAGTCATGCTGGCCACATGACCTGGAAGCTGTACACCGGCTCCCTCGGCCAATAAAGCGAGATGAGCGCCACAACCCCAGAGTCGGACACGACTGGACCTAATGGTCAGGGGTCCCTTTACCTTTAAGAAGTGGCTACCTGACCCAACAGCCAGGTTCTTGGGTTCCCATGTACCGGTACCCTGGGCATTGATAGAACTTTGGCCCAAAACTTTGTGAGAACCTTTGAGCAGGCTGCTTGTTCATTCCTGCGGGGAAATGTTTTTCTGCTTGGGGAGTCTGCAGAGTGCAAAGCGGCCCTTGCTTACAGAAGTGAATGTGTCTGGGAGAGCAGCCATCAGCCATTCTTCGCTCAGCGCTTGACAACCCTGTTTCCCAAAAACCATTTGCTGATGGAAGCATGTTATGCCAAGCTCAAGTGATCTGTGAATGCAGGACCCGTCTGCCTGCTGAGCTTTCTGATCACTGGCATTTATCAACGCCACTCAGTCCTGCCTAGCAAAGCCTTTCTCTGTTTCAAATGCCACCCTGCCATGACAAGGTCTGTTAGCTGTTTCGACTGCCGGTTCAAATTCAGAGGGGGGGTGGGAAACTCAATAGCTGGAGCAAGAACAGAAATATCATTGACAGGAGGGAGCCAGCAGTAAATCACACTGTGCAAGGTAGAGTTAACTCTTCATTAGCAAGAACAGGATCTGCACAGACTTGGTGGAGTGTCGGGCCCAATGAGCACAGGAACATATCCTTGGTAGGTCTTGGCCCATGGATCAGTTGCTGAGACTAGAGGTTCTTGCCTCCCCACAGCCGGCTATGTCTCTTCCTTTCCCCAAGCAATCAGACACTGTGCCTGTGTGCCTGTCTTTGCTGTTCCCACTTCATGCCTCTTCTGGTTCTGGGAGATCAGGGGAGAGTGGAGCTTGTCACAGCAGGAGGAGGAGACACTTGTGAGTCTTCACCAGCTGAACTCATCTCTTCATCCTCTTGGCCTCCTTCTCTCCTGCTTCAGCTTCTGCCTCTGATTCTGGACTTCTCTCTGCCTCAGACTCTCCCTGCTCACTAAACCCTGTTACCTCTTCAGTTTCCGACACTTCCTCCTTCCCTTCTTCTTCCTCTGACCACTCATCATCGTCCCACCACCAATCCCTGGGCTCTGTACCCTCTTCATTGGGGGTTCCCCAGCAGATCCCTCCCACTGTTCCTCTGTGTCCAGGCAGTCCATGGCAGACAGAACTGCTAAGTATCTACAGTATAAATGTCTATAAGCACACAAGGATGGTGGCTGGCTGCTGCAAAGGCTGGTGGATTAGGATGAATGGGGCACTGCTCCACCAACCTCAGCCAGCCCCCACCTGCCCACCTTCTTCCTTGCAACCAATCTAAGGGGCTGAAAGTCGCTGTCCGCTTTCTCTTTCCTGAGTCTCACTGCTGCCCTTATGGAACTCAGCAGGGAAGAAGAGGATGGGGATTAAACTAGGATTAGTTGGCTCCACCTAGCGTAGGCTCAGGCTCCGCCCAGCATTCACTCTGGCTCCACCTACCAGAGTAAGCCCCGCCCCTGCAAGTTCCAGGTTGACAGGCCTGTGAATCGGAAGGTCACTTGTTCCCTGTAAAGTGGGGCAGGTGTGTGCGAGTGTGGTTTAAACCACAAAAGGGGCAAATAGGTGGTTAAACATGGAACCCCTCTTCCCAGGGAACTCTGGGAATCGTAGCTCTGTGAGGGGAATAGGGGCTGTCCCTTCAGACCCTTTCGTTCTCCAAACTTTCATTAGGCATTATTACAGTCGTACTTTGGTTCTCAAACAGAATGCGTTCCGGGAGTCTGTTTGACTTCCGGAACTGTTTGAAAACCAAGACACGGCTTCTGATTGGCTACAGGAGCGTCTAGTTTCCGGGATTTAGAGAAGACCAGATTTTTTGTCTTCTCCTAAGTTATAGAGAGTTTGTTAATTTCACAGTAAGAAAACAAGGAGAGTAGAAGACAATTCAAACCTATCCTTCTCAATGATAATAAGGTCGCATCATCCGCATACAGTAAAAGTGGGACCGGGTTTTGGTTGATTTTGGGGGCATGTGATTCTATTTTTTTTGGATGTGCTCTGGAAGATCTGATCCAAAATATATTAGAGAGAAAGGGGGCAAGAAACCTTTAGCACTCTTCACAAACTACGTTTCCCAGGATGCTTTGGGAGAAGCCAAGTGGTGTGACACTGCTTTAAATGTAGAGGCTGGATATGGCCTCAGAAAGGTCCAATGGGTATTTTCCCTTTGTCCTTATATGCCAGCCTTTCTCAACTTGGTGTCCTTCATATGATTCAGACTACAACTCCCATCAGGCTGGGGCTGATGGGAGTTGTAGTCCAAAACAACTGAAGGGCACCAGGTTGGGAAAGGCTGACTGGGGTGAAGCCAGCCCCTTTCCAATCCAGGGAGGTCAGAAGAACACCAGAACTGGTGGTTTCCCCTCACTGAATCTTTTCACACAGAAGGATGACTGATAAGGGTCTCCCTTTAGGCTTTACAAGTTGCCTGTGGAGAAAAGATCCTTTTGCGGTTTCTATCTCATCTCAGCTGCCCACATATATCTTAGGAGTCATTGTAGGCCTGTGGTTTAGTGAGATAATGCGCTGTAGTCTGCACTGTAGTCTTATCTCCCTCACTGCAGCCGGCTGTTACAAATCATGCTGTGATTTTTGAGGGGCATTGTTACTTTGGTCTCGTGAACAAATGCTTCATACGTCTCGCTAAAGCGTGGGATTCACCGCTGAGAGGTGTGGTGATAAAAGACAGTACTTCTTTGTGCAGCGCACAATTAAACTCTGGAGCCGGCTGCCTCGGGAGGCAGCGAGGGCCACCAATTTGGAAGTCTTTAAAAAGAGGATTGGACGAATTCATGGAGGAGAAGGCTAAAATGGCGGAGGCAGCAAAGCTTCTGAATTCCAGATGCTGGAAACCACAGGAGTGGAGAGTGCTCTTATGCTCATGTCCAGCTATGGGACTTAACAATGGGGCATTTGTTTGGAAAATGCAAAAACAGGATGCTAGGTGGGCCATTAGCCTGATCTAGCGGGGTTTTTTTCCGGCCTACATGTGCAAATTTCGTGCCAATAAGGGCCTCTCTTTGTACATTTCGTAGGAATCTGCCTTACATTCCGTGAGACTAACTGTCCACCTAGGCCAACATTGCCTACTCCCAACTGGCAGCGGCTCTTCACGGCCTCAGCCAGAAGTCTTTCCCATCACCAGGGGCATAGGAAGGTGGGTGCGGGGTGTGTGGCCTGCCCTGGATGTCACCCTGACGGGGTTGACAAAATGGCAGGTGGCACTCACTGCAGGGCCTGCAGCAAGCCCGAGCTGTGCGTCTTGGGCGCCCGCAGGCTCTGCACTGTCCGCCCACTGCCTCCCCCCCAGCTGCTGGGCAGCTGAGGCCCCGCGGCGTCTCTCGTCCCTACGGGTGCCCACGCACCCCATGCCGTCCCTCCCGAAGGGCGCCGCATGCCCTGTCTCATTCCTATGGGTGCCACACGTCCCATCCCGTCTCTCCCTATGGGCACTGTGCCTCTCATCCCTATGGGTACTGTGTGCCCTGTGCTGTCCTTATGGGCACCACGCGTCCTGTCCCTGTGGGTGCTGTGCCCCCCGGCCGTCCCTATGGGTGGTTCGCCCCAAGTGCCCGAGAGGCTTCCTCTGCCACTGCCCCTCACCTTTGTACATGACCCCTCTAGCAGGAGATGCCAGGATTCGAACCTGTGACTTCTGTGCACAAAGTGTGTGCTCAATCAGCAATCTATGATTTCCCTCCAAAAGAGATCCCTTCACTGAATGGTGAAGAAGGGCATGTGTGATTGTCCTCACACTAAAGCAGGCTTCCTCAACCTTGATCCTCCAGATGTTTTTGGCCAACAACTCCTATGACCCCTAGCTAGCAGGACCAGTGGTCAGGGATGCTGGGAATTGTAGTCTCAAAACATCTGGAGGACCGAGGTTGAGGAAGCCTGCACTAAAGCTTTTATCCTACACGGGGCTAGCTCAGGCTGTGTACACATTACTGCTCACTCTGACTCCAGTGCATTCCCGCTTCTGGTGTTTGAAGCCGAACACATACGACGTTCGCCGTATGCGTTCTGAAGGCTCTTGAGAAATACGGCTGTTTGATTTGTTTTCGCTCAAACCAGCTTCCGATGCAAATCTGAGGTGGGCTGAGCTGAGGTGTGTACACTTGTGACAGCTGTTGCACATGCCCAGATGACAACTCCATGGAATAGGAGTTGTGGGGTTGCAAGAAATCAGGTACTGCACAATGGGCGATGACATCCTTGCCTCTTCTCTGGCATTTACAGCAACGTAAAAGCAATGTGGGACACGGGTGGCACTGTGACCTAAACCACAGAGCCTAGGGCTTGCCGATCAGAAGGTCAGCAGTTCGAATCCCCGCGACGGGGTGAGCTCCCATTGTTCGGTCCCAGCTCCTGCCCACCTAGCAGTTCGAAAGCACGTCAAAAGTGCAAGTAGAATAATAGGTACCACTCCGGCGGGAAGGTAAACGGCGTTTCCGTGTGCTGCTCTGGTTCGCCAGTAGCGGCTTAGTTATGCTGGCCACATGACCCGGAAGCTGTCTGCGGACAAACGCCGGCTCCCTCGGCCTATAGAGCGAGATGAGCACGCAACCCCAGAGTCGTCTGCGACTGGACCTAACAGTCAGGGGTACCTTTACCTTCACCTTTAAAAGCACGACTTGAAAACCAGGGGCGAGGGGAATGATTTCGCTGCATTTTAAACCTCTAATGCTCAACTAAACCTAGTCGTTTTGTACGGCGTTGCTTGTGCTAGCCAGTTGACCCCCTTTCTCTGAAATGTCTTCTTCTAGCTCTAGGAACCACAGTGTGCATCTCACATGCACCCCACACTTCTAGCTCATATGAGAAGCAGAAGTGTGAAAACAGGTCTATAGGGAGCCGTCCTCTGCTTCCTTGTGGGAACACATGTCGGCTTGTTTTCAAACTGCAATGAGGAACCCAAACCGGTTCCAGACGCTCACTGTTTTGCAGGTTGGGGACTCAGTGGCGCACCAGCGGCTTTAGTTCACGCACTTAAAGTGGGTTTCGTTCTCTGAAAAGCCCCCCTTTTGTGGCAAGGAAAGTGAGATGAAAGTCCACCGGAAAGTGCGAGATAACAATTGCTTTACAGGCAATTGTAGAACCACCTTACAAACAAATCAGAATGACTGATGAATAAATAACCAGTCCATTCCACGCAACCTGTTCCCTCAGCATTCATCATGATTTGTTTGCAAAAGTTTTCAGGGAAGTTATATGGCACCGGCTGTTTATGCAGCACTCATTCTGATTTGTAGGAAGGGAGGCTGTGCCAAGCAAACATTATCCTGAACTTTCCCATCACCAAAGTCCTGATTTGTTGAGTGGCAAGTGTGTTTTTAACCCTACAGCTGTGGTGCAATGAGTCAGTGTGTCTGGCTATTAACCAGAAGGTTGGTGGTTCGAGCCCAATTAAAGGGGATACTCTGTATCTTTTGTTTAATCCCTTACATCTCCTTTTACTTTATTATAATTTTTTGGGTCTTAATAGAGAGGTGCTAGAACCTTTCTGTGGGTTAAACCACAGAGCCTAGGACTTGCTGATCAGAAGGTTGGCGGTTCGAATCCCCGTGACGGGGTGAGCTCCCATTGCTCGGTCCCTGCTCCTGCCAACCTAGCAGTTCGAAAGCACGTCAAAGTGCAAGTAGATAAATAGGTACAGCTCTGGTGGGAAGGTAAACGGCGTTTCCGCGCGCTGCTCTGGTTCGCCAGAAGAGGCTTAGTCATGCTGGCCACATGACCCGGAAGCTGTACGCTGGCGAGATGAGCGCCGCAACCCCAGAGTTGTCCGCGACTGGACCTAATGGTCAGGGGTACCTTTAGAACCTTTTTAAAAAGCAGGTACTTGGGTTAAGACAGTGTGGGAAAAGAGCGAATCGGAGCGCTGGCAAAGTTGCTTTGTTCCTCTGCAAAATGTAGATAAGGCTAGGCTCTTAGCTCACTCTTGATAATAAAAAAGTGACCTGTTTGTTCCTGCAGTTTCCATCGAGGATATCCAAGACGTCAGGGCAGGCCACAGGACGGAAGGGATGGAAAGATACTGCAAGGATGTACCTGAGCATCGCTGCTTTTCTATCATCTTCAAAGACCACAGGAAGAACTTGGACCTCATAGCTGGCTCTGAAGCCGATGCCAATCACTGGGTGGCAGGCCTAGCCAAGATCATCGCCAAGAGCAACTCCATGAGCCAGCGGCAGAAATTACAACAGTATCCTTTTGTTTCCTTCCAGAATTATTATCACTAGCACGCATTTGTTTATTGGATTTATATCCAGCTGTAACCTGAGGGCCCCATTCTCTTCAAGGTAACCTTTTTTTGGGGGGGGCAGGGACACACCTGCTGGTGGTGGGTGGGGCCAGGAACAAAATGGGTGGAGCGTCTAATGCAAATGCTCCCTTTGTACAGAAGACTAGTTTCTACACAGAGTCACACAACCCTCTGTGGCCTCCATCAGGGAAGCAAGAGGAGTTTTCAGAGTCCAAGGAGACATTACGGCCAGGCACAAACACTCAAGGAAGGTGTGAGGCAGGGCAAGTAGGGGGTGTGGCCTGAGGAGAGGAGGAGGAGGAGTAGTAGTAGTAGTAATTTATTACTCTGGGCTGCTCCCAACAGAATATTGAAAGCACACTAAAGCATCAAACATTAAAAACCTTCTGATACAGGGCTGCCTTCAGATGTTGTCTTCAGATGTTGTCTTAACATAAAGCAGCACTTTAGCTAATGGGGCCTCCTGCTGCTGTTGCGCAGCCGCTGCGCGATTTCTGTTCTCATCCTGAAGCAAAGTTCTTAACCCGAGGTAATATTTCTGGGTTAGTGGAGTCTGTAACCTGAAGCGTATGTAATCTGAAGTGTATGTAACCTGAGGTACCACTGTACAAGTTAAAATTTTCAATCATTACAGTGGTACCTTGGTTTACGAACTTAATCCGTTCTGGAAGTCCGTTCTTAAACCGAAACTGTTCTTAAAGCGAGGCACACTTTCCCTAATGAGGCCTCCCGCTGCTGGTGCCCTTCCACCATTCAGATTCTGTTCTTAGACCGAGGTAAAGTTCGCAAACCGGGACACTACTTCCGGTTTTGCAGAGTTTGTAAACCGAATCGTTTGTAAACAGGACTGTTTTTAAACCGAGGTACCGCTGTACTCTGCCCATTTATTTTGCCTCTGGTACTGCTCACCAATAGAATGTGGCCTCCAGAAGGGAATGTGGTCCTTGATCTGTAAAGGGTTCCTCATCCCTGATTTATATTAATGGTTCATGTGAGACGCAAAGCAAAATTCAGCATGCTAAATGCACTGGAGGAAGTCATTTAAAAGTTGCAATGACACACACACACACACAGAGAGAGCAGTGTTGTGAATCAGGACTTGCAGCACATTTCAAACGGACTACTAATCTTTCCCCAAGCGTACCCAAATATTAAAATGCCCAGCTAATTATAATACAGGTAATTGCAGCTTCAAGGAAAACCTCTGACTTGCGCAAAACAGAGTCAGCAGGAGTTGACCTCAGCCAAGCCTCGGCTCAAAAAGGCAGTTGGCTTTCAAATTGTTTGAACTGGATCAAACCCCTGGCCGACGAATATCTAAATTTAGAAGTCCAAGCTGGAACTTCAAAAGCAGCGTCAAACTCATGCTTGTCTGTGAGAAGCCAGGGTTTTCCAAGAAAACGGCCCAGATTAGAAGGAATGACTGCTGCATGCTGGTAATTATCCCCTTCAAATGAGCTGTGTCTTTCTCCTCTGCTTAACTACACCCAAACAGGGACACGTTTTCACTCCATTAAGAAAGGTCTTTCTCCAGACACCAATGTCGTCCTTTGGGGCACTGATTTAGCAAACATAATGGCTGGTTCTCAACCCAGTGGTGGAGCCTGTCAGTTTAGAAGAGGAATGGGGAACCTCAGGCCCAGGGGCGGCCCTCGGAATATCTCTGTCTGGCCTTCAGTATACCTGAAGGAGCGTCTCCACCCCCATCGTTCAGCCCGGACACTGAGGTCCAGCTCCGAGGGCCTTCTGGCGGTTCCCTCGCTGCGAGAAGTGAGGTTACAGGGAACCAGGCAGAGGGCCTTCTCAGTGGTGGCACCCGCCCTGTGGAATGCCCTCCCATCAGATGTCAAGGAAATAAACAACTACAGTGGTACCTCGGGTTACATATGCTTCAGGTTACATACGCTTCAGGTTACAGACTCTGCTAACCCAGAAATAGTGCTTCAGGTTAAGAACTTTGCTTCAGGATGAGAACAGAAATCGTGCAGCAGCGGCGCAGCATCAGCAGGAGGCCCCATTAGCTAAAGTGGTGCTTTATGTTAAGAACAGTTTCAGGTTAAGAACAAACCTCCAGAATGAATTAAGTTCTTAACCAGAGGTACCACTGTACTTTAAACCAGATTCTACACACACACATCTCAGAATACATCCATGCTGGTTGTTTTTACCTCTCAAAAGTGCTTGTGCACCTCAGCTTTGTTTTGAATCATTATATACCACCTTGAAGGATACAGATCGGCCCTAGCTAGTTTACAGGTAACACAAAAGCACTACAGTAAAATGATCGCAGTCAGATGATATAAGAACAGCAGTTCATTAGGATCCTTCTCCCAGGACAGTTGGTGTCCGTTGGCTCTGTGGGTCTATGGAGGGGTGCTTCATTTGGACCCAGTTGTGAGGCCGTCTTTGTCTCCCCGCTTCCCTCAGTCTCCTGTGCCACAGGGCAGTCGGTGGCAGATGTCCTTGCAGGGCAAGGGAAGGGGACGATCTTGTTGGACCACAATATGGGGCCATCTTTTTCCTGCCTCCCTCAGTCTCTTGCGCCAGACCACAGGGCAGTCGGTGACAGGTGGCCCCGCGCAGGGACGGCCTGAGACGTTTTGGCACCTGAGGCGCACAAAATGGTGCCCCCCTTCCCACCAGCGAAGAAGAAGAGATGGGTGGAAATCTATATCAGGGACAAAGCGAGAGTAGCAATCTACGTCGGGATCAAGGGGCGAAATCAACTCAACCTTACCCGACGGTTGAAGTGGGGATCAAATGTCGTCACGGGGGAAAGGGGGCTTGCTCTGAATCTCGACAGGTGGATGCAGACCCCAGGGGAGAACTAATACCATTTCCTCCCTCGGGGTGGGAGGAAACCATATTCCCTATTTGCTGAGAGGTAGAGGTGGCAAGGGGCAGGCTGCCTTGCAGATGGCGGATCCTGCGCCACACTCCTGTTGCCACTTCAAGAGCAGGCGATGCTCTCATTGGAGCCTGGATCTGCTGCCTCTGTGGATCTGCCACCTGAGGCGGTTGCTTCACCTTGTCTTATGAGTGGGCCGGCATAGCATCAATGTTGTTTCAATGCCACTTCAGAGATGCATATCCTACCCAAAGTGACCAAGGGTGGAGTCTGACGAACAGCCTAGCTAGAGGCCGAGATAAACCTACAGTGGTACCTCAGGTTACATACACTTCAGGTTACATAGAAGAATGAAACAACCTAACACTCCTCCATTCGTGTATTGGAAGAATCTGATAATGTGCTTGGTGATGCATGTATACTCTATCACTTCTTTTCAATCCTTCAGTACAAATTCTTTACATACAGTGGTACCTCGGGTTACATACGCTTCAGGTTACATATGCTTCAGGTTACAGACTCCGCTAACCCAGAAATAGTGCTTCAGGTTAAGAACAGGATGAGAACAGAAATCGTGCTCCGGCGGCGCGGCAGCAGCAGGAGGCCCCATTAGCTAAAGTGGTGCTTCAGGTTAAGAACAGTTTCAGGTGAAGAACGGACCTCCGGAACGAATTAAGTACTTAACCTGAGGTACCACTGTATTTTGAAACCCGAGCCACCTGCTTTCATAGACATTCATCCCCGAAAAGCTTAGGATGTAATATTGGGAGAGGAGGGGTTTTGTGTGTGCGATGTAGGCACCTTAACAAGTGACTGAACAGCTGGATCCACGCCTGCTTGCGGAAGGCAGATAAGAACAAAGACAACAAGATGAGCTTTAAAGAGCTCAAGAACTTCATGAAAGAAGTCAACATACAAGTCGATGACAACTATGCCCGGAATATCTTTGAGGTAAGGAGAATTTAATTCGCTCACTTGCAAGCGTATTTTGTTATGAGGCAGTGGTGTTTCATGAAACGGTAGGGACCCGATCCTATGGACGTTCTCTGGAAGGAAGCCTGATGGGATCCAGTGGGGCCTTCTCTTGAGTAAAGCATATGGAAAGGGTAGGATTTGCACTCATTAGACGTGTGTGTGTGTGTGTGTGTGTATTCTTGACTCAGAATTTTGTAGGAGGGATTCAGTTGAATACTGGAAATTTTGGTTTGCATAATTAAAGCGGATTAAAGCACACCGAGTAGCAATGGAGCAGAAATTCAGTTTGGTTCACGTTTAATGCCAAACCTACTGAATTCTTTCTAGAAAAATACACAAACCGAACTGACACAGCTGCCCTTCAAAATTCACACTTGTCTGAATTTTGCAATGCAGTTTGCCAAAAAAAAAAATGCATATGGCTAGTGAAAAGGACACACACAAATACAAAAAAGCATGCAAGAAATGTGTATGTTAGGCAAGATTGCATACAAAAATGCAGGCAACCCCCCCCCCCCCAATTTACGCAGGGGTTACATTCTGAGGCATCGCACGTGTCAGGGAAATCACGTATATTTGAAACACCATTGGAGAAGCCTGCGAACACTCGGTTCCTCCCCTTGTTGTGACATTTTTGGGTCACTTCTGGGTTCAACACAATGCATGTGTGTGCGGTCACGCACATATTGAATGTGCATAGGTACTTTAGGATAAATGTATGTTAAAATGCTAACGCAGTTTCACGAGGACTTAAGAAGCAGCGGCACAAAGTGATGCGGAAATGTGGAAACTGAATTTAAGGTTGGAAAAAAATGAGAAACTGAGGGAAACCGAAACTGAGAGAATCTCTCTTCTCTATTCTGAAGCCCTCAAGATGGCAGCTCCCTTTTCCAGCTCCCAGAATCCACTCTTCCTTCCCCACTTTATTTAGCCAATTCCGATTCCGCCCTAAAACAGAGAGAAAAAGGCCCGGTACGTCGGCGAGATCTGCCAATCATGTACTCCATGCTAGGCTGCAAAGTTGACCTTTTCCAATGACCCGTATCTGTTTTGCATTGTCTAGCCCTGGTTCAGGTTTCAACCCATAAAGAAGAAGGGTTTTTACCTCTTCTCTCTGCGTTCACAGCAATGCGACAAATCCCAGACGGACACTTTGGAAGACGACGAGATCGAGGAATTCTATAAGATACTGACCGAACGGCGCGAGATCGATGAGATCTTCTCTGAGCACTCCAACGGCCAGGCCATGATGTCGCTGGAGGATCTGGTGAGGTTCCTTCGAGAAGAACAGCGTGAGGAGAATGCAGGGCCTGAACTTGCGCTTTCTCTGATAGAGAGATACGAACCCAACGGAAGTGGTACGTTGGTAACCCTTTGGATTTGACAATATTTACACTGAATGCATGCAGAGGAGGGAGGCCAGGACGATGAGGGATCTGGAAACCAAGCCTTATGAGGAATGGTTGAGGGAGTTGGGTATATGTTTAGAATTGAGAACAGGAGACTGAGAGCTGAGCTGGTAGGCATCTTCAAATATCTGAAGGGCTGTCACATGGCAGGTGGAACAAGCTTGCTGTCTCCCGCTCCGAAGGGTCGGGTCAGAACCAATGAATTTGAGTTATAAGAAAGGAGATTCTGACTAAACATCAGGAATAACTTTCTGATGGTATGAGTAGGCTATAGTTCATGGGTAGGCAAACTAAGGCCCGGGGGCCGGATCTTGCCCAATCGCCTTCTAAATCCAGCCCGTGGAAATCAGCATGCTTTTACTCAAGTAGAATGTGTGCTTTTATTTAAAATGCATCTCTGGGTTATTTGTGGGGCATAGGAATTCGTTCATCCCCCCCCCATATACTCCGGCCCCCCACAAGGTCAGAGTGACAGTGGACCGGCCCCCTGCTGAAAAAGTTTGCTGACCCCTGCTATACTTTCTTTCTTTCTTTCTTTCTTTCTTTCTTTCTTTCTTTCTTTCTCTCTCAATTTTCACCAACAATTTTCACCAGCAACACTATCAAAGCAGCTCACATAAATACAATAAAGGAAAACAATACGATTTAATTTCTGAAAATCAGAATTAAAACTGAATATTCAATGTCTAAAAGCTGGCAACCACCCCTCCCAAAAAAAGCCATTTAGTCACAGCCTGCCCCATTCTCAGTTTTGTCCTTTTCTTCTCCCCATTGTACTCCCCCCCTTTTTTTACAGTCAAGGGACAAAATGTCATGACCAAAGATGGCTTCCAGATGTATTTGCTGTCTCCCCACGGAAACGTATTCAATCAAGCTCACATCCCTGTGTACCAGGACATGACCCAGCCGCTGAGCCACTATTACATATCGTCTTCGCACAACACCTACCTCATGGAGGACCAGCTGAGAGGACCCAGCAGCACTGAGGCTTACATCAGGTGTGGCGCATCATCTCCCCTCTTCTGATGGAAGAGCCAAGAGAGTTGTCAGAGGGGCCTGGGAGAGGTGCTTCCATTTTAATTACCCACAGTGCCCTGGGGCACAGCATCACCCAAGGCATTGTGGGAAGTTAAAAAGGGCGGCACTTATCAGTCCCAGCAACTCGGTGCTCCTCAGCGTGCCGGGCAAACAATTTGTTTCAGAGCTGTAGTCCGAAAGATCTGGAAGCCATCAGGTCAGCAAAGGCTGGGGTAAGGGGAGAATTTGTGAGCAGCCTTGGGTCCTAGCCGAACGAGACATTAGAAGCGGTATCACTTTAAACAGTCGTGGCTTCCCCCGCAAAGAATCATGGGAACGGTAGTTTGTTAAGGATGCTGAGAGTTCTCAGGAGATCCCTATTCCCCCGTCTAGAGCTACAATCTCCAGAGTTCCCTGGGAGGAGAGATTGGTTGCTAAACCATTCTGGGAACCGCAGGTCTTGGGAGAGAAGCAGCCATCGTTCTGGCCGTTGCTCAGCAACAAAACATTTGCTTTGTATGGAGAAGGTCCCCAATATCTGCAGACATGTCTGGGAAAGACTCCCTCCCTGAGACCCTAGATGAGAGCTACTGCCAGTCAGTGTCAACAATATTACACCCTTGTGCACATTGACTGAAAGACACAATGTAGTTTATTGTAGAAAACTCACATATACATGTACAAAACTCACATATACATACATCTGTAACGGATATGACTGCTGCTATTTTTAAGCAGCATTTGAACACAGTTTGGCATGGAGTCTACTAGTTTCGAACAGCCACTGTTGATTTTCGGATCCCTGTACCACACTTGAATCAGCGCCTGAATGAGCTACTCCATAGTCGTACAGTCTACAGCACGGAGGCGAATTTTGCATATAGCCCACAAATTCTCGATGGGATTTACGTCTAGGGAATTCCCTGGCCAATCAAGTACCTGTATATGCTGCTCTGTCGTGAATTTCCTCACCACTTTCGATGTGTGACATGGGGCTAGGTCCTGCTGCAATATCCCAGTACCTTCAGGATACCTCTTTTCCAGCTCTGGAATAACTCTCTTCGTAGAACCTCAGTATATTATTGCAAGCACATCATTCCTTCTATTGGCTTCCGGCTTCCGGCACCATAATGATCAATTGACTTTTTGTGTTTGTTTTGAGTACAGGATGACAAGTCAGATAGAAAACATGCTTTGTTTCAGTTAATTTGCACAAGGGTGTAGGCTAGATGGAGCCCATGGGTCTGACTTTGTATAAGGCAGCTCCACATATATGGGCACCTCCTCCTTTTGCCGTTTCTGGGAATCTGGTTTTGAACAACTCCCAACAGACCCTGTGATGTTTTCTTTGCAGAGCCCTGACCAAAGGCTGCCGGTGTGTAGAGCTGGATTGCTGGGACGGGCCTAATTCGGAGCCTGTCATTTACCACGGCTACACGCTCACCTCCAAGATCCTCTTCTGCGATGCCATCAAAGCCATCAAGAACTACGCTTTCAAAGTAAGGGCGGCTCCTCTCCCCCCAGCCAGCACCCTAGCTTTAAATCTCTTTATGCCTTTTGTACTGTTGTGGTCTAAGCCATTGAGCCTAGGACTTGCCGATCAGAAGGTCGGTGGTTCGAATCCCCACGACGGGGTGAGCTCCCGTTGCTCGGTCCATGCTCCTGCCAACCTAGCAGTTCGAAAGTGCAAGTAGATAAATAGGTACCACTCCAGTGGGAAGGTAAATGGCGTTTCCATGCACTGCGGCTTAGTCATGCTGGCCACATGACCCGGAAGCTGTACGCTGGCTCCCTTGGCCAATAAAGCGAGATGAGCGCTGCAACTCCAGAGTCGACAGCGACTGGACTTAATAGTCAGGGGTCCCTTTACCTTTACCATTGCAAGACACTTTGAGACATGCCGCGAGCAAGAAATGAAAATAGCAACATTTTTTTTTTAAAGTCCCAGTTAAAATGCCCGGGGGAATTTATTGCTTAAAAAACCTACATGCCTAAAGTCAAGCTGTGCAGGAACCCGATGGGCTTTTTTGGGGAGGCTTTTCGGCACCGGTGTTGCTGCAATCTGGGGCAATTGCTTTTTCTGAGAAACTAACTGAGAGAGCACACACCCAGAATGGTGCAACTGATCCTGACGATTTTGCTAAAATATGACAAATGGAAACCCTGATGTCCGGCAACCACCAAATAAGCATATACCGTAGATTAGGGATCAGCAAACTTTTTCAGCAGGGGGCTGGTCCACTGTCCCTCAGACCTTGTGGGGAGCCAGACTATATATATTTTTTTGGGGGGGGGGAATGAATGAATTCCTATGCCCCACAAATAACCCAGAGATGCATTTTAAATAAAAGCATGCATTCTGCTCATGTAGAAACACCTTGATTCCCGGACCGTCCGCGGGCCGGATTTAGAAGGCGATTGGCCTGGATCCGGCCCCCGGGCTTTCGTTTGCCTACCCATGCCATAGATGTATTAAGACATCTGTTGCCTTAGACTTGTGTTCTGGGGGAGGGGGAAGACCAAGTGTTTGGATAATGTTTCTTGAAAATGTTTAAATTAATTTTTTTTTTTTTAAAGAAGACCCTGCTCTTTGGGCCCCTCAATTTTACTTCCCCAGAAGCAAGCACCCAGCAGAGCAGGACCTTTCTTGACGAGCTCAAAGGCTGGAGTCACTCGTACAGGAGGAAAACAGCAGTTATTCATGTATTAATGTCACTGTTCTCTTACCCACCCCCCCACAGACCTCTCCTTATCCTGTCATCATATCCCTGGAGAACCACTGTAGTCTTGAGCAGCAGAAAACGATGGCATACCACATGCACAACATCTTGGAAGACATGCTGTTGGTGGCGCCAGTCGACTCCAATGCTTCCGAGCTCCCTTCGCCGGAGGTGAGTTCAGCTGCGTTTTATCAGCATGTAAAACGCTGCAGCTGCCATCTTGATTGACAAACTAAGTTGGGGGTGGGGAACCTGTGGCCCTCCAGATATTGTGGGACTACAACTCCCCTCAGCCCCAGACAGCATTGACTGATGGTTTGGGATGATAGAAGAATGGTCCTTCCCAGACCGTTGGCCATGCTTCCTGAGGCTGATGGGAATTGGAGTCCCACCATGTCTGGAGGGCCAGAGATACTGATCCTGTTCCACCATTTGTACCCTTTGCCGCTGTTATATCTCTTTTTTTCTTTTCCTTTTTCCTCTAGCAATTAAAGGGGAAAATTCTCGTGAAAGGGAAGAAGCTGAGCCCAGAGACGGAAGAAGTCTCTGATGAGGATGAAGCGGCTGAAATAGAAGACGAAACTGTGAAGATTGAGGTGGAGAGGAAAAGGACGGTGAGCCTCGTGAGCCATGTTAGCAATTCCAGGCCCTGATTTTGCGTGTTCTTAGCAACTGCTAGGGACGCGGGTGGCGCTGTGGGTTAAACCACAGAGCCTAGGTTGGTGGTTCGAATCCCTGCGACGGGGTGAGCTCCCGTTGCTCGGTCCCTGCTCCTGCCAACCTAGCAGTTCAAAAGCACATCAAAGTGCAAGTAGATAAATAGGTACCACTCCGGTGGGAAGGTAAAAGGCGTTTCCGTGCATTGCTCTGGTTCACCAGAAGCGGCTTAGTCATGCTGGCCACATGACCTGGAAAAACTGTCTGCAGACAACCACCGGCTCCCTTGGCCAATAAAGCGAGATGAGCGCCGCAACCCCAGAGTCGGTCACGACTGAACTTAATGGTCAGGGGTCCCTTTACCTTTACCTTACTCTGAGTAAGACGAGCACCGTCTACAACCATGGTGATTGAGAGGCCGGTGGGTTGTTTCACTCCCTGCCTCCCACCCCTGAAACTATGATGAATTCTCAGTTTTCTACCTTGTTCCTTGTCCCTTTTTAGAGTGAAAAACTGAAGCTTGCCCAGGAGCTATCTGACACGGTGGTCTACTGCAAAAGTGTCCACTTCCAAGGTTTCAATAATACCGATTGCAATGAAATGTCATCCTTCAGCGAAAGCAAAGCTTTGAAGCTGGCCCAGGAATCTGGTAAGTAGCCCCTTGCCTCATCTGGTGTGCTCAAAAGAGAGATCCACCGACCGAACATAACCCAAGAACATGGTGTGCGTGTGTGACCTAAAGTAAAACGCTGCAGTGTGGAGTGCGCTGCTATTCACGATGCTAGCCAGCCATTCCCATTCCCAGGATACTCCATTCCAGCCAGCTAGCCATGCCCACGTCAAGGAAATTCCATTCCAACCCACCCCCCATTTTCTATTTATTCCCTGCCAATAACCAGCCAGCATTCCATGGCTATTGATCATGCTCAGTCCTTACTGGGCTGTTTTTTGTGGGGGTGTCTCCCCTACTTTTGAACTCCCCCATCTTATAAGCTTACAAGGAGGGCATGCCAAACCACTCCTTCCCCCTATTTCTCATTTCTGGCACCACCCATTCACAGGTATACCGCTGCTGAACCTGGAAGCTGTTTGGCCAGCGTCACTAATAATGCTCGGTATATTTGTTTTGTCAGATCCTGGTGGCCACATTCACGTGTGATAGCCTTAAATAATTTTTTTAATTGAATTTTACATTTTTATCATGCTAACAACATTTCAGGGATGTGGGTGGCGCTTTGGGTTAAACCACAGAGCCTAGGACTTGCTGATCAGAAGGTCGGCAGTTCGAATCCCCGCAATGGGGTGAGCTCCTGTTGCCCGGTCCCTGCTCCTGCCAACCTAGCAGTTTGAAAGCACGTCAAAGTGCAAGTAGATAAATAGGTACCACTCCGGCGGGAAGGTAAACGGCATTTTCGTGCGCTGCTCTGGTTCGCCAGAAGCAGCTTAGTCATGCTGGCCACATGACCCAGAAGCTGTACTCTGGCTCCCTTGGCCAATAAAGCGAGATGAGTGCCACAACCCCAGAGTCAGTCACGACTGGACCTAATGGGCAGCGGTCCCTTTACCTTTTTAACAACATTTCAATTCATCAGAATCAAAGAAATACATTCCCCAGATTCCCCACCCAAGACTTCCCTCAACTTCCTCTTCTGGTTTTTTACATATTCACTCCCCCTGCTTGCTTTGTTATATCTTCATATAAATTCTTTATATTAGTTATTATCTCTTATCATTTTAACATCATCTTTAAAATTTCTGTATTTATTTTTGTTAATTGCAAGTGTTTACTCAAACCCTGCTAGTGAGTCCATTTCTTTACATTGTTTCTGTAAATACAACATAAATGGTTCCCAATCTTTTTAAAATTCTCTATTGTCTTTATTTCTAATTCTTTCTGTTAACTTCACCATTTCCGCATATTCCATCAGTTTTTGTAGCCATTCTTCTTTGGTTGGTATTTCATCACTTTTCCATCTTTGGGCTAGCATCCTAGCCGCAGCCGTAGCATACATTAAAAAGTTTCTTCTTTCCTCTTGTCCGATCTTGACCTGAAGTGCCTAATAAAAAAGCTTCTGGTCTTTTAGCAAACATTATCGTAAATATTTTCTTAATTTCATTATAAATCATATCCCAATAATTTTCAATCATTCTGCAATTCCACCACATATGAAAAAAGTGCCTTCTTTACATTCCCAACACTTATTGGAGCCTCATGTGTGATAGCCTTAATTATGTGTTGTACAGTGGTACCTCGGGTTACATACGCTTCAGGTTACATATGCTTCAGGTTACAGACTCTGCTAACCCAGAAATAATACCTCGGGTTAAGAACTTTGCTTCAGGATGAGAACAGAAATCGCACGGCGGCGGCACGACAGCAGCAGGAGGCCCCATTAGCTAAAGTGGTGCTTCAGGTTAAGAACAGTTTCAGGTTAAGAACGGACCTCCGGAACGAATTAAGTACGTAACCAGAGGTACCACTGTACGAAGAAGAGTTTTCCGCCCTCACAACCCTAATCTGTCTCTCTGGGTCACCCCAGCTCTCCCACAGTTCCATTATGATTAGAGGAGGAGAAAGAAATTGTCATTTTTTTTCTGTTCTCATTCCAGGGACCGACTTTATCCATCACAACATCAGGCATCTGAGCAGAATCTACCCTGCAGGATGGAGGACGGATTCGTCTAACTTCAACCCTGTTGACATGTGGAATGTGGGGTGCCAAATTGGTAAATTGGGTTGTTAAAATCAACATGGCTTATTTAGTTGTGAATAACTGGAGGTGAAAGGGGGCTGTGAAGTAATCTTATCTCTGTCTTTCTGTCTGTTTGTCTTATCACCTGCCCTTCCCTTTAAGGCCCCAGAGTGGTTACAGCATTAAAACACAATATTAAAATTGGTTCAAAACATATTACAGTCCTAAAAATGAGGCGGGTGTGGCGATCACACAGGATCCCTGGACGTTTCACCATCTATTGATCCCTGTGCCATCACTTTATTTCTTGCTGCCACCACCCAGGCCCTACCTGGTACAATACTGAGTCCAGTCAGGGTTAAATTGGAACATAAACTTCTGTTTATTTATTGCAGTTTAATAGGCGTCTGGTTTCATAAACGGTATCGGTCAATTACATTCATATCCAGACCTATAACTTCCGCTCACTAAACTACCTCTCAGATAGTTACCGTATTTTTCGCTCTATAAGACACACTTTTCCCCCTCCAAAAATTAAGGGGAAATGTGTGTGCGTCTTATGGAGCGAATGCAGGCTCCATGGCTTCAGCGATAGCAACGCGAAGCCTTCGAAGCACAGTGGGAGCGCTCCCGCTGCGCTCCGGAGGCTTCGCGTTGCTTTTGCGCACCGACCCCTCTCGCTCTCCAGGCTTCAGGGATAGCCGCCTGAAGCCTTTGGAGTGCAGCGGGACACCGCGCTGCGCTCCAAAAGCTTCGGGGTTAGCTGCGCAAAGTCTCCGCAGGGCAGCGGGGTGAAGGCACCCCACTGCCCTGCAGAGGCTACAAATGCTGTCCCCGAAGCCAGAACAGCGAGACAGAGTGCTCCGTCTCGCTGTTCTAGCTTGGGGATGGCTGCGCAAAGCCTCTGCAGGGCAGCGGGGTGCGTTCACCCTGCTGCCCTGCGGAGTCTACAAAGGCTGTCCCCAAAGCCTCAAGCCTTTGGAGTGCAGTGGGAACACACGCTGCGCTCCAAAGGCTTTGGGTCAGCAAAAGGAACCTGAAGCCTTTGGAGCGCAACGTGAGGTCCCGCTGCGCTCTAAAGGCTTCAGGGATCTTTGAGGCTGGCGGTGGGGGAAAGCAGCGCTCCCCCCACCCAGCCCCACAAGCTCGGGGGGCAGCGGCAAGGCTGTGTGCAGCCTTTGTGCTGTTCCCCGACCTGCTCTTGAATGCACCTTGAACGCACCTTGTTTTAGAGAATTTTTTTTTCCTGTTCTCCCCCTCCTATGGTCCAGTGCGTCCTATAGAGCAAAAAATACGGTACACCTCAAGTGTCAAAAGCCAGGATAAACAGGTGCATTTTCAGCATTCTCTGGAAGCTGTACAACAACTCTCCATGGCGCAAACAAAAGCAAGGACTCCATTTCCAGAAGATGACAATGTTCTGTAAATCTGCTATCGTGCCCCATTCAACGGGTTAAGGGCTACTAATGATCATACGCACCTAAATGAAGCATTGGCTTGTAAAATAATAATTTGCTAATTAATTGTACATATTTCTCCCCCAGTTGCCTTGAATTTTCAGTCCAAGGGAACCGATATGGATGTCTATCAAGGCCGATTCCAGGAAAATGGCTTTTGCGGGTACGTCCTAAAGCCGGAATTTCTGCGGGACGAGCAGTCCAGGTTCAACCCCAAGGCCGTCTCAGAAGGGCCGTGGTGCACCAAGAAGAAACTCCAGGTGAAGGTAGGAATTGGAAACGAGGATTGCATGCATTTCTCTGAAGTCCAAAGTTGGTACCCCAGCGCTCTTCCTTATTGTCCCCTGGAAGGCTTTCAAGTCACGATGGACACTCAAGACCCAACAACTATCCCCCTCTTTCTCTCTTACAGGTCATCACAGGCCAGCAACTGCCCAAGGTGAACAAGAGCCAAAACTCCATTGTGGACCCCAGGGTGATAGTCGAGATCCACGGCGTCCAGAGGGACAACGAGAAGAAGCAAACCACCGTCATTGACAACAATGGTAAGAGGAGGAGACACTTGTGAGTCTTCACCAGCTGAACTCATCACTGCCTCTTGGCCTCCTTCTCTCCTGCTTCAGCTTCTGCCTCTCATTCTGGACTTCTCTCTGCCCCAGACTCTCTCTGCTCACTAAACCCTGTTACCTCTTCCGTTCCCAACACTTCCTCTTCCCAGTCTTCTCCCTCTGACTGCTCATTGTCATCCCACCACCATTCCCCGGGCTCTGAGCCTTCTTCCCTTAGGGGTTCCCCAGCTGGTTCCTCCCACCATTATTCTGCATCCAACCAGTCCTTGACACCAAGGCACTTAGAAACCATGAGCTTAAAGTCCAGCCCAGTGGTTCTGCTGCATAGCGATTGAAAAAGGACCAAGATTTTGGCCGCCATACCTTCTGGGCTGCTACTCTGACAAACCCCTTGGCTCCTAGCTTGCAGAGGGTCTTTCTTCTTGCTGTAGCTGGGTAAATGGAGATTCAATAGCGGCTTTGTTCATTTGTTTCCCGGCGAAGGAAAAAGCTGAAGCTGTTCTTCTTTGTCCAAGACGCCTTACAAAAGGGCCTTTCATTGCTTCCTGGAAGGGGAAAGGGAGCCTGAATCCAAAACTACCAATAGCTGGCAAAAGCCTTGGTTGTATATTCTCCCAACTTTGGGCGATGGGTTGCTTGGCTTTCAGCCCAACTGAAAACCGATTCAAGTGTGCATGTGGTACAGTCCTCTCAAAAGGCTATATCACCTTGCAAAGGCGTTGGGGTGAAGGGGATTGCCGTTTTGGAAACTCCCACTATGGCACGATCTCCTTGGCATGTGGAAAGCTTACACTCCAGGGAGAAGAGGAGATATGTTAGTCATCAAATATCTCAGGGGCTTTCACGTGAAAGATGAGCAAGCTTGTTTTCTCCTGCTCCGGAGGGTGGGACCCGAACCAATGGCTTCAAGCTACAAGAAAGGTGCGCAGAACTGGACAGAGAACTCCCAGTGGGGTCAGACCAAGGCAGAATAGAGTGGGACTATTACTTCACGCGGGTGGCGCTGTGGGTTAAACCACAGAGCCTAGGACTTGCCGATCAGAAGGTCAGCGGTTCGAATCTCCACGACGGGGTGAGCTCCCGTTGCTCGGTCCCTGCTCCTGCCCACCTAGCAGTTCGTAAGCACGCCAAAGTGCAAGTAGATAAATAGGTACCACTCCGGCGGGAAGGTAAACGGCGTTTCCGTGCGCTGCTCTGGTTCGCCAGAAGCGGCTTAGTCATGCTGGCCATATGTATGCCAGCTCCCTCGGCCAATAAAGCGAGATGAACACCGCAACCCCGGAGTCGGCCACGACTGGACCTAATGGTCAGGGGTCCCTTTATCTTTTTATTACTTCTCTTGATTGGCTCACTTTGCTTCTGTTGATGCAGCCCAGAGAGAGAGAGAGAGAGAGAGAGAGAGAAAGGAAAAACGAGTCTCTGAGCATCTTTTCTATCAATCAAAGATGAGGCCAGATTTTTCTATCTTTTACGGATCTAGCCTACTGGAAATATGTTCAGACTTGTACATCTCTGTGTTGCCCATGTTTGTCTTTTCTTCCTTCCTCACCTAACACTCTCTCTCCCCTTTGCCAGGATTTAACCCCAGATGGGATGAAGCGTTTGAGTTTGACATCGACGTCCCTCAGCTCGCTCTGGTTCGTTTCATGGTGGAAGACTTTGACGCGTCGACCAAAAATGACTTTATTGGGCAATTCACAGCTCCCTTCACAAGTTTGAAACAAGGTGAGTCTTCCCATCTTAACCTTCAGAGCAAACTCTTCATTCGAAGCTTAGAGTAACAGGGAGTTTCTGGGGCCAGTTAACAACTACCAGACTTTTAGAAGACATCTGAAGGCGGCCCTGTTTAGGGAGGCTTTTAATGTTTGATGTAGTACAGTATTTTAATATTTTTTTTGGAAGCCGCCCAGAGTGGCTGGGGAAGCCCAGCCAGATGGGCGGGGTATAAATAATAAATTATTATTATTATTATTATTATTATTATTATTATTATTATTAAAAGTTCTCTCTGCTTTTTAAGTGTAATGTCTCTTTCAATATGGTTGGGAGGTCTTCATGAACTACAAACCCCAAAATTTTGCGTCTTCTCCAAACCTGTGCCCATGTTTTACAGTCATTTTGCAGTGAAAACTTTGGCACCAGTTTGGAGTGAATCAAACAATATTGGATTTTTGGGTTTGAACCCCACTTTGATGTATCAATTACTCAGTTGGGGGGGCGTGCTGCAAAACGTGGGGGTTTTGTTTGCTGCAAAACACTGCAAAATGATTGCAAAACTTTGACACAGGTTTGGAAGGAATCCCAAATTTGGGGGTTCGTAGTTAATAAGCGGGGATGCGGGTGGCGCTGTGGTTAAATCACAGAGCCTAGGACTTGCCGATCAGAAGGTCGGCAGTTTGAATCCCGGTGACGGGAGGTGAGCTCCCGTTGCTCAGTCCCTGATCCTGCCAACCTAGCAGTTCAAAAGCACGTCAAAGTGCAAGTAGATAAATAGGTACCGCTCAAGCAGGAAGGTAAACGTCGTTTCCATGTGCTGCTCTGGTTCGCCAGAAGTGGCTTAGTCATGCTGGCCACATGACCTGGAAGCTGTACGCTGGCTCCCTCGGCCAATAAAGCGAGATGAGTGCAGCAACCCCAGAGTCGGTCACGACTGGATCTAATGGTCAGCGGTCCCTTTACCTTTACCTAGAGTTACCACAGAGCACAGTGACCTGTTTTTCAGGGATAGGGAACCTTTGGCTCTCAAGATGCCATTGGGCTCCAACTCCCACCACTTTTTAGTTAATAAGCCCTGTTGGGGGCTGCCTTGTGGGCTGTAATTCAGGGGATAGGGCCGTATCCAACACTAGTCCTACTCAGAGTAAACCCAGTGAAGTTAATTAACATGACTAACTTGGGTCCGTTAATTTCAAGGGGTCTGCAACAACAGCTAAACCACACTGTTTACGAACCTCCCAGGTGTCTTATAGGAGCACAGCGCCCTCTACTGCCCAGATCAGGCAGCGCTTCCCAAATTCCTGATAATCCAAGACACACGTTTCTGAATTATTATTGGTGACACGTGTAAGAGAAGGAGTTGGCTTTCTCTTAATATATGCAGATTTGTTGCTGGAGAACTGCATCGCAGAATTCAGGGATGTACAGGTTTCAAAGGCTATCTGCTTTTTCAAGTTGTTGTGTTTTGGAAAGAGCGAATTAGGCCACGTTAAAACTGAATTTCTCCCCCATCTCTATGTTGCGTCCTCCAGTCCCCCTGGCACGTGTGAGTCTGATTGTCGCCACTCCCAGTGGCAGCTATTGAAATACAAGTGAAGAGAACACCACAATATAATCTCTCTCTCTCTCTCTCTCTCTCTCTCTCTCTCTCTCTCTCTCTCTCTGATAATCTCCAGGCTATCGCCACATTCATCTCTTGACGAAGAACGGAGACCAGTACCCTTCTGCCACGCTCTTCGTACACATCAATATTACGGATGCTTACTAAAAGGACAATTTTCTCGGACCGCTCAAGGGACAGGTCCCTGCTTTCCCTTTCCAAATGAACTTGCCTACCAAGCTGGGAAGAGAGAGACCTCAAACACTACCCTGGTTTTTAGCCGATGTGGAATCCCCACAACATCCCCGGAGAGCAGGAAATGGACAAATGAGTCAAGCCAACCACCGCAGAGGTCGTTGCGCAAACCGCCTTGCTGCGTTCAGAAAGCGTCATGGAGAAGTTCTGCTCCAAGTGCCTCTAAAAGGCCATGTTCTGTTGTGGTTGGGAAGCTGGGCTATCCTCCATATTATGGGTAGGCAAACTAAGGCCCGGGGGCCGGATCCGGCCCAATCGTCTTCTCAATCCGGCCCCCGGACGCTCTGGGAATCAGCGTGTTTCTACACGAGTCAAATGTGGTCCTTTTATTTAAAATGCACCTCTGGGTTATTTGTGGGGCATAGGAATTCATTCATTTTCTTTTCAAAATATAGTCCAGCCCCTCACAAGGTCTGAGGGACAGTGGACCGGCCCCCTGCTGAAAAAGTTTGCTGACCCCTTATCCTAGCTGCTGTTTCTGAGAGAAAGGAGAAAAAGAGCTAGCTTTTCAATCATGGAGAGAAGCACGAAAATTGAGATAGGGACGGGCACAGGAGATTGTTACTTCAGTCCTTTAAGGCTGGGAGGTCCACACACTGGCCACTGTCCCCCCTCTGTTGTCTCTGAAGACCTCATCTGGACTGTAGCACTTGCTTCAGGCATGTTCTGAGTCAGATCCGAGATGTGGCTTCTCCACTTCTGTGTCTTCTCTGCTTGTTTCCATGCCTCTGTTTCCTCCCTTATGTCCGATGGTTACTGACTTCCTTTGTGCGCTCGGGCAGCAAGGTGCCGGTTCTTCCCGACGTCACCTTTCAGGGTTTTCACTTTTTCAAGTTTCCAGTCCTCAGGAAAAGTAAGGCAAGCTTAAAAGCGTAAAGGCGATTTCCGATGCAATTTCGAAAGCTAAGGAAAGGTGTTGAACGATGTACACATCGTTTTAAAAAAGCACACATTCCGCTGCTGGGTGCTGCAAGCTGTGTAAATCATTCCAATCAAGCAGACTTGCGCAATGTTTATTACTACCTCTAGCAGCAGCCACCAAAATCCCTCCTTTGCAACTTCTCCGACTTCTGAAATTTAACCGGGCATCGCTCACCTTTTAAGTGATAATTTACCCATTGGCTGAAACAAGAGATTCTCAAGAAGCTGATTTCTGGGGCCGGTGCTACATTCTGTGTTTCTGCTGCGCTAGAGTGGACCAGCAATGTACTCCCAGCTGGATTTCATAACTGTAAAAATGTGATTTTTAATTTTTTTTTAGACATTAAGATGTAAGCACTGTCCTCAGACTTTCCCAAAACAGTGTCAGGGTATTGGGCTTTTTCAGTTTTAGAAGCTGAGGCATCAATCATGACGTTGTGAATTTGCTAGATGCTACCTTTTTTTTTGTAAATTTTGTAATTTTGTTCGATCTTTTTAGAATTAATTATTACATTATTTTTAGGCGAAAGCAACCAAGGAGCAGGTCCATTGTACAGTCACGCCCTCTCTTTTCTTAGTAGCTTGGAAACTGTTCTGAATTTGAAGGGGGTGAGGATATAGACTGGGGTTTAATCAGTCTCATAGGCCATTATCCAAAGATGATTGTTGCCTGTGGGAATTTATCCCAACATTAGCAAATTCAGCCGCTTGAAAGAAACTGACTGATATAAAATATGATAATTCTGTTGTTTCAAATATTGGGTTTCCCCCAGCTGGTTCTGAATTACTACTGTTTTTGAACATGATGCAATTGTATCTAAGGTTTTCCGTGAAATGGTGAGGACTAGAATCTTTTGGAGAGTTTACATAACCTCACATCAAAAAGCTTTGAATCAGAGTCCTGTTGTGCCACCGTTCTGCCTCTTTTACATTACATGTGAGATACACTACAAAATCCATGCCCTCAATCCACCTAAAGCTGAATGCTTTTTAAGCGTTCTGTAGATTTCAGTGGGAAAGAATTAAAAATGCACTTAATTCTCCCAGTGATATCGACGAGTTTTAAATGGCTCTGGATCTTTGCTGCATGTTACACTGTGATCTATAGCAAATTGTGAAAATGCTATGCTACTGACAAGGTCATACCAAATCCTCTTATTTTATATGTGGTCCCAGCCTCCAAAACTCACTTTGGATTGAAAAGAGAGGAGAACCTTTGCTTTTTCACTGAGCAGAATCCTTTTAAACAATCTGCGGAGGCTGAAGGCTCATTTAAACGCAATCTTATCTCATGAGAACAGGCCCAAAGCTTGCTTCAGACGTAGGTGCCTATGCTGTGGTGCTTTGCCAAAGGCCCCTGATTTCATTTCAAGACATAAGAATTGGTCAACAGCACTGGCCAGTTTGCAGTTCCACATCAAAGCAGATGTGCCTGAAAGTGATCCGACCGAGAGAATCTGTGATCTCAACTTGAATTCCTCGATTTGCGGAGAGTTGCTCTCTCAGGGTAGATCACCTGTCAGGATCGAGGTGTTCATTTGTCAGCAAAGTTGGCACAAGCTTCTTTCCTCAACCATTTTCGCTACCTCGAGACTTGGCCGGCCTCCTCACAAAATGGCCACCACCCCCAATCCTCTCATCCGCAAAATGGGGTCTGCATTGTTATAGAGCAGGGCCTCAGTGAGACAGGAACTCATCCTGTGTCATGGAAATCCATGTGCCTCTAACCCAACATAGCCTCTTGTTTTGGGTTAGGCTTTGCCATATATATATATATATATATATATATATATATATATATATATAAATAAAAATTTGGGGAAAGGGTGGAATCCTGAGAGCCACTTTCATGAAACGCACTGCAAATTTATTAAACAGGAAGGTGGTTTCTAAAAGCCGTTCCATTTTCCCTTTCTTGCGGTGAACATTATCTCATTTCTCAAGGCGCTATGATGAACTGTGTCGCCTCTTCCCCCCAGACACTTCCATCTGGGATTTTGTAATGGAAAAGCCACGTAATGCCTTATTGCGGTAACTGTAAGGTCCTGGTCTAGCACTTTTTAAAAAAGGATTGGGACCTTATAACTGCCCCAGCCTTATTCTGTTTGTGTAGAAGACAATCACGGGGTGGTAAACTTGAATAATGGTTGGGACGTTGATGGTTGAGATGCAACTGTAGCTGGCTTTTAACAGATATTCCATAAGTGGAGCCCTGACTGTGTCATAATGCAATAGCTGAATCCAATGGGGATCTTGGGCTTGTGTAAGACATAGAATCATAGAGTTGCCATCCAAGAAATAAATAAAAATCAGCCTTCTCCAATTGGGGTCTTCCAGGTGCTTTAGACTACAACAGTGATGTGAGCCGAAGTCCAAAACATCTGGATAGAAAAGGCCAATTCATCTAGTCCAACTTGCAATGAACAATGTCAGCCTATCATTTGCAGTCTTGTACTGTTGTGCTCCTGTTGTTTACACGACAAAAATAGTTTGCCCAGCAACACCAATGCTCCCACTTCTTGCCCTGACATGACAGTGGATCTTGCCTAAATGGGTTATATCCCATGTCAGTCATACTGTTGAGTAGACCCATTGGAACTGGCGAACGCAGCTAATGAAAGCCCCTTTATTTCAGCGGATCTGCCTTCGAGTACGGCTTCGCGAGATATAACCCAATCATTCTGCAAACAAAACTGACTTTTATATTGCGGGTTTTTTTTAAATTAAAAAATGTCATATAAAGCTACAGAGTTAGAGGGTTGACAAGAGTACGATATAAATAATATATTTTTTAACTGCGATTAAAATGAAAAGTAAAAAAAAGAATTGTGTTTCTCTGCCTCATCTTTTCCTGTTTATTTTTCTTACTGGGTTCACTTGATGGCCAACTAAACTGGCTTAGCTCAAGCTCTCCTACCTTGAACCCCCCCCCCCAAATGCTCACTTTTTCTTGAATGGCAGGATTGTACACCTACCCTCCCATCTATTCTGATCAGAGGAGAGGTTCAAGAAACTGCTCTCTGAGCAAGCATGGCAGGGGACAATGAAGTCTTTCCCCCCAGTGATGGCGGGAGCATTTTCTGCTCTTTCAGACACAACAGCCATTTTGTATTATGCCTGATGGCAGCCATTTTGTTACTGAAACCCACCGCAACGTCTTAAGAATCCAAATGGCCCACTGGCCAAAATAGGTTGGCGACTACTACTGTGGCTCTATGTATCTTTTAACCTCCATGTCAGGGTCTCCTACCCAGACACTGGTTCCTTCTCCCGTTCCAAGATTGGGAAAAGTCATTCAAGGAGCTCTACCACATGATAAACCATGGTGGGATTGACCACAAGTCCTTCCTCTTGGGGCAAAAAGGAAGACAAAACAGGAGCGCCACAGTTTCACTTGTTGATTTCGTCACGAATGAAGCTACCGCATGTAGATTTATGAAAAACGTACGCCACCGGTCACTGTGATTTGTTTTATTTTGAAATCATGGCACGGAAATGAACAAAGTGAAATGGCCACAGGTGGTTGTGATGGAAATTGTGGGGAATGTGTGAATTCCTTTGCCGCCGGTGCTGTTTTTACTGGATGTAGGCTCTGAAAGGCCTTTGAGGCCTTTGGATGAGAAAAGGTGCCATTAATCCTTGAGGAGAAAAGCTGTGTGGAGTTACAACCCTCAGGGCACAACCTTACACTTCTAGGGTACCATAAACATTCATGGAGCAATCTGGGGTACCACAAACGTTAAGCCCAAGACCTACAATTCTCATTATTTAAGACTCTCTAGGAAGCTTGATCATATCCTGATAGTCATATTGTGATATTCACCCAAATCCCTCACATCCTTATTTGCCAGTGAAATGAGAGCGGTTACTTCACCAGCATCACACTCCTAGCCTGACTGGCAGTATAACAATGATAAACTTAGCAACTATAGTCAAGACTGTGACCCCAGACAGTTCACGTGGGATTCCCTCCTCTTCATATCCCTTAACTGCTCCAAAAACACAACAAAACTTGAGCGATGCAATTTCCCCTGGCCCCAGATGAGGCCACTGGTGTGCTGCCTTTCTTCCCAATCCTGGCTTCATAAGAAAGAGAAGAAAGAAAAGTGAGAATTGTTTCCAGTGGTACCCAAACGGATGCTTCGGGGTCCTTGCAAGCACAAGGACTAGCCCAAAACACAGCCGCCTGAGGCAAAGGACAAGATGGCGCTGTCCTCTCAATTCCATGTAGAGAAGCCAACCAGAATGAACTTCAACAGGGGCAACAGGGTGGAAATTGTCCTCCACTGTACCAGAGGGCAACGTATGGGGGTCTGTCCTCCTGCCATCTTCCTGTTGCTGCGTGCCCCTCGGCTTCTGCCGCCTGAGGCAACTGCAGTCAGTGCTGCTTTACAAAGGAGGAGAGGATGGGTCAGGCTATTCAATTCCACGCCTTCAGACTGGAGGCCAGTTGCTGCATAACTAAGGGGTGTGTGTATATATGTTATGTACTGAGTTGAATAGGATCCAAAATGCAGCAGTCTGATTGGTCCTAGAACAATAGGATCCAAAATGCAGCAGTCTGATTGGTCCTAGAACAATAGGATCCAAAATGCAGCAGTCTGATTGGTCCTAGAACAATAGGATCCAGAATGCAGCAGTCTGATTGGTCCTAGAACAATAGGATCCAAAATGCAGCAGTCTGATTGGTCCTAGAACAATAGGATCCAAAATGCAGCAGTCTGATTGGTCCTAGAACAATGCAGCAGTATGATTGGTCCGCAGGAGCCACCCAATCCAGCTCCAGATGGAAGTGAATCCACAACCTGATTGGCCTACAGGAGAATCCCAGAATTAGCCAATCACGTGCAGCCCATTGTGTAAATAATGTATATAAAGCAGATATTGTGGGGGATCCTCCATTCCTCCTCACTACTATGAGCTGAATAAAGAGCATGAAAGTCACTCTCAACTCCGAGTATATTTCAATGTGTGTGTGTGTGAGAGAGAGAGAGAGCGAGCGAGAGAGAGAGAGAGAGAAAGACTTTCCCCCTTCCAAACTTCCAAAGAGTCCAGAATCAGTCCTAGAGGCCAGTCCTTCTTTTCCCTTCAACATTGCCTGAAGCTTACAACTTCATGTGGAATCCCTGGATTTCGAAACTCATCAAATGTAAGGAACTTTCTCCCCGCGCAGATAAATTATAAAAAGCTTGGCAGGCAAAAGAGATTGCCGTTTTCAGTGGCACAGGTGCAGGGGGAAGGAAATAATCTACCAAGCCTTTCTTTGACAAAACTGATTGAGAGGGGGAGAGAGAGAGAGAGAGAAAGAGAGAGAGAGAGAGAGGTTTCTTTAAATAGTCCTTTTTGGTAGTGGGGGCGATGATGGAGGGAAGCGCCTTTTATCCAGGCTCACTTCCTCCCACACCTGTGGAGTTATCCCAAAATGAGTTCTAAGGAGCCAGCCAGCCGGCAGGCAGGTGTGCAGGCCAAAAGCTCCTTCGCTCAAAAGAGTCCAAATTGTTTCTTCTCATTCTGCTGCTTCCACCTGGGCATCTGGTAGAACTCATCCTTGGTCTTCCCAAAGATGTCATAAAAATCTGCGTCAGACAGGTAGTACTGCAAAGAGAGTGAGAGGAAAGGGATACATGTGAGGGGAGAAGCCTGAGGGGTTATTGGTTTGTTCTGTTCTTGTTTCTATTATGCATTTTCTAATAATATTGTATTTTTATGTTGTGAACCGCACCGAGATCTGCAAAGGAAGGGCGGTATACAACTTGAATGAAATCATCAACATCATCATCATCAGTGTGTTTTTTTTCTGGGTGTATGCAGAGGTACGCATACACCTAAACATTTTGTGAATCTTTGTACTTTTGTCCATTTACTGTATTTATTTTCCCCCAATTGAACTATAAATGGCGGTTTTCTTGAGTCAAAATGAGAGTACCCCTAAACATTTTTTAGAAAAAAAAGCACTGATGATGATAATGGTGATGATGATAAAATAATAATAGTAGTAGTAGTAGTAATAGTAGTAGTAGCAGTAGTAGTAGTAGTAATAACAATAACAATAACACACAGCACCACCTAGTGGATAAAGAAAGCAGAGACACATATCGGGTCCTCCTAACATACTTGCCTCCAATATATGGTACATTTGGGGCGAGAAACTACCAACATTAGGGTCAATCTGCAGTCCAACCACTTTTTAACCTTTCTTGAGATCAAGCGGGTGGCAGGAATTTTCAGCCTGTCGCATACCAAGGATTGTGGCACATTCACCGTCTTAAAAACCAGCTCAGGGGCCTTTAAAAGAGGATTAGGTATGTGGCCATAAAGCTATGCGTGGCTACCACTCACAAGGACCTTGCACTCCCTAAGCACCTGGATGGCTGCTTAGAAAACAGGACGCTGGCCTCAAAAGGCCTCTGTCTTGGTCCAGCACGGCATCTTCTGACGTCCTAATGTCCCTTGCATGCAAGACCAGGGGACCTTTGGTTTCCAAACTGACTCATAGAAGAAGAAGAAGAGTTTGGATTTGATACCCCGCTTTATCACTACCCGAAGGAGTCTCAAAGTGGCTAACAATCTCCTTTCCTTTCTTCTCCCACAACAAACACCCTGTGAGGTGAGTGAGGCTGAGAGACTTCAGAGAAGTGTGACAAGCCCAAGGTCACCCAGCAGCTGCATGTGGAGGAGCGGGGAAGCGAACCCAGTTCACCAGATTACGAGTCCACCTCTCTCAACCACTACACCACGCTGGCTCTCATAGGCGCAAGACCTACCTTATTGCTGTGCTCCTTAGGCCTGGCGTTCCTGAACAGATCTTGTTCCTTTTAATAAAACATTAACCTCCCTTATTCTGTGCGACTTATTCCCAACACCCTCTCCTGACTGCACTCAAATGTGTCATTTAAGTGCCTCATTGTGTTGTTCATGCGAGCTGCCCTTTTCACATAGCTGCTTCCTGTGCCAGCGATGTTAGCCACAGTGGTTGGGTGAAAACAGTGTGAGAAACGACCAGGGAGTGCGCCGCTCAATCGGCAAGGTAAACAATATTCGGTGTGTGTTCACCTACCTCTTTCTTGGTGGGGTCCACTCCCTCTGGAAGGTCATCTACCGTCTTGTTGATCAAAGCATCTCTGTGATATGCGCCAGTCCCATTGGTCTCCACGGAGGTGGGGTTCTTGTTGTTGTAGCTGCCACTGCCACCACCATTACTGGAGGGAGGCTGGTGTACTGGTGACCTCCTTTCAGTCTCCGAAATGGCTGAATTGGGGGCAGGCTTACTGCTGGCATTCCTGTTGTTCACGTTGGCATTTTTAAGGTCCTGCAAAAATATAGGAAAAGCCCGTGAACAGGAGGACACTCTGCACATTTCACATGGGGCAAGCACACCTTGCTAAGGAGCATTGGCCAGTCAGAAGTTCCTTGCCACTGAAGGAATGGGTTTCTGTGCAGTCAGTTTGAAACGGGACGCAAAACCCCCCTTTTCTTCTTTCTGCAAGAGAGCATTTCTAAAATGCATGAACTTGAGCTGTTGAGCAAATGCATAACAAGAACACAGCTGTATAAACAAAGCTCTCTCCTTTATCAGTCACGGCAATGGACGACCTTGGCTGTTCCAGTGGAGTAGGGATGACATGTCTGGGTCTTATCTTACCACACTCTGACACACAGACCTAGTCCGGGAACAGCGCCAGAGTGTGTTCTTGGAGTTGGTGACCTCTTGCTCCAAGATAAGAGTATAGGAACAGGAATACCCTTTTATGGTCAGAAGTACAGGAAGGAAAACCCTTTTGTGGTTAAGAGTACCGGAGCAAGAACATCTGTGATGTCAACCTGCATGTACAAGCTGACTTGGCTGGATTCCTGGGGAAGGGGGGAGAGGGTACCTGGAGGATATATATATTGCATGAAATTTCTCATTTCTTTGGACTTGCTGTGGACTGACCACGTAAGTGCCTTTCTGCTGCTCCGGAGAGCAGAAATAAAGAACTCTTTCTCTGAACCAACCCTCAGTGTCATTTGACTTCCTTCCTCCCGTCCGGGAGCAACGCAGAGCCCACCAATCGGTAAAATTTAATAAGGCTACACCACATTCGGCCAGCCCTCAGATTTCGGCAGGATGTGAGAGCCAGCCTTCGGCAGGCAGTGAAGTTCAAGCTTCTTGCAGCACCCTTTTGCACCTAGGAAATAGCCTTGTACTGAGCCACGCCTAGCGCAGTGTTGTCTACACTGACTGGCAACAGCTCTCCAGGGTTTCAGACCAGGAGTCTCTCCCAGCCTCTACCTGGAGATGATGGTTGAACCTGGAACCTTCTGCTTCCTGAGTGCCACTGGGCACTTACATGAAGACCCCCTTTGCTTTACACAAGTTCAGGCTGTCAAGGAATGGTGGGCAACCGCTGGTCCATGGGCCAAATCAGCCCGGCAAGGGGATCTGTTCGGCCAATGAGGTCATTTCCTCAGAACCACACCCACCTGTCCCATCCGGCCAATGAACAACTGGGAAACTTTAAAGTGTGCCTCTGATGGTTCCTTGGCAAGTGAGTATTGCTATTAACACTGATCAAGCCGTACAGCGTTAGGGCCGCATACTGAATTTCTCAACTTTCAAATTCCAAAAACAAGGCATGCTAAGAAGTAACACGGCTTAGGGATTCAAAATATATTTCGGTTAAATTAGCACAATTTAGTTTTGCTCGGTAAGTAAAATGTGCATTAAAATTGCATAGAAATCATTAAAGTGCCAAGTACTTGCAGGTATATTATATATTTAGTAGCAGTAGTAGTAGTAGTATTTAGCGTTACCTGACATTTTCAGAAGGTAAAATTAAAATTATTTGGTTTTCCAAAGGCAGTTTATGGGCTTCTTCATTAAATGTAGACTCACCGAGCTAAATGTTGTCCAGTCACAAAAATAATAGCAAATTTGAATTCCTTACACCCAAAGGACCCTTCACTGAAGAAATTTGCAATTTTTTGTGAAAAAGAGTGGGAACGCTTTATATTATATTTTCAGAAACAAAGAAAGAACATTGACTTGATGGTAGGATTTAAATAAACATTCACAACTTTATGGCTAGGGAATAAATAATGTAATAAATGGAAAAATATGATATTTGTAGAAAATAGCAGAATATAATAATGAGGATAATAAATCAGAAATGGAAGTTGAGGGAAGTCCAAAGGGAGGGAGGGAGAGACGTTATGTAAATTGTATGTTATAAGTATATTTGTAATGAGAAAAAAGAAAATTAATAAAAATTTAAAAAAGAAAACAAGAAAAGAAATTTGCTAAAATTTAAGTTTCACCCCCTAAAATGGCACGTGGCTGCTGTGAGAGCCTGAACGGTGGAGTTGTCGATGGGGAACCCCCTAGCACAGTCTAACCCTGATGGAATCAGGTTGGCTCAAAGCGCTGGCCAGCTACCGTATTTTTTGCTCTATAAGACTCACTTTTCCCCTCCTAAAAAGTAAGGGGAAATGTGTGTGCGTCTTATGGAGCAAATGCAGGCTGCGCAGCTATCCCAGAAGCCAGAACAGCAAGAGGGATTGCTGCTTTCAGTGTGCAGCGATCCCTCTTGCTGTTCTGGCTTCTGAGATTCAGAATATTTTTTTTCTTGTTTTCCTCCTCCAAAAACTAGGTGCGTCTTGTGGTCTGGTGCGTCTTATAGAGCGAAAAATACGGTAGTTGGTGCTCACAGCAAGCCAGCTGGGATCTGGACTTGATGCAAGCCAGTCATGCAAAGAACCTTCCTATGCAGTCGTAACTCAAGCTGTGCCCACAAAGGAAGAGGTTTACTTCCGGTCACCTGACACTGTTGTGACGTCAGGTGATTGACAAGTGGCCGGCCCCGCCCACTGATTGACAATGTTTCCGGCCCCTGCTGTAAAGAGACAGATGCAACGTTTGCTCAAGGAAGCTGCAGCTTCCACCCTGGGCTTACTCACCATGGTGATCTCCGAAATGGTGGCTACTTTCCCCAAGCTGCTCTTAATCTCCTCGTAGGACGACTTGCCATCCTGAGAGGAAAGGAAAGAAAAATCGCTGCTATGATATCTGCAAGGAAGCCTTAGTTACCCAAAGAGCAAGGCGGTTGCAACTTTGACGCGAGACCTTGTTTTCCGAATCAGCACTTAAGCAGTAGTGTCTGGTGGTCATTGGGGCAGATGGGGTATAAGGCAGGAAGCCGACAGTAGGTGGCGCCAGAGTCAATGGCAGGCAGAGCCAACAAATTCTTGTTTTGTCCCCTTCCTCCTTGCTGAGTTCTGCAAAGGCAACACAGACTAAGGAGGAAGAAGAAGTTGAGAGGCAAGGGCACCTTCTGGGCTGGTTGTAAGGAAGGAGGCAGGCAGGTGGAAGCAGCTGAAGCTGTACTGGAAGAAGCAAAGATCACCAGTGTCAAAGCCATGTTTCTTCAACATCAACTTCATTGGACTGGTCATGTTGTGCGGATGCCTGATTATTGTCTTCCAAAAAAACAGCTACTCTATTCCCAACTTAAGAATGGAATGCGTAATGCTGGTGGTCAACAAAAGAGGTTTAAAGACTCTCTCAAGGGAAATCTTTAAAAAATGTAGTATAAACACCCACAACTGGGAGACACTGGCGTGCCTGCGAGCGCTCCAATTGGAGAACAGCCTTTACCAAAGGTGTTCTGGGCTTTGAAGACACTCAAACTCAGGATGAAAGGGAGAAATGTTCTCAGAGGAAGGCACGTTTGGCAAACCCTCACCGTGATCAACTCCCGCCTGGAAACCTATAGTCCCCACTGTGGAAGGACATATGGATCCAGAATTGGCCTCCACAGTCACTTACGGACTCAATGTTAAGACTGTGTTTATGGAAGACAATTTTACTCTGCTACGAGGGATCGCCAAAGAAGAAGGTAGCACAGTGCTCCATTTGCCCTGATGAACCAGCCTTCACTGCACCATATGATACCAGACAGGTAGCGTTGCCCACCTGTTAAAACTGCCCTGCAGTGTGCGGTCCAATTCTGGACCAAGCTCTCAGGCCAAAAAAGCTGCCCCACTCCTGTTCTAGCGAACATGCACATTGAGTGAGCATCATTTAGCAGCAAAATGGTAGACGTGTTGCTCTGCTGTCATGGTGCTTGCCCAGGTGAGAGGGAGGAGTCACCAATTTGCTGGCTCTCATTGGCTTGCCTGCTCAGGTGTCACAGAAGCTGAGGCAGAGCAGCCCAGTTCCTAGTGGAACGAGAAAGAGCTCTTGAAATGTGCAACTTTCTGTGGAATTAAAAACAGGCTACCAAACTATGGCCTCAGCGCAGAGATGTTTTTACTTGCGGTTACTTACACTCCACTTGTACGGGTCCCAAGCGGTGAACCAGCCCGTGAAGTTGACGGGTTCGTGACCTTGTTTCACCACAATAATCGGTGTCCCCAAGTCTCTTCCCGCTGGGTGGGTCTTCAGGTACTCTTTGGCTGAGGTCATGGACTCCTTCTTCTCATAGTCGTTGGAGGCTTTGCCAACCCAAAGGAAAATCTACAGGCGGAAAACGGGAGATGGAAAAGAAAGAGGAAGAGTTATTTATTCCCCCTAGAAAAAGGCTGGGGAAACTCTGCCCCAATTTGGCTCACTTCCCCCTAACCAGGCCCACTTGCCACACACCTGACGTCGTATGTGATGCCAGATAGAGAATTAGCTGCAGGGAAATGATATATAATGAATTGAAAGAAATAATGTTTAAAAGTAACTTTCCAGAGCCCTTTATGTTGGGGATAATTCAGAGGGAAATTCCCAGGTGTTAAAAAAGGTTATTTATGTATGCTACCATAAAGAAGGCTGACCGCCGAAGAATTGATGCTTTTGAATTATGTTGTTGGCGGAGACTCTTGAGAGTCCCATGGACTGCAAGAAGATCAAACTTATCCATTCTGAAGGAAATCAGCCCTGAGTGCTCATTGGAATGGCAGATCCTGAAGCTGAGGCTCCAATACTTTGGCCACCTCAGGAGAAGAGAAGACTCCCTGGAAAAGACCCTGATGTTGGGAAAGATGGAGGGCACAAGGAGAAGGGGACGACAGAGGACGAGATGGTGGGACAGTGTTCTCAAAGCTACCAGCATGAGTTTGACCAAACTGCGGGAGGCAGTGGAAGACAGGAGTGCCTGGCGTGCTCTGGTCCATGGGGTCACAAAGAGTCGGACACGACTAAATGACTAAACAACAACAACAACATGTATGCTACTACTGCGGCCCGTGTTTTGTTAGCCCCAAAATGGAAAATGAGCAAGGTCCCATCTAAAGAAGAATTGCAACTTAAGCTGGTGGAATATGCGTAGCTTGCAGATTTAATTTACAGAATAAGAGAGCAAGAAGAATGTATGTTCAAAGAAGACTGGAAAATGTTTACTGAATATATGGGTGAAAATTGTATTTATTTAAAAACGCTGGTAGCGTTAAGATAAATTCAACAGTGTAAATGAGTTTTGATGGATGTAACAATGGATTACCGAATGGTTTAGTTCATGTAAAATATACAGGGATGTATGGTATGCAAAATGAACTACGGAAAATGAAGAAGGGAAGTCATTGATTTAAGGTTGTTTAAATGAATATTTTGAAATGTAAATTAGAAAATTTAATAAACTTGGGTTACGTGTGTACCTTGTTTAGGAATTAAGGTAATATAGGCCTCCCTCCACGACTCCGGGATTTTTATTTTGAGTTGAAATCTTTTGTAATGACAATACAAGGAACTGATTTACATTTAATGAGGGGAAATATAAAAATAAGAGAGAAGGTAAAAAAGTGGCTATAGAAATGCTAAGAATAAAGTAAATACGTATGGAAGTCAGAAAGAGGGGTGGGAGGAGGTGGATGCGCGGATAGAGCGATGTTTGAGCCTATTGATTTATGTATGTATATTGTGATTACAAAAAATTGAAAATGTAATAAAAATTATTTTTTTAAAAAAATAGAAAATTTAATAAAAATGTAATATAAAAAAGAGAATTAGCTGCAGGACCAAGTTCCTCATGGAACAACCGACACCTGCAGAAAGCAGGCTTGAAGTCACCACCACCAGCTGATGGGTGGAGACTTCAAGCCTGCTGAATAACGGTGCTTCCAATCACCCCACAGGGCTCATTGCAAGCCCTGTGAGATACCTTGAAGTTCCAGCAATCATTGCATGACGACATTGTGACACCAAGTGATGGACAGGTGGGTGCAAAGAGGGTAGGGAAGATAAGGATCTGGCCCCACCAGCCAGATGAGGTTCCCTATCTCTGTTCTAGACAAGATCATTCAATGAGCGACGGGTATTTATTACTGAGAAGAACACCCTGTTCATTCTGGAGGGAGCTTTTGCATCCACGCCCAAGGCATGCATGCAAACCTGCCTCAGTGGCAGCAGAACGCTTGGAAAACTCCTCTGCGGAAGCAATAGCTCATCTCCACTGACCTCCTCCCAGGTGTCCAGCAGCATGATGTCATCCTCGTCCAAGTCATCCTGGCAAAAATCCACAATCTCCGTCATGATGAACCGGCCCGTCTGATTGGAGCACTCGAACAAGCGGGGCTGGTACTGGGAAAACTGCTCTTGGAACCTGGATGATGCAATATTGGGGAGGGAGAGACTCTGCATGAGATGAAGCCGAGTCCCTTTCTAACATCCGACGCCGATTCTAACCACTAGAGGTCAGGCTCCTAACTCCTAATTGGGAAGAAAGTGAGCTGTGGGCCTTTTAAACCGCTACCAATCAGGATGCCAACCTCCTAACGGTGGACGTAGATTTGTATGTTTTAAGGTTAATGTTGTTCAGCGATCCAAAGTGAGCGTTTGTCCCATGAGGGTTTTTTTAAATACAGTGGTACCTCGGGTTAAGTACTTAATTTGTTCCGGAGGTCCGTTCTTAACCTGAAACTGTTCTTAACCTGAAGCACCACTTTAGGTAATGGGGCCTCCTGCTGCTGCCGCACCGCCAGAGCACGATTTCTGTTCTCATCCTGAAGCAAAGTTCTTAACCCGAGGTAATATTTCTGGGTTAGCGGAGTCTGTGACCTGAAGCGTATGTAACCTGAAGCGTATGTAACCCGAGGTACCACTGTAAAATAAAATAAAATAAAAATAAGAGGTGACAAAGTTGGTGTGGGTGGGTGTGTCCCGCCACCAAATTATCTATGCCCTTGACACATCGACTTAGATATCGGAATGAGAGCTTTCAAATGACTTCCTTGCGTTTCCTTCTGCAAAGGCGTCAGGGCTTGGTGGGAAAAGAACAGCTGTACCTCGGAAGTCGAACGCCTTGTGAATTGAACGTTTTGGCTCCCAAATCCCGCAAACCTGGAAGTGAGTGTTCCGGTTTGCAAACGTTCTTTGGAACCCGAACATCTGATGCGGGTTCCGAGGCTTCCGATTGGCTGCAGGATCTTCCTACAACCAATCAGAAGCCGCGCCTTGGTTTTTGAATGTTTTGGAAGTCGAACGGACTTCCGGAACGGATTCCGTTCGACTTCTGAGGTACGACTGCATATTACTCTGGATACCCAGCGTTATGTGCTGTGAAAACACACACCGAAACACACATACGCTCTTATTGTATATGTATTTTTATCTCCTGCCTTGCCACTGGCAAGCTGTGTTAACCTCAAGTCTGTGGGTGGGCATTTGCGGCTACAGAAACCTGCCTTATGCTGAGTCAGACCCTTCAACCATCTTGCTTGGTGTTGTCTACACTGACTGGCAGAGGCTTTCCAGGGTTTAAGGCAGCGAGTCTCTCCCACTCCTACCTAGAGATGTCGGGAATTGAACCTCGGACCTGATGTTCTTTTCAGGTTTATTCACACCCATTCTCTGAAGAGACTACAGAACCAGGCATCTCTTACCTCTTATCGCTGGCGTAGGGGGCTTTGCCTCCAAGCGCGACCCAGAACTCCGCTGGTTCCTGGCCCTCTAGCACGGTCTGCTTGTCTCTCTTGGAGATAATGTCGGCCACGTTCTTGGCCATCTCTCTCTCGTCCCCACTGCACCCCTGGAGAGGCAGCACAAAACCAGAGCAAATGAGGAGTCGGCACAAAACGCCAGGGGGAGGGTGGGACACTTGTGGAACTGGGACCCACAGGGTCTGTGGCCCTGCTCCACACAACTGGGGGTTCTGCACTCAGTCAGTGTCAGGGAGCGTCCTGAGGAAGTCTGCACTGAGGAGGAATCATGGATCTTCCCAGGAGCAGGAAGACAGCATAGATTTGGAGCAGTGGTTTGCAGAGGGGCATAGTTCAGAAGGCAGAAGCTGGGAAATACTGGATGGGGAACAGCTAGAAGAAGAAACACTGGGGGAGAGAGGGTTAACGGATTCACAGTCGTTGGACAGCATTCCTCCACTGCCCTCCCCAAGGTTGAGAAGCGCTCAGAAAGTCTCAGAACAGAAAGCACAGAGGCTACAAGCTCAGATTACAAGGCATAGGATTGATGTAGATTAAAAGGGACGGGAGGCGAGGTAGCCTTAATTGGGAGCACTGCCATTTCTAGGGTGACGTGTTCTTTTGTCTCTCACTGTGATTAGTAAAGAATCTACTGTAACTGGTAAGACGTTCCTTTCGTTTGATCTTCTTATTTACTGCCATGGGGGAGGAAGCCAATTCCCCGAAGCCTGACAGTCAGTGTGCCTCTGTATACAGTCATACCTCGGGTTACAGACGCTTCAGGTTGCGTTTTTTCGGGTTACGGACGGCTGAAACCCGGAAGTACTGGAACAGGTTACTTCTGGGTTTCGGCAGTCACGCATGTGCAGAAGCGCTGAATCGCAACCTGCGTGTGTGCAGATGCACTGCTGCGGGTTGCGAATGCTGCAGGTCGTGAAAGTGCATCCCGCATGGATCACGTTCACAACCCGAGCGTCCACTGTACTGGGAAATGTAGGTCTGAGCAATTAAAGTGGATTAAAGGACTCTATCACTCTAGTGTAGTGGTTCTCAAAAGGTGGAGCAGGAGAGAATGGCGGAAAGGTTCAAGGACAATAACAGAAACATTCAAACATTTCAGTATAGTATCAACATATTTTTTAATTTGCAGAATACGTAGCTGCATTGCTTTACCCATGATCATAATATAAAGTAGTTATGTTCTATGTTACAAATCAGGCACTGCTGGAAGTTGTTTCTTTTTGTTTTCCAGCGTATTTCTTATTGATAGAAAAATTCACTGTGGCACGAGCAAATTTTTATTCTGAAAGCGTGGCCCAGAGAAAAAACAAGTTTGAGAACCACTGCCCTAGTACAAGAAATCTAGCGTATTTTTTGCTCTATAAGACTCACTTTTTCCCTCCTAAAAAGTAAGGGGGAATGTGTGTGCGTCTTATGGAGTGAATGCAGGCTGCACAGCTATCACAAAAGCCAGAACAGCAAGAGGGATTGCTGTTTTCACTGTGCAGGGATCCCTCTTGCTGTTCTGGCTTCTGAGATTCAGAATATTTTTTTTCTTGTTTTCCTCCTCCAAAAACTAGGTGCGTCTTGTGGTCTGGTGTGTCTTATAGAGCAAAAAATACGGTACTTCAAAAAAAAAGGAAACTGATCCTTTTGCGGTTAGGAAAGTGATGGGAAAATGCATCAGAAAAGGGTGGGATGAATGAATGCATAAACATCCTGCGAGTGCCCATTGTCTGAATAATCTCCCTGCAAACAAATCGGAACAAATTCTCAAGGAAGACCAAATACAACCTAGTCTTCACATAAGCACTGCGCAAGGAAGGCTCAGTAAAGAGGTCATCTGGAGCAGCGTTCTTCAACCTTGGGCCACCAGACTTCGTTGGACCACAACTTCCATCATCCCTGGATGCTGGCCAAGCTTGCTGGGAATGGTGGGAGTTTTAGGGGATGGGGACACAAGATTGGCGTACGCTGGAGCATACGCCCTAAAATTCACCTACCTTTCCACACCACAGGTAGCACATTTGGTTGGTCCTGAGAAGGAAGACATCGTTGGAGTTGAGCGAGGAGGCTCGTGCTGGGACCTCGACGGTCTTGGTGTTGAATTCATCTGTCCCCCTCACTTGGAAGAGCCGGACGGCGGGCTCCGGCTCGCTCTTCTGGGCACGACTTGTGCCTCCCTGGAAGAAACAAAGAAATCCGTGAAGCAGAAATCCATTTGGTTGGCATCTCAATGCAAACTCTTCTAAACTTGCACTTCCTCAAGCAATGTGCAAAAATTCACGTGTCTCCCATTTCTGGTGATGCAGTCTTCCAGCCAAGAGGGGTATACAAGAAAGTGTGTACACCAGGGGAAAGTGCATACAAAAAATACAGATATCAGGAAAAATAGGTGTACAAAAATGGATTGTATCAGGAAAAGTTCCTTGCGGCAACGTGCACATTGGGCAAGGTTTTGCACGTTAAGAGAAATTAACATGAACTTTTGGTGAAATTTTCACAATGCACTGTAAAAAGAGTATCATAATCTGATGTAGAAATGGGGGGAAACAGAAGACTGGAAAAATGAGATATGGAAATGGACAGATCTGCCCAATTCCTTGTTGAGCCACTGCTTTTCCGCAATGATCTGGAAGAGGAACACATAACACATGGAAATATTGAATTGGATCATCTAAAGCAGCGGTTCTCAACCTGTGGGTCCCCAGATGTTGTTGGACTACAACTCCCATCATCCCTGAGCTCTGGCCTTGCTAGCTAGGGAGTTGCAGTTCAACAACATCTGGGGACCCACAGGTTGAGAAAGGCTGGCCTGAAGTGTGTTAAAGACAGGCAACTTTAAATAGATTATGGCCTCCTGGAAAGGACCAAGCAAATGAGAAAGGAGAGAGTTCTACGACTGTGGAGCCACCCCCAGGAAGGCCCTGTTGGGTGGGGAAATAGTATTATAGCCACTTTTGTTTTAAAGATGTGGAGTTTTGCTCTCCTTAGAGAGAGAGGAAGGGGGGAATGGAGGGAGGCTGAGAAATAAGAGACTCTGAGGTCCCTTGGTGGGTGTGGGCTTTGGACCGGGAGAGCCTACCTCATAGATGATCAGTTTCCCCTTGAAGATGGAGAGGAAGTGTCTCGGCTCCTTCCCCATCGTCACTCGAACCTGCACCGGCTCATCCCCGTATTTTTTGTCCAGCTCCACAGCGTTGAAGGCGCAGGCAGTGATTTCATCCGCCGAGGCATGGCGGCCCTGAAGAGGAACAAGGGGGACACCCTCAGATATGCAGTGTTGTTCAGACCCGAGGAGGAGTCACCCAAAATGGCTGGCAAAACCGGAGAAGGTGAAGGGAGGGAGGGCTGTTTCGTGAGCTTTGTAAAGCTTGGAGAATATAACTTAGAGCATGCTTCCTCAACCTCGGCCCTCCAGATCAGGCTTCCTCAACCTCGGCCCTCCAGATGTTTTTGGCCTACAACTCCCATGATCCCTAGCTAGCAGGACCAGTGGTCAGGGATGATGGGAATTATAGTCTCAAAAACATCTGGAGGGCCGAGGTTGAGGAAGCCTGACTTAGAGGGAACTAGATGACAAGCTTTAGGGTGGTGGCCTGCTTAGGCATGGCCCCCAATGAAGGAATGTGTCACCCGCCCCTCTAAAATAAGAAGAGAGGTAACCAATTTGCACAGTGAAATTTATGTCAATAGGTGCAAATGTAGAAACAATTACTATAATAAAATGGGGCGGGGGGGGGAGAGACATCTCACCCTAGTGAGGAAAACTGTCCCCATTTCAGTTCTCAACAGATTTCTCCAACACCCTTAATTCTCACCCCAGAGGGAAGAAAACTGCCCAGCACCGCAAGAGGACTCACTCCGGGAAGTGTGGGGTGTCTAATAGTTGGTTTAGCTTGGGCTAGACTTGGTCCTTGAAGAGCTGGATGATATAAGGCCGTTTTTGTATCATAGGGTGCATCCGGATAATTTGGGTGGGTCTTAAGAAAGCATTTGCTGCAAAGTTGTGGCATACAGTTAGAACAATTTCACAGTTCATCCCTTGGTTTAACTGCATTAAAGAAAATGGATTCTGGCTTTTATTTACTTGGTTTTACGTGAACTCAACTGAATAATTTTGCAAGTGCTAGTGCAAAGATTAGTACAAGTGCAACAGGACTTTCTCTCCTTGCCTGTGCCCACTGCAACATCCCCAAGTCTGCTCTGGAGGGTTGAGGGACCCCCAGAACAGATTTAGGGGGCTGGGGGAGAAGGGGAGAGCATTCTGTTATGCAAGGAGAAATATTTGGACTAACGGAACAATTTGCTTAGTGCTATGTTAAATGCAACTCGTTGTGAGCACAATTCAAAATGTTGGTGCTGACTTGTAAAGCCCTAAATGGCCTCGGCCCAGTATACCTGAAGGAGCGTCTCCACCCCCATCATTCAGCATGGACACTGAGATCCAGCTCCGAGGGCCTTCTGGCGGTTCCCTCCCTGCGAGGAGCGAAATTACAGGGAACCAGGCAGAGGGCCTTCTCGGTGGTGGCGCCCACCCTGTGGAGCGCCCTCCCATCAGATGTCAAGGAAATAAACTACTATCTGACTTTTACAAGACATCTGAAGGCAGCCCTGTTTAGGGAAGTTTTTAATATTTGATATTTTGTCACATTATGATGATGATGTTGGGAGCCGCCCAGAGTGGCTGGGGAAACCCAGCCAGATGGGCAGGGCAATAATAATAATAATAATAATAATAATAATAATAATAATAATAATTTGATTGAACCTGACAGTTTAACAGTATGAAAAATTGAGGAATTCCTGCTCTCTCTGTATGCTACACTCTGGAGCCAAACAGCCTCTAGCAGTCTGCACTCTCCACTTTAAGCTGTAGGTCGATTTTCAAAGTCACTAAGAAAACAGGAGGGTTAAGATGTAAAAACACCAGCGTTCCACCAGGCCCGATTCACCTTCTCAGAGGACACGGCCAAATAATGAAACCACACCTCTTGATCTCAGCCATTACTTACAAGCCACATGTAGATGATGTAATGAGGCCTGCCTAATTTTGTGTAGGTGTACAAGATGAGGTAACAATCCCCGCCATAGAACTGCCCGTAGGTCCTGGGGGCAACCGGGGCCATTTCTAGATCCTCAATCCTCCACACCTATAGAGAGAAGCACAGAGTTAGGAATTCAGGGTTGTGGGGATGAGGTGGTGTGCACAGTTTAGAAAACGCTGGGCTGGCTAATTTAAAGCAACATTTGTTCTCAGAAATGTGCCTATTTGTTTCTTATTTAAAGCATCTGAACCCTGCTCTTCGGCTTGAAAACATCCCTCAGCACAATACAATTCGGTAGAAATTACACCGACTCTGCCCCTGGGGCTTACAATCGGAAAAAAGAAATGGCACAAAAGGAAAAAAGGGTGGGGAGGGAAGAGGAAAACAAGTGAACTCGGCCATCCAAGTCTCAATGTTGCGAGGTTCTGCTTACAGTTGACAAAGTAGGCCTAGGTGGCTCTGAGAACGCAGGTGGACTTTACAAAGTGGGCCATTGGCTTTCTGAGGCCTAACAGGAATATCATAGAACTGTAGAGCTGGAAAACACCATGAGGGTCATCTCATGCACCCCTGCAATGCAGGAATCTTTTGCCCAGTGTGGGGCTTGAACCCACAACCCTGAGATCACAAGCCTCATGCTCTACCAACTGAGCTATCCCAGCCATATGCCAGCTTCATCACGGGGGCCCAGCTGATACCTCGCCCTCGCCCCCCCAGCAGATGGCCACACTTCACCTTGTCCCAGAGCACGTAGAACTGATGACCTCTTGGCCCAGCTGGTGAAAACAGCAGTGAGTAGAAATGGCTGTCCTTTCCTGCCTATTGCTTCTTCTCATGCCCAAGGAAAACTATCTGGTCAAACAGGTGCAGGATTTTGTCTCTGTGTTGGGCATCGTTACAGTCGTGGTGGTTTTTCTTTGTTGTCGTTGGAAGAACTGGATGAAATTTGCAGGCAGGCTATTAACCCAGCCAGGCGCCCGCAGAGGTTGCAGCACCCCAGTAACAGACCGATGGACAAATATCCTCTGGACCTGGCCCTCCTCCTTCCTGACTATTTGTGCTGGGCCCGGGGGTAACCAGTGAAACGTGGTCCAGGACCCGTCCAGAATCCGAAGGTTCTGCTAGGAGTCAGTCCGACAGGGCCATGGCAGGAAACCAGGCAAGGACAGGTACAGGATCTCAGGCAGGATCTAGCATACAGCAATATTGCTCCCGCAACCTGGGGCAAGGTCCGACAGCCTTTTATCTTTGTTGGGGTAACGGCCGGTCCTGATCCCCCGGTGACTCACCTCCCTGTCTCGCCCGAAGGTGAGCACTCCTCCTGCGAGTACTCAGGTCTTTCCTTCTCTCAGACCTGAGTCTCTGCAGCTCGGGAGACGTCGGTGGGTTACTAGACCCAGGGGCCGCCTCAGCCTCCCCTGACTCAACCAGTAGTGGAACAGCTGTAAGTGATGGCCCAGCTGGAGGCAACGAGGTCATCCCCGCATCTGGAGCCAGGGCAGGCTCAGGCCCCTGACTCGGCCCAGCTGGTGTTTGTTGCAGGGGAACCTGTGCAGACTGGGGCTCTTCAGGATCAGGCCCCAGACTTGGTTCAGGTGATGCCTGAGTCAAAGGATCTGGTGCGGACTGAGACTCCTCTAGTTACGAGTCCCGAGTCCCAGGCCATCACACTATCGCAACTTGCTTGCATGTCCTGTCTCCCTGGCACTGGCCCAGACAATGGTGGGAAGAGATGGCTGGGTGGCCTTGGGCCAGTCACCATCTCTTTGCCTATCCTACCCCACAAGGTTGTTGTGAGGATGGAATGGGGAAGAGGGGAACCATGGACACCACTCTGAGATCCTCGGAAGATAAAGGTGGTATATAAATGCAATGGATGAATAAATAAAAAATATGAGATAAATGGCGGCTGGTGATAAATGGCAATGATGTCTTGCCCAATATCCTCCAAAATCTGGAGCTGGCACCAAGGTAGGGCGGAGAAGAACTCACCTCTACGTTTCCAGAGGCATCATCGGCCATCCGCTGTTCAGCAGCCAACTCCGGTCTCGCGTGCAACTGCGTGACGTCAAATTTGACTTGATCCACTTTGGCTGCGTATAGAACACAGAGAGATGTTATCTCACCTGACTGAACCGCATTCACTGCAAGCAATATATGTCATAAGGACTGGGACATGCCTATTTATAGGATGTGTGTAGCCTCTCTCACATACAGCAGATGAGCTCTCCCTTCATCCCTGACCACTGGTCCTGCTAGCTAGGGATCATGGGAGTTGTAAGCCTCCGAGACTGAGGAAGCCTGATCTAGTCCAACCCCCTTCAGTGCCGGAATATGCTGTTGTCCCATATTGGGCTCAATCCTGCAACCTTGGCCTTATCGGCACCATGCTGTAAGCAACTGAGCGACCCAGACCTAATTATCACTGTCCTCCCCCCGCTCCCCCCAAAAGGCTGGAGCAATTAGCATTTTTTTAAATATAAAAACCCCGGCTCATTAAGTGCAAAAATGCATTTAACATCATGTCAACCTTTGCCGGAAGGAAAGAGATTTGGGTGTTTCTGTCTCACCAATTTTGCCAACGTTGTAGGTCTTGCCAAGTCCCTGAGTCTCGTCTTTTTCCGACCACTTCTGGAAGAGTTGCTTAAACATCGCCGACTCCGCCCCGTCGTTCATGACTTCTACGTTCGTGGTGGCGGGATACCCTTTGGCTTGGATGAAACCCTAAAAGGACCCCGAGGATGTGTGAGCAAATCACCAAAGGGAAATAATTTTGCAAATCTATAACTTAGTCACCTGCGGAGTGCAGAGATGGTCAAGAAAACATTCATATCCTATAGTGCTGTTACTGCAAAGCAGATGCATATGTTTGGTACTGGGTGAAGAATTTATATTATTAGTGGAATATTAGCATTCTGCCTTGTTGTTCTTGTTTTAAAAAGAGTGCTTCTATTCTACTCCTCAAGGCTGCTAAGGGCAGCTAAGGGCATGTGCATTCCCCAGAGGAGGGAAGGGGAAATGGAGGCTGGAACAAGGACTTGGGGTGGAGCTTTCAGGTCCTATAGAACTTTTTGCCCTTTGCCCGGACTCTCAAAAACAAGACAAGTGATGCAGCTATTATTTAGCATATGCACATTGACTTTTAATTTGCCAAAGCCACTTCCGCCCTGCAGAGGAGGTGGGATTGCGGGTGTCACGGCCCCACAATGTGCGCAGGGCTGGAGCCCAGCCCCTGCACGATTGGATGAATCCCTGGCCGTGTCACCCCCCCAGCCAGCCAATCGGCTGGCTCTGGGGGCATGGCCTGCTCTATTTAACGCAGGTGCGGCTGGGGATCTCCCTCTTTTCCCGCAAACCAGCTGTTCCTGTTTCCCACCCTCCCACCCTTTAAGGCTTTCGTTCCTTGACCTTGCTATGGACCTCGGTTGGTCGCCATTAAGGGGCCTGGTAGGAATTTTTCCACTTGGCAAATTGGCACCAGCCACTTCATTTTCACCTACCTCGTAGCAAATCGTCACAACTTCCTGGGTATTGGCGGTTAGGCATTGGTATTGGTATTGTTTTGTAGATGGAAGAGGGGAGGAAGCGCCATCACCTGCCCCACATATTGAAGGGTAGTCCGATAAGGATTCCGGGGGGCGTGGCCCTGTCCGAAGCCTATGGAGGTGAGGGCCTAAGGCACGCCCCCTTGCGGTGGCCCCCGGGGAGTTCCTAGTTGATGTGCATCAGCAGGACTCCCCCTACTGGTGGTTAACCCTTCCTGCACTTCAAGCAGATGGGCTGAAGCCAGATATAGTCTGTTATGACCAATGCCTAAGCCAATACCGCTCATCACCTGTAACCAATAAAGTTGTGGCCTTAATTAGCCCATTAACCTTAATAATTGTGTCATGTGACTTTATTTCCACTGGGGGGGGGCGGGAACTCGCCACGCAAACATGTGCCAGGTTCAAAACTTCACTCTGTGTTTCTCTCTTTAGGGCATGACACTAATTATAATGCCCATTGTTAATAATTTCCTAATTATATTTACATTTCTTGCAAGAACCCTCCAAGGTGGATTCAGGTATTGGCCTCGTGAGCAGAGACCTGAACCCAGCTCTCCCTGATTCAGATTTGGCACTCTGTCCATGCCAAGACACCTCCGTTAGCTGTTTCCGCCTGCTTTGTGTCCGAATGTCCCTGTCGTGATCTGACTGAGTTTCCCACCCACCCCCTTTTTAAGGGGAATAAAAAAACCCACATATTTTTTTTTGCACCGCTATTTGAACGCCCAACTCACCACTGCTCGGCTGAACGCTGCCTTCTTCTCTTCTTTGCTGGAGTCTTTTCCACGCCAGACGTAAATTTTAAAACCTCCCTGGTCCAAAATGTGACAGTCCTGTTAAAATAAAGGGGGTATGTGACAAGAACCTTCACTGGATTTGAACCCAGGACTTTGTAGACCAGGGCACATATCTGCTAAACTGATGGATACTCTCACAGGGGGACCAAAAGAGAGAGGATGTCACAACAACCATTATGCACAGACTATTTGGTACCTTACCTCATGCTGCAAGAGGTCTTGAGTCAGGGGACGGGTAGCAATTTCTTGAACTACTAAATCCTTCCCGTTTTCATAGACGCTGCAGGAGGAAATGGACAGTAGGAATAATAATAATAATATAATAATAATTTATTATTTATACCTCGCCCATCTGGCTGGGTCTCCCCTGCCACTCTGGGCGGCTTCCAACAAAGTATTAAAATACAGTGGTCGGGTAAACATTAAAAGCTTCCCTAAACAGGGCTGCCTTCAGATGTCTTCTAAAAGTCTGATGGTTGTTCTTCTCTTTGACATCTGGTGGGAGGGCGTTCCACAGGGCGGGTGCCACCACCGAGAAGGCCCTCTGCCTGGTTCCCTGTAACTTGGCTTCTCGCAGGTAGGGAACTGCCAGAAGACCCTTGGAGCTGGACCTCAGTTTCCGGGCAGAACGATGGGGGTGGAATTGCTCCTTCAGGTATACTGGACTGAGGAATCCTTAAGGACTTGTCCAAGGTTTGAGCCTGAGAGCCGGGAGACAGTCCTTGCCCTCAGCCCTAAAGGCCTAAATGCCACCCATTCCTTGGGGAGTTATCCAGTTATCCTCAGGCTAATGCGGCCCCCCAACACTCCCCATCTGGCCCCTGTGACTCTCTACAGGCCAGCCCCACCCCACCCGTGCTTTGCACCCCTTGGAACAGTTTTTGTCTGGCTGGAACGCCATCCTTGAAACTCTCACCCTCAGACCTAAGAGCCAAACTACACTTTATATTAATCATACAGCTCGCCCCTGGTGCGAAATTTTCCCTTCCCCATCTGCCAACATTTCTCCAAGCTTGGTTCTGATGTCAGAAATCAGGAAAGGACTGAATGGAGGCCCCCTATACAGGGGTATGGGCTTTCAGTTATGCCAGGTGAAGCCAGCCCTTGATTCCTTCCATTGGACTTGCCAAGCCCAATTTGACTTCCTATGACCAGTCCCATATCTCCTCACCACAAGGGAGAAACCAGCATGGTCCCACTCATTGGCCAGTGAAAGAGCAGCAGCTTCAACATCTGCTTTCCTCTTCCCTCCCCGCAGCTTTTTCCTTTTGTGTTGCGCCCTGTTAGATCGCAAGCTTATATTTGAACACAGCATGTACAAATTTAAGGCACTTTACCAGCGACTAACGTGACTGTAATCTTTAGCTGGTATTTACAGTGATATAAAGGAGGTCCTCGAGACATCTACATCACTTTTCCCATCACGGAATTTGGGGGGTTCAAATTCAACGGGAGTTGCATTTTAAATTTCCCAAGCCTGAAGAAAACAGGCCAATTTTGGGCACCTGCCTTTTTTTGGAGAGAGAGAGAGAGGGAGGGAGAAAGAAACTGAGAAATAACTCCCCAAGACTTACTGGTAAAGGCGGACATTGGCTTTCTGAAGTTCATCAGCTTTCTCGTCAGGCAATGCTTCCCGCAGTTCCCCGTGCCTCTCCCCCAGCACCGCTTTCATGATCTGCATGAGGTCTGGGCAGTCCTTCTCATTGTCGACAACGCCAATCTGAGCACGGCCCCCTCTCTCGCCGTCCCGGATACTGCGCGCCAAGACCATGCCCTAGAAGATGGGGAAGATTACGGAGGCATCAATATGCATAATGCTGAATCAGACCATTGGTCAATCTAACATTGTATTGTCTCCTCCAGCCTCCCCTAGAAGTTGGGAGTCCGGATGTTTTGGACTACAAATCCCATCAGCCCCAGATAGCACAGACTGATGGGAATTGTAGTCCAAAGCCTGATGGGAATTGTAGTCACCCCCTGGGATGCAGGAATCTTTTGTCCAACGTGGGGCTCCGACCCACGGCCCTGAGATTAAAAGTCTCATGTTCTACCAACGGACCTATGCATTGCCATTTCTCGAAAACCGCGCCAGAATTAATGCCACTCTGATTTTCAGCACTCACCCTCGATTTCTCTGCAACGTTGCACGAGGGACCGTTCCACTGAATCAAGACTTTGCCGAGGTCCAACAGGAAGACGTCGCCTTTGTTGAAGCTGTTCCAGGAGAGATCTACCTGTCAGGAGGAAAAAGAACAGGGATTTTTTAAAACAAGAAGCCACAAGAAAGAACGCAGGGTGGTGCGATTAGGGGTGTCAGAAGGCATCGGTTTCCTGTATCTGTTGCAGGCAGTGCCCTTTCCGTTCTGCTGCAATTTGACTTCTGACAAAGCATTTGTCTCATTGTATTCTATGGCAAATTGGGATGCGGGTGGCACTGTGGGTTAAACCACAGAGCCTAGGACTTGCCAATCAGAAGGTCGGCGGTTTGAATCCCCGCGACGGTGTGAGCTCCCGTTGCTCGGTCCCTGCTCCTGCCAACCTAGCAGTTCGAAAGCATGTCAAAGTGCAAGTAGATAAATAGGGTACCGCTCTGGTGGGAAGGTAAACGGCATTTCCGTGCGCTGCTCTGGTTCTCCAGAAGCGGCTTAGTCATGCTGGCCACATGACCTGGAAGCTGTACGCCGGCTCCCTCGGCCAATAAAGCGAGATGAGCACCGCAACCCCAGAGTCGGCCACGACTGGACCTAACGGTCAGAGGTCCCTTTACCGTTGCCTTATTCTATGGCAAATTTCTACGCAGCTACTTTCTTTGCACCAAAATGAATGGTGTGGGATAATGTAAAGAATTCTGCACCTTTCATTTTAACGAGGAGGAAGCGTTAAATTCCCCCTCCCTTCCGCCCCCAATCACATATGACTTGCAGAGTGAAAACAACAGCAGCAGCAAATACCAATCACATTCACTGGATTGATTTCTGTTTTGGAAGTGGATGGATAAGCGAACATTGGCAATTTCTGCCACCAACCAAATGGCAACCAACCCCAGGCACTTGCTCAGTTCCTTACCTCTGTAGCCGAGACGTGTTTCCTCCCCTTGACGTGAAGGAGGCGTTTGATATTGTACATGTTGGTCTCCACATGCTTGAACCCGGAAGCAACTCCTCCCTTCTTATAGCTGTTGGGGATAAGGAGGTTTTAATAATTGGGGGGTGGGTGGGGGCATGTGTACCCGTGGGGTAGGGAGCAAATGGGCAGTTGAGAACCATGATATCCAGCTCCCCGGTTTCCAGAGTAAGTTCCTAGCACTTGTAAAAACTGAGATGGAAGGTAAAATATATAGGGCACTATTATTCACTTTTTTTGCAGGTGTGAAACTAACCTGCTCCTTATGCCAGTCTTTTACTTTTACTTTGACCCTCCCAGGAAAAATTCCTGCAGGTGCCCATAGGCCTTAAGAGAACAGTAGCTTCTTCTTCATAATAATAATAATAATAATAATAATAATAATAATAATAATAATTTACACCCCGCCCATCTGGCTGGGTTTCCCCAGCCACTCTGGGCAGCTTCCAACAGAATATTAAAATACCATAACCTATTAAACATTAAAAGCTTCCCTAAACAGCGCTGCCTTCAGGTGTCTTCTAAAAGTCTGGTAGTTGTTTTTCTCTTTGACATCTGGTAGGAGGGCGTTCCACAGGGCAGGTGCCACTACCAAGAAGGCCCTCTGCCTAGTTCCCTGTAACTTGGCTTCTCGCAGTGAGGGAACAGCCAGAAGGCTGGACCTCAGTGTCAGGGCAGAATGATGGGGGTGTGGATGCTCCTTCAGGTATACTGGGCCTTTGAGGCCGTTTAGGGCTTTAAAGGTCAACACCAACACTTTGAATTGTGCTCGGAAACGTACTGGGAGCCAGTGTAGGTCTTTCAAGACTGGTGTTATATGGTCTCGGTGGCCACTCCCAGTCACCAGTCTAGCTGCCACATTCTGGGTTAGTTGTAGTTTCCGGGTCACCTTCAAAGGTAACCCCACATAGAGCGCATTGCAGTAGTCCTAGCTAGACACAGGGAACCTGTGGCACTCCAGATGTGGCTGAACTACAACTCCCAGCAGCCCCAGCAAGCATGTCCTACGGCCGGGGGGTGAGGAGTTCAGCAACATGTGGAGGGCCAAAGCTTCCCCAAACCTGCTGTGGGAGAACAGCAGGCTGAAGCTGTGGACAGGAAGAGGTGAGCCTCGGTTCTATACTGTCTGCTGTTGTTAGAATCTTGCCTTTAAAAAATAAAAATAAAAGTTACTAGTCCTTATTGTTGCTCGTATGACTTTTGAATATGGGAATACAGTGGTACCTCGGGTTACATACGCTTCAGGTTACAGACTCCGCTAACCCAGAAATAGTACCTTGGGTTAAGAACTTTGCTTCAAGATGAGAACAGAAATTGTGCTCCAGCGGCGCAGCAGCAGCAGGAGGCTCCATTAGCTAAAGTGGTCTTCAGGTTAAGAACAGTTTCAGGTTAAGAACGGACCTCCAGAACGAATTAAGTACTTAACCAGAGGTACCACCGTATGGGAATAGTCCAAGAGGTTTAAAAAGGAGGCAGCCAGTTGCCTGATTCTGTTTTTCCCACAGGTGCCCCATTGAAATGGAGTAGGTTCCCCAAGCCTTTCCCCAGTGCTCACATGATGCCGTTCTTGAAATAACTTTTAAAGGCTGCCGACTCGTGTCCCTGCACTTCTCTGTGCTGGACGGGGTTTCCGCCGAGCAGGTCATCCATCTGAGTCACGTAGAAAGCAGCCGCGCCTTGTTCGTCCTGGGAGGAATCGCGCCCAATCCAGTAGTGCAGGTCGGTGGCGAATCCGGAACGTGTCTTCGTGTTCTGCAATGGAAGGGGGCATCAATGGAATTAGAGAGGGCATATTTCCATTTCTTGGGACGCAGATGGCACTGTGGGTTAAACCACAGAGCCTAGGACTTGCCGATCAGAAGGTCGGCGGTTCAAATCCCCACGACGGGATGAGCTCCCGTTGCTCGGTCCTTGCTCCTGCCAAACTAGCAGTTCAAAAGCACGTCAAAGTGCAAGTAGATAAATAGGTACCACTCCGGCGGGAAGGTAAATGGCGTTTCCATGCGCTGCTCTGGTTCGCCAGAAGCGGCTTAGTCATGCTAGCCACATGACCCGGAAGCTGTACACCGGCTCCCTCAGCCAATAAAGCGAGATGAGCGCCGCAACCCCAGAGTCGGTCACGACTGGATCTAATGGTCAGGGGTCCCTTTACCTTTTGTGTCCATTTCAGTTCTCCCAGTTTCTCATTTTCCCAGTTTTAAATTCAGTTTTCCACATTTCTACAGGAATCTGTGATTATTATTTTTTTTTAAAAAAAACACCCAAAACTTCCTGAAAATTCTTGAGCATTTTGGTGCAAATTCCTCCCTAATAAACACATTCTGGTTTGCTGTTCTGTCTGGCGCATGCATTTTTCTGCATGCGCTTTCTCCTAACGCAGCGCATCTCTGTATGTTGTTTTCACGGATATTTTCATCTTTACATACACTTCCCCTTAATATATGCATTTTTGTAAACGCTGGCTGGAAGAACAGCACCGCAAAATTCACGTCGCTGCGAATTTTGAAGGGATCCCGTTGCTTCGGGAGATGAGAATGTGATAGATTCGTCTCTGAAGGGAAACTGAGTTGAACTTCTCTTGCCCTCCCATCCCTAGCTGACACGGAAACAAGTAGAAAGCAAATCTCATTAAAAATAAAATATCGGAGGTGGTTATGAGAGAGGATTTGAGGTGATCAGAGGCCAGAGTTCCTTGTGAAGTGGGACTGAGTGCTAAACCCACTTTGAGAACTGTAGGTTGTTTGGGTCACCTAACAACCCTCAGCAAACTACAGTTCCCAGAACTCTTCAGGGGGGGCACCATAACTGTTTAAAATGCCATCATGCATCAAGAAGATTGGAAGAAATTTAAGGATTATTTGAATAAACATTGTAATATAAATCATTAGAAGTCACTTGAAAGTACCAAATAGGCCTAGGATAAAATTAGGATTTGATTGTAAGTAAGTTGGATTTAGAATAGTAAGAAATGAGAATAAGATAGTTAATTGCTGGAATTAATTTTAGTTAAGAATGTTATTGGAGAGCTTTTACATGCAGATATAATGAAATTCAGAAGGGAGGGATCTGAGGAAGTGAATTAACAATGCAAGAGAAATTGGGTGTTTTTAAGGGACAGGCGTTTAAGATCCCATCTTGTTTTTGTTTTTTGTTTTTGTTCAACATTGTATTGTGCTTTCTTTGTGTGTTTCCTTTTCTTTTCTCTATGTTATATTTGTTACAATCGTGGAAAACTTATTAATTTTATTTTTTTTGAAAATATAAAATAAAATGCCATCATGCTGCTTTCAACGTAAGGTGCGAATGCGGCTACAATGAAACATACGTGATTTGTCAAGTGAAACCCCTCCCCAGCCTGTGTATTAAAGGTGACCCCCCCCGCCATGGGCGAAACCCCCTTGGCAGCACCCTTAAGACGGTCTTGAGAGATAGCGCACTGCCAGGAAGAAGGGGGGGGAGGGAGAGGCGGAAACGCAATACATGCCCCAACATGCGCAGCAACCCATTTTCTGGCACCTTCTCGCTCTCCGACAAAGTAAACATTTGCCAAACACCTCCTCGTAGAGGTTACCATAGCGATTGGTATGGCAAGAGAGCAAATTCATGTCCAGAGGGCAAGAGGGAGGAGGGGAACGCGGACAGTTTGGCTGTGAACACAGAGAATCTGAGAAGTGGAGCCTTGTTTTCTGACTATGGTGTGATCCAGGGAACTATGCAAACATGGCGAAGGTTTCCAGGGGGATCTTTTTTTAAAAAAAATTCTTATCAGCCACCAAAACACAAACAGTGAAACCCTCCAATACATTGGGTATACAATATTCAATAACATACATATTCAATAAAAGCATATTAAAATTAACTTCTATATAGGGACACGGGTGGTGCTGTGGGTTAAACCATAGAGCCTAGGACTTGCCGATCGGAAGGTCGGTGGTTCGAATCCCTGCGACGGGGTGAGCTCCTGTTGCTCAGTCCCTGCTCCTGCCAATCTAGCAGTTCGAAAGCACGTCAAAGTGCAAGTAGATAAATAGGTACCGTTCTGGCGGGAAGGTAAACGGCGTTTCCGTGCGCTGCTCTGGTTCGCCAGAAGCGGCTTAGTCATGCTGGCCACATGACCCGGAAGCTGTTCACTGGCTCTCTTGGCCAATAAAGCGAGATGAGCGCCGCAACCCCAGAGTCGCTTCAAAGCTGAGCACCAGCCAGGGATGGATTTAGGTTTGATGAGGCCCTAAGCTACTGAAGGTAACGGGGTCCTTTATATGTCCAGCTGTCCTTTGTCCACAACAATTTGTGGCTGTTTTTTGTGTTGAACATATGCTATATGGTAATTTATGGACCCAACAGGTATCTAAAGCCATTTGCACATAACAAAATATGTATTTAATGAAAGTACTGCATTGCAGAGGGTTGGACTAGATGACCCTTGGGATCCCTTGCAACTCTAGGGTTCTGTGATTGTATGATTCATTCCCACCCTGTGGCACCATTAGCAGAGCTACTTACGTTTAAGATGATGTAACAGTCCCCTTCAAAAAAGCTCCCGTAGGCCTTCTCAGGAAGAGGCACCATTTTCATTTTCTAAAATAACAACAACAAACAACAGAAGCATAAAAATCCAGTTAAGAAGATACACAGAGATAGGGTGACAACCTTCGCTGTAGGAGATTCAGTTCTACAGCCAAAAGGTGGGGAGATGGCTAAGAAAACGTTAATAAATCCACAAAGAATTTGTATAAAATAATGTGAACACAAGGAAGCCAACATGTTTAAATAACAGTAGCAGTTGTTGTTGTTTTTAGTGATTCATTGTGTTTTAGAATACATCAGTCTCAAGCTTATGTGCAAGGACAGTTCTTTAAACCGTGTTAGTAGTTTAACTTTTGAATGCTTTAAAGTATGGCTGTAAAATTTTATGGATTTTATTGTTTTCTCTTTTTGTAACCTGCTTCAAAGTCCCCCACCTACAATCAAGGGGTGTATAATTTTTGTGAAATAGATAAGCAAACCTTTCTGCAAACCCTACTCTCCCTCCTTGCCAAAGTTTCCGCAAATGGAGGCTCAACATACACAATTGGAAGATCTCACACATCCTTCTCGGCTTAATTAATTGTGAAAAGTTTTCCGCTTCACCTCTAGCCTGAATTGCAAAACTGGACAAACTTGTTCGGCAGAGAAGCAGGAACTAACGATGCACTGACTTCTCCGACTTCAGCCTAGGTCACGAAAGGGTGGAGACAGGTGTGCTTGTACATTTGGGCCTGTAAAATGGCAAGCCCAGATTCTTCCCTTTTTTAAAGCATTCTGGATTGATCTGGCAAGACTTTGGTATAGTGGGCCAAAGTTAACCAAAGACAACTTAAAGTCAACTAGAAATTTAATAAACAAAAGAAACACCACAGCCTTTTAAACATAGGGAGTATTGTTTTTCGTTCTGCATTTTTGACGTTTTACGTTGTAAACCGCCCTGTGATTCTCAGACGAAGGGCAGTATAGAAATGTAATAAAACAAAAAGCAAATAAAAATCCCATAGCAAACGATTCCAGAATCAGAACAACGAGTCCTATCTTTATTTCTGGCAGAGTGCAAATGCTTTCAACTGCTGGGTGACAGGCAGAAATCTAAATGGTGAACCTTCGCCCAAAACCTTCCCATTCCAAAGGGTGGCTATCACACCGTCATGAAAGCAAACTTGTAAGCCTGCTCCAGGGGAGCTTTTACAGGTGAGAGTTAATTTCAGTGCAATAATGTACTAAATCTGACCAACCTAGGCCAATGATTGAGGACTAGTAAATTTGCGGACTCACTTGCGAGGCTGGACATTTTTTTAAAAAATCCATTTCAGAGATGGAGGACTGAGGTCCATCTCCAGCCATCTGTTCCCCTGGGCCATGTTTGCAGAATTCTTTAGGGAGCTGCTAGCCTTTGCACCAAGGCACAAGGAAACGAAGTCAGATGATTTGGGAAGAATGAAGCTGCTGTTCTGGGCAGCTCGGGAACAGACTCTCAGGAGGCAGCTTTCGAACCTAGAGCCAATTCACATGGAGCTCATATGCATTTCAGGGTTTTGACTAGCCAGCACATGCCTAGGCTGTGGCCAAGCAGGAATGCTACGGAGTGAAGCTGTCATGAAGTCCATGTTAAATGTTTCCTTATCCGGAGGTGTAAGAAAAACGCTTTTGGAGGAGCTGTAATAATATGCTCATCTTTTTTCTCACCAATTGGCAGACATCACCTTCTTGAAATTTCCAGCAGCTTGCATTCAGAGGCATTGCTCCCCCCAGTTGTAGAGGCAGAGCCATCCTATAGGGTTGCCATATTTCAATAAGTGAGCTTTTTTTTTAGAGAGAGAAATTGCCCCAAAACGACACGGCTGACATTGCTTGCAACCTTACATCATGGCTAGAGGCCATGAATAGCTTTCTCCTCCAATGACATCTGGTGGCCTGCGGTTTCCCCACACCAGATTAACAAGCTGGAGAAGGACCAAAACAACACATTGTTCACCAGTCAGGTTAGCCTAAAGGTCACTTTTGTTGTTTAGTCGTGTCTGACTCTTCGTGACCCTATGGACCAGAGCATGCCAGGCACTCCTGTCTTCCACTGCCTCCCACAGTTTGGTCAAATTCATGTTGGTAGCTTCGAGAACACTGTCCAACCATCTTGTCCTCTGTCGTCCCCTTCTCCTTGTGCCCTCCATCTTTCCCAACATCAGGGTCTTTTCCAGGGAGTCTTCTCTTCTCATGAGGTGGACAAAGGATTGGAGCCTCAGCTTCAGGATCTGTCCTTCCAGTGAGCACTCAGGGCTGATTTCCTTCAGAATGGAGAGGTTTGATCTTCTTGCAGTCCATGGGACTCTCAAGGGTCTCCTCCAGCACCATAATTCAAAAGCATCAATCCTTCTTTATGGTCCAGCTCTCACTTCCCTGTTGCAAAGGTGTTGTTGTTGTTGTTGTTGCTGCTGCTGCTGCTGCTGCTGTTGTTACAGTTTATATACTGCCCTTTACCAAAAGATCTCAGGGCAGTGTACAACATTAAAAACACATTACGAAACATCAACAATAAAACATAGTTGAAAACACAGTAAAAAGAATATTGGCAGACAGTATAATCCTCATAATAACAGTCCTGTTTTGTATGATTACATGTACAATCACAACGGTTGTGTTATTCAATATGTGTGTATGAGAAAACAAAATGTATTGAGGAGTTTAGCAATCTGACAAGGACTCCTTCCTGCCTCTGTTCCTTCCACCTCCCTCACTCTTGTGAACTTTTCCGATGGTGTGAGTACAGTCTTAGATGTCTTGAGAACATTGGGAGGAGATGAAACTCCACACACAGCTGCCTTAATCAGTAGTGGAGGATAATGCTGGGTACCTTCTTTGATGTTGGACATTGTTTTGAGAAAGTGAGGCATTGGCAGGGGGTGGCTATCTATAAAATCGGATGGTTTGGGCAGAGTTTCTTTGAAGCTCGTGCACAGACTGGTTGGCTGCTGGGCCGTGCAAACTGAGGCTACCTGGGGAAGCCGCTTCTTCACTTCTTGAGGGCTTCCAAGTGGCAGATTGAAGTAAGTGCTTAAGTGCTTGGTATGTATGCTTGCTGTTTTAGAATAAAGCCTTTTATCTTCTCACTCACTTGGGTAGTTTATATTGCTTCTGAATCTCATTTTGAAAGAACCACCTTGCCTTTGGCAAGACAGTGTGTTCAGCTAATTAATGTATAATTTAACAACCCAATTAAAATGAAAAGGGGAGCTCTGCCACACGACCTTTTCATCAAGCATTTATCCTGATTTGCTTGCCCAAAGCTTACGCGGCAGTTAGACTTTACTGAGCTTTCGTTCTGATTTGTCTGTGGGGAGTATATATGACAACGAGCATTCGTCTCAATAAAATAATAATAATAATAATAATAATAATAATAATAATAATAATATATTTATACCCCGCCCATCCAGCTGGGTTTCCCCAGCCACTCTGGGCGGCTTCCAACAAAATATTAAAATACAATAGTCCATCTAACAGTAAAAGCTTCCCTAAACACGGCTGCCTTCAGATGTCTTCAGATTTGCCTGTGAGGTGTTTCTGCATCTTCCCATAAATCATTTGTTCATTCCACACTTCTCAGGGCATTCTCCCGTCGCTTTCCTAACCGCAAAAAGCCCACACTTCAGGTGCACATACTGAAATTTCTGCTATGCGCCTGAGTCTCTCCTGCAAAATACTAACAGCCTGAGGAGTAGACACTGTGTTGTATCGCCCTGCAAAAAATACAGGCGGTGTATGGAGGATGCTGGCTGTACTATACCTCTATGGTCCATATCTGGAGGCCTGGCTTCCTCTCAATATTGGGGAGTCCCACATCTGCTTCAGCGTCAGCCATCATTACTGAAAAAAAGAAAAAAAGAGGAGGTGAAGGTTTTCTTTTTAAAAAGGACATATTTTGATGAAATGAAAGGCAGCAAGGTGTCGTGGTTGGAGTTTTGGGCTAGGATCTGGGAGACCAGGGTTCAAAGCCCCACTTGGCCACAACGCTCACTGGGTGACCTTGGGCCACTCGCTGCCTCTCAGCCTAGTCTACCTCACAGGGTTGCTGTGGGGAGTAAATGAGGAGGGGGAGAAGTGTGGATGCCACCTTGAGCAACTTGGAGGAAAAAAAGGTAAGATATAAACGCAATAAAATAATTACATAAATGCATAAATGATGGGGGGAAATCCAGTTCAATTTATTCCATTAGTAGGGGCCCATGAATAATCATAGTTTAGAGGTCCCGGGCCCTAAGGAAGTCATATTATCCTCCACCAGGGCCAGGGCCTTCTCAGTGACGGCTCCGACCTGGTGGAATGCTCTGTCCCATGAGAGCAGGGCCCTGCAGAATTTAACTTCCTTCTGCAGGGCCTGTAAAACAGAGCTATTCCGCCTGGCTTTCAATTTGAACTTAGCCTGATCTTTTATTCCCCTTCCTTCCTTCCCCCTCCCCTTTTTATGAAGATTACCCGCTCTGGGATCTCACAGCTAATTCTCCCCTGGTCTCCTCGCTGGCCCAAATAGGACTAATTTAGCCAGCTAGCCCTGGTGATCATCTAATGTTTATTGGATGGATTTTCCCCCTAAATTGATTTTTGAATTCTGAATTTATTGTTATTCACGTTTTATACTGTATTTTATGCTGTTTTTTGTTGCATCGATTGTTTTAAATTTGTTGTTAGACGCCCTGAGCCTGATTTTCTGAACCGGGAAGGGCGGGGTATAAATAAAAAATTATTTATTATTTATTATTTTAGCATCCTTTATGCAGGAATGGCAAACAGTATCATGAGCTCTGTTGCCAACATTTCTAGCAGGTGGCAGGGGGAATGATCAGCTGCAAATTGCTGCGGATCAAACTACAGTGGTACCTTGGTTCCCAAACTTAATCCGTTCCGGAAGTCTGTTCCAAAACCAAAGCGTTCCAAAACCAAGGCCTGCTTTCCCATAGAAAGTAATGCAAAATGATTAATTCGTTCCAGACTTTTAAAAACAGCCCCTAAAGCAGCAATTTAACATGAATTTTACTATCTAACAAGACCACTGATCCATAAAAAGAAAGCAATAATCAATGTATTGTACTATAAAATAAATAAGACAGTATTGTAGACGACCAAAAAAAAATCCTTACATGCACTTATAGTCATTGTTTGGGGCTTATATCCATTTCTGCAGTCACACAATCAATCAATCAATCAATCAATCAATCAATCAATCAGTAGCTGAACTGGGTTCCACACAGTCACAAAAACAAGTCACAGTCAAATAAACAAAAAAAGCCACACAAACAAAAATGCAAATTTTTTAGCAAAAACAAAAGCTCCAAATATCACTTCTGTGTTGCGTGGGTACTCAGGACTCAACAGCTGACAGACTCAACAGGAAGCCTCTGATAAACAGCGGGGGACTCAATTTACAAACGAAACACACTCAACAGGAAGCGGAACATGTTCTGCTTCCAAGGCGAAGTTCACAAACCGAAACACCTATTTCTGGGTTTGCAGCGTTCTTAATCCAAGTTGTTCATAAACTAAGCTGTTTTAAAAGTAAGGTACCACTGTACCGTTAAACACACAGGAACAAGGGCCAGTTGAACCCCTGACCTCCCTAATCATTACATCAAGAATGGCTTCCTAGAAGGTCATTTTTCCAGTCTTCACTTCTCCAAACTTTTGCATCCGTTTCTGATTTATTTTTTAGTCCTCTCGAAAATTCGTTAGCATTTTAATGCAAATTTCTCCTAACACACACCCTTCACATGCAATTTTCCCGATACACGCATTTTTACAGTAAGCTGAAGCAAATTTGTCCCCATCCCTTTGCCAGAGGTATACAGTGGTACCTCGGGTTAAGTACTTAATTCGTTCTGGAGGTCCGTACTTAACCTGAAACTGTTCTTAACTTGAAGCACCACTTCAGCTAATGGGGCCTCCCGCTGCTGCCACGCGATTTCTGTTCTCATCCTGAAGCAAAGTTCTTAACCTGAAGCACTATTTCTGGGTTAGCGGAGTCTGTAACCTGAAGCATATGTAACCTGAAGCGTATGTAACCTGAAGTACCACTGTACTGCCATTGCATATGGAAGCTCCAAACCTAGACAGAATAGCCGATAGCCACCAGCGCACTGATTCTCCAAGATTTTTGTCAGCCTTTCCCAAAGCCAGCACACAGAACAACATCCTGAAGCAAAAGGATCCGCAGCTAAGGGTGAGTAGCCTTGCAAATCATTTATCCTGAATTTTTATAGTTCCAGAAAACTCTCCAAGCTGAAATTCCTCACGGCAGACCGGAAGCATTTCAGATTAAAAAGTTGGACTCCCTAATAGCCTTCCCCTTAAAAGCTTCTATTTTAATGCAGTTCCCTTGATCCTGTCACCTGTTTCAGATTTGCTTGTCGTCAAGCAAACAAACAAATAAACACACGAAACTCCGTTGCATTTCATTTTCACATCAGCATTCTTTGCACATTTAAATTCCACATTGATCTGAGTCTATCCTTCCTGCTTGCACTGTTTCCTGGTTTTTTGTTAAGGTGTTTGAAATGCTCCCATGTTCCAAACAGTATAGGCAGAAGGTCAAACCGTTTTTCTGGCATGAGCTGCAACAGGAAATAGGTGGGAGGAAGACACACTGTCTCTGAATCATTGCAAACAATTTCTTCACTTCTCCTTTTCTGTGGAATTGACATTGATCCTTATTTCAGAGGAACTAATCAACTCATCAGTGACAAGCTGTTGTGGTTTGAGGTTTCATCCACCCAGTGCTTTTTCCCTAGGGGTATTCTCATTTTCCTGTTGTTGTTGTTGTTTAGTCGTTTAGTTGTGTCCGACTCTTCGTGACCCCCTGGACCAGAGCACGCCAGGCACTCCTGTCTTCCACTGCCTCCCGCAGTTTGGTCAAGCTCATGTTCGTAGCTTTGAGAACACTATCCAACCATCTTGCCCTCTGTCGTCCCCTTTTCCTTGTGCCCTCCATCTTCCCCAACATCAGGGTCTTTTCCAGGGAGTCTTCTCTTCTCATGAGGTGGCCAAAGTATTGGAGCCTCAACTTCACGATCTGTCCTTCCAGTGAGCACTCAGGGCTGATTTCCTTCAGAATGGATAGGTTTGATCTTCTTGCAGTCCATGGGACTCTCAAGAGTCTCCTCCAGCACCATAATTCAAAAGCATCAATTCTTCAGTGACCAGCCTTCTTTATGGTCCAGCTCTCACTTCTATACATCACTACTGGGAAAACCATAGCTTTAACTATATGGACCTTTGTTGGCAAGGTGATGTCTCTGCTTTTTAAGATGCTGTCTAGGTTTGTCATTGCTTTTCTCCCAAGAAGCATATTGAAATACTGCCCTTCAATGAGGCCAAACTTAGATTCACAAAATGTTTAGGGGTCTTCTTCTTCTTCTTTGGCGATCCCTCGTAGCCGAGTAAGATTGTCTTCCATAAACACAGTTTTAACAATGAGTCCATAAGTGACTGTGGAGGCCAGTTCTGGATCCACACGTCCTTCCACAGTGGGGACATTGGTTCCCGGGCGGGAGTTGATCACGGTGTGGATTTGCCAAGCGTGCCTTCCTCTTAGCATGTTTCTCCCTGGCGTCCTGAGTTCGAGTGTCTTCAAAGCCCATGACACCTTTGGTAAAGGCTGTTCTCCATCTGGAGCGCTCGCAGGCCAGTGTTTCCCAATTGTTGGTCAAAATGCTGCACCAACAAGTATAAAATAACCCCTCTGCAGCACCACAAATCCAAATCAAAGTTTAGGGGTATGTGTACCCCCGTGTACCCCCAGAAAAAGCATTGCATCCACCTACAGGAACCTGCCTTGCACCGAGTTCAAATCTGTGGACCATCCATCTCTGTATTGACTGCACCAAGGGGGCAGCAAACACAATGCCTTCCAAATGCCTCCAGCTTCCACCAGCCCCAGCCAAGCACGCCGGGTTCCACCCCACATTTGGGGTTCCTGGCGTGTGTGTGTGACATCATGCACTTTGACCTGTGATGTCACATAGTGCGACGTGGCCCAATGCAGCACAATGCAGCTGGTGTGGGGGATTCCCTGGTCCTGAATGGGGTAACTGTGCCCCTGAAGGACCAGGTGTGCAGCCTGGGAGTCATTTTGGACTCACAGCTGTCCATGGAGGCACAGGTCAATTCTGTGTCCAGGGCAGCTGTCTACCAGCTCCATCTGGTATGCAGGCTGAGACCCTACCTGCCCGCGGACTGTCTCGCCAGAGTGGTGCATGCTCTAGTTATCTCCTGCTTGGACTACTGCAATGTGCTCTACGTGGGGCTACATTTGAAGGTGACCCGGAAACTGCAATTAATCCATAATGCGGCAGCTGGACTGGTGACTGGGAGTGGCTGCTGGGACCATATAACACAGGTCCTGAGAGATCTGCATTGGCTCCCAGTACATTTCCAAGCACAGTTCAAAGTGTTGGTGCTGACCTTTAAAGCCCTAAATGGCCTCGGTCCTGTATACCTGAAGGAGCGTCTCCACTCCCATCGTTCAGCCCGAACACTGAGGTACAGCTCTGAGGGCCTTCTGGCGGTTCCCTCATTGTGAGAAGTGAGGTTACAGGGAACCAGGCAGAGGGCCTTCTCGGTTGTGGCGCCCAGCCTGCGGAACACCTTCCCTTCAGACGTGAAGGAAATAAGCAGCTATCCTATCTTTAAAAGACATCTGAAGGCAGCCCTGTTTAGGGAAGTTTTTAATATTTAATGCTGTGTTGTTTTTAACACTCGATTGGGAGCCCCCCAGAGTGGCTGGGGAAACTCAGCCAGATGGGCGGGGTATAAATAATAAATTATTATTATTGTATATTATTATTGATGCTGTCATATGGTGTGACGGGCCCCATCGTTCCTTGGCATCTGACATCACATGCAAGACGCATTGGGTCGCCCAGCCGGGCACCCACAGTGAAAAGTTTGTGGGTGCCTTGGCACCCAGGGCCCTCCCCAGAGATGGCGCCAATGGCCCCAGCCAACATGGCCAATGGTCAGGGATGATGGGAGTTGTAGTCTGACAACATCCAGAGGGTGCCATATTGGCTGCACTTGGTCTATGCCAGGCTTCCTCAACCTTGGCCCTCCAGATGTTTTTGGCCTACAACTCCCATGATCCCTAGCTAGCAGGACCAGTGGTCAGGGATAATGGGAAATGTAGTCTCAAAACATCTGGAGGGCCGAGGCAGAGGAAGCCTGGTCTATGCTGACTGGGAGAGGCTCTGTAGGGTTTCAGACAGGATTCCTTCCTATCTCCTGCGATCTGGCCCTTGTAGCTGCAAGGGATTGAAGTCAGGCTCTTCTGCATTCAAATCATACCATTCCTCAGATGAAAACAGGGACATTTCTCATGCCCCCGACCTCAACCGACACCCCCCCCTTGATCCCCTCCATTTTTGAGCAAAAGAGGAGGGGCAAATCCCATCACCACTTCACTAAAGAGACACAGCACACCCACCCTCCACCGTCCTGAGAAAATCCCCTAACCCTGATTTTTTTTGTTTTTGTTTTTTGTCCTTTGGTAGATTTGCAGAAAAGAAGGACACCCACTAAGAAATTAATTTAAGAAAGGGGCAAGATTAGACGCGGTTGCACAAAAAAACCAAAACATAGGGCAAATGTCAGCTTAAATGCTTGTGTGATTCTGATTCCCAGGGGGAAAGAGAGGTCAAAATGTTTCCCCTTCTTGTACAACCAAGCTGGATCCCTCAACATCTTGTGCTACCCTTCAGAGACTTAGGCTGCAACTGCGCAGAGCATTTCAAACAGTATCGCACCACTTTAAACAGCCACACTCGTACCATACACTTAAAGCACTACGATGCTGCCTTAAACCATCATGGGTCCCCCAAAGAATTATGGGATTTGTAGATAGTTATGAGTTCTGGGAGTTTTCAGGAGACCCCTATTGCCCTCACAGAGCAACAATTTCCTGAGTTCCCTGGGAAAAGGGATTGCCTGTTAAAACTGGTAGTTCTGTGAGGGGATTAGGGGCTCTCCTGGCAACTCTGAACCAACCACAACTCCCATAATTCTTTGGGGGAAAGCCATGCTTGTTTAAAGTGGCATCACAGAGCCAGTTTCCCCAAACTTGAGAATTCTGCTGTTGTTGGACTACAATTCCCACCATCCCTGACCACTGGTCCTGCTCTCTTTGGATGATGGGAGCTGTAGTCCAGCAACAGCTGGAGACCCAAGTTTGGGAAGCCCTGTTAAATGTATGCTGTGAATGTGGCCTTAGAGAACATGAAGACAGAGCCCACCTGCCGTACTCCACAGGGAATACCTCTTTTAATTATTTCGCCCTCTCCTCCCTATTCCAGTAAAACAGCCTCAAGCATGCTCATCGTTTTCAGTCTGCCCTATTAAAACTTGCCCTTGAGGATTAAAATTGGCCCCCAGTGATACTGCTAGAAATGTGCAGATGGAGCCGTAGAACATTTTTGAATCTCACATCTAGTTTGACCCTGAGGTGTGGCTGACTCAAGGTGCCAACACACCTTGCCGTCTTTCTTCCCGGCTGCCCAGCCATTCACGAGACGTTAACTGTGTCGCGAGGCGCAACCGACTTCACAGTTTTATTGTCAGGTTTCTGTCAACTAAAATCCCTGAGAATTTCCTCGGCTTAAGCCCCACCCTTCCCCACCCTCCTCTCCTAAGCTGGCTCTTTGTGCCCAGGGATACGGGGAAGAGAGTTGCCTCACATGAAAGTCACGCCTGCAATTTCAAGACGCAAGTAAACAGAGGCGAGAGGAAGCTGGTCTGAGTCCGTAACCCCTCACGAAACCCAGAGCTGAGAGAGTTGTTTGCTTAAGGACTGGCTTTCCATTGAGGAGAAAGGCATTCAGAGATATTGTGTGGTACAGTCCTCCCTGGAGGCCATACCACTTCAGAACCAGAGGAGAAGGGGAAGCCAATTCTGAACAGTCTCCAATATAATAAAGGCCATACGTTAGGTTGTGGCCTAGTCCTCCCTTGATCTCTGAAGGGCCATAGCTCAGTGGAGGAGCATTTGCTTTGAATGTAGGTTCAATTCCCAGCATCTCCAGGTAGGGCAAGGAATGCCCTCTGCCTGAGACCATGGACAGTCACTGCTTGTCAGTGTAGACGACACTGCACTGGATGAACCAATGGTTTGACTCAGTCTGAGGTAGCTTCCTATGTTCCAATGGTTTACAGTAGGATGGAGGAACCTGTGGTTCTTCAGATGTTGTTGGACTACAACTCCCATCATCCCTGGCCACTGACCATGCCGACTGGGGCTGATGGGAAGTAGAGTACAGCCACATCTGGAGGGCCACAGGTTCCTCATCCCTGGTTTACAATACTGGTTTCAAGCATCCAACTACTGCATCTAATAAAATAAATTATACAGCTCCAATATTGATGGTGGTGTGGTAAAACTCTGACCTGCTTCAGATGATCTTATTTAAGCTTTATAAGCCAAGATATGAATGAGTCCTTTGCCCACAGCCCCTTTGTCCCCCCCCCCAAGTGGAATACCACAATGCAACGATGAAGTCTCTAACCAACCACAGTTTCCTGTTTCATCTTAACTGAGAAACCATTGTCACCAACTTCACAACAAGCCCATATCCTTAACCAGGGTTTGAAGTTGGTTTAGGATCCTGGTTTGTTTCCAAGTTCAGATAAAATGGATAACTTTGCTGAATTGTGGCTTGCAAGAAAGGAAGGGGCCTCACACACAACCTAAAGGCTTGCTCATATTTTGGGTCATTAAGCCAAGATATGGTGATCTAATTACTTCTGTCTACTCTCTGCTTGTTACCTAGATTATTCCACAGATTCTGAGCATGTGAAAGTCCACACTGACTGAAACCTGTCGCCCTTAAGTATACTTTTTAAAAGTTAGGTTTTTTTCTGTGTGCAAAATCTGGTTACAATATTTTATTGAGGTCAATAATGTCGTACCCAGCACCCAGATTAGTGGAGGTCCTGGAAATACAATTGTTGTCATTCCATACAAAGTAGGCTTTCCAGCTACTATTTAACCTTCCCTCTGCTTTATATATCAGGAATTAGGCATTTCTAAGCAGCTAGAATACTTTGTCGCTTGGGGCAAGAGAGTTTTTGAATGCCTGGGTCAAAACAAAGTAAGGATTATTTTGGAAAACGAGACAAGAAAATGGGCATAAAGAGAAGTCACAAAGCAACAAGAATTTGCATCCCGTCCAACCCAGACTAGGACATTGTCTAAGTCAAAATATATTTTGGGTGGTGGTGGGGAAGAAATTCTTCTGAATGTTCCTAAAACTGAAGAGAGAGAGAGAGAATAAAAGTCTTCCCTTCTCAACTCTCTTTTCAAGTCTCTGTAACACTAGGGAGTTGTGGTCTTTGATGGCTTGGTTTGGAACGGGCACGTTAAGAAATGGACAATTACTACACAACAACCAAAATTGGCACGTTTTTTGAACTCCCACTTCCTGGTTTCGTGGGTTAAAATGACACCAGCCGGCTTCTAATTAGATTCCCCACTCACAGACAGAGAACCTTATTTCATACAACATCAAAGAGACTACAGGCGGATATATAATCATCAGTATCGGTTTGAGCAGTCAAAGCAAATAATCACTACAAGCTGAGCTCCCTTCTGGACATGTTCATATCCATGTCTGTATTTATCTGTTGCTCACATGTTACAAATATACAACAGGCCATTTTGTTTTTGACCAACCTGGGATTGTTAAAGTCAGGGATGGAAAACTCGGTTCCCCATCAAAGTTGTAGGACTGCAACTCCAGCTGTCCTGGTCATTTGCCAGGCTCTTGGAGTTGATGAGAGTTGTAGTCCAACAACATCCTGAGAGCACCAAGTTTCCCACCCCTGGATTAGCCAGATATGTTGGTGACTGAAGATGGGCATTGCATAAACCACATGCTCATCCACTGAACTTTGGACCTTTTCCTGTAGGCATCCCATCATTCTTTAACCAGCCAGGCTACCAGCAGATCCCACTACAAAAACCAGCCTTTGACCCCATGACCTTACACGGCTCCCTTAGTTAACCTTAAATGCACATTCTGGGTTTTTTCAGAACAGGATCCTCAGCACGGGACTCCTGCAGGCAACCTGTTTATCGAGAATTCTTCCTGATTTGCTTGCACAAAGCTTATGAGGAGGTTAGATTGGATTTGGTCTTTATTTGTTCTAATTCGTTTATGGGGAGAGTATATATGACAATGAGCATTTGTCCTGATTTCGTTTGTGGGGTGTGCATTGTCCCATTAATCATTTGTTCTTCCCACACTTTTTCATTTCAGTTCCCCCACCGCTCGCACCACAAAAGGCAATTTTTCCTCCTCCCCATGTGGATTTGTTGCAGCAGGACAACAGAGCAATTTAATAGTGTGCAAAGCTGCATTTACAGGGACGCGGGTGGCGCTGTGGATTAAACCACAGAGCCTAGGACTTGCCGATCAGAAGGTCGGCGGTTCGAATCCCCGCAACGGGGTGAGCTCCCGTTGCTTGGTCCCTGCTCCTGCCAACCTAGAAGTTCAAAAGTGCAAGTAGATAAATAGGTACCACTCTGGCAGGAAGGTAAACGGCGTTTCCATGCGCTGCTCTGGTTTGCCAGAAGCGGCTTAGTCATGCTGGCCACATGACCCAGAAACTGTACGCCGGCTCCCTTGGCCAATAAAGCGAGATGAGCGCCGCAACCCCAGAGTCGGTCACGACTGGACCTAATGGTCAGGGGTCCCTTTACCTTTAAAGCTGCATTTGGGGTATGCAGATGAATCCCTCCTGCAAAAATGCTCTGGAGCCAAGTCCTGTTCAATTCAACAACACTTGCTTCAGGAGTCACCGACCCAGTGCCCGTGGGCACCATGGCCCCCACAAAGGTCTTCACTGGCACCCTCAGGAAGACATGAGGTTGTCCTGGGAGAGGTGGGGTGAGGAGAAGCAGCAATCTTGTGTTACCGCACACCCTCATGGCAGCCATTTTGTGTTATGTCATGCCCCCCATGGCAGCCATTTTGTGACTGGAGCCCACAGCACTCTCTCAAAATTCATAATGTGTCCTTTGGTCCAAAAAGGTTGGCGCCCGATGCCTTGGTATGTAGAAAGCAAGTAGAAAGAACTGTTGAATAAGCACCAAAAGACTAGCACAGTGTCTTAGAAGGTCACTTGCTTGTCCTTGGTTCAGCTGTGCCTGTGGGCGGTGAATTTAGACATAAACAAAGGGAAGCCCAAAACACCATGAAACAACCCTTGGCCAGCCCTGCCTGGCTGCTGCCTATGCATCAATGAAAGTGAGAATGTCACAAATTTCAACCGGCTTCAGACCTGGTTCACTAACTGGGGCTTTTAACAGCTGAGTTTCCAAGTAGAAATCCTCTGTTACTGGCACTGTCTATCTCAAGAGACAATGGAGTGCACCTCCGGGGGTGAAGTCAAACTGCTGTGTTAGTGACCTCCTTGGGGTGCAAGCCTGGGCAGTGTGTATGGAGGTCCTGGGCTGCCCAGACAACAAGACCCCCCCCCTCTCAGCTTCACATATGTGGCCTTAAAGGAAAGCAGAGCAAGACGTTTGGCACCAGTTTGGCTGCAGGAGTTGCTGGGAGGAGGCAGGCAAGGCACCATCCAACTGCCTTAGGGACTCCACTCCAGATTTGACAAAGTTTTTTTTTACTCCTGAGCCTTTCCTTCTCCAGAAGATATCCTGCAAGGTTTAGGACCAGAGTTTTCCTTCTTCCCAGGTGGATGAGCCCCATCTGCTCCTCACTTCCTTCTACACAGCATGCGCAGAAACTGCCTTCTTGACCGATGGACCCACTATTGATCTCGTCTGTGCAATCCGCTAGAGCCTGTCTTCACATGCTTATTTCTCAAACTTTTGTGGGAGTGGGGTTCAAGCCCCCATCCCCATCCATTCTTTTACAAGTTTACGGCCCCAGTCTCCCGATCCACAGCACAGCAGACGTTGGGATGAATTGTACACGGCCTTGCCAACTGAGGAGCGCCACAATCTGTGGGGACGAGCGCTCATCCTCTGGCATCAAAAGAGAAAACAGAACAGGACAGCGGAGCCCTCCAGAAAACACGCAACAGGGAAATGCCGTGTAAACAAAGCAGCTCCTCTTGCCCCTATCCTGCTTAGGAAAGTGGAGAAGCAAGAGCTTGGAAGCTGGATGAGGTCAAAGGGGGCCCCGTATAGCCCAGAACAGTGGCCAAAGTGAAGCCCACATGTAGGACCTGAGGGCAACTGCCCTTGTTATGTACTGAAGTTCTCACCCTGGGCCAGCAGGCGGATACTGTAGATAGTTTTCACTCAGGTCCACATATGCAAATAAGGAATTGAAAGTGACGTTCAGTGATTGGATAGTTACAGAAAGTTGTTACTGTTGCGTTGTAGTGGAACTCTATATAAGCAGGCTGGCTGAACCCTTCAGTTCAGTTCTGTTCTGGGCCTGTGAATAAACAAGAGCTAGAGCCTGCAAATCATTTCTTGACGAACTGCATTCGACAGCCTTCCCAGCAAGCTCCAGTTCCAAAGAAAACCATGATGCCACCTCAGGAATCCAGGCAGGCTTGCGCTCGTGGAAGCTGTTCATTTTAACATTTATTTTCGTAAACAGGAGTGGGGAACCTTTCTCAGCCCCGAGGTCTGCATTTGCTACTGGGCAACTTACCACAGGCCACACGCCAGTGGAAGGCAGGCCAGGGGCAAAAATGGATGTCTATTTCCCCTCAATACAGTAGTTCTCGAAGCTACAAACATGAGTCTGACCAAACTGCGGGAGGCAGTGGAAGACAGGAGTGCCTGGCGTGCTCTGGTCCATGGAGTCACGAAGAGTCGGACATGACTAAATGAATAAACAACAAAAACACAGTAGGCTAGTTTCTACACAAACCCCCACACCCGCCTCTGTCCTCCATTGAGGGGAGCAAGAGGCATTATTAGAGTTCAAGGAGGCATTCAAGCCAGGAAAACACACTCAAGGGAGGTGTGAAGCCGAGTTGGTGAGGGGCATTTGCCTGAGGAGAGTGCTCTGAGGGCCAGACGGAAAGTTCTGGAAGGCCACACTTGGCCCTGAAGTTCCCTATCCCTTTTCTCTAAAGGTAGAAAGAAGAACTTGCCATAAAAAAACCAAAGGTCTCACCTGCACGATACGTCTAAAACAGTACGACTCTCAGCACCCTTAACTAACTTCAATTTCTGGGATTGTTTGGCAGAAGCGAATGGCTGTTCAAAGTGGTATAAAACTATTTTAAGTGTACAGTGCAGATGTGGCCGAAATCAGGCAATGCACCAACCTCAGGTACTTAGTAGCCGGACCCTTTCCTTCCAACCCAGCTCTCAACCATTCAGTTAAGCTCAGGGAAAGACACCCTGAGGTAAATTCTGCCACCATTCAGGTAAAGCTCAGGAGAAGACACCCTGAGGTAAATCCTGCCACCGTTCAGGTAAAGCTCAGGGGAAGACACCCTGAGGTAAAGCCTGCCACCGTTCAGGTAAAGCTCAGGGGAAGACACCCTGAGGTAAATTCTGCCACCATTCAGGTAAAGCTCAGGGGAAGACACCCTGAGGTAAATTCTGCCACCATTCAGGTAAAGCTCAGGGGAAGACACCCTGAGGTAAATTCTGCCACCGTTCAGGTAAAGCTCAGGGGAAGACACCCTGAGGTAAATTCTGCCACCGTTCAGGTAAAGCTCAGGGGAAGACACCCTGAGGTAAATTCTGCCACCGTTCAGGTAAAGCTCAGGAGAAGACACCCTGAGGTAAATTCTGCCACAAAGCTTTTCCAGTTCAGGGATTATGAGTAGTCAGGGATGCTGAGAAGCGCTGGAGAAATGTTCGGTGGAAAGAAGGAGAAAACCACACATATCACCCTCAGACACTTTGAAGCCATAAGGTCAGCACGACCCCACAGCCACAGAACGGGAAATAAATTCCAAAGTGGCTTGAGAAAACAGAAGCCCTGTTTACTGGGGAAGAGAACTTTCAAGAAATTGGAAGGCAGGTTTTGGCATAGCTCTTGGGCAAAAATTATCCATGACCTGAACAGAGACATCCGTCGGCGCCTTTTCTTTGACGCCGTCACATCAACACAGTCTATCACACACACCCCAGGCATAAATTGTTGACGTGCTATAGTAAGCCACCACCTTCCTGCAGCGATTGAAAAGATCTACATTAATATGTAACCAGTTATAGGGTGGAACTCAGAATTACTTTCTCCTGTGAACATATTCCATGCTACGTGGGTGCGACTGACCTATATGGCTCCCTGGGTTTCCCCGGTACTTAAAATGAAAACATGCAATACCAAAGAATCATAAAATTGGAGAGTTGGAATGCAGGAATCTCAGCTGAAGCATCCATGACAGGTGGCTATCCAAACTCTGCTTCAAAACCTTCAAGGAAGGAGAGTCCACAACCTCCTGAGGGAGACCGTTCCACTATTGAACAGCTCTTACTGTCAGAAAGTTATTCCTGATATTTAGCTGGAATCTCCTTTCTTGTAGCTTGAAACCATTGGTTTGGGTCCTACCCTCCAGAGCAGGATAAAACATGCTTGCTCCATCATCCATGTGACAACCCTTTAGATATGTGAAGATTGTTGTCATATTTCCTCTCACTCTCCTCTTTTCCAGGCCAATTCCCTCAACCGTTCCTCATCAGGCTTGGTTTCCAGACCCTTGATCATCTTGGTTGCCCTTCTCTGCACATGTTCCAGCTTGTCAACGTTCTTCTTAAATTTTGGTGCCTAGAATTGGACACAGTATTCCAGGTGTGGCCTGACCAAGGTAGAATAAAGCAGTGCTATGACCACCCTATATTTGTGCATCTGATTATTCCTGCTTACCTGTCAAATCTTACACCTGTCCCAACTGAAATTCATTTTACTAGTTTGGGCCCAGTTCTCCAATCGATTAAGGGCATACTGAATGCTGTTTTCTATCTTCTGCAGTGTTATCTACCTCTCCCGGTTTAGCATCATCTGCTAATGTGATAAGCAGTTCCTCTATTCCTTCATCAAATTCATTTATAAAGATTTTGAACAACACTGGCCCCAGGACAGAACATGTTGCACCCCACTTGCCACTTTTCCCAGGATGACTAGGAGCCATTAAATGAGCATCTTTGGCTTTGGTCAGTCACCTAACAGGAACATAGTCTAGCCCACATTATATCAGCTTCTCTGCAAGAAGATCACAGATGACTTTGTCAAAAGCCTTACTGAAATCAAGACATACTACATCCACAGCATTCCTCGGATCCACCAAGCTTGTAACGCTCTCAAAATAAGAAATAAGCTTTGTCTTGCATGACTTGCTTTTGAGAAACCCTTGCTGGCTCTTAGTCATCGCAACATTCTTTTCTATGAGTTCGCAGTTCAATGATCTATTCTAGGACCTTTCCTGGTATCGATGTTAAGGTGAGGCAGGTGCCTGGCTTCCCCACCCCACCCCAGCTTTTGAAGATGGAAAACAACGTCAGTAAAGCACAAAAGGTACTGCAGTGGAACATCTACAATTCTACAATTCTGTGATCTGAAAAGGGGGCAGAAATGATGGCTTTGGCTGGTGCATCACAATATTGGACACTTCTGAAGACACCTTTAATTATGTCCCTTCTTTTTTATTTTATAGGTCCACAGGTTCCTCACTCCCTGGTTTGGGGGAGGGTGGAATTTGAACCCACAATCACAACGATGCAACCCAGTGGGAGTTAGGGTAGCCACCGCAGGCCTACTGTGATTCTGCCTTGTCACAAATGCCCTTCCACACCTTGGCCTTTTGATTTCCAGCTCCTTCTTTTTGATTTACCGTTTCACACTTTTATTCATTTGAGGGTGTGGGTGTGTGTTTGATTTGCTGTCTTTCATTTTGCCTTGGGGGCGGAAAGCCGAACATCGTGGCCTCATCCAACGGCCCGATTGCACCTTCTACCTCCTAGGAAGACTAGCTCAGCAAGTGGGACACCAGCTTGGCCAGAGAAGGAGCAGCTGCGGTGAACTTGCTTCCACCGCTTCTGACCATAAAGAGCGCTCAGCTACAATTGCAAATTGCCCTGGAACTGTAGAACTAGAGGGAAGAACACTGTTGGCTTCTGCCATCTTTCAGGGGGCTGAAGGTCACACCCCCTGCCTCCCCGGAAGATAAGCAGCGTGCCCTTAGCCATTGGCCAGATGAGGAGGAGCTGCAGAGAGTTTATCTGTGTTTATTATTATTAATTGCTACATATACTCCTTTTACCACCACCAGTTGTATGCAACTTTGAGAACCAATCTGACTGAAAGACACCAAAAAAATTCTAGGCACCAAAATTTAAGAAGGATGTTGACAAAATGGATAGTGTGCAGAGATGATGAAGGGTCTGGAAACCAAGCCTGATGAGGAACAGTCGAGGGAACTGGGTATGTTTGGCCTGGAAAAGAGGAGACTGAGAGAATATATGACAACCATCTTCAAATATCTAAAGGGCTGTCACATGGATGAAGGAGCAAGCATGTTTTATCCTGCTCTGGAGGGTAGGACCCAAATCAATGGTTTTAAGCTACAAGAAAGGAGTTTCCAATTAAATATCAGGAAGAACTTTCTGATAGTAAGAGCTGTTCTATAGTGGAACTGTTTCCCTCAGAAGGTTGTGGACTCTCCTTCCTTGGAGGTTTCAAAGCAGAGGTTGGAGGACCACCAATGCATTGCAGAGGGTTGGACTAGATGACTCTCGGAGTCCCTTGCAACAGTTCTATGATTCTATAAAAATGAATAAGCAATAAATATGTTTGCAAACTGTTGAGAAAGGTGGAATAAGACAGAGATGGATGCATGTGTGTGTGTGTGTGTGTGTGTGTGTGTAGGAGAGAGAGAGAGAGAGAGAGAGAGAGAGAGAGAGAGAGAGAGAGAATAAAATACAAATGACTTGTTTGCTGCCCAGTAAGGTGTCCTTTGAGAGTCCCATGGACGGCAATAAGATCAAACCGATCCATTCTTAAGGAAATCAGCCCTGAGTGCTCACTGGAAGGATAGATCCTGAAGCTGAGGCTCTAATAGTTTGGCCACCTCATGAGAAGAGAAGACTCCCTGGAAAAGACCCTGATGTTGGGAAAGATGGAGGGCACAAAGAGAAAGGGACGACAGAGGACGAGATGGTTGGACAGTGTTCTCGAAGCTACCAGCATGAGTTTGACCAAACTGCGGGAGGCATGGAAGACAGGAGTGCCTGGCATGCTCTGGTCCATGGGGTCACGAAGAGTTGGACACGACTAAATGACTAAACAACAACAACAACAACAAGGTGTCCTTGTAGGGCTGCTAGATTCATTTTTAAGGGGCTCCTATGCTTAAATGTGTTGAATTTCTGCAACATCAGATTGCCTTTCTCATCACTTGCTGCCAGAGTTTTCCCAACTGTTGGAAACTGCTGTTGTCTTCCATGGCAATGTCTCCCGGCCTCCTTCTCCTTGAGGAATCAGCCTGGAAGCAAAAGGATCACCTCCGCTCTGAAACCTGCAGACGTCTCCACACAGCCGCCTGGGAAGGCTTTAGCAACCGTTGCCACCAAGTCCTTGGGGAGGAATGTCATGGGAGGGAGGGAGCGAGGCAGAGGAAGAGAGGGAGGAGAAGGGCTCGCTTGTTTGAGCTGTGGCGGGCAGGGGAGTCCCCCTCGCTTTGCCTAGAACCAGCAGGAACGGGATAGAACAGGCCCTGCGAATTACTTCTCTCCCCTGGGGCTTATCGGAGCAAAAATCAGCCTGATTCTGCTATTGAAAAAGGAGGAGCGTGTGTTGCAGGCCATGTGCTGGAAGAGGGAGCTCTGTGCCAATGGCTTCTTGAAATCTCACCCTCCAACTTGAGGGCAGAGGAACTAGAAGGGATGCTGGTGGTGAGGAACAATTTCACCAAATTTCTCCAGAAGAGGGGAAATTCTCAGAAACGGGGCTTCACATCAACAGTGGCAAGAACTTCCACAGTCTCTCTCTCTCTCTCTCTCTCTCTCTCTCTCTCTCTCTCACACACACACACACACACACACACACACACAGCAGCAACAACAACAACTTGTGTTGCCCCCATTTCAAATCCTCCACAATGTTCCAGGATGTTGTGAAGGGGTGGAGAGAAACGGAGAATATTCAGGGGAAAGTCTGCAAATAAATTTCTCAGGCGTTCTCTGAGAGAAATGTCTTCTCCCGTTGGCTCCCAGTACGTTTCCGAGCACAATTCAAAGTGTTGGTGCTGCCCTTTCAAGCCCTAAACGGCCTCGGCCCAGAATACCTGAAGGAGCGTCTCCACCCCCATCATTCTGCCCGGATACTGAGATCCAGCGCCGAGGGCCTTCTGGCAGTTCCCTCCCTGCAAGAAGCCAAGTTACAGGGAACCAGGCAGAGGGCCTTCTCGGTAGTGGCGCCCGCCCTGTGGAACACCCTCCCACCAGATGTCAAAGAGAAGAACAACTACCAAACTTATAGAAGACATCTGAAGGCAGCCCTGTTTAGGGAAGCTTTTAATGTTTAACAGACCACTGTATTTTAATACTTTGTGGGAAGCTGCCCAGGGTGGCTGGGGAGACCCAGCTAGAAGGGCAGGGTATAAATAAATCATCATCATCATCATCATCATCATAAATGCTTTCTCCCGCTCCAGAAGGTAGGACCTGAACCAATGGCCTCAAGTAACATGAAATGAGATTACAGCATCAGGAAGAAATTTCTGACAGTAAGAGCTGTTCAGCAGTGGAACGGACTCCCTCAACAGGTGGTGGGCCCTCCTTCCTGGGGTTTTTTTTAAAGCAGAGGTTAGATGTCCATCTGTCAGGGATGCTTTAGCTGAAATTCCTGTGTTGCAGGGGGGTTGGACTAGATGACCCTTGTGGTCCCCTCCAACTCTACAATTCTATGAAATTCCTACTTGGCTGTAGTAGGAAGTGCTCTTTGGTTCTGCAACAGTCACCGACACTCTTGTCAGAGCCATCGTACTGGACCCCTAAGGCACTGGTACTGGCCCAAATTATAACAAAATTCATTTTAAAAGAACAACACCCTTAAGCACTTTAAATGCTTCCAGAAATATTATGAAGCTGGTCTAGGGAGGAGGCAGGCAAAATGAGAGATAGAGATAGAGATAGAGATGATGATAGAGATAGATAGAGATAGAGATAGAGATAGAATGCAATGGATTGGTTTCCCCATCAGAGTTTCGCAGGAGTGACTGACAAGGTGAGGCAATGCTGTGTAGCTGTCAACCTGACACCAGCATCCCTGCTGCTTACCTGGGTGTGGCAGGGACGAGGCCCCTGGAAGCTTGGCTAAGAATGAGTGTGGCTCTCAGGCCCAACACTGCATATGGATGTATGGCCGCCATTTTGGCCAGGAATTCAGTGGCACTGGAAGGGCAACAGCTTAACAAATATTGCCTGCCCCTCAGCAGTCTGCAACTGATTCCCTGCCCAATTCTGCCTTTGTTACTACGTGGAAAAATAAGTTCAATTGCACCTTTTGTCAATATTATCTTTAGCAAAGTTTCCCACGTTCGGAAATACACACACTCGACTTCCTCTTTACTACATTAAACAGTTTGTGCTCTCGGCTAGCACTGCCTTAAAAAAATAGCCCAGCGCCCCTTCTAAGATACTATCCAGTGTTACTCTGAAGTAAACCATCACATAAAGAGTCCAGGTCTTCTTGAGGCTGCTTTGCATCTCAAATTAATAGGGCACATGAGGGAAGAGGAACCATTGTAGAAAAACCAGGCGACAGGGGTCCTTGTATTTGTGTATTTCATTATTTTTTTAAAAAAACTGGACACAAGGCAAGCTGTGATATTTAGCTGATCTGTTGCTTGGGCTACAGGAATCCTTTATCAATTGAGAAAATCTAGACAATCTCTTCTTCCCCCTTCCTGCCTTCTGAAACAAGAAGTGCACAGAACAACTTTTAAATTAAACCCAGCTCCTGCCGCAAGTCAGATGAGTCACCGACGCTGAACAAAACAGAGATAATTACTTGTTGTGTGAAAGTCAAAGCAATTAGACTGCGCTGGAAGAAAAAGCCAGCTATTGTCTTGGAAATATGTTATGTATGTATTCGGTTTGGAAAAGGTTTTCCTCTACCACCCAGCAAAAGGCCGTAGAACACAATTTCCAATGGTGTAATAAAAACAGTAATTTCTGCAAATCTTTCTGAAGAGGATTCAGCTGACCCCTTTCCCCTTTTATTAGCAACACCACGGGAAGAAGAAATCTACACACACACCCTGCCACGCTGGGAAAAGTCCCAGTCCGCACCTCTCGTATTTCGGCCTGACAGCACGCTACTCTTAGAAGCGTAGGAGCCCTGCGGCGAGGAAACATGGCAACCCCGATAAATGCAGCGGGAAAACACAGATCTAAATGCTGCCTTCAAATCAAACACTTGGGAAGAAGTAGCCCTTTCTCCCTTGGATTGGAGTCGATCCAAATAAACCGGTTTGCTTCTAAAGTCACTTTGTGAGTTTCTGTGTCATCCTGTCCTTAGCAGGGACTTTAAAACAGGCCCCATTTCTTCCAAAGGGGGCAATCGTAGGCGACTTTTAACTACGCTTTGTCTGCAAACGGGCTGCCAAACGGGTCCACAGCCTCACGCAGCTCTGTCCCTTGCCAAAGGAACTTGGGAGATTCCACTTACCTTCTTATCCAGATTCTCTCTTCTTTTTCTTCCTGCCACCCCAAATGCACCACTGAGCAGATCGCCGGCTCCTGACACGCTCGCTCTCCTCCTGGGCTCCCTCTGGCAGAAGGGGGCATGGCAAAGAGGAAGGTAATTCAATAGTGTACTTAAGCAGGGCGGTGGAGGCCAGCCTCCCAGGGGGTCACACCCATCCTCTCACATGAGAATCAGCGGAGCAGCAGTCTGCAGCCAGGAACAGCTTTCGACGGAAAGTTTCAGCGCTCCACAGAGCAAGCAAATGAAACCAAGGCTATTGCTGCTCTCTCGACTGGGCAAAACAGTTAGGCATACCCCTCTCTCTCTCTGACACAAGAATTAACAACGGTAGAAGAGTGGCAGATGAAGATGATGGATTTTATGGAGCTGGCTGCTCTCACTGGGAGAATCCGTGACCAGAAAGAAGAGGAATATCAAGAAGAGTGGAAGAAATTTAAAGACTATTTGAATAAATATTCTAATATTAAAGATTTGTAATTACTTGAAAGAACCAATTAGGCCTAGGATTAAATAAATAAATGAGAAATAGAATGATAAGAAAAGTTAGGAAATTTGATTATAACCTGAATATTGTTTTTTTAAGAGAATAATGATATTGGAAACTGCTACATCCAATTACAAGGAAATTCAGATGGAAAAGATTTGAGGAAGTCAAGTAATATGTTTATGAAGTTGGAGTTTAACTGATTAATTAAGTTCTGTTGTATTTGTGTATGTGGTGTTATTTTTGGGTATTATCTGTGAGGTTTGTAATATGTTATCTCTCTTTTCTTTTATTATTGTTTTTCTTATTTTTGTTTTGTTCAAGTTATGTGTTTGTATGAAATTCAATAAATATTATTGGGGGGGGAGACCTCTCTCTCTCTCTGACACACACACACTTTTTACCTAGGATGTTCTATTAGGCATTGCAGATGTGAGGCGGTGCATGTTTGCTGCTCAGCAAAGTTTCGGATGCAACAAACTTTGAAATGCAGCTATCCTTCAAATGCACCGTCCTCTGAATTTTGTGGTGCTGTTCACCAGCCGGAAAAAAAGGGCACAAAATGAGCGTAAAAACGCAGACATTTGCAAAAATGATATTAAAAAGTTACTATTTTATTGATTGCATTTCAAAGGGCTGAAGGTGGCAAACATAGTTGTCAACGTTTCCCTTTTTTAAAGGGAAATTCTCTTATTTCGAATAGGATTCCTTGCAAGAAAAGGGAAAAGTTGACAGCTATGGTGGCAAATGTGGTTTCCCCCGCACTTCTCAGTGAATCCCCACAACAACCTTGTGCGGTAGGTTAGAGTTGAGAGACGGTGACTGGTCCAAAATCAGTGAGTGGGGATTTGAACCCTAAACCTCCCAGGTCCTTGTCTGACCTCTAACCACCACATCAGACTGCATCACATCAGGAAAAAAGAGATATTGCTAAAATGTATTTTAGGTAAGAATCCATATGAAAATGTGCATGGTATGGGCAGTGTTCACATTGCTGGGATGGCTCAGTCAGTAGAGCATGAGGCTCTGAATCTCAAGGTCCTGGGTTCGAGCCCCATGTTGGGGGGAAATATCCCTGCATTGGAGGGGGATGAACTAGATGATTCTCAATGTCGCCTCCAGCTCTGCAAATCTGTGGTTCTATCTGCTGACGAGACATCACCTTGCCAACAAAGGTCCGTATAGTTCAAGCTATGGTTTTCCCAGTAGTGATGTATGGAAGTGAGAGCTGGACCATAAAGAAGGCTGATTGCCGAAGAATTGATGCTTTTGAATTATGGTGCTGGAGGAGACTCTTGAGAGTCCCATGGACTGCAAGAAGATCAAACCTCTCCATTCTGAAGGAAATCAGCCCTGAGTGCTCACTGGAAGGACAGATCCTGAAGCTGAGGCTCCAGTACTTTGGCCATCTCATGAGAAGAGAAGACTCCCTGGAAAAGACCCTGATGCTGGGAAAGATTGAGGGCACAAGGAGAAGGGGACGACAGAGGACGAGATGGTTGGATAGTGTTCTCGAAGCTACCAGCATGAGTTTGACCAAACTGCAGGAGGCAGTGGAAGACAGGAGTGCCTGGCGTGCTCTGGTCCATGGGGTCACGAGGAGTCGGACACGACTAAACGACTAAACAACAACAACCCCGCCCATCTGGCTGGGTTTCCCCAGCCACTCTGGGCAGCTTCCAACACAGTATTAAAATACAATAGTCTATTAAACATTAAAAGCTTCCCTAAACAGGGCTGCCTTCAGATGTCTTCTAAAAGTCTGGTAGTTGTTTTTCTCTTTGACATCTGGTGGGAGGGTGTTTCACAGGGCGGGTGCCACTACCGAGACGGCCCTCTGCCTGGTTCCCTGTAACTTGGCTTCTCGCCATTTTTGCAAGAACGACTCTGCCTTCGTTTTGCAAAAGGATCTGGAGATGTGCCGGACTTAAGATCGGAAAGCAGAGAGGAGCCGAAATGGATAGAATCCGTCCATCGCAAGGTGGTAGGTGACTCTGGATTCCTGCAATGAGTTGCCTCAGCAGCGTGCCCACGTTTGTGTCTGTGTAATGTGTGAAACAGCTCTTGTGGGAGCAGGCCTGTGCATTATTCTAGCGCTCAAGTGAATTTGAGAAACGAGGGCGGTTTCCCCCTTCTCATTTGCTTCCAAGATCCTGGACTTTCGGACAGGAAGAGGTTTTTGACAGTGGAGCCGACTCCTTCACTGGACGGTGTGTTTTTTTTTAGCAGAGGTTCGATGGCCATCTGCCATGGATGTTTTGTTGAGATCCCTGCATTGCAGGCGGTTGGACTAGATGACCCCCAGGCGTCCCTTGCAACTCTACAATGCTATGATTAAGGCAGGCAGATGAGGGAGTAGCTAAGAGCAGACTTAGTCCTAATGGACCAGCCTCCAGTGCCTAGACCATGGGTAGGCAAACTAAGGCCCGGGGGCCGGATCTGGCCCAATCGCCTTCTAAATCTGGCCCACAGATGGTCCGGGAATCAGCGTGTTTTTACATGAGTAGAATGTGTCCTTTTATGTAAGATGCACCTCTGGGTTATTTGTGGGGCCTGCCTTGTGTTTTTACATGAGTAGAATGTGTGCTTTTATTTAAAATTCATCTCTGGGTTATTTGTGGGGCATAGGAATTTGTTCATTTTGTGTGTATATATACATATACATACAGTGGTACCTCAGATTAAGTACTTAATTCGTTCCGGAGGTCCGTTCTTAACCTGAAACTGTTCTTAACCTGAAGCACCACTTTAGCTAATGGGGCCTCCCGCTGCTGCCGCGCCGCCAGAGCACGATTTCTGTTCTCATCCTGAAGCAAAGTTCTTAACCTGAGATACTATTTCTGGGTTAGCTGAGTCTGTAACCTGAAGCGTATGTAACCCGAGGTACCACTGTATATATACACACACAGTGGTACCTCAGGTTACATACGCTTCAGGTTACATACGCTTCAGGTTACAGACTCCGCTAACCCAGAAATATTACCTTGGGTTAAGAACTTTGCTTCAGGATGAGAACAGAAATCGTCCTCCGGCGGCGTGGCAGCAGCAGGAGGCCCCATTAGCTAAAGTGGTGCTTCAGGTTAAGAACAGTTTCAGGTTAAGAATAGACCTTCGGAACGGATTAAGTACTTAACCCGAGGTACCACTGTGTGTGTGTGTGTGTGTATATATATATATATATATATATATATATATATATATATATACAGTCCGCCCCCCCCCCAAGGTCTGAGGGACAGTGGACCACCGGCCCCCTGCTAAAAAAGTTTGCTGACCCCTGGCGTAGACAACCAGCCAAGAGCAGCCTGTTTCCCTTCCCTGCTGCCTTATCCTCTTGCTCTCCCCGAGTCACACAGCCAGGAAATTTGGCTTAAGTGGAGCATCAGGTGACAGAATAGGAAATTAACATGGGCGCTGTGTGTGTGTGTGTGTGTGTGTGTGCATTCACACCCCTCACTTCACCCTCAGGCATAAATTTCCTGAGCTAGTCAGGAAAGGAATAAGTTTTGGCTTGGCAGATCAGGCTAGAAAACAGAACAGCTTATTGCACCGCCTCTCTTATCAGAGCTGGTACATGCGTACCTCTGAACACAGCTGGCAGAATTTGTTCTGCCAGGCTCGTCTGGAGAGGAAACGTACTTCAAAGATGTACACTTCCCCGAATTTTGCGGTGCGGTTCTCCATCCAAGTAATGCCTACAAAATAACAAAATGACAATAACAATGGGCAGGATCGACATAAACACGAGCGGCGATAAATTCAAAGGAATTATAAAGGACAAATGTGTAAAAAGGATAAATTTGGGTCTGCATTAAGAATGTGATAGGAAATAAGAAATGACAGAGGGGGTGGAGGGAGGCTGCAGAAAATATTATTTGATTTGGGTAGATTTATATTTTTAGTTGGATGTTGAAAAATGGGGGGAAATGGGAAATAAAATTGATTTAAAAAACCAAAAAACCAATAACCAATAGTATAGTGTTATAAGTTTGGGGCAAGACCTCCTTGTAAGCGTTCTTGTGTTCACTACGACTGAGCTGTTTTTCTTTTTATATAATAATAATAATAATAATAATAATAATAATTTATACCCCGCCCATCTGGCTTTGGTTTCGCCAGCCACTCTGGGCGTCTTCCAACCGAATATTAAAAACAGTAAAGAGATAACGTCACTGAAATTGGGTGCTTTGTTGTTGTTGTTGGTTTTTTTGAATACATTTTTATTAATTTTAACATACAAATTATGAAACGTACCACACAAATTATTACAAATACACTTTTTTTTGGACTTCCATCAGCACCTCCGATGATCTTCCGTCTTAACCTCTTTTTATGCATTACTTAGTTTTATATTGTCTTTACCTCTCTTAACTTATCATCTCCCCTTTTCCATTTTTACAATATTTCCAACAATACTCACAGAACTTCTTGCAAACCTACAAACGTCGTCTGATCATCACAAATACTTTTCATATAGTTCGTAAATTTACTCCAGTTTTTGGTAAATTTCTGGTCCCGCAGGTTTCGAATCCTTCCTGTTAATTTGTCTGATTCTGCATAGTCCATCAACTTCATCCTCCATTCTTCAATCGTTGGCAATTCTTCTTGCTTCCATTTCCGGGCTAATAGTATTCTAGCTGCTGTTACTGCATATAAAAAAAGCTTACATTCTTTTCTATTTATATCACTTCCCACCATTCCCAATAGAAATGCTTCTGGTTTCTTTGTAAATGTATATTTCAACATTTTTTTCAACTCGTTATATATCATTCCCCAAAAAACATTTCACCTTTTTACATTCCCACCACATATGATAAAATATTCCTTCTTTTTCTTTACATTTCCAACATTTATTGCTAGTTTTATACATTTTCGCTGGGTGCTTTGTTGTTTTACTGCTGCTCTACGTCTGACTCCAGTTCATGACAGTGAATTAATATGATTCAGCAGAGCAAAAATCTTGCTCTGCATAGAGAACACATGGGTGAGCCTTTTCCCGCCCATCCACCCAGTTGCTACATGGGAGAACAGTGGCTAGAGTGGTGGTGACTTGAGACAGACACAGAGACATGCTGGCTAAGTGTTGGACTTTGAGGCTCCTCTGGAAACCTAAAGGGGAAGCGAGATCTATGGGGGTGCCAATGCTCAGAGCCCCTCCACCCTATGCTCAGGTTGTATGGAGGTGTAAATAAAAACATATACCCAAAAGACGGCACAGGTCTCTGCTGACTTTCCTTCCTACAGTGTGGTGTAGTGGTTAAGAGCGGTAGACTCGTAATCTGGTGAACCGGGTTCGCTTCCCCGCTCCTCCACATGCAGCTGCTGGGTGACCTTGGACTAGTCACACTTCTCTGAAGTCTCTCAGCCCCACTCACCTCACAGAGTGTTTGTTGTGGGGGAGGAAGGGAAAGGAGAATGTTAGCCGCTTTGAGACTCCTTTGGGTAGTGATAAAGCGGGATATCAAATCCAAACTCTTCTTCCTAGGAACAACGAACCCTAAGTCAGTGCTTGGAACCACCTGGAGTCTCTTGGAGATTGGGTTGGAGCGTAACATACTAGGGTAAAGTGTGCATACGAGTGCATATTATAGTGAAAAGGACGTGCTCAAATGCATTTTATTGGGGGGAAAGTGCTTTGCATTATATCGGAGAAATTCACACGCAAACATTGGCGAAATTTCACGAGGATTAATTTTCAGAAAATGTCACGTACTCATGTGGGAAATAGGGGGAACTGAAGTTAAGACTGGAAAGATGAGAAACAGAGGGAAACCTAAATGGATAGATTTGCCTATCCCTCTGCTTTGCATGCAAATGTCCCACATTCAATCCAGGTAGGCCTGGGAGATGCTCCCTGCTTGAAATCCTTGAGAAAACCCATCAGTAAGTGCAGATAATACTTAGCTATGGGTACCATCTGTGTATGCATGCTTTTTTAAAAAATACAATTCGTAAATTAAATGTTGTGCGTCATTTCAAAAGAATAATAATAATTTAAAAAACTGCTGTACATCACCTGGGTCTTTTTAGGGGGAAGGGACAAAAGACGGTTCATAAATGAATGCAAACTTT